ATCCTGCTGGTGATGGTTACACAAAAGACGGACGGTAGATAGACAATTAACTAGAGGTAGGTATCACAGCGTTGGTTTAAAACGCACATATGTATGTCTATGTACTATGTAGCTGTACCCTTTTTTTTTGGTGGTTCACATGCATATCAAAATGTTCCTTGTAAGAGCGGTGTGTAGGTGGTGGAATCTAAAATGTATCAGAACTCGAAGTTGTTGAGAGGCAATGATGGGTTTGTGACTGGTCATATGTATGTATCCTGTTGGTATTGGGATAGTCGCCGGGTGTTAGTTTAGGGTTTGGGATGGCACGGGTTATGGCATCGGTCGACGATGTCTATGTAGTCCGTACAAATCTACAAGTGAACATGTAGTTTACAAGGAAACTCTTGGCCGCCCATTAAATTCACTAATACAACGAAATGTCATATTAATAGGCGGCTCATGGACATAAAACGTATAAAGGCTAGCAGTTAGCGATTAAGTTGATATTAGCCTCGGCGCAAGACTACGTAGTACTTCTCCGTAGTTATGTACGTCTTACTCAACCAAATGCACCGATGCAAAATCTAGAACTTCTCGAAAAACCTTCCCAATCCTTCTTCACCGATATTCAGACCTATATTCAGACCGAGAAACCAGGTCAAAAGCAAAAAAACGCGCGCGACTCATGAAAGAAGCAGGACAAAAAGAACGCTAAATGGCATTCTTCTGCGTTGGTCGCTTGTGAACCAGTGGCCTCCCTCCAAGGAAGACTCAGCAAAAAATGCAAGGCTAGAACAGAACCCTGCTTGGCGGATCCCTGTCCCGCCCCACCATCATGCATACAATACGTACGGAGTACATGATACTAGAGTCAGTGCATCGACCGGGTGCTTCCCTGTACACGACGAGATAGCGAGCAAACGGATAACCCAGTTCGTCTAGTGGTATTCTCAGTGCGGAATATACTTGTCACGGAACAATCAAAGTGGTTTCTGTTCGTAGGTGAAGCTGGAAGATAGGCACGGCGGCAAGTGAAACAGCCTCAACTCGACAAATCAGCTGGAAGGAACAGCCAATCCGATCAGAAAGACCAAGTAGACCGAACACCTGACTCAAGCGTTCTGCTGCTAGAAAATCTGATCGTGTTTCATCTGATATCCTTACCGCTCGATACGGCTATGTGATTGGCCCGCGTCGATCATCTATATAGCCGCCCGTCGACTATGGGTGACACTGACAGACACTGACAGACTGAACGGTCCAACATATGCCAATGTCAATGTACGCATAGTGCATATCCTCGTGGCTTTACTCAGTTCTAAAGATGGCATGTATCACAACCCCATCAAACAGATCTCCAATAGCTTCGTGGAGGTTACCCGAGTAGGCTAAAGGGATATGAAAGACACCAGTGGATTCTGATTCTGACTGATATTTGCTTTTTCTAATTTCCATCTCCTTTCATGTACAAATTGGTTGTGTCTTGGAGTCTCTTCAGCCGGCCAATCAGAACGGTGCAATGGTAATGTCTCATTCTGTAAGTTAGTTGCTCGGCTCTTCTTCGAATCAGCGCCGGACTTGCACTGACCGCTGGTTAGCGAGCCCTAAACGTGTAAGGGTAAACAAATCGACACTCTCTTAGGGAAACATGCAGGGCCCGAAAACGCAGCAAATAATCTCAGCTTCCCAAGATAAATTTATATGGACTTATTAATAGACTCATTTCGACACGAATACACCTAGGTATAGAATCTGTAGATACTGACAGATCGTGATGCACGATGCGGTTCCGCCGTCGATCAGCCGTCAGCCTAAAATAATCTCTTGTACATACTACGTACACGGAGTACGGCGCTGATAAAGAAGAGCAAGTACTAACTGAATAGAGATTGTATTCCGTATTTCCCGTTCCTTGCACAGAACTACACATGGCAACAACCATGACCAGCCAACCAATACTCGCATAGTACGTAGAAGCTTGAAAGTCAAAGATCGTGCTACAATGCTGCAAATGGTGTGGTACGAGATGGTAATTTACCAGATAAATTAATACCGTGTTAGTCCTCCGTAGTATCGCTCGTACCCCTCAACGCCCGAGTAAAAGCCCGATCCAGCCCAGTCCCGGCCCGTTCAAAGCATCCCTACATAACCGTGTAACACGACGTATTACCCTTCCGCGGAGCTTCTTTAGCTATGGTGTCCTGGCTGAGGATGGCTGTTTCTGTGTCTCTGTGTAGGTTGATTATCGATGAAGGCGGACGAATTTACGCTTAATTTTTTCCATCATACTCGATAGGCTTTAGGTTCTGAGGCACTGATAGTAAGGCTGCGTTGCTGCAAGGGTGCCGCTCCACTTGACGAGAGCTAGTCCGTGCCTACTGCTAGATAGCCGTCGCTATCTCGTCAGAGCGCAGCAGGACCAAGACCAGTACTAGTACATACTTACGGCGTAGTATTCGTAGCCATCTCCTTGCCTCAGCCTTGCCATGACCACTGGAGTGTACGGACCCTTTGTAACATTGAACGATCACTACTCCGTACCTAGTAATGTGTATTGATTACAAGCACGTACCCCATACGGTCTAGTGCAAGTTAGGGTTATCTTCATCCAATCGCGTCGTCCCACTGGCGCCATCCGTCGCGACAACGCATCTGGAGAAGTCTTCATACGTGGTGCGTATACAACAATCTGATATTGTGACGGGCGATGTACTGAGTCTCAACAGAACCTTTTGATGGCACTAGAACGAGAAATAGCTATTCACCAAAATTGTCGACAAACTCAGTATGAGGACAGAGTTCTCCACTCGAACGTTCCGTTCCGACCGCGGCCGATCGTACTGTATGTAACGGTATACTTCTCGTATTCGGCCTGTATCTTTACTTATTTACAGGCCATCATCCCAGCCTCCCGCTAAAACAGAGCTCAGACCAAAAGATCGACCGGTCTTTCCCTGTTGGGTTTCTGCTTGTACGATAGTACATATACACATACTAATCATACGACTCCCAGGCTCAGAGACGATACACTGATACGCCTACTGTAATTTACTCCAGCGACTAGTTCCTCTCCAACCACTTTTCCCCCACCTCTCGTTGCGTTTCCAGTTTCTCTCTCGTCGTCTGCACTTAAGTTAGCCGGGTCGTCCTGCATGCACTCGACCAAGGGGGTTCCCCAGCCGATCACGAAGCACAGATACTTTTGTTTCCCTTGATGTTCTTAGCAGCAGCAGCATCATCATCCTGAAGTCTTTGCTCTGTGTACGTACATCCCGATCTCGCTGAGGACCATCTTCCTGAATCCCAAATATTATCATCCCCTTCTCCAATCACCAAGCTGCCCCAATTATACAGTCCGCCGGAGATCGATCTGCCTTGCGTTCCTTCTCTGCTGGCAATTGGCACTGACAGTTTTGGCAGTTGCAACCTGCCCGCCTGGCACCTGCCGTCTGCTGCTACTGCTCCCTGCTCCTGCTCTAGCCCGCCGGCCGCCGCCGCCGCCGAAGCTTCTTTCCTCTCTTCTCTCCGTCGTCCCTTCTCTCTCTCTCTCCCTCACTCACTCTCGAGATCAGATCATCTCAAGTGACCTGCTCCAGCCTCTTCTATTCTTCTCTTCTATTTCCTCCCTTCCTTCACGCTCACTCTCTCGGCTCTCCACTTTCCCATGTATTGATTGATTGATTAATTGATCGATCCACTGGATTCGTACAGTCCAGCTGCTCCTGCCAGGGTACGCGCCATTTTTATTTCTCTTCTCTTACCTGATTTCGATTTCGTCTGATCTGGACCCAAACTCCTTAATTCAAGCCATCTTATTTTTCCTGAGATGTGCTTCATTTAACATGCTCGTTTCCTCTCCATTCGTCCCACTAACCTTMCCTTCCCGCCTGTACATGCATTTAACCTACCTACCCTACTTCTCCACCATCTGGTCTTGTTGCGCGATTGACTGCGCTTGCATCTGGCAATAGTTTCTGCTTATTGCGATTTGACAACGTATTCATCTATCAAACACGAGAAAAAAAAAGACACCCGCTCATGCTTATTCAACGTTGATACCTTGTTGTCGCTTTTGCTGTGTTCCGCTCATCAACTTACCTACCCGCATTATAGAAAACTCAAATCGCGTTCTCCGCCGATAAGAGAGAAAACGTCAAGGAAGAGTCAAGAGAACTGCCTCGACAGTTCCTCTTTCTACACGACCGCTACGACCGTTACGACCTGCGCTTACGATACGATCGTTTGATTTATTCGTTTTGTTTCGATACATTGTGCGTTCTGCATGTTTGACGGCTACAACTGTGACTCGCATCGCCCGTCTTAGATTTGATTGTCAACATTTTCGACCGACTATTTAGCCAGTCAGTTTTTTAAGCGACAATTACGACGAGCGATAAAGAAAAAGTCCGAGATCGATACGTGATTAACCCGCTATTTTACGACCTTAAACGCAAGAATTTACGACGTCTTCGTGTGGCATATACACATACATACATATTTTCAAAGCAGCGCATTGTGATTTTACGAATGTCTACATCTTTGCGCGCTGTCCGCCACGAGACCAAGATATAATAGCGACGAGAGCCAGCATCTCCGCAAGAAAAACAAACCAAAAGTCTGTTTTAGTTCGCATCTTGCGATTCATTTCCAGCGTTCCGTCACGAAGACACGAACTTGCTACGATCACCCAGCACGTTGTTCTGCATTTATACAAACGTCTACCAAGGAGACATCAGAAGGAAAGAAAATCCTCAAGGCATAGCTGACTTTCGGAGAATACCGAAAAGCTGGAGCTTCCGTCGATTGCCCAAGTTCATACTCGTGGTTCCGTCGACGTTCCGTGGTTCTACCGTGACCCTCAAGAAAAACACAATTTTCCCAGATTGCCATCTGTCCCTTTTCAAGTAGACCAAAGCCTCCCATCGCAGGGCGGTTCTCGCGGTGTTGTGACTGAGTACTCAGTCTCCGAACAAGGATACTCTTCTTTTCCCTCTGACACACCTTCAGAAGACCCCAAAATGAATCAGACACAATCATACATGGACGTACATACGTCACACTTTTCCTCGCCTCAGCCCTACGGCTCGCATGGAGCAACAGCTGGCGGAATGGTGCCATACTCGCATTATCAGCAGCCGCCGCCTCTTCTGCCACCTGGATCTGCTGGTTACCCGTCGACACCGGGCTCCTATTCTTATCCATACTCTAATGGCGTTGCTTCAACCACACAGCCGGCATCTAATTCAATTAGCAGCCAGGTCCCGGCTCAAATACTGCCTCTGCCAGGTAAGTTTATCCATGCCTCTCATCACATAGTTACCTTTTAACATGATTTTCAGCTATGACCAGCCATACTGTAACACCACATGGATATGTCAGCGGAGCAGCACAGTCCCAGCAGAACGCTGTCCACGATCCAACTGGTCAGACTTGTCCGCCAGGAGCTAAGCCGAGAGTAACCGCAACCTTGTGGGAAGATGAAGGCAGTCTCTGCTACCAGGTTGAGGCCAAGGGTGTATGTGTGGCCCGACGTGAAGGTGAGTTACTTCCTTTCTGGAATTATCGAGCTTCGCTAATATCCGTTAGATAACCACATGATCAATGGTACCAAGTTGCTAAATGTTGCTGGTATGACCAGAGGCCGTCGCGATGGCATACTGAAAAGCGAAAAGGTTCGCCATGTTGTGAAAATCGGTCCAATGCATCTGAAGGGTGTATGGATCCCATACGAGAGAGCCCTCGATTTCGCCAACAAGGAGAAAATCACGGACCTGCTCTACCCATTATTTGTTCACAACATCGGTGGTCTTTTGTATCACCCACAAAACTCTAACCGGACCAACATGGTCGTTCACGATTCGCAACAGCGTAGACTTGAGGGCAGCCAGAGTGCTCGAACCTCCCAAGGACCCCAGCCTCCTACACTTCATCACCACCACTCAATGAACGGTTCCGTTTCTGCTCACATGCCACAAGCATCGGCTTCTTCCGTCACCCCTCAAGCAAATGGCCGGCCAGATATGAATCGTGCTCATACTTTCCCCACTCCTCCAGCTAGTGCATCCAGCTTGATCGGTATCCCTAACCAAGGCAGCACTTACGATTGGAACAACCAGAACATGAGTTCTGCCGTCCAAACTTCTCAAAATGTCCCTATCGACAATGGAATGAACAATACGAGGTCAATGCCCACAACGCCGGCCACCACGCCACCAGGAAACAACCTTCAGGGCATGCCGCCATACCAGAACCAGCCCACTTATGACAGCTCTAAGTCATACTATTCCGCAGCCCCCTCAACACAAGGTCAATACGCTTCGCAGCCGCTACCTGCCCACTCTCTCACCTATGGTCAGCCCATTATGAAGGATCTTGGTTCTGGAAGACCGTCTCTTGGTTCTGTTGAACAGGAGCACGATGAGGTCAAGGTTGACCGATACAATCAGCCAAATGGTCAAGTCAACGGCACAGAGGAAGAGAACGGCCAACAGCAGGAGCCTGAGTATGTACAAGACAATGTCGCTGGTTCTTATGCAAGCCGCAATTCTTATACATACACTACCAATCCCTCGGTATCCTCGCTTGCTGGAGACCATCAGCTAGGCGGGTCTCCCTCGCATCAGAATGGTAATGATAGGATGACACCGCGTACTGCAGGCGCCAACCCACCACCGCAGTGGTCTCAGGGCTACAACACCCCTCCAAGGGTTGTACCAGCAGGTAGCATTTCCAACATTGTCAGCGACMCCCGGGGAGCMCCTGCCGGCGACTCATACGCTCCCAGCACTGCATATGCATCGAACTATTCTGGCTATTCGTCCGTGAATGGGCCTTCTATGGGATCCACCAAAAGAATGCGCGATGATGAAGAAGACCATTTGTCGCGACCCGATGGTCGTGAGAATGAATACGAGTCCAAGCGCCGCAAGACTTTGACGGAGCCCCCTGTTGGCGGCGCTTTCATGCAAATGCAGCAGCAGCCCGTTCCGGCAGGAGGAGTGATGCGACGCCGCTGATTTCAAGCAAAACCACCACCGACTTCATTATAATCAGCCTAATTATGACCTAATTATGGGGAACAAAAAATTAAGGGTCGAACTAATCAAGAACCGGTCTTTTTCGTTTTACATTGTTGGTAACTCTCTCATTGATTTTTAGAGGGCAGATTTCCTTTTTATCAAGTGACTTTTCACATTGGCGTTTCTCTTCGATTTTTCGGCTGATATATATATTATCATTTGCCCATGCGACGAAAGTCGTGTGCGACAATGGTGATGATTGTGTGACACGATAAACGCTGGGTATTTGTCCGATACTCGCCTTGATTCATGTCGGTGGGATTTTTTAAGTCTCCACTTTTCGTTTGTTTGCCTTTCTCTTTGCTGCTTTTGTGATTTCTCTGGGCACGTCGCTTGATTTGTTCCAACAAATTACTTCTAACGACCATGATGATACGAATTTCTTATGATGCCTGTCTCGAACGGGACCTGATGATGACTTGATTTAACTGTGCGAGTTTTTTTCTGCTTGTTGTTGTGTTTGAAAGACGTGATGATTGTGAAGATGAGACGAGACGAGACGTGTTACCAGCGTACTAGGTTAGATACCGGTACATAAAACTCCATTCATTATTACATTTCTATAAAAATGACTGTAAGTTCCATCCAGTAAGAACATACAAGACTAAGATAATCGATTATCCCGGATAGGAAAAACAGAAACAATGATGCGTATCGATAAGATAACGGACCAGTCTTGGCGCACCCGAATTCTCCATCTAATCTTTGGTTCGGACGACCAAGTTCTTGGAAGAACTTCGACCTTCCCAAATAAAGGCTTAATCAGACGTGTTCACAGCTTACAGATTATCTTGGCAATTACATCTGTTCCCACCGTCTCGCGCAGCTTGAGCCCACAGCTAAATAAAGCAATGTCAAACCCATCCCCAAACAAGAAACCACCCCACTCCCAACCGCGCAACCACCACATCTTCGACCCTTGGAACACATCCTCAACGGGCCATCAACGTGCTGAAAACCCGTATTCGCGAACGACCGAATGGCGCGATACGCGCCGGGAGAAGTTGGCGCGACAATTCCGATCCGACCATCGTACAGCACCATCATCGAGGGATAATCTGACTGGAGGAGGAGGAGGAGGAGGAAGAGGGGAGGAAGGGGAATGGAAATGGATGTCCGCACACGAAGCGACGAGGAACGAGCTCGGTGTAGCGGATATAAGGCGGTACATGGGTATATCAAAGCCACACCCACAAGCTCAGCAAGGCCAACACGGGCTATTGAAACCGGAGCCGCAAGCACAATCGGAACAGCAGCGTCAACCGACGATGAAGGAGAAACTCGCATTCGAGCCTGCGACTCTACCACCACCGTCGGAAATATCAAGACCTACAGAAGAAGGAAGGAAAGGAATCTTCGCATCATTGACATTCTACATCAACGGATCTACATACCCGACCATATCAGACCACAAACTCAAACGCCTAGTTGCCGAGGAAGGTGGTAACATATCGCTGTATCTAGCACGGAAATCGGTTACGCACGTCATTCTCGGCGCTGCCGCCAGTTCAAGTCATGGTGGTGGTAGTGGGAGGAAAACAGGTGGTTTACTTTCAGCAGGTAAAATGCAAAAGGAGGTATTGGCAAAAACAAGCGGGTTTGGGAAAGGGGTTAAGTATGTTAATGTTGAATGGTGCGTTATTCCTCTCCTAGCTTGGACGAGTTGAGTTGCTAATAGTGTTGGCTGGGTAGGGTTGTTGAGAGTATCAAGGCTGGGAAAAAGTTGCCCGAGGCTAGGTTCGCGCCTTCTTCGTCCTCTGCATCTACGAATGGGCGAGGAAATGGGTTGGATAGGTATAAGACTATTGATGGAGTAGGAGGAGGGGTGGGAGTACCGGTTGGACAGAAGAGTGTGTATAACATGATTAACAAGTCTAGTACTACGAGAAATAATGAAGATATTGGCTGAATCGTGTTCATTCAATTCGCTAGTTTATCAAATCATTGTCCGCATTGTAATCAATGCCATTCCATGGACATAAAGTCAATATACATAATCATCAGGGTATATATGTACAATTATACTCGCTCTTCGTCAAACAGAAATCTATATATGCAGTCGTAGCCTAAATAAAAGCGTCCTCCCGAACTAATCGTTGCGTTCCAGCGTCGTTGCTTGCACTACTACTCGTGCTGCTGTCACTGTTGCTTCGTGGATTTCGTCGGCCGTGGCTGGCGGCGACGTTGCGGCTTCGGCTGCCGCTGTTGCTGGCATGGCTATGGCCCGGACGACGGTAACTATCCCTATACCTCCTGCCGGCGGATGATGATGATGGGGGAGAAGTTGAGGATGACGAAGAAGGTAGCGATATGACGCCAAATTCTGAAGGGTTGAAATCGTGCTCGTCGTTATTGTCATGCCCGTGCTCAGTTGAATATGCGGGCGGGCTGTCGTCCATGGGGACGTGGACGTAATCCGAGCCCGGGTCTCGGGAGATAGTAGTTGTAGGGCTGGCGGTATCTGGAATTGGAGGAAGGGGGTTGTTCATCCTCATTTTACCAGCAGAGACGGATGAGGAGCCTGTATTAGGGCGAGTCGTAGGAAGAGAGGGAGGAGGAGGGGGAGGTGATGAGATTCGGCGGATTGTATGATACCCACCGACCTGTCCGGACTGAGGGACGTGGCCATGTTGTTCATAGTAAAGATGTGTGTCTTCGTAAGGTGGGAAGGTTGTTGTCGAAATTGACGACGAGGTAGAAACTTGATGAGGTCGGGCGTTGTATTGTCTCTTTACGTCTTCCAGAGCCTTATCGATGGACGAATCAAACATTTCAGGAGACGACGAACGAATCATCTTCTCGTCAAGACTTCCCACTTCGTCTGCGTCGTCGTCTACGTCGTGTTCCATATTCGCTGATTGTCGGTCTCCCTTGACTAGACCAAGTCGTTCTTCCTCGGTAGCAGCCTTCACTGCACTGCGAGGTGTTGTGGTCCGCAGAATCCCACGACCAGGGCTAACTGGAGCGTGCGGCACATTCTCATTCGACTTTTTCCGTCCGAATAACGTTGTAAATGAGAATTGACGTCGTGCATACTGATGTGGTGGTTCAGGCGCAAGTCGGCTGCTCCGAGTTGGCGATGAGTCTGGCCGCTCGTCGGCCCAAACAATCGATCTAGGAGTGTTGCTACGTTCTCTCCCTGTGTGAGGCTGGAACGGAGGCTCCAAATGGCCATCGTTGCCGCCATGATAAGCAGTATCAACAGAATGCTTGTTATTGTTTAAAGCAATCTCCGTTAATGCCACTGGATGCACCGAAGTCTGCGGTTCATCGTCACCATGTAATTGTCTCCAATGGAGAGGGGTTTGTAAAATGGTAGACGCCCGACTGCGAACATCACTGAGGAACGAATGATTACCACTAGGCGAACGAGTCGGCATATCATCGTCTTCAGTGGGGAATCGAGTCATGCCCAAAGGCGGATGAGGAGTTCGAACAGAGCGGGCTGATCTAGGTGTCATTGTTGGATGATCTCCGATAACCGTCTTTCGTCGTCTGAGCCCATCCCACTCTATGATCTCGTTGTCACCCGGCTGACTTAATTGGTCCTCTTGTTTTTCCTTGAAGAATCGTTTCGCCTCTTCTTCTTCCATCTTTTGTCTGGAAACTGAGATTCGACGAATGATCGCTGCGGTACCTCGGATGGCATCCGCCTTTGGTTCGATTTCAGAGGCTTCTTGCTGGCTGACTTCCCTGATTTGGTCCAAATCACCTTTGAAGACAGCTGCATCGGGAACATCCTTGGCAGATTTGGATAATTGCAACAAGACTACACCCGAGCAGATAGTCAAAAAGCCCATAACCATAGTCACTATAGACATTGCAGAGCCAGAGAATCCTTGAAACAACACAGCGGATGTGACAATGGTCGAACTGGTGAACATGACGTAGTAGGTAGGAGTGACGAGAGCGGCGTTGAAAATATTCAAAGCTTTCTATATCGATATTAGCACAATCCTTCAACAGGCTTATGGTTTAGTACTCACGTTGAGATAGATAATCTCCGTCAGTAACGAGCAAATGACAAAAACAAGCAGCACATAGAGAAACCAGTGCTTGAACTGCGACTCTCCACGAATTTGCGCCAAGATTGAAGCCCCCAGACCCTGAGTTGCAACCACGCTGAGCCCACCGATCAAACTACAGACCGTGATGTAGACAAACATACTCTTCTTTCCGTAGCGGGGACCAACCCACAAAGCCACGAACAAGCAGCCCACAATGATGACTCCAGCGTATGTGAGAAACCCAGGAGCAATAACATAATGCTGCATTCCTTGAATATCACTGACGGAAGCTTGTTCGGGGGCATTCAGGGCGATTATTGTCGCTCCAATAATACAATTGAAACAGCCTATCTTGCCGACAAAACTGAGCCGCTCTTTCAGGAAGATCGCAGATAATATCGTAGTCACAACGACGGACAGGGCTCCCATGGGAGTAACGAGGATCGCATCGACGAAACAGTAGGCGACAAAATTGCATGTTTCACCAATAATCATCAAAGTCATTCCGAGCCACCACCAGAGATTCTTCAGATATCCGTAGCCCTCGCCAGCCTCCTCATTGTATTTGACGTTGGCTTTCAGCAAGCCGACCTTTTTGATGACGAACGAAACACCGATGAACAGTCCCGAGGCAATGGCGAGTGTGATACCGATCACTTTGTATACAGGAGGCTGCGATGAGCTGGCTCGAGCATACAAGACCTGGGCCTGGTCCATGGTCGCTGCTGTCATATCCATGACAGCGGAATGCGGCCACTATCGGCCTGTTGTAGGATTCGAAATCGACGCCGTTGCGGTCGACGAGTTGCCTTGTCGTAATATAGCGATACTTTAGGGCGATAAGTATTTATCCACGACGCCGGAATTTGACAAGAATGGATTTGCACAAAGGAAATTGGTGGCTGTCGGTAGTATAAGAGTATAAATGTGGACTCTGCTAGGCCATAAGTCTCTCGCACAAGATCCGTCACATGTACGACTGAAACCAACGTTCCGGGTGGCTATATGTGCAGATCGGACAGAATGGCGGGGAAGACGGAACGATACGATGACTTGGGCAGCGTAAGCTGGCTCGAATCCGTCACTTTTCTCCTCTGCTTCAATATTAAATCGGTATCGATAAGTGGACGATGTAAAGCAGAAAATCCGTCGGTGGAATCGTTCGTCGTAGTGACTCGAGTGAGAGCGTTATCGATAACGGTCTAGACAATCTGTAACAGCTGACGAAAATTAGAGTCACAGAATCGATTTGAGACGACGACGTCGAGTGCAAGGAGGTCCCAACCGATGGGAAAGAGGTTATACAAAAGCTCTCCCTGGAGAGAATAAATGGTTGACAGTTGTCGTTGCGAGAAAGGTGAAACAGGCCGTGTCAGAAGTAGGCGCCAATGCACGTCGTCAGCTTTGCCTTCCGTATGTCTCAGGCAATCAAGTGTCGACACCTTAATCCGTAACGCTGCATGAACTGTATGTACTCCGTGAATACGGAAGAAGAAGAAATCGAAAAGCGATCGAATTATCAACGACAGATTGCCCCTTAACTTTAGTCCTTACCTACGGAGCAGTCTTACGTAGCATTAACAGGTGGATATACAGCCAGCCCAACCACTCGACCCCATACTTAGTAGTACTCTCAGTGCGTACTCTCTGCTGTTGTCCAGGGAGACTATCGCACAGACGCCGCCGATAAAGCAGATTACGTCCCCACTAACTATTTTTGGGCTGTTCCCGCTTCTTTCCTGACTGCTGATTGGCTGTCCTTAGTAGAGACGAGTGGTGGATGTCGTTGTCGGGCGCTGATTGGCTAGTAATTCACGTGGCTTGTGCGATCTTGCCTCTTTGGGATTCCCAGCCACAGCATTACAGGACGCTATGCCTTTATAAGGTTAGAAGTATACACAGCCTCGACGGGTCTGGCCAATGGGAAGGATCGTCGTTTTAATCTCCGATGGCGATGTTGATTGGTGGGTGGATCGCTGCCATATTCGTTCGAGTCTTGCAAGAGTCCAGACTACAGACTACGAAGCATACAGACGACGTCACTCTTGTTGTTTGAGACACGGTGAACGCTGCTCACTACATCAGTGGCTTACGAAGGCCCTGTAGAATCTCTGCACAATGCTTCGTTATCATCTATCTAAATACATGAAATATGAAGGTCGAAAACACCAACACCCTCGTAAATAACCTTGGTATCACAAATGCAGATACAGAAAGAATCAAAAGGCCGTAGTTCATTATCCAAACCGGCCCCGTTCATCGGCTCGTAGTAGACATTATACATCAGTCGGACAGAAAGACAATCATCGCACGTTATATGTCGGCTTTCGTAGTTTGTCGACCACTGGTGGCCCGTCAACAGGATACGGCGGCCGGTATCCCCCAAGAGGAGCCTGCAGAGGACGGGGTACCGCTCCTGGAAGAGGCATTGTGATTCCCGCACTGACTCCATCATCGGGGTATGGAATGGGCGTCTTGGGCGGTAATGGCGGGGGKATATTGCTTTCCMACTCGGTACTACGCCGTGGTGACCCAGAAGATGCGCTGTGTAAAAACTCGCCCGACCGGCGTGGCGTGTTCATATCTGCGACTGGCGATACAAGATGAGATTCGTGTCCCAATTCATCGGGACCCATGATCGCAATCTTCTCGTCTGAACCACGAGGAGGAGGATGTGCGTGAACGTTCATTCGGTGACTTGCCGGAACCTCCTCCGCTGGTAGTTCAATCGCCATGGGGTTAGAGGGAGGTGCTACCACAATAGCAGCGGGAGGGGCAGGAGGTAATTGCGGTGCTGACTGCTGCTGAGAGTCAGGCAAAGTAGATTCTGCGCCAGAGCGGGATGCCAGACGGCGATGCATCCTTTCGATTCTAGCCAACTTGGATGCAGCATCTAATGTCATTCCTTGTACATCTGGCTTCGAAAGATATCGGCGCGTATTTGTGCTGATATCAACAAGGCGATTCCACTCGTTCATTCCAAATTCACCAACACCAACTTCCACATTCAACCGATAGTAATTCTCCTTCTTCACATTCCGCTTGGCCAGATGATCCGAGAGCATCCGTTGATGAGTATCCTCGCAACCCTCAATCTTCGAAATGAGTCGTCGTCGAGCTTCGGCAAAAGTTCCTAGAGCGTCGCCAAAGAACCCTTCCCACCATTCATGTTGCTGGTGGTTAGTTCCCGCTGGGCGCTTCCCGGTTCCAACACTAACAAAGACACCGAGCTCTCGGCCGGGCCATTCGTTTACGACAGCTTCATCAAGTGCTTGAGGTGCGGGGTTGAAATTTCCAGATCCTTCGTCAATAAATACATATTGGCCGATCTGTATAGGTTTGAAGGCTAGGCCAGTGGCCGAAGTAGCGCGGCCAGCCTGCCAGATCGTGCATTCAAATTCAGGAGGGGGTTCTCTCCTAGAATCGTAAGAGCGTAGTAAAACTGGCGGCGTGTTGGCCCTCGAGCCTTTGTATACCGCGGTAACAGCTCTATCGTCAATTAGACAAGATCTATGTTTCACTAGTAGGGATGGACTTACGTCTTTGTGCGAAATTCTCGATTGTCGTAGAGCGCAGCGTCCGGGTTTCCGAATCTAAATCCGTATCCATTAAAAGACATAGAGTTTCTTTGGCTTGTTGGTGATGGTGGTGCCCTTGACGTATTGGTCGAGCTGAAGCTTGCGCGACTCATACTGCGCTGCGGCACGGGTTGCATCGGACTGGCAAGCTCGATTGTACTGTCATTTCCTTCCGATTCGTATACTGTATGTTGACGAACACATTGTCTAATAGCCTCTTCGAGCTTGGAGGCCTTGAAAAGCGTTGACCGGTACGGGATCCCCGCTATCGTCTTATCGGTCTCGAACACCTTTTTGGTCATGCGAACATATACCTCCTTGCAAGTTTCGAGATCTAGTCGCAGTCGACCTAGCATGATGGCAATTAGCCCACCGGTTCCGGTGCCGACGATGAGATCGAAGTAGTCGCATGGTTTGGGGATTTGGTCTCGTCGCGGCGCATGTCCTTCGCATTCGACGTAGGTCCGGTACATTAACTCTTGAAGGAGAATAAGCATTGAATAACCCCGTACGCCACCTMCATCTACACAAAAGCAGTCAGTTTGATTCTCTTTTATCTTTCATGTTTCTTGGTTATCTTCAACAGGGCATGAGATTGGCGTACCTAAAGAAAGCACCCTCAGCGGCGGGCCTTTCGTGGTATCTTTCCTCCGTAAAGTTGTGTTGTTGTCCATGTTGTACGTAGCTTGTTAGACGCAGCGATAGCTGCTAATTGATAAGGGCCCCTTCGTATGCGATGTGATTGTAGATGGCAGATTCTGTAGATTTTCGCGAAGGTGGAAGTGCGCGGCTAGCTACCCAAGTCGATGAATCGGCAAGATCGGGCCACTGGCGAGGGGAGGGGACTCGTGACTGTTGCGGATCAGACGGACCAGGCGGGMGATCAGTTTCAGGTGTTTCACAGGATGTCGCTATATCGAGTAATAGTTACTGGACGAAGGGATACTTCTCTGAGTTGTTATTGTTGGAAGAAAAGAAACAAGTGACGTGATGATGTATTTGGCAAATCGGAGATGGTGTGGGGAGGGGTGCGTGTGCCTGGTGAGGCAACAAAGTAAGGCAAAGGCTAAAGCTAGTTTTAACCGCTCGAGTCGACCTCTGAACAGCCGTTGCTAGTACGACTCCAAGTTGCAGAGCACAACTTTGGTCAGTTATTTAAGACTGTGTTTATTCACTTAGTCTTCATGCGCCCATTCTGCGTAGGACAGCAAGAACGAAGAATACGAGCGTCGATTACATAATGGGGCGCAGCATACCCGTCCAATAGGAAGGCTGCAGGCAATTGTAATGTGGCGGTGCAGTGCCTGCGTCATCGTCTATTCTCCTTCCTCTTCTCTTCTTGTTACTCGCTCGACAGTACGGAGGATGACATGCGTTTCAGCAGCCTCGGCATGGAGACTGTAATCTGAATTACTTGCGTTCGAATGTTGGTACTCGAGCAGAAGTACCTGTTTCTTGGTTCGCGATGGGTGTTCCTGGACTTTTCCATGGTTGTGGTGAGCGAATGAGGATTGATCGTACGGAGCATGCCTGGGAGTAGCTCCATGGCATAAGATATATCCTGGATGGTCGAAAAGGGTTAATGATATCGCCAGTGTAATTGTGCAGCAACATAGTCTTTCGAGGAAACGTAGAACGACTTTCGACTTCCAAAGTTCAGTCTGCTGGATGATCTATATCTAGAATTACTTTGGCTTTTTTAGATGCGGAATGGCAAAATTTCCCATCGTCTTCTTGGTGGGCGGTGTGGAATGTTCTACTGACTCAGAATCCGGTTCCCCTTCTCACTTCAACTTTGGCGCCTTCCCAATAACCATAAGTTGACGACACATCTCAGAGCAAGATTTGAATTGCAGACATATAATATCTATGATCAAGGAGAATGAAGCTTTAATAGGCAGTGGTGATGGGCTATATGGACTTTCACACTAATCAACATGAGCTTGGATATGTCGGGGTGCCCGGACTGCGAGATCCGGCGGAAATATGAGACTGAATACAGGGCACTTCTCCAAGAAATCGTCGCGCTCAACGACGTCGACGCTCTGAAGAGATATATTGAAATAAACCTCCGAAGGGTAGTAACGAGTCCCTTTTACGTTGCCGCGGGGAAAAGAAGCACCGCACCGAAGCTCTTCGCAGACTCATTAATCATTACGAAGTCAACTTCAATGTAGATGGAAATAATCCTACTCCAACACTGTGACCTACCGAGTGAGGAACTTCGTTGCTAAACACTGCCTGTTACGGGGCGAATTCGGAGACAGCGTGTCTTCAATGGATTGCCAAACTTCCACGGGGATCAGTCGACGATATTGATGCGGTTCGCCATTATCAGATGCCGCAGCTTCTTTGCATAATGAAATCTTAGCTAATGGATCAGTGGCCTCCGTACTTACCAATGGTACCGTGATCTTTCAAGCCGAGGCGAGAAATTAATCAAGATGCTCCCCGATCGAGGAGCTTGTGCTCGTGATTCAAGGAGCAATGAATTTCCACATACTGTCGGAAGAGATGCAAATATTGTCATGATGCTGGAAACTTGATATAAGGCGCTGCATGATATGGTTGCAGTTCAGGAAGTCCAAGACTACAGCAGCAACATGATGCAACAGACACCAGGTGGCGAAACACCACAATAGCTGCTTGAGTAAACAAGAGCCAAATGGTGTGACGCAGAAGAGCAGCGTAATAGGTTCTCACACCCAAACGAGAGTACTGAGAGTACTTAGCAACGTATAGTTTTGCAACGTTCCCTTCTAGCTATGGCTTCCGAAGCCCTATAGAAGCTTATTAACCCATGCTCTATGACCTGATCAGTATCGGCCGCTGGCTAGATCTGTGTGGAATTCAGGACTTGCCGTCCGCTCAGCCGTATGCTCAATTGGTCATTTGCTTCGGACCCAAATGCCGTGGTGGTCACAGAACTCCGACCACCTTCTCTCGACAATCATATTACAGGCGTATATTGGGGGCCTTTGAGCAGCTGTGGGATGGCGTTCATAGGGTACGCATAATAATGTGAGAGTCCGCATGTTTCGAAATGTCTTGTCTGTCTACGGCGAACTTGAATGGCAAATACATCGATATTCATACCCAATGAGTAAAAGATTGGAAGATAATGTGACAGTGGACTACACGGGCTTCTATATCTATCGATTTGACTCGATATTCATCAAGGTGCAGAAGAACGGCAAGAAAGGGGTTCCGTACGCGGAAATAAGAGTAGGATTCTGATACTTTAAGCTCTTTCTGCTACCCTAAGCTTCGCATTTCAAAGAAGACGATCATCCATCCTCTTCATCACTATCGATATAAGCCATTACATTTCTTTTTCAAGCACATACGACCATAGGGTGTGGAGAACAGGGCTTCCCGTCCGCTCAGCCGTACTTAAGCCACACGCCGGCTGGTTAGTAGTTGGGTGTGACCACCAGCGAATCCCAGCTGTTGTATGTAAACTTTTTGTCTCTTTTTTGCCCTAAAAGCAAGCTCTTATGTTAATGCTGGGGTGTTCCGGGTGATCCGGACTGCTGTGATTTGACTAGCGGTCCTCTTTCTTTTGCTCCGGAGCCAGTCGGTGACAACGGGATTCTATGGTCGATCAATCCAGTGGCGGATCTTTTGGTATAATATTCATTCTTTGAAATTGTTTCTAAAGAATATGCATGAATGTACGCAAGACCATTCCGTTTTAGCCTATTCGGCCACCTCTTTATTGAAAATTATTGGAAGTCAGCACTAGGTACAGCTCAGACATGCAGGCTACTTGCATATCAAGCTTTATGTACTCATGAAATACCATTCTGATAGTGCAGTGATTACTGGATTGGAAACTTTAATCTTTGAAACAGTCCCACATAACGTTCTTTGACGGGCGTGTGCCTGTAGAAAGCAAGTAAAGGATGGGGGAGAAAACAATCTGTTGGCCACGAATAAATTACCAGGACACATATGTCCCAATGCCCATGACCCCTTGTCAAGCATTGTCAGATATTCAGAAGATATTTCTCCAATTTACTGCAGATGCGGCTCAATCCACTGTCCAATCCATCGCGCCATCATGGTTCCGTCAATTGCCGGTGCGGATCTCAAATTTCTGCTCGCTTGTTCTGCTTTGCTATATTCCCACTTCTTTGTAATATGCACTTGACTATTGACTCCGAAACGTGTATCGAAGAAAGAAATGAGCTTCAAAGCAGGATTTACCTGAATTAAAGAATTCGTGGCCTTATCAGGAACATCCTCGTTGCTAGTCAGAATTGCTGACGCACTGGTTCGCAACTTCGAAATCCACTTTGCTGGGGAAACGACTTGGATAGAACTATTTGCTCGACTTTCGATAGATGCGATAATTGATGGCAGCAATGCTTTCCATGTTGTTTGATGGGGATTCAATATATGGAAGACATTGACACTGTGGTTGGGATCCCTGACATTCCCCAGGCTTAGTTCGACAATTGTATCCGCAGCAACATCGATAGGAACCCAGTCAATGATATCGTCACTCTCACTGCCTCTTCCACTCAAATGTTCTGGAACTACACCTAAAGCTTTTGAGCCTAGTATCAAAGCGGGAATCCAGTCAGCAGAGTTCCATCGACCGTTGCTTCTAGATGCCCCAGCAATTATGCCCAGACGTAGGGTCTTAACTTCAAGGTCATGCTTGGAAACTGCGTGGGCTAGAAGACGCTCGGCGATATACTTGCTTTGTGAGTAACCAATTGAAGGGGGCGCACTCATATCAGTAGTGACAGATTCAGGGATGCATGATTGATCGACACTCATAACCGAGGAAATCGATGAGATAAAAACAAATCGTGCTTTGAGTGTAGAGCGTCCACATAGTGAACATAAATTCACTATCCCTGAGAGCTGGGAATCAAATGTTGGCAAGGGGGCATTAAAGTTCACCATCCAAGCATTATGGATAATAAGTGTGATGCGTTCAGCGATAGTGGTGTAGACGCCTTTGAGAAGGCCCAGCGATTTTGAATCAGAAAGATCCGCTGATAAAAATGTTACTTTGTCTTTTGCGAACTCAGTAGGAAGACTTGAGTCTCGAAACTTGTTCCGCTCCTGCTGTAAAGTGGATGAGTCCACAGATCTATTCAGACAATAGATGTGGGATACGCAATCTTCTTGTAGCAGAGCTTTCAATATATAGGAGCCAATCGATCCAGTTGACCCTGTCAGGAGGACTACCTGCTTGATCGATGCATGAGCAGTAGCAGAGGTTGCGGTATCGAAAGGAAGTTGGTCTATCTTGTCGGTGTAATCATTCAATATACTAGACAAGATGCTAACCTGTTCCTCTTTTTGAGTGCTCTCCGGATTGGATTTCTCGGCGATCAGTTTTTTTAAATCTTGTGCCAGAGCAGTGACCGTCGGGCGAAGATATATCGTGCTGGGCTGGATTGTGCGTAGAGAGGTTTCGACCCGAAGCTTACGTACCAGCTGCAAGACCTGGAGTGAGTCCATCCCCCGCTCGAAGAAATTTTTATTAGCTTCGACATCAGTCCACTTGGTTGCCTTTAGAACTGCTCGTTTCGTAACGTTCTCTATAGCATCTATGTTCTCGAGATCTTGGGAGTGAGATGTTCCTAGAGTCCATATTTGCTCCACATCTGCATACAGCTGATTGATCTTCGTGGCATACTGCTCAAGAGTCGCACTGCGCCGTATTGAACCTTTCAGAGTCCTAAGGATTGGATTGTCTGGCTCTGTAAAGCAAATATGCGACGGCGATATCTGCGCATAAGCAGGGACGATACTGTTAGCTTGTTCAATTATTGGCCATATATCCTGAATGAACCGAGATTTTTCAATAGTGGTGTGAGGATATGCAGGATCTCTTGGTTGTATCAGTAGGCCGGCTTCGAATCTTTGAAAACCGAACATGAGGGCAGCTGAAATATTGGGATGCTTGCATATACTGCTTTCAAAACCAATAGGATTGACTTTTTCGCCATTGAGAAAGACTATGATATCGTCTAATCGAGATGCATGAGTCCAAACATCCGGCAATTCTGGATGAGGTGTGAATAAGTCTTTCGTACGGTACACATACAAATTTGGATATACGGTGAAAACGGTTTGGAATGGCTCAAATTCAGGGGAGCGTTCCCATATAAGCTCGAAGACGCCTTGAGGCAATGGGTCAAATTTAGCACCGACAGAAGGGTGGATTTGGAGATAGTTCCAATCCCTTACAAAGTCATAACCGTGCCGATACATTGTAGGTATAGGCCCACATTCGGATGAGCCTATCTGGGTCGTTAATTTGATCTTCGACGCAATGACATCGCCGAACACCTTTGGCAGACTTCCACCGGAATAGACCACCATCTTCAATTTTTTTGAAATCTCATTGAGCAGAGTGGTATCCTTGGATATTTCTTCGAGTGTCAAAGGAGCCACCGCTGCCCAATCTGCTTGTCTGTACTGAAGCATCTCCTGAAGCAGCTCCCCGTTGGGAGGAACGCCTGGAATAGGTAGTATAACGGTGGTGTTGTTGAAAAAAGCATTCAGTACTCCGAAATATATTCCTGCATTCTTGGGATCCAAGTCAGATTTCCTCCTGGAATTTACATTTCGTGGTCAACTTACATGCCCCAAAGGAAGAAGGAGGATACATCGATTATTCCCCGTGATATCGCTTAACATTTCATGACCAGCGGGGGCCTCTAACCCCATGTTCTGAATCATGCGTGACATGTACTCATGAGAAATACGCACCGCCTTGGGGAATCCTATTCAAGGTTTGATTAGAAGCGCAGAAAAGAGTATCTTTTTGTTCTCTTACCCGTTGACCCAGACGTATGAACGGTAAATGCGGTTTCTGTTCTCATCTCAGCAAGCCGATTGGTGAAAACGTAGTCCGGCTGTTTTTCATGGAGCAGCCTATGCAATGGAAGCAGTTCCACTACTTCCAATGTTGTTTCCGACAGCAATGACAGAACAGGTGCAAAAGTCTGATCTGTTATGAGGAGCACAGAGCAACCGGTATCCTCTAGAAGCTTGAGGTTGGCAGCGACACTGTTTCTTTCAGATATCATAAGCAACTAAACGAGAGCATTAGCAGAATCATAACATTGACGTCCAGAGACAGTAGCATATGCTCACATTGCAGCCCACTTTCATGGCTGCGATCAGGGCTATAGAGCAACGCGGATCGCTGCTAGCAAGGTAAGCCAGAGGCTCTCGGGTATCCCTTCTACCAATCTTTTTCTCAATTTGATGAGCAACTGCGTTCACCGCATTGGCAAATTGCCTGTACGTCAGCTCATCGTACCCATCGTTAAGACTGGTTTTCGACTTGGGATACTCCCCCCAGAGACTGTTGGGTTCATCTCGGGCTAGTTGATCCACGATAGTAGGTAGGAGGCTATGCTTAGCCGCGGCAGTTCTGCTATTAGGCATGATGACGATAAAATGATGAAATGAAGAGTACTCGTAATGTATGTTTTGTTCTTGTGAATGGGAAGGAGGAGAAAGCAAACATCGAGCACGCGGGAATAAGAGCAAGGAGACATATAAGACACGTAATTTCCATGGTTACACAGCGCTGGGATATTCGCCGGAATTGCCTGGGTAAGGATGCATCGACGAGTCTCATGCATTGCATATTGTACACCCTCCGATGTTTTCATTAATGGCTTTCATGCAGTTGGCAAGTCGAGAAATTGCATGGTTTCCTGGGAAAGTTGTTCTTGTGCTTCCCAAGCAGTCAGCTTCCTTCAATCAGCTGGTGCTCCTCCTTCTCTTACCGTAAATTACCGTAAATTTCTTCCTGATAGTGATTTAAACATACGTATTCAAAATTCGAAAAATCAATTGATCTTTTCCTTAATCATGTCGGCTCATGATTTAAACACTTTTGCTGCCACCACTTCCTACTACGACATCGAAAAGTGATATGTAGCCAAACCCGGAGACAGAAAATATAGTCACAAATCTGGAGCTACAATGTCAAGCTCAGAAGTGCTAGATGTCAACAGAGGCCCGGTGGTTATGGCAATCCTATGGACTGAAAGTGCAGTTGCGGTCATCTTTGTCTCTACGAGATTTTATGCAAGGACTATGATCAAAAGGATCAGTTGGGACGACTGGCTTATGCTAGTTACCCTGGTGAGTATTGCTCCCAAGAGTATGACTCGTTGAAACGATAGTGATTTACATTGCATCTCGATTGACAGGGATTACTCATTATCTGTGCAGCTCTAGCTACAGCCCAGTCCAACGTGGGCGGATATCGACATATACAATTCCTTTCTGAAGATGAAATCATCGATGCTCTCGAGATAAATTTCTTCCTTCGAGCCGCCAATATCTTGTCCTTCGCGACTGGGAAGGCTGCTGTGGGTAGTCTCATCCTCCGCCTCATGGGCCGCTCCAATCAGTGGCAGAGATGGGTAGTATGGATGGTCATGGTCCTGACCGCAATTATCAATATACTGAATTGCATATTCAATTTTGTCCAGTGCCGCCCGATCAAGGCGAACTGGAACCCAGATGTGCCGCATAGCTGCTGGCCCCCGCGGACACAGCTAGATTTTGCATATTTCATGTCAAGTGCGTCCAATAGTCTGTTTCACCGACATTTTTATCCAGTATTTGTTTGCTAATCTTGGTGCATCATCGCCCATGACTATAGGCGAAAACATCATGGCGGATGTGATTTTGTCAATACTCCCAGCAACTATCTTTTGGAACCTCAACGTCACCACCCAAAGAAGAATTTATTTGTCCGTTGTACTAAGCCTAGGCTCCATGTAAGCCGTCGTTTGCTCTTTTGTTGCTCTCTTTTCCTGACTGACTTCTTCTTATGCAAAATATAGGGCTGCTATTTGCGGCATTGTCAAGACAATAGAGCTCAATTCTCTTAGTGACGATGACTTCACTTGTAAGTGCCCGACTTCCGTAAATTGCTCGATTCATCCGTTCTTTTCTCCTCTGACTCATGTTGGATGATCAAGGGGGCGAATATGGTTTAACTCTATGGAGCATATCGGAAACCTTTGTCATTATATTCACCGGCTGTTTACCGACATTGAAACCCCTCTGGGACTCTATCTCGTACAAACAGTCCTCAAACGCAGATTCGGGTACTGACCATTCACGGCACTTGAAAGACTCTTATTTTGCTCAGCGACAAGGTTACCAGATGTTTTCCATGGCATCTCCAACAAAAGATGGCTCGCTTTTCCGCGATAATATGCTCGGCGAGGGGTGTCCGGGAGAGATTAGGGCGACAACTCAGATTGATGTTAGCTCACAATCTGTATCATCGGTGCTTAATTGTCATGAAACTCTCTTTGAATCTTGTTGCACTAGTCATGACGCGAAACGAACCGACAAAGAACCCATCATTTCATAAGAGAGCTTGTTGTAATCGAGAGAATTAACTTCCTGACGCCTCCCTTGTAAGCTCCACGAATTGATGCATGCATTTCCGTCAGAGGTCTAGTTTACACTAGAAATTGGCTTAGTTTAGCATCTGTACGGCTTGTCAATTATTATATGACCCATTTTCTAGGTACATACTTTCGAGCTAAACTGTCACCAAAGTAACCCCCACAAGTGCGGTTCTCTCCCAAAACCAATTGATAACACACAACTTGCAGGAATTCTAAACCAACACTGACAAATCCCCGGCTATCATCATCAATGCGAGAGGCCCGCTCCACTACATGAAACCACGAAATACATCGGCACAAACGCATTGTGTAACTCAGCAGTCAAAGATGAAATAGCGTGTCTAGGACACTATAGCTTACCTGAGACGGTAGACAGATCATTCTCCAGCAACTGTATTATATCCCGAACAGCGAATTGGCCTTGCTCAATGGCACCATCAATAAAACCTCGCCATCCAGCTGCCCAGTCAGCACTAGCGAAGATTATACGTCCATGAGGTTTTTGCAGCGCCTTCAGATACTTTGAAGTGGAGTTAGGTCCCCAACAGGCCCATACACCTTTGGCGTATGGATCATTCATCCAGTCATGGGTAGCATAGGCCTCGACATTGTGATTAGGATTTATGTCCTGCTTGAAAGCTTTCAAGATACTCCTGCTATCCTTCTTATCGGTGAGACATCCATTGTAACCAAAGCCGATACACCATGTGCCGGACGGACCTGAAGGCTGGGTTCCATTATGGTCGGAAAAGGCAAAGACAAAATCCGATCCATTATAGCCGTTTGAGGTCCAGAACCAACCTGGCAGGGTTTCTCGTAGCTTGAAATGGATCTTGGCCCCCCTGTTAATGTGCCCTTCTGCGATTGCTGCCTGGCGCATAGGGGAAAGTGGAGGGCTGAATTGAACGTCATTCAGGCAGTTACTATAAACAGTTGTCAGTTCTTATCCCTCTTTCTCTAAGCAACAGACTGACAGTGGAATAGTCGATATAACAAGCTTAGCTCTTAAAATTTGGCCGTGGCTTGTATTGATCTCCACGCCACCATCTCCCTGGTAGATTCCATTGATTGGGGTGTTGAATAAGGAGTCTCCGTTAAATTCGTTCCAGATGGCTCGGGCAAACGAAGTAATTCCTCCATTTCCAAGCTTAAATTTACCAGCAAGCTCAAAGACCCCTACCATGCTATGTCCTCCCAATGTGAACCAACGTAGTGCTTCAACAAAGCCGATGTCTTTTCCTGGAGCGCTGCCAAATGTGTTGAGATTTGATTCGAACAGCTCCTTTTCCCAATGAGGGATATCGTGTAGCTGGTTTAGCCGATCCTTCACACTTAGATAATCGTATGCCTGCCAAGGAGATGGTTGCCGCAACGGATCATGGGGGTAAGGCATAAGTGATCTGCTTTCCAACCCATCGATAGAGAAAAATCGTTGTGCCACACTCTCTAACACTGCCACGTACTTTTCGGCCGGCACCACCTCTAGTTGTCCTGGACCAGGCCTGAAATATTGCATTTCAGCTGCGGACGTACCAGCAGACGTCTTGAGGTTGCGATGTAGGCCGTATCGGTGGAGCTCAGCATAAAGATGTGGCTGGTTCCAGTGAACCCAGGTGCCTCCCATCTCGATCTCCTCGCCCTGCACTTTTGCTGTCCAGGTACGGCCGCCAATTCGATCCCGGGCGTCCACCAGTAGGACCCTAAGCCCATGTTTTTGGGTTAGATCTCGAGCAGCGATGAGGCCCGAAAATCCGGCACCAACAACAATAACATCATAGTAATCTTGAATACTACGAGATCCCTGCTGTACCGCGTCGCTAAGCAGACCCTCAGTTTCCTGGGTTGGTGTCCATAAGAATCCTTCTTTAGAACGTGACATATTGGAGAGTTCTCTATGACAGAATTAATTTGAAGAACATCTCACTTAAGGAAAACTAGAATCTCCAGAGCATATTATATAGGTAATTAAAAGTACTGTGGCAAACATTTTCACCTTTTGCCTTGGTGTACTAATTACCGGCTTTGGAGCCTGTCGACGCACTTTTTCGCCAATTTAGTAATCGCGAGAGACAGCAATTCCAGCCCCGAGAATATCTTGATGCGACGAAACGCAGCGATCATCCTAAAGCCTAATCGCCGAGTTTTTACCAAGATGCAATAAGATACGTTCTAGCGGTGTATTTCTTTTAGCATTCATGACACGATATTTACATTTTTTGTCTCTATTTAACGCCTTTAGAGCTTTTTAAAAGAGGTCCTCTTTGGCATGGTAACTTATCGCACCAGACATTGGCTTGAGACACGTTCTATCCCCGACTCCTAGCTGTTTTGGCTACCTCAGTCCTCTCTACAACCTTCCACATTTACAAGCTATACCATAGCTGTTGGATCATGAGGTAATGGTACTTCTTCGAGAGAAGAAGAAAGTATCGCCTTGCTTTACTGTGGTGCGCTGGCTAGTCTTATCCCAAATGTTGATTTCACCTATATGGCACGCTCACGTAAGCAAGTGAAGAGATCGAACGAATTATAGGGAGAAAGAAGGACGGTTACCTTCAACAAAAACTCCAACTTCATCGTACTCATATCTTGGAGGTGTTGCTTCTGGTACGCTCTCAATACGAAACCATGATCCCACAATGGGATTCACAATCCTGTCACTTTCGGTCCCCAAGAAATCCTTTGTGTCATTTTTCAATTGGCTGCAAATGCACGTACTGACCGGAAATTACATTGGGTATTCCGCCAAATGTGGCGACTCTGTAGAGCTCTGTCTTTCGCTTTACTTGAAGTACCATTTTGCATATGGAGAAGATCTCGAAATTGAAAAATGTCGGATGCTCTAAGTGCTGAGATGCGTACTTCAGGAAATGAACTGAGAAGGAGCTATCTATCTCTTGTAGGCCATTGAAATCATAAAACACGATGTTGCATAATATCATAGCTAGATGATCGCTGGCGCTGGCGGCCAATCGTGTCTCTTTGCGTCGCCGCACTTTTTTGCCGTTTTCGGACGAGTTAGGGCTATTGACGGCAGTGTCCATGCAACTAACGTTCATGAACGGTCCCACTTCAATGAATACGAAAATAACAAAAAGGCGCTATATTGTTGAAAGTACTATGTAAATAAGAAAGGTCGAGTAATCTATTGAGATAACATCGTGTAGAAATTTATCATCTAGTTCTTCACTCTTAGCCCAAGATAGTCTCAAGCCTCTCATCAGCCATGACATCTGGCCAGAGAACAAGGGTGGCTGATAAGGATCCCAATAGTGAACTACTTGCAGCTGACTTGAGATCAGCTTGAGCCCACACCTTTTCTAGTATCTCCAGACCACGGATTATCGCTGCGACCCCGACATACTGATGGACTGCCGTTATCCGCTCCCTAACAAAGTCTCTCCAATAGGATATAACATTGTCCTGGTTATTGAGTGCAAGTATTTCTGCCGCGATAATATCTCGAGATGGTAGACTGAGGATGACTTCTGGAACGCAATGCGCGGTCTGTTGCAACGTACTACCGGCAATGATCAAGGGAAGAGTAAGTAAACAATTGACGCCTGAAGTACGTGGAATCGCCGCAATGAGTGTCAAGATACTGTATGACATAGCAAGCATACTCAAAAGAGTATTGTTGCGCGTGTCATGTTGTACCATCTTGTCGGAAGCAATTTCGAGGAGTTCCGGAAAGCTTTGGTAGAGTTGTAACAACACAGCCAGTCGATAGATCTGAGCAATACGTATGAGATGGCTGACAGGTGTCCTGGGGTCGTCTGTGTCGCCTATTTGACTATGGTCAGGTGGTCGGTATTCATGAACTTGCTTCTCAAGTTCATAGGCTCGTTGCATCAATCCGGAGTCAAGGGACTCTTTAATTCCGGTAGTAGCTGTTTCCAATGTCAATCTTTGTACCATTGATCTTTGTCTTCCTAGAGTTCCAACGTTGGACATATAAACAAATAGCGGAGTGCAAATCCCTGTCCATGGATTTGGTTGGTATGTAATTGTATGATCAGGTTTGCTGAAGCAATCCATGTAGGCTATCATGTCCATCGGTTGATTTGAAACAAAACTCGCCACGTCTTCCCAGTATGCCATAATCCCACTTATGAAGCTTTTCGTTCTTGAAGAGCAGTGATTCACAGAGAGTGCTATATTCTGCTCATCGATTGATAGCCATCTTTTGAGTAGGACTCGCGCTCCATGTAAATGAGTGATGCCTAGTGATGATGGGTTGTGCCATCCCTTGAGAGTATTTATTAGACAAAAACTGAACACATGAGTGAATATATTAGACACTTACATCGGTCATACCGAGAATAATAGTAGCAAGCAAAACCTGTTCCGTACTACCATCTTTGGGCTCCCCGATATCCCTTAGCCGCTTGATCTCGTCACCCAGAGCAGAAATGGCCTTGATTTTATGTCTGAGGAGAAGTATAGAGTTGTCCACCTTTTTAGACGCGAGATGAGCTGCCGACATTGATAAGATGGAGTGGTAAATAAAAGGGTAAAAGCTCATCAGGTCTTTAATTTCAGTACGGAAAAAGTTCTGTGCAGAGTCAAAGCACGAATTGATGGGACACACGGTAGAGAAATAGTATCTGATTATTTCTGTATCATCGTCCTCGAGAGGCTCAGGCATAAATGATCGGAAATCGAGCCATACTACTGAAGTATCACTCATTTGTGTTGGTTCGTTGTCAATTTGATCTTGTCGATATTCATGATTCGCGACTAGGTCTGACCGGTCCCACAACAGGATTTCTTCGCCTGGAATCTTTTCTACATGCAGGGTACCATGAGAAGAGCTGGCACTCGGATCTTCAGTGTCCCCCGAAGCGATTGTGCTCAATTGAGGAGTGGATATACTTCGCGATCCTATGGCCTGCGAGGGAAAGGCTTCCCACGACGTTATGAAACTCGCCGATGCTCTTCCAAGAGACTGAGACCCCGTGCTTGAATCTCTCATGTGTGTTTGAGTACATCCTAATTCGTATTTGGATGACCACTTCAAAGGACGCTTGTACCCTGGACATTCGAAATCCTTACGTCTGCACTGATTGCAATGAGGAAGAGTTTCGTCGCATTTGATTTTCTTCGCAATACGGTTTTGAGCTTATAAATTCTTGGAAATTTCTATTGAGAGAACGAGAGAGGAGTTTCACTTACCCTTTGTTTGCACCGAGAACAGCCAGCTATTATCGTAAGTCGCAGTATCTAAATGACGAAGACGAAAGTAAAAAAAGAATACTTACTACGAGTTTTGAGCCGACTCAAAGGCTTTGGTATCCGTGGCGTCATATTTTCAACTTGTCCAAACGGACATTTTTGAAGAAATTTATTTTGATGATCGAAATAGTGAACAAGCACTTCAAACACGTACGTAGATTCAAGGTTATCCTATCGAAATGCGGAGAAAGCGGAGACAGGTTCACTACATTTGTATTGGCCAGAGATATATAGAAATTCACAGAGTGGACTCTGCTTATCTTTAGGCCCGTACTAGATGGCCCAAATTGAAACTACGTATGTCTTACCATAGTGCTCAATGAGCTACAATATATAGGTAATTTTCTGCAATGGGGCACTACGTAGTGAGGAAATAGGAGACATAACGCAATACAATTGCCGTCGACATCTCATCAAAACTAACAACTCTCACATCCAATCACCACTAAAAATCCTATCTATGCCGTAGGTCGAAGAACGATATTAGGACCATCGTACTGTTTCATACCTTTCCAAGCCCAGTAGATGCAACTGGCAATTAACACAGCGCCGAAAACCAAAGAAGAATAGTTCATGTTCAATGCAGTAACCGGCTGATTCGCTGGAAACACCATGAAGATGCTAGTATAGATCAGATAAACCATGGAGATAGCATTGATCGCCACCCCATAGCGCCCTAACTTCCATGGTCCATATGTGAGAGTCTTTTTTTCCGACGAAAGTCGCCGCCAAAACATTAGGGCAACCGGAACTGCGTATGAAATCTGTATTCCAAGCACGGAAAGAGATAAAATAGCATTGAATGCTGCTGTAGACCCAATATTGATAAATCCGAGTAATATAAGAATCGCACTGGTTACAAGGATTGAGCGTTGGGGTAGTTGTGTTCGCGTGTTCACTTCGGAAAGATACTCGTGGAACGGAATTGCTAAAGAGGTGGGTGTAAGTGATTTACATGATCGCTAGACATAAGTATAAGAAGACATACCCCTGTCACGCGCTAATGACCACACCATCCGAGATGAGGATGGAAACAATGCAACAGTAGCCAAGAGTGCCATGAGGATAAACGTGCAAGTCATGGCAGTACTAGCTGCATTGGATCCTGTTATATATCGCAGAATCTCAATGATAGGGTATCCAGTATTAGTAGCGAGTGCTGCGTCTATGTCGCCCATGCAGAAGAGAATTGCTAGCACAAAGGCAAAACCCAGAGTACCGTTGATGGCGACTGAACTCAACATACAGTATGGCACCGCAACTTCGGGATTAGGCATTTCTTCGGCGAGGTGAATGGCTCCGTCAAAACCTAGATTAAATAATTTCTAGCCATACGTCTTGATGGTGCAGTTAGGATTTTTCCGACTGAGCTTACCTGTTAGAACATAGCAGCTTGACAGCATACCAATGGACCACGCGACTCCATCGCTTGACCATCCCGAATTATTTTCATAAAGTGTAAACACGAAGCTTGCTGAGTTTTTCGTTGGCGTTACCACCAAAATAACAACGAAGTTCACGAGAAATGCAGCTAGGTGGATGAAGAGCGATAATCCTTCCACCACAGCGAGGAGCCGGCTACCCCATATGTTGATAATCGTGCTCAACCCAACAAGGGCCCAGTATAAGAGTGTGCCGTGCCAGCGCTGAGGGTCATATGACGGTAAATTCAAGATCAGTAAACCCTGGATCATCGTCGCTGCCAGAAAGGGAGCACTGCCAGTGAAGGCTATCCAGCCAAAAGTACCTACGCCAGATATAAATTAACAAAAGCTTCAGTCTTGCATGGCTAGTTCTTACCTATCCATCCGACAAGCCAGCTGAGGAAATTTCGGCATCGCTCGGGGGCCAATTTGGCTGTGAAGTGATACTGGCCACCTGCTGTAGGGTACCTGTGATATATCAGCAGCTATTCGTATGGATTGTGACGATACTCTCATACATCGATGTCATTTCCCCCAAGGATGCTGCGGTAGCCATGGCGCCAATTATAGCCACTAATCAGCGTAGTCAGTAAATGAGCTCCTCGAACAGTGAGCAAGATGCTATTCTTCACTGACGAATACACCCGTAAACCAAGGACACTGGCCCACCACTGGTCAGCGCTGTTGCCATCGTACTATATAAGACACTCATCAGCTTTCTCTATCATAGTGAAAGTGACGACGACGATCCGCCAGGCGTACCTTGAAAATGCCTCCCATGTGGCCATAAGAACAATAGTCATGGAGAGAATCGTGAAACGTGAAAAGCCTTTCTGTGCACTCGATATGAGCTAGAGTTATAGCGATACCATCATGATGCCTAAATTACCTTCACCTCCTGAACTTCTCCCAAGTTATGACTTCTGGTAGCTGTAATTTGCTCTGATATGGCATCAGGGCCGAGCTCAAGCTTACTTGCATTGCGTTTCATTGTGGGCAGATACTTCAACGATAGGATCATAAATAGAAATTTGAGAATGAGTAGACCCTAGAGGACTATGATAGTCCAATATGTAATGTTATTTGAGTGTAAGACAGATCGACAAATACGCTGGCCATTTTGCCAAGTATATATTCCATCTTGCGGGGTACGGTGAAGCAAACAACGGGCAAATACTCTATCTAGAAATGCACCTAGGCTACGATATCATAAATCAACAACTTAAAAGTCAACAGCTTCGGTTCGACAATTCTGAACTCTCCTTCTCCCACCCAGAACAGATTGCAGGGTGCGGACCAATCGGGGTCTGTCTAATTAACTAGCCTTGACTCACTGTAGTTAGTCATTTAGCAAACAGCGGAATGCCATCTCGGAAGGAATCAACCTTTCCGAGGGTTAGCTTCGGAAATGCTACGGGACTGAGAATGAATTCCTATCATAAGAATTAGCATGGCTATGTGATACTTTGATGGGGTTGAACTCGTCCATAGAACGGAATGGCATTCCGTCTGGCTAAGGTATCGTAGAACACTTACTTGGCTTTATTCGATATAGGGGTTTTCGTGTTTATCGCATATCTCTGCGCCTCGGGCCTATCTGAGGATGATAAGCATCGCCCGTTATGCTAGAAACCTAGAAACATGTTGACCCCATTGAGCTTGATAGGTCTCTGGCCGAAGCATTCCTAGGTAGCGCCTACGAGGATCAATATACGTTAGCGGTAAAAGAGAGCTAGTGTTAGCCAACCTGGCACACTTCATTCTGCGGCTTGGGAGAACAAAACCTTTCGACTGCACAATGTCATGTTAGAAATAACTTTAATGATAACCATGGAAGAACGCGGGGTAGAAACTCTCAGGTCATTCATTGCTGAAGAGCGGAACAGATCCGAATTGTTTTAAGAAAAATAGCCAAGCAAGAAACTTATTTTTTTTTAATAAAAATAAAAGGTTAAATTTTTAGTCTTCGCTAGACAGTATAATACAGAGAGCAAAGCTGTCTTTGTTGTTCGTGCATCTAAAAACATTGCAGTTAGTATTCAATTGGAATTGGAGGCTCGAGGAGACAGCATGGGACTAAACATCTCAATATTCGATATTAAGCAGTATCTTACACACCTAGGCATAAAGCTCGTTGTATTGCGCGGCCAGTCCAGGAACTAGAAAACCCGATCCTCAACATCATGTTTCGTTTCCCACGCCTCATGTGAGGTGTTACTAGTCCATGCCTTGTTATTCTCGGTGTCATTCCCAGTCGATGCCGTGGTAATTTGCACCTCAGTTGTCCGTATGATGCCGTCACCACGGCTGTTACTTCGGACAGGAAGAATCCTTTCCTCACTGCTGTTATCATTGTGTATGCCCGAGATCGTCGTGGCGGGGKGCTTGACATGACTGATCTTGTTGGATATGGCGTTGTTGTCATCATGGGCGTGACCAGATCGAAGCACTCCTCCAGAGCTAGCTTTACTTTTGTTTACGCTGCGGGAGAGTGAGCGCAATTTGGTTCCCTGGTCATATTTGTTGTAATCATAGAGGCGACTGCGAGAGCCAGAGCTGTAGCTATGGAGAAGTCTTTTGAACAAGGGCTTGAGGCAGGGTAGGCTTCCAGCAATAATCCCAATATTGCATTCGGTGCTACGACACAAATGTTAGATGAAGTCTGAAGGCAAGGATAAAATGATGCGTGTCCATACGTGATCCAAATCGTTAGGTCTGTCGAATCCCAAAGGAAATCTCCCGTCTTTCCGTAGTTTGGAAGGAATGAAAGTTTGACGAATGCTGCAGCGCATGCACTATAGATGAAAGCTGGTATCAGCCAATCATGGTCTTTACTGAGGTAATGAGGCAAGAAACTTACAAGACGCCGAGTCCGAGAATGCAGACTAGAGATGCTTTGGTTCGCGCGTTGACTTGTAGTTTCCTGTTTCGTATCCTTGTTAATGCGAGACCGTCCTTTCTTTTCATCCCAGAGTTTATAGCAACTTGATTGTGAACGTACCGAAGCATGATAGCCGGTAAAAAGGCGAAAATCAAATCCGTAAGGATGTTAAGAGCTTCATGAGGGCCTGTCAGCTTTAGGACCAATATTCTGTTCTTCAAGCACGCTGACCTGTGTTGGTGTAGCTGAGCTCAATAAGTTGCTTTGGTGTAAAACATTTAGATTTCACATTGCTATCCCAGATCGATGCAATGTCTTTACATTGGAAGATAAGTGTCTATCGTACTCATCAGTTCGGTCATTAAGCGAGATCATGCGGAGGTATATTTTCCGTACGAAGAAGCATATCGTAGTGTAGATCGCCATCATGCCTGAAATCAAGGTACATCAGTTAGTATATTACATTGTCAGAGAGCACCCTTCGGCTTTGCACAATTCTTACCTATTATGGTCCAAATAAACATCTTATACCCTTTGTTCGGCGCAAAGCGAATCAGGAAGAGCCCAATTGAGATCTTCACGAAGCCAATAGCCCATAAATAGATTGCCTGGGTGACAAAGTTCAAGTGCAGGCCTGTGGTAGCAACTTCCGGATCGAGATAGGCTAGATGTCGTCCCGCGCCATGGGCTACTTCTGGAATGATGATCGCCCATCCGCTTACAGACTGTCACTGTCAGTCATTTTAAATAGTGAGAGTATCTATAACGAATGTAAGGGTGAGAAACGTACCAGTGCCATTGTTAATGTCATAAAATAGTCCTTGTATTTTCAGAGTCAGCGGACCTGCTGAAAAATGGCAGTAATGAAAAAAAATTGAAAGTGGCTGTAGAAGGAAAAAAAGGCATAGCAGGCGTCTTGGTTGACACATCTATCGGCCCCGGAAACCGATCGCTCCCAGAAAGTGCTCTCCTTGTTTTGTCTTTTGTTGTTTTCGTTCTAATTCCATTTCTGTTTGAAAAGAAAGTGATAGGAAGAATAATACCCACATCGAGACCAACATTTCTGACAATGAAGCATCGAACGTATAGACGGGCCAGGACCACTGCTAGTGCAGCACCGGTAGTAACGGAGACTGCAGCAAGAATATTCGGACCGCGATTGTCGTCTGGCAGTCCAGCTCCTCCCAAATGGGCGGCGGTTGACATTATGCTATCCTGATGTCGACGGCTTCGTTCTGTTTTGTCATGTGGAGGAGCAGAAGGCGGGAGGTGAAAATGGCTCAAATAGTTTATAACGTCAAGTTCTAGTGAGAGATATAATGTTAGAAGAGCTACACCAATGCAAGTCTAGGAGACCTCCATTAACTTGAGTTGCTAATTCTGTTGTACCACGGCAATTGCACAATAGCTTAGCCATTGGAACGACAAGGGGGCTTGGACATGGATGGCTTACTCTTGAATTTTGAGTTGTAGATGCAAGATCACCGCGTACCTGACTGATGGCGCTCTGGAACAAGACAAAATTGACTAAGTTGGGGCTAATGCATGATAGTGTACTCCGTACATCGTGGTGGCTACCATTGACCAGAGATATTCCAGTAGTAAACTAGGAGATGACTGTGATACGACTATAGTGTGCTGAAACGCGGCCTACCAGGATACCAACATCACGGAAGGATTAGGAGTAGAAGACCAATCATCAACATGAGGTTTTCCTTTCGTTGCCTTTCAAACTTCGGGCATTGCCTGAACTCGACAGCAAAAACTTAGCGAACTCAATTGCTCCAATAGGATTTACTGGCCACGCCATCTGAATCCGGAGGTCTGTGTGACTTGACCATGGGCAGTTCTGGAACTTGAAGAACCTTGTAAAGTGTACATTAGGCTTAACTTTGTCCCAAACCGCATTCATTTATCAGAGGCAGACGGAGGACAGGGTACGGAGGACAGCTCCGGAATATCGAGCTACAAAAGTTTTTTCGTCGGTGTAACGTCGGGTAATAGCCTAAGACGTACAAAAGTACAGTTCACATCCCGGAGAAAACATTATCAATTGATATAGTGCATAAATTATAGCACTCCATGAATTATAACAATGTGTATTTGATATTTCGACATACTATGACAAGGTATGTTATTAGATCATATCATTGTCAGCATGGTGAAGTGAAAAAGGGCGTGGAAATAATCACACMCACTACTCCATGAGTCCATATAAACATACTGGGATATGGAGTACATGCGGAGTCTGCGGCGATTCCTCCGAGGCTAGCGATGGTACCGGCGCTACTTTAGTCGAATACAAATACGAATTCCTAGTGAAGCTAACAAACGTTATTCAGAGGCCCTAGACCCTTACTCCACAAGCGGCTGATGGTATGGCATCTTACCTTGATATTTCAATTGCAGTGATTTGTATATCTACTTGATATTTCTTGCATGTGCTAGTACCTGCACAATGTTCCTAGTAAATAGGGGCGTATAAAAACTGCATGTTCCATAATTGAGCCAACAATGAGCCACTTCCGTACTAATGTATGGGGCAAAGGGTTTCGGGATCTCCCAGATCAAGCGGGCCATGGGGAAGAGGCCGGATAACGGAAATGGGGTTGTAGTAATACCTCCAATAAGGGGCCCATAATTACTACGTATCTTGTGCCTATGCTTCCACATTCCGGTAGATTGTACACCCTCGAGAAGTTAGTCTATTGACTCTATTACAGTATTCAACCTGTGGGAGTCATAGCACTACAACAATCTGCACCGGTAATTACACTGTAAGTAGATTTACCAACCAACCAACCAAGTAATCCACCTATAAAAGACCTCTTCAGTGCCGCTTCTTGAAGCCGTCTCAAGTCTAATACTTCAACCGGCCTAAGTCAAGTAATAGTATAAACCTAGCTTATGAATATTCCCGGAAAAATGGCTAGTTTAGGAAATACTTTGCAACCGGCCGAATAATATAATCCTAACATGTTTTTACTTGCTAAAAGCCTAAGACCGAAGATCCCTGATCCCCGTATTGATTGACTCCACACTATATGGGACGTTCGGTGCCATGTTGATTGCACCACATGCTGGCAAGGTAGCAATGAAAAATTTCCTGGCCTATGGTTGAATGCATGCTTGTGTGGCACAGCGGCTAAGAGTTGACTGAGCGAATACAATTGCTCCTGTGTGTTGGCCTTAATGCAGCCACAATAATAGTCATAGCTACTAAGGAACTCTTTATGGAATAGTTTTCTAATTGACAACGTGGGCTGTACAATGTGCAAGCGTGTAGTCTGATATTAATCAATTGTCTAGACCGTTTTGTGTGCACAGTATAGACCACTCGGTCTCGGTGTACACTGTTTCTAGTAAGGGCTCGCTAGAAAAAAGTCCCCATCCTACTTGGCTTTTGATCGTGGCATTAACTAGCCGCCTGTTTTTATTTCTGTTTTGTTGTCTCGGCCCATCTTCCGATAACCCTACATAGTCTTAGGTGATTGCCGGTACTTGTATAAGAAGGGGAGGAAGACGAGATTTTTCTTTCTTGGGCCTCTGATTCCAAGACTTTGAATCGTTTGTTCCTGTGAAGGCGTAATAATTAGGGTTCCATCTTTCCATAGATCGCGATGCGTTATACCACTCTGGCTACCGGAGCGCTGGCTCTTATATCTAGCACTACGGTCCTAGCGCAGACAGCTTCAACGACTCTGCCTACGGCGGCATCAACTTCAACATCCCAGGCTGCTTCGCAATTGGACACTTTGAGCCAATATGCCTATAACGTCTCTACAGACGGTGTTGACAACAGCACCACCAACAAACGTAGCGGCTGCAGCTTGAGCAATCTGAAAATCCGTCGGGAGTGGTATGTTCTTTCCTTCTTCATCGTCTGCTGATTAGGCCACTTCTTTCTCCTCTGTGCCTCAATCTCTTTTTCTCTTTTCTCCTAACGATTACCAGGTCCACATTCAGCACGAAACAGAAGAAAGCATATATCAATGCAGTGCTCTGTCTCCAGAGCAAGCCTTCTAAGACTCCTTCTGACCTGGTCCCGGGAGCGAAAACACGATACGATGACTTTGTGGCTACACATATCAACCAGACACTCGAGATCCACTATACTGGAACGTTCCTCGCATGGCATCGTTACTTCACCTGGGAATTTGAGCAGACCCTGATCAACGAGTGCGGCTACACCGGCACTATTCCGTGAGTTTCTGACTTTCATGATAATAAATCATCAGTGCGCTGACAGGTCCCAGGTACTGGAACTGGCCTGCTGCCGCCAACTCTCTGGAGACTTACCCAGTCTTCGATGGAAGCGACACGTCTATGTCCGGTAACGGGGTGCCTCGTGGGCCAAATGATACAGACAGCGACATAGTCCTATCACTTGCCGGTTATGCTGATATCTATCTGCCTCTCGGCACCGGAGGCGGTTGTGTAACCAGTGGCCCATTTGTCAATTACACTGTAAATCTGGGCCCAGTGGCTCTTGCATTGCCTGGGGGCGAATCAGCCGCGGCGGCCAATCCTCTCGACTACAACCCTCGCTGCTTGAAGCGTGATCTGACCACCGCCCTCATTCAGCAGTACGCCAATTTCACGTCTGTAGTGAGCCTGATCCTTAACAATGCCGACGTCGCCGACTTCCAGCTTGCCATGCAGGGTGTCCCGGGTAGTGGTGCAATTGGTGTACACGGCGGCGGCCACTACTCGATGGGCGGCGACCCCGGCCGCGATGTGTTTGTGTCGCCCGGTGATCCTGCCTTTTGGCTACACCATGGCATGATTGATCGCGTGTGGTGGATTTGGCAGAATCTTGATCTCGCACAGCGCCAGAATGCCATCTCCGGCACCGGGACGTTTTTAAATTATCCGCCCTCGGCGAATACGACGCTCGACACAGTGATCGATTTGGGATACGCGGCGGGCCAACCGATAGCAATGAGTGAGCTTATGAGCACGACAGCGGGGCCTTTCTGTTACATCTATCTTTGATGAGTTGTGGAATGACACAGCTCTGAGTGCGATATTTAGACGAATTTATAGTCAATATTGTAATCACATTTGCACTGATATCGCCTAGATTTGGGATCACATAGTAAAAAAGGAAATCCAAGGCCGAACTCTGATTTCCATCCACTAAATTAATATGTATACTACTACGGCTTCTCGATGGGATTGGCTGCAGATACTGTAATTACAAATCGACAGGCTCTAATATCCAAATATGGCAGTCGAACCCGAGATCATCCAGATATCTATTCAACGTATTCATCAGATTGTTGTCTCCGCACATCAATGCATGTTGAAAACATTAACTTAACATTGAATAGTTGAAAAATAATCCCGAAGTTATGAAAATGTATATCAGCGAGGTATGTCTAAACATATCACAATATCAGGTTGATAAACTGATGTGCACAGTTATACGTCTACCCCATCAAATCGCTCCAACCCACAAAACTCCAAGAGGCCACTGTCACCCGTCATGGCATCCTCTACGACAGATGCTTTATGCTTCTCAAAGTCGAAACGGCCACTGGAAATGACGATCATAACAGCGGCATCGAAACAGAGAGGACTAAGCCGACTTTGAGAAATATGCATGTCCCACATTTCCCGCAAATGTCACTGTTCTTCACAGATCTCGTTCTACCTGATGACGATGAGCAGCAAGAAAAGAAGATTATTGTCACGTATCAGGAACCACCCGTTTCCGAGAACAAGCCGAGAAGAACATTGGTGGTACCGCTGGAACCAGATGTAGATGGACTCGAAAAAATCCCAGTGACGATGCATCAAAGTCCCATGATGGGCTACGTCATGGGCAAGAAATACAACGACTGGTTCAGTGAATGCTTCGGATTTCAAGTTGTGTTGACGTACACGGGAATGAATCGAAGGAGAGTTTTGGGATCCATGAATCCGAATATTGCTCGCCAGTCTGACCAAAGAGGAGGGTGGCTGTCTACATTGACGAGTTATGTACCTCTTCTTGGAGCCGGTACCACACAAGAACGAGACGAGGAAATTCTCACCTTTGCTGATTGCGCATCGTATATGGTGGTGAATGAAAAGTCAGTCAAAGATGTAGCAAGTCGGTTTCAGGCAGGTGAAGGAAGAGTAGAAGTTACCAGGTTCCGACCTAACGTGGTAGTTGGCGGGGCTGAGAATGCATGGGAAGAGGACTTTTGGTCAGAGTTGAGTGTGGCTACGGACGATGACAGTCAAGACGTACAGCTTATATTGACATCGAACTGTATTCGGTGTCGCTCGTTGGACGTCGACTTTGAGACGGGTGATTTCCACAAGACAGACGATGGGATTATCTACAAGAAACTGAACAAGGACAGACGCGTCGACAAGGGTGCAATATACAAGCCTGTCTTTGGACGCTATGGGTTTTTAAAGGATGATGTGGTGGCTAAAGTACGAGTTGGTGATGCTGTAACTATCTCGAAGAAAGCGGAGGAGCGGACAGTTTTTGGTAAGTCCTTGCTGACATTATTTGTTTACATGACTTGCTGACAATACATAGACTGGCCAGGTTTATGAGACATGAAATAATTCTTTTTGTTGATAATGAACTTCATTGGAGAAATTGTATTGTATGGTAATTTGTAAAGGGTCGAAGTAGACGCGTATAGCATCAAAACACACACAACACTTCCAATCGGATAGTCTCAAATTGTCCCTAAAAGGATGGTGATTTGGGCCCGGGACATATCAGCATCGCCCACTTGACAGCGCTAGGCCGTGGTTGTGAGAGCTGCAACTGCCGACAAAGGCCGTCTCTTCATCTTGGATTTAGTTGTGTTGAAGAAGAGAAGAGGAAAGGAAGAAAGGTTTCGGAGAGCGAAGGAAAACAAGTTCGTGTGCGGGAGTCCCAATCGGGTATAATGGCACGGCAGCTTGGTTTTTCCGGTAATTTTCCCGCGGAAATCAGCCGGCGTTGAATGCCTCAGGCCACAAGGCAGGCACCCGTTGACCGTTATCTCGTGCTCTCCGCGGATAATCGCATGACTTGCCAATGATAAAAGTCCCGATTGCTCGTCTGGCACCGTCTAAATTGTGCTAAACTGTGTTGTCAATCGGTCTGCACTGCGGCAATCGCTTCCATAATACACGATGTCCTTCAATCGTTGCAGCCGCCAGGCCTCGAAGCTGTTGGCGACCAACGGAAGCTCTTTCAGAGCTGCGACTTCGACGCTATATCGTTCACGCAAAGCTACAAGCATTCACCCCTCGGAAGTGACGTCTCAGAAACGATATGTATCTGACGGCCATCATGATAGCCAGCAAAAGGTATGCACTGTTTTCTTGTTGCTGTCGAGCTCACAGCTCAATGCTCTTGGGAACGCTTACTGACTGACGTGATCCCCGCAGTTGCTCTCCACACACCTCGAAGAAGCTGATCCCACGATATTTGCCATCCTACAAAAAGTGCGTGCATTTGAATATGATAATCAGCCATGAGGGATGCTTATGGTACTATAAACAATAGGAAAAACGAAGACAGAAGCATTTCATCAACTTGATTCCATCCGAGAACTTCACCTCCCAGGCCGTTCTTGATGCGCTTGGCAGTGTGATGCAAAGTGAGTTATGGCATGCGGATATCATGTGGCCTCTACTAATGTGTGCCGGTTCATAGACAAATATTCCGAAGGCTACCCCGGAGCTAGATATTATGGCGGCAACGAATTCATCGACGAGGCCGAATCACTATGCCAGAAACGTGCTCTGGAGACTTTTAGATTGGATCCCGAGGAATGGGGCGTCAATGTCCAAGGTTAGCAGATACACATGAGGTGGGCTTGAGGATATCAACTGACTTTTCAAAGCTCTGTCGGGTTCACCCGCAAACTTGTACGCCTACTCGGCTTTACTCAACACCCACGACCGTCTTATGGGACTCGACCTGCCACATGGCGGACATTTGTCTCATGGCTACCAAATCCCGAACAAGAAAATCTCCTTCATTTCCAAATACTTCGAAACTGTCCCTTATCGTCTCGACGAGTCCACCGGTCTGATCAACTACGACCAAGTCGAAGAATTAGCCAATCTATACCGCCCCAAGTTGATCGTTGCAGGCACATCCGCCTACAGCAGATTGATTGACTACGCACGAATGCGCAAAATCACCGAGTCGATTGGCGCATATCTACTTAGTGACATGGCTCATATCTCAGGTCTTGTTGCTGCCGACGTCATCCCCTCTCCCTTCCAATACTCTGATGTAGTCACGACGACAACACACAAGTCACTGCGCGGTCCTCGTGGTGCCATGATCTTCTACCGAAAGGGTGTACGTCGTACGGATAAGAAGGGAAACCAGGAATTGTACGATCTTGAAAATCCCATCAACGCCTCTGTCTTTCCGGGTCACCAGGGCGGTCCTCACAACCACACCATTACAGCTCTTGCGGTTGCTCTGGGACAAGCCCAGACCAAGGAATTCCGCGACTATCAACTCACTGTTCTTGAGAATGCCAAGGCTCTGTCTGACCGACTCGGCAACTCAGTCAACGAAGGCGGTCTAGGATATAACATTGTGTCCGGTGGAACAGACAACCATTTGGTTCTCGTAGACCTCAAGAACCGCGGCGTAGATGGAGCGCGCGTTGAGCGAGTCCTCGAACTCTGCGGCGTCGCCGCTAACAAGAACACCGTGCCCGGTGACAAGTCCGCGCTCAAGCCCGGCGGTCTCCGTATCGGAACGCCCGCCATGACTTCTCGGGGTTTCCAGCCAGAGGACTTCCGACGAGTTGGTGACATTGTCGACCGAGCAGTCACCATCACACAAAAGCTTGACAAAGCAGCAAAGGAGAGCGCAGAAGCCAAGGGACGCAAGAACCCTGGTGTCTTAAAGGCATTCACAGAGTACGTCGGCAACGGAGATGATATTTCAGAAATTGTACAATTGCGACAAGAAGTCGAGGACTGGGTAGGAACATTCAATGTTCCGTGGAAGGATGAATAGATGTTTTGTTGGATACGTATATCAAACTTTATGTTCAATCACTACGGAGTCTGGTTTTGTTAATGGGTGATCGTTGATTTGGAACAATATCAATCCTCTACTTCAATTTATCAAATGTGAAAATGACTATAGCTTAGCATCCCCCTTGAGCACGTCCCGAAGTAACTTCAATCCCTCCTCTGCGAATCCAACCATATTCTTCTCTCTATCCTCGCCATACCCGGTGTCGATTTCCCTAGTATACGATCCACCTGGAGCCGCGACGGCAATGAACACCACTCCTCTTTTCTTTATCAGTAACAGATACCTTATAAATTCCAAGCTCATTGTCTAAAAGTGAAGAACGTACGGCTTCCGACTCGCCTTCCCMCCCCCCGGTCCCGCCGTGCCACTCTCGGAAATGGCATAAGTAGACTTAAGCTTTGTGCGAGTCGACTCTGCCAGTCCTGCCACGATTGCGGTTGTTGGGCCTTTGTAGTTTGCTATGTGCTCGGATGTCCAGTCGGCGAAGGCGAGGCGGGACTCGAGGGTATATAACTTTTACTAATTAATGATCTGGAATTGAAACGTGGATGAGGATGTACGTACTGTTAATCCACCTTTGTAGTAGGCGGATGCACCGGGGACAGAGAGGAGGGACGCTGAGATGATTCCTCCTGCGGCCTGGTATACCATTGGAAGGCATGTGCGTTAGTCTTTTGGATAGGATCTTTTGATCAGAGAGAAGACAGGGGGTATATACCGTCTCAGCTACAGAAACAGTTTCCTTCCTCTCCTTGAGAAGAGAACTGATTTCCTCAAGAAGAGGGCGAAATGATAATGGCGGGAAAGCTGATTCTGTCATGATTCCGTCTTTCGAGATTTTTATTCTATCAATTGACGTTCTTTCCGTAACAATAAAGTAGTTGTATATCTAAAATCGTTTATGCCCGCTCTAGTTGGTCCAATGAATTTATTGTAGGAGCATGGAATTGGAGATGAAGATTTAAAATCAGGTAAGATTTGTAATTCACTCCTACCCTAAATGTGAAATTGTTACCCCGCAAATGGCCTCCGATAGATACATCATTTGCACATCATGGTAGCTGTAAATTTCTAGGGTTAGTCAAATTCTGAGATATCTAATGTTAGGCATTGCCTTAATACATAGCCCAGATATGTACCAGCCCTGGTCCCTTCTTAAGAATTGCTTACCACTTGCATGCCAACCCGGTTTAGCACGAAGGAGGTGAATACGTGAGGCGAAGCAAATACGGGCCATGCCCTCTTTCTATGATGAGCTGTATACATGTTGAGAGCTTGTGTGAGATTTTTCTCTCTCTTCTTTCTTTTCAAGTCATGCGTTCAGGTTTCGAATATGTCAGGAGCGGACACACTAGGCGTGACCAGCCAAAATAGAAGCAAAGGGATCAAATAGCGACTGACTTTGCTGAAGCTACAGCATGGTCTGGCTTTCGTGGTCGACACATGCTCACTGGGCGAAGACAATGTACCGAGAATAGAAGAAGTGACCTCTGTATGTGCAGGCTTGATCAAAGTGGACTGGGTGGTTTTCCACTGCTCTAGGTTATCTTGCGACTGTGTGTGCTACATACTTACTTTTCAAATGAATCTGAGAATGCTGTCACCACAGCTCAAGAGCATGACTTTCGGATACGGCATAATTCCCTGTATAATTATGCAATACGAAATCGGGGACATCATACTCGTGCTGCATTACAAAAGTCAGACAATAGAACCACTCCCCTCCAGAGGATATTTGGCGATGTGGAGATTTACGGACTGGATGAAGCGAACAATAAGCTTCTCAAAGACCAAGCGAGACTCAAATCCCTAACCCATTTAATATTCGATTCATTTCCAAGCTATGAGGAGACTAAAAGGGACAAGATTGGGAGCTGTGGGACTCGAAGCGGCAATCAAAGGTTACTTATGCTAATGCAAGGAGATAATATCGTCGAGCGAAGCAAGGCACGGGACAATGAAGTGAGGAAATATCGAATTAATGGTTAAGAGCAGAAGCACAAATAAGCTTGTTATTTGTGGCAGCACATTTTGGGCTGGAGAAAATAATAGATGCCTTTTCACGAACTGGAGAAAATTATCATGTCAAGAATGTTGAGGGCTGTACACCGTTATGGCATGCAGCAAACTGTGACCATGCCGGAGCAGTGACACGATTGCTCACGGTTGAGATCTGTATCAGGAAACCGCTCATTGCTGCTGCAAGGAATGGTTATTCCGCAATTGCTGAGCCCCTGGTTGACCGCATGATTCGACTTTCCGATCCCTCAAAGATCAAAGGAAGACTTTTTACGACTGCGGTCTAAACACTCAGGTGGATTGTATCAGGACTCTGAGAGGTAAAGGGGCAAACCCGAATTTCAAAGATCGAGAATGGGTTGGACCCTGTTGTCATACGCAGCATGGTATGGCCACAACGAAGCTGTCGACTTCCTGGTGGAAAATGGTGCACTATTCTACGCCGTTGGAAAGTGGTTTAATTTTGAAGCTAGTCATCTAGTTGAGATAATGGTAGTGAATAGCTCAAATCCAGACCTCCAGGATAGGAAGGGATGTGCGCCATTTCTTATGCTGCAGAGCGCTGCAATGACGGGTTCATCAGTATACTACTAGCCAACGGTCAAATTACCGTATCATTATCCTGAGGTACCGATATCGACGAGAACGAATCACGGACAAAATACAATAGAAGTTTTTATATGTCATGGTGCACATGCAAACAGACTATAATCCTAGCTCCTCCCCCTTTTTTCTACGGCAACCCAAAATGACACTCATTGTACTATTGCTATAGGCTCCCTAAACTATAACACTAAAAGACTGCTGAGTAAAGATGAAACATCTCCGGCCGTCGTAGTCGCTTCCTTTTGACCGTTTTTAATATTAACATTCGATATTAAGCAATCTCAAGTCCGTGAGCGCGAGCACTACGAAGCAGAAATTTCCGGAATTGGTAATTTTTCACAGTGATACATATGATAGTCGTACCACTAATATAGTGTACTGTAACTACTAGTACTTACGAAAGAGAAAGTAGCTGTCGGAAGAACCGATGCTGTCGTACGCCGGATGGGATATAGGACGGATCAGCGTCCTGCCCCGTGGACAGCGTAGGTAATACTAGGTATAGATTAATGAAGGCCGATTTTCACTTTAAACCTCATCAGTCTGTTTCATGGTTTGAGCTAGACCAGATCGTCGCCTGTCATTCCGGCAAAAAAAGCTTTCCAATGGCCTCTCCAAGACCAGTGCTTCTCAGCTGATCTGCATCGATACGCCTACCCTGACACCAGCACTTCTTCTTCAAACACTCATTTCTCGGATTATGCGATATCCACTCTGTACAAAACACCACTTCCACTGATTTCATCGAATCCTTCTTTCCCAGGAATTGGCGAAAGGGCGAGCACCGCGCCAAAGTGTTTACCACAAAATCGTCGATTTGTTCAGAATCTTGCACTAGAGTAAGCGCGCATGGATTCCTTGGGCGATACAGCTGCCCATACTTCAAGTTCCCATTCAAATAACGGCCTATCACAGGACGGTCGTTGCCCTGACCCTCTTTACATTTGAAATACACTCGTAGTATCAAGTTTTGCACCTGAGGGAAGTGATCTGCGGCACCGATTAGATGGTTAGCGGTGCCACACAGTCGGCAATGGCACATGCCATGACCTGTGGTCCACCCATGTCCTGTACATCCTCTTCCTGTTCCAACTTCTGAGGATAAATTAAAGCCATCACGAAGGTCATGTTCAATCTCGATCTTGACGCACAGCGATAACGAGCGGATTTCAAGCCCGCGCCTGTTGTTGCGGTTGGCGTTGCTTTTGTTGTAAATTGCTTGTGGTACAGTTCCCAACATACGATGAATGAGAGAATAAAAAAGAAGAATGTCGCAAATGTGGATAGTGGGGGATTCTTTCAAATATTTATCGATGAAAGGTTTTGCTTCAGCGTATATCTGCCTGTTTGTGTATAGCCAGCTAAATGCGGCTTCTGGACCTTTTGGGGGTAGCTTTTTCTTTGCTGACGACGACGACGACGATGATGATGATGATGATGGGAAATGCCCTGGTCTATTCTTGGATGCTGATGGGATTGAGGGCTCTGCTCCATGCAAGCTAGCGCAATGCTCATTGAGGATATGCTTCTTTGTGACCACAACGGATTTAGCCTCATCAACAATTACGAACAGACCTGCAGTAACGCTAGATGGATATAGAAGGATGAGTTCAGACCCGATAGCGAATTCCCAGATCATGTATCGGAGCTCTGCAGGGAGGGAGAGTAGTTGGGATTTTCCTTTTTTCTGGTTTCGCGCCATTTTGTGGTCCTTGAAAGTTCTCGCGCGCATGTTCGTTCATGATTAAAGATGAAACGAAGGTTCAATCGGTGTATAAGACTGATACACTAAGATCACGTGGTAAACAAATTTCCTGAGCGTCGATGCTCTAGGCAACTATACGTCAAGAACCTATCACGGTGCCTCCATAAGCGCTGTCTCAGCAACTACTCCGGTTGGCTATCTCTAACAATGCTTCGTTTAAGTCAGATTTGAGATGAATCGCTTTGCAGACAAAGAACGCCAATAGATAACGCAGATAGAAGTAAGTGTATTACCCCGCTTGTCGTCCTACTGGTCAATACTTTTGAAATTCATGTATCTGTGTACCTAGGCCAGATTCTAAGGCGTTCAACCTACTGCCTCTAGGTTCCCGACCTTTGCCTAATTGTTAGGCTCATCATGACGAGTAGATTCGTTAGATCGGCATTTTATTMAAGCCATAGTCTAGACCTGAATCTACTTCGAATCTAGAGAGACTCGAGCTAGCAATTCGATGCACGGAGTAGGAAACACTAGAATGCCAAAATCAGAGGTTGTGACATCACGGATGAAGCTCATGGTTTCTACTTACATAACTAACATCCGTGTCTTCTGCACTACTAAAGCTCCGCCTCACTTCGAATTGAATCAGACTCCAAGCTTCCAAGTGGCAAGGGGTCGTTTATACTTAGCTATAATTGTAGGTGGTATTAATATACTTACATGGATTGATTAATTTTATCCGGCGCGTGTTATTAGTCAAGCCTGCCCATGTTTATGAAATTCATAACATTCCAATGGAAGAGCTTTTCAAGGGCGAACAGTTGGATATATCCGATAAACCGCTGAACCCTGGACCCCGGCTTCTAGGATAAGTGTACGCGTGTCTGGACTCTGTTTAGCCATCTTGTATTGAGGCTAAAGTCCCTGTCTAGCCGCTGTTGAAGAGTACAGACCTACTTCAGTAAAAAGCTACTTATTAGCAATCCTATGTAAGCAGCACCAAGCACGGGTGGCTAGATGCAACGTATTGATTAGGGCCTGGTCTGTAGTTGAATGTTCTGGAACCTGGTTACGTCCCGGAGCAGTGGTTGACTGCTTATAGTGTGAAGCTAAACACAGACAGTAACTTGTCAGAGGGCGTAAGCTATATGTTGTAATCAATTACGGAAAGGTAAGTGCATGGAGTAAGCCAATAACCACTCACTGATGATCTTTTCCGTGTTGAAGGAAGACACTCCTTGTCGTCCACGGTACGGAGTAAACTAACGGCAATTTCAAGTGAAATGGCTGTGTCGGGATCATCCCGTCTAAGAAGTGGAATTGAAGTCTTGACTTTTGACTTGTCTTGGCCCGTTCTGCTGGTAGTAGACTGCACAAGGCATTGTTGGCTGTCGGATTGCTGATGGAGCTAGTGTAAGAGTTGCCTCATTGAGCTAGCTTACTTAAACCTGGACCCTGGCCAGTGCACATTTTAGTATGATTCTACGCCGAAAAAAGTCCACCGTGCTCCATAAGCCGTTCTCCGCGCACTGTGCGGCGTACGCAGCCTGCGACTGCTGGAACGAGTTTGTCGGGTTGAAACGTGCAACATGCGAGGTTGTTTGTATGAAGATGGAGCCGCTAAAAGGCATATGCCGTCTGCACGGAGTCGTATGTGATTAGTACTACTGTTATGGTCTGTCGATTAATGACATTGAGTGGCATCTTCTTCCACATATCATCCAATTTCAATGCCAATGATCATCGAATAATGCCCGGTTGCGATCACAGAGCGTAGTGTATATCGAGCTTTCGCTTGACGTTTAACCTTCGACTTGTGGAATTGCTTTTCATTTTGGACTAAATCCAGCCATCGTTCCGGGGGAGCTAGTCTAATAACGCTGGCTAGGGGCTCGCTAGGGGCTAGTGGTCACTAGTGGTGGCAGGAGTCAAGCTCGCATCGAGCTAGGTTTAGTGGGTCATGAAAATGCTCGTTAAAGGTTGAACCTTCTCTCAGGAAGGAATTAATCTGAAGGAGCATATACGGAGAATCCAGCAGCAGTCTTGGGCTGTCGAAGACATCCATCGGAGACTTGCCATCAGTACGACAACCATGCAAACGATGGACGAACGTTGAAACACGTGAAAGCTGCCCAATTCCCAACTGGCATGGGTTTTCTCTCCTCGAAAAAAAGCGGACTGCCGATCGCAACGGTAAGCGCAAATCCCGGTCGCCGGATCAACGCGAGATGAGGAATGAGTTTCGAATTCCGCACTCTGACGTGCTTTGCTTTTGAAGCAGCTTTCTGGCGGAGTCCGATCCTGAGATAGAGCTTTCGGGTTCTCCGACAGATTGGAAATCGAAGACCTGTAAGCTGGCGAGTGGATCGCATATTACCACTGGTTCACGGTCGGCACACGATGCTCGGTGACAGCGGCAGTTCTCCGCATGTTTGGTCGGACTGTGGCGTTTTAGATGAGATCTCGGATCTGAGGATCAATATGACCATTTGGCCAGCAGAGTAATTGGAGAGTCATGGAGTACTCAGTGTATGGTGGCAGTTGAAGCTTGCATGCAGAGGATTGGGATAGGCAAGAAGCACGGATAATTTGGGCGGACGGCAGGAGCCGCCTTAGGGAGTMCCTGCCACATGCTGCCACAAGCACGTGCCGCCGAGCCAACTCGACAACACCCATCCGACCGTCCGATGCGATATATCGACATGCTATTCCCCGTGGAATTGTGTATCATAGCTTGGTCGATTTATTTTATTCAGCAGCGTTCGATGGAAGGTGATGTTGCATGAGAAACAGCATCGCCCGCGAAAATATGTACACAGTAGTCGAGTATCATGCCATGCCCAGCCAATCAGCGGGGCTCTGAAATCGGCATGTTCCCCATCCATGCCCCACCGCAGCTCGGACGGTGATTGACCGACTTGACCATTGATATTCCTGCAATACTATGTAATGTAGTCGTCCATAGAAATTATACATGACAGAGAATGTATGTGTTGACCCAGCTTGTAGTGTACGAGCACTACTGACTACTCGACTATCACAGCGTAGATAGTCCATAGTTGATAGTGCGTGACATGCAAAGTTCGGCCGGACCAAAGTTTGGCCTGCCGCTTCTGTCTGAGCGGGTATTCACTCCCCGCGGCTAATTCAGCTGTAGCTAATCAGCGCCCGTGCTGCGATAAGTAAGAGCCACGGCCTGGTACCATACCGTACCAGGCCAGCCCAGGCCTCATTTCGTCGTCGCTAGTCCCTATCGCCTAACTCGATTGATGCTTAGCAGCTAAGTAGCTCTAACGAACGACAATTCCATAGTGTTGGTATTGCTCGTATTGCAAGTACCGTTTGGTTCTGTCACTTTTCACTGTCTCCGTACGCGGCCCGGACACGCTTTACCGCCGTTGCGCCTGTCACCATCCGACCTGCACCGTATGGTATGGTAACGGTACCTAGGTAAGCCGTCACAAATTCAATACTTACTTACATAGTTACTCCCTCACAATATCCTTCTCAGTCTCGTCGCCCCCTCTCTCCTTCCTGCTCCCCCAATTGTATGCCTTCTCCCCCCTCAGAGCCTTCTTTCTTTTCGTCTCTTCCTTCTGCTCTCTTCCTTGCCCGTCTGTCCTGCTCACTCACTCACTCACTTACTCACTCGGGCTCTCCATCCTGCTTCAGACCTAGCGTGGCTTTCTTCACACCGTGGAATCGCGTGGATCACTGCATTTACCAACTACCGTCCACTTTCTCCCTTTTACCTTCAGACCCTTTCTCTACGGAGCAACGTATTTTCAAACTCCGAGCTTTTTTTTGGTATACCAGTAACCCAATCACGTTCATATTTTTGCATACTCGATGACTTCACATTTGGACAACTGCCATTCGACTCGGGCACACGCTTGATTTCCCGCCTCAACAAAGCATATCCTGACTTCGCGACTCCGCCGGTGCTTCAACCCATTGTCGCCGTGTCACCCCCTCACACCCAAACCCCCACCGGTCCTCGTAACTTTTGAGGCTGGTCCGCCACCACTTACCGACTACCTTGCAATCTCATACAATTATAGCTGTCGGAGTCTTGACCACCACCCCGGATTTGGCGAAGGATATCATTCTTCATTTTGATACATACATTAATTCATCTGGTTCGATCACTTGGCGACACAGAAATAACCATAACCATGGCGGGCAAAATGACATTGTATAAGCTGGTGGTGCTGGGAGATGGAGGCGTTGGCAAGACAGCACTCACAATTCAGGTATGAGCCGATCTATCTGGTGGTCGCTATTTACGAAGTCGCATTCTAACGAAGTTTCTTAATAGCTCTGTTTAAATCATTTCGTCGAAACATATGACCCGACCATTGAAGACTCATATCGCAAGCAAGTTGTCATCGACCAGCAATCGTGTATGCTTGAAGTTCTCGACACCGCCGGGCAAGAAGAGTACACTGCGCTTCGGGACCAGTGGATTCGCGATGGCGAAGGATTCGTACTGGTTTATAGCATCACCTCGCGCGCCTCGTTTAGTCGCATCACCAAATTCTACAACCAGATCCAGAGAGTGAAGGAATCGGCCAACTCGGGTTCTCCGACTGGTGCCAGCTACCTCGGTTCCCCTCTGACAGGACCTTCTCTAGGAGTTTCCTCCGGCCCGGTGCCAGTGATGTTGGTTGGTAACAAAAGTGACAAGACGGTAGAACGAGCGGTTTCTGCACAAGAAGGTTCGGCTCTAGCCAAGGAGCTCGGTTGCGAATTCGTGGAGGCATCGGCGAAGAACTGCATCAATGTGGAAAAAGCGTTTTATGATGTCGTTCGACTCCTGCGCCAACAGCGACAGCAACAACACGGCGGTGGTCGATTGCAAGAACGACGGACGACAGGTTTTCCTGGTCAACACCGTGACCGCGATGCGAATCCGGAATACCCTCGAACGTTCCGAACTGATCGTGCCCGGCAACATCGGGGTGGAATTAGATGCGTTGTTCTATGATTGCCAAACATCATATGATCAATCACGTTGGCTTTTTTTCTCTTCTCTTTTTTCTATTTCCTGTCTTACCCCTGCATTGTGAAGCGTGGTTCGTGTTGTCTTCTCATTGTTAAACTTGGTATATGCATACCTTATGGCGACTTGACTATTCTTGGCCTCGATGGTTTTTCCTCTTTGGGTCATCATTTCATGTTTGGGACAGTCGATTCTTTCTAAGCTTTTCTCGTTTGAACTTTCAGCACCTTTGTTTATATTCCCATATTCCAACCTTTCCCACTATACTCTTCTTTGCTGAATCGCGAATCTCGATTGATTCTGCCTATGTCTTGCGATGGTGCTTCAGGAAGCGATTTCTGCTTTGCACGATGCAGGACCATCGGTGTTGCCTACGGATGGATATTGATTCACCATCTTGAGGTTACGCCATTTTGTGCACGCGGACGTCGTATAGATTACATGCTTCGATCGAATGAAAACTCGACAGATTCACGAGAAAGACGACCACAACGAATCAATTCCGACGTTCGAACACCAAAGACACGACCAGCAAATATCAAAAAAAAGAAAGAAAACATGCGGTATGGGGAGAACCTTTCAAAGAAGCGGAATGGGTTAGGAGCGTGTTGTATACCGCAACAAAAATATACATACAATATTCCGAATGAGATACCCTGTTCACTGACTGCTTATTGAAAGCATGATTTCTGTTTGATCTTCTCTCGCTGTTGTTGGCCTGTATATTCACAAAGCCGCGACTTCCATAGTCATTGTTTTTTGTATGTCTGAAGAGGGATTGTTTTATGCAGATAGAGGATTGGATCATTCCAAATGAACTTTGAAATCAAGCTACCTGCTCTTGGGAAGATTATATATCCATCCGTGCTGCATGCATGATGTCTAAACTAGGGCACGTTTGGTCACATGAAGACGCCAAACCTATATTAATGTTGTGATGACTAACGGTCCCTTTCTCTTGATCCCTTAATCTTGAGGCTCCTTTCACTGTGGAAGTGTGAGGCAAGTGCCCTGATTAATTGATGGCAGATGACACGCCCATTCACGAAAACTTCGGGGTGCCGGCAAATCCACCTCAGTATGACTTTCAAAGTGAAAAGCACTGTTGCAGTACCCTTCTCCACGGGTCCAATCTGTTGAAGCCAGATCAGTCAGATCACCACAACCAATAAGTAATCTTCCCAGATGTCGACGAGAAAACTTGTGACCAATACTTCATCCACTCCCACGACCACGCTCGCGGCTACGAGTACATCCCAGCCCAAGAACTCGCACTCGTAAAACTGACCACTCAGACCATACAAATCGCCACGGGACAACGGCACGGTGCCAGATTCGAAAATTTGGTTCATATGAATCATGCGAGTAGAAAGCTGGCTTGTCTGAGAGCATTTGAGTTTGCGTCAAAAGATGATCGGTTCAGGAGGAAACATGATATAATCTTATGTGCCGAAATATTCCCCGCCGGAGAGGAGATGACCTACTATTGTTATGAAGACGGGATCCGCTATTTCGAAGAGTGAATTGGACTGGAATGCGAAGTGGTGGTTAAAAGAGTTTTGAGGGGCAGGCGAAGATGGTTTTGGTAACTTCTATCAGCGTCGGAAACGGGAATGGTTATTTCAGAAATGGGAGCTTGTTGAGAGTGTCTCAATTTCTACGTATGAGATTGGGCTGCCGACATTGGGGCCAGGTCAGCCGGTTAATGTCTCTGCAGTAAATAGGCACTTTCTTCTGGGGTTTGAGGACGTATTTGCTCGGCAACTGGGTGAGCTTGAGCAGGATATCATGTTGAGTTTGGTCGATTTCAAGAGCGTTGCTCAAGATGTATGGCGCTATGAGCTTGATAATCTATATGTGGAAATCAAATGATATACTACAGACCACTAATTGAGGCTCAAGTAATGGTACTGTAGCCTTAGAAGTACTTGAGTTGGGTAGTTCTCTTGCGATAGGGTTAGGGTTACGTAAATACTTTAATAGCTAGCTGTATACGGTCTAGCTCCTTCTTAAGATGGACAAATCATATCCAACAATGATCAACATCCAAGTTACATTTCATGCTTCATGTCTATCTTTCACGATATTCATGTCTTATTTAAAAAAAAACTACAATGAATCCCTTAATCGTAAAACTAAGCTGCGATGAATGCCGCCAACGCAAGACAAAATGCGACAAGGGCTCCCCGTGTTCAGCCTGCAAACATGCAGGAACGAATTGCACAACTGTTCAACGTGCGCGCCATCCTCGAGGGCGAAGTGGGAATACCAAGAAGAAGACGGTGCTTGAAACGAGGGTGGCTCAGCTAGAAGATCTGGTCAAGCAACTAGGGGTGAGTATCTGGGTCCAGTGAGAGTCTGTTTGTTGTATGTTCTGACTGTTTAGTAGACGCAAATAGAGAGGAACAATGACAATAGTGCGATGGATGCGTCAAAGTCGGATTCTGATCAGACTGTTCCGTTGCCAATACCTATCAAGGCTAATGCAATGCTGGCGAAGGATTTCTTTGCGAAACTCTCTTATGAGGTGAGCAACCATTATGGCAGCATGAGCGCTTGATTTGTTTCTCGTTTCAGTGGTATCCATTTTGTGCTAATATTCAACAGGTAGCGGGTATCAGAGAAGTTCTTGACGACCCTTCCGAAGACAACGGCAGTTATTTGTCATCGGAACCTTCAGCAAAATCTGGACCCAGCTCAGACACATCCCCAACTTCAATACTGTTTGGTTATCAACCACATATAAGCGATGATGAACTAGTAGCGCCAGTGGCTGATAATGTCAGAGAAACCCTCCTAAATATCTATCATGATCGCGTTGACTGCCTGTTCAAAGCAACCTACTGGCCTGCAGCCGAGACTGCCATTATCCAAAGGTATGAAGAATTGAAAAAAGGCACGCCTTGCATGGTGCGTCCTGTCGAGCGTGCTATTTACTTCATGGCAGTATGTGCCATGACTGAGAGCGAGTGCGAAGCCATGCTTTCCGAAAGTCGAAGCAATCTCATCTATCGACACAGGCGAGCTGTGGAAATTGCCTTGGCTCGCTCGGATTTTTTAACGAATCCTGATAAGCTTGCTCTGCAGGCTTTTGTTCTCTACTTGGTAGGTTTCGAACTGAAAGCCTGAAGTAAACGAAAACGCCATGCTAATCATCTGAAAGATGGGACTAAGGGTCTGCCAGCAGTATGCTTTGTCCTGGTCATTACTGGCATTAGCCATCAGGGTTGGAAATGCCCTAGGTCTTCCCCTAACAGAACCGGGTAATCCAGTATCCGTTGGCGACGACTTGAAAACGCGCCTTTGGTATTGTATCGGCATGCTGGATTCGCAAACTTCGATTGATCGTGGCACCAGACCCATGATGACCCTCAAGGACTTTCAGAGAAAACCGTTACTCGTCAATCATGACGCTGGCAAATACGCACCCCCTCTCAAGCGCCAGGATTTAACACATGACATGTCATTTTCACACGTGATACATGAAGCTACTGTATGTTCGAGGACATTGATGGAATTCCCGCCGGATACAGCCGGTACATGGGAGACCTGGGATAAGAAGCTTCAAATCGTATCAGATTTCGAGATATATATTCGACAATACTGCTCTAGACTTGAGTGCCCCTCGCATGACTTTCAACGCTTCGTGCAGTTCACCGCCGAGGACATCGTGCTGAACATGCAACTCCTCCTTCGAAGACCAATGTTTCCCAGCAAAACCAGCCCCTTCCCGCCGTGGGACAAATTTGATGTTCTCAAAGTCACTACGGAAATTATTGAGAGGACTCTGTGGAAAGCTACTGATAGTGCCTTTGCGCCATGGGCATGGCTCTCCAAGACGTGGCTCAAGTGGCAGGTTTTGGCAGTTTTGCTTGCAGAGCTGTGCACACCCCGCTATGGCGAACTTGGCGATCGGGCTTATGCGGTTGCAAAAGAAGGGTTTGATTACTGTTCTGCGTTGATGGTAGAGACGGATCTTGCAACAGTGCTGAAACCCCTTGCGAAGTTGATGTCTAGAGTACTTGAGGTCCGGACTAGAATGTTGAGTGAGCAGCATATCCACGGTGGAGTTTTAAACGTGTCAAGTGCCACAGGAACGAACACGTTGAGTCAGTTCAATTCGGTGGGAAACACTTCATTCTCTCTATTTCCAACCGGCGTATCGGATTTGACAGGCTTGCCATATATTGATAACACCAATGGTGCCGGTGTATATCTCAGCACCGATCAATTCACGCAAGCTGCATCATATATGAATGGCGATCTGAGTGCTGATGCATCTTGGCTTAATTGGAACGTTTTTCTTGGAGAGATGGGTGATCCTTGGACGATCGACCCCAACCCGGAATACTATAATGGCACGAACACGTCGACATTATGAGTTGAATGAGTAGCTGCTAGCTTCTATCGCGTACCGTGCGAAAATTGTTGTTTTTTGCATATATGCGGCACCGGCGTCTTACTTCATACAACCGAGGAGCCCGGGTCGAGCTCTGGACCAAAAGTGGTTCTGGGTCATGAAAGTCTGAGCCTTCAACCTGTTGGCTAGGAACAATCGATGACTTTAGCATCTGTCCGGCAGTGGTCGGCCACTGCTCACCTAAAAAGCTTAGAAACATATCATTTTTTTACGAATTAGGACAGAGGATAAAAGGAATACACGGCTCTTTAATATCAAGATCTTCATGCTATGCAAGGTGAATCAGTCACTGCCTGACGAAAGGCAAACGCGACGAGCGGCTTATCGAAACCCATTCTGCTGTGAGTCACCCGACTACTAATCAGAATCCTGACCGAAGTTCTGATTAGATATGCAAAAGTATATGTGATGTGCAGACAAAATGCCAACATTTCCATAGATTTGATTTAGTGTATGTCACTTACGCCGGCTTATGGAATCATTTCGGGATGACAAGGCTGATCTGGTACAACTTCCAGCGAAAAGTCCATTTGCACTCTTGCAGATATCTGTATGTCTCATCTTAAAATTGACAAGCCCTATCGTCATAGTCAACAGGAAGCTGCTGACTTGGAACACTTAAACCATTCGGAATTCCAGCCATAATCGCAATACAGAGTGTATCCAAACATGGCCCATGCGTTCCAAGCATCAAACAACGCCTGGCGGTTAATATACCAGAATTCGAGAAAGTGAAATTCTCAATGTTGACCAAAGAAGTCTTTGAATCTCTCAAATTGGAGAAAAGAGACCACGTTGTCGTCGTCGGGGTTGAGGCGCATATTTGCGTCTCGCAGACTGCTTTTGGTAAGTAAATTTTACAACTTATTTCCCGACATATATCATGCTTAAATCGATGCTTTAGAGTCACAAAAACACGGCTACAAAGTCGTAGTCCTCGCAGACGCTGTGTCGTCAACGTCTCCTCAGGAGCGCAATCTGGCGTTGCGGCGGATGCTTGCTTCTGGTATATCAGTCAGTAGTTTTGAAGGCTGGACTTTTAGATTGCTTGGTTCGGCTGAGCACCCATTGTATGTCCAAATCAACTCCAGGGGCTTTATCTATGTTGAGGTTGATACAGTCGAATATAGATTCAAGCAGACATCTGATCTTCTGAAGCGCACAAAAAGAACTAGGGCTCAAATTATTGAAGCGATATTATAGTTAAAGACCTGGGAATTATTGATTAGTGATCCTCTATGTCCTTCAAATAAAACGATGATTAGTACATCTAGATTCTAGAGTCGCCTCTTTTTCGATTCAGCCTTGTCTAGGTCTATTCGACATGAGCCGCATGCATAGGCAGCACAGCCTTGCACGTCCGACCGGAACCCCTCACCTTTGTTATAACCTCGACAATCGCCTGGTTCTGCCTTATAACATAATAATTTCTGACACCTTTAACTTATAGTTATACTCCTGGTAACCTGCCTACGAGTTCTCTGACATTTTTCTCATCAATAAAATATCGCTACCCGCACCCACTCTCTTGCTGGACTTAACTTCCTCAAAGTCGCTGCTTACCAAAATGGATTCTTCAAGAGCTGACGTAGCTGATGCCATGTTATCTGAAAATTTGGTGGTTCTTAATCCGTTGAATGGTGGTGGTGTATCTGGAAAGAAACGATTTCCGGTCATAGTCCGGAGAGACGATCGCTCAGCCGTAGGCGGTCCTGATCCTCCAACGAAGATGGGATCGTATAACGATTCACACACAGGAGCACCCGATCAAGAACGCTCAGCACCGATTATATACACGCTGACATCTGATACTGAAAGTGAGGGCGGTGTAATACAACCCCCGGACACGTCACGAACGCCCTGTAATGTGCTGGATAGTAAAGGGTATTATCCTACCCCTAGCCCGCTACATGCTCAACTCCCAAATAACGACAATGGGAGCAAATCTGTTGTTACAACATACTCGAGCGCCGAAAGTGTTGTGACAGATTCTGAGGCGGAGGATGACAATTACACGACGTCGAGAATCCAACGCCTGAAAGACAAAATCCAGGACCTGGAAGATAAACGCAAGCAAAGACAATTGAGAGCAACGCAACAAACGCAGATGGAGCCTTCGAGGTATCAGATACTATATCGTCTGGGTTATGAAGTCCGGCCGAACGTACGCGGAACGTCAAGCGACGAATACTCGTCAGACTCCGACAGCGATGAGCCGTACCGACAAGCCAATGATAGGTACCAAGTATCGCCAGCCATCAGGGTCAGATCGCTTAATACCTTCACGGATCCACCAGTTGTGACGCATGATCGTTGGGGGAATACCTCGCTGCAATGCAGTCGTCGAGTAAGCAGGTTGGACCATTTCTTGAGATCAAATCCCGACATCTCCTTTGTGGTCTTTCACGACTATAATCGATTCCAAGGAGTGAGAACAAATGAGTCCAAATCAAGCTGCGAAGATGAAGAAGTTGATCAGCCAACGTGCGGTGCTAAAAGCATTTATCCAGTCTCCAAAGAGTTGAAAACAGCTTTGGAAATGATACTCGATGACAAAAAGGAGTATAGTAGCATGCTCAGCAGATATTGGGCCAAAAATGAGCTTTCTGCGCCCTACTTGTTCATTTACCATAGCAGGCAGGAGATACAAAAGATCAAAGAAAGGCTTTCAAAGCCGGCTCAAGATCAACTCGATCTTTTCCTGGGGTATGTGATGAAAGAGTTTGGGGAGGAGTACAACGCGGTGGATACCCTTCTCCAACGCAAAGAGATCCTGCCCCAGTATCTGCAGTATCTTGTCAAAAAGAATGACATTCTGGTCGAAAACAAGAACGGTGAATATACAGCCTATAGGGCTGAATCATGGCCCGTTGAAAGTATACGAACAACCCCAAATCCGTCAATTGCCACCAAATACGACATGCCGGGCAATGCATACGAGTCACCACAAGAACTCGGTGTTTCTTCCAAGTGGATGTTGAATGGATTTACCTGGGGGTTTGATGGTGGCTTCTTTGGGCGATGGAAGCAGCTCAAACTTGAGATGTCCCTGGATGTATCGTTACCAGGAGCTATTGGAGACAGTACAGAAACAAGGCAGCTTCAAGGCCAGCCTATTTCGGACTTGGCTGTTTTCCCACTTTGCTACGCTCCAGAACACATACAGAAAATGCTTTACCATCGGGGGGAAATCTTATGGAAATGTCGCGTGCGGCAGCTAGTTTCTTATCAGACCAACGAACAAGACCTAATTGGTAATGGGGTAAGTTTGCAGACAGAATTCTGATCGGAGAAATTCTCAGCTAATCAATCTCTCTAGATGGAACAACATTACATGATTGATATGAAAGCATATCAAAGCCTCCATCCCAACAGCAAAAAGACGGGTATCCATACAGTGTATCGCCCGTACTCCCTTCCACCGAAAAAACTACTTAGCAAGAAAAAGATGGTCCGAAACAATCTTCCTCGAGACGATTTCACAGTGCTCATGCCTCCGAGAATCAAAGGATACAACTTCTACCAGAACAAATGGTGCGACCTGAACGTCGATCAGATCTCAGATGTAGTTTGGCGAGGAGAAGCATTCCCCGCATTGCACACTTTGCAAATAGATTATGAGGCAAAGGACCTCCTTCATGCGCTGGTCAGCAATTACCTGGAGAGTACAAACTCACAGGATCTAGATGCCGGGAAAGGTAACAGTCTTACTCTCTTACTCCACGGTGGTCCTGGAACAGGAAAGACGCATACGGCAGAGAACATTGCCGAGATTGCAAAGAAGCCACTATACAGGGTGACCTGCAGCGACCTGGGGACGAAAGCAGAGGTGGTAGAACAGAATCTCGAATCTGCATTCTATTTGGCACGTATCTGGGGCTGCGTGGTGCTCCTTGACGAGGCTGATATCTTTCTCGAACAAACAAGCCTAAGGGATCTAGAGCACAATGCACTGACAGCTGTATTCTTGCGAATGACGAAATCCTACAATGGCATCGTGATTCTAACGAGCAGTCGCGTCAGCAGATTCAACGAGGCGGCCCGATCTCATATCAATCTTGCGCTTCACTATCCTGCCCTGACTTCGCATCAACGATACTTTATCTGGAAGCAATTTTTATCTCAGCTGGAGTTCTCAGAGACAGATGCAGATATCTCGGATCTTTATGAACGTGCAGAGAGCTTGGGAGGTGAAAAGCTGAACGGAAGACAAATCAGAAACATTTTAACTAATGCATGTCGATATGCGAGATGGAAGAAAGTGCCGCTTAGTTACTATCGAATTAAGCATTTGATTGAGGTGTCGGAGCGATTTGGCACATTCTTTGGGAATCGTGACGATGATGATGCACAGGACGAGTTGGCTCTTGATGAATGGTTGCACTGAGTATAATTGAGGACATGATATATACTTTTAGGGGTTTCTTTTCTTTTGGGGTTGTGTTTATGATACGGCCGATTGTGACGAATAATTTGTACCTAAATTGAACTATAAGATTAGGGTCGATAAAGCCATATACATACCTAGGTAGTGTCTTGAAGCCCACGAACTAAATTTGGGAAAATTGACATTTGTTTCTCTTCGGAGATAACATAATATGTCTAGTAACACAAAATCTTCTCGGAGAGCAGAGAAGTAGAGATTATTCTAGTTTGGCTACACTTCCAACCGGAGACTTCAAGCCGATCCGCTCTCAAGTACCATTCTCAACACACAAATATTGAATGGTAGGAATCTCTCACGACTTTGTGATATCCATTCTGCATCAATCCTTCCATTCATAGTCCGGAAGGTTATACTTGTCAACATCACTAGCGGCACCAACAAAAAATCTCTCCGCCACTCTTAAAATCCCAGACCAACAAACAAATGCGATAATATTATTTCGTAGCCATAACCCCCAAGCAGTTCGTGGAGCCATGACACTAGATAAGAACGGCGGAACTTTCTGCAAGTCATTTATAATCGGCCGCATTCGCTCCTCGTAAGCTCTCAAACCTGCGGCCAAATCGTCTTGGTGTCTACCGATTTCCCCTACTAGCACATATGCCCCAGCCATAGCGAGAGATGTACCGGATCCCAAGGCCCCGGCATACCCTGCATCGCCTACCAAGACAAAACGACCCTTGCGGAATGTCGGGAGCTTGACTTGGACGAATTCGCTGGCGTAGAAGTCTTTTGAGTCTAGCATACCCTTCATGATTTGATCTGTTTTCCAGCCTGCCCCTTTGTAATGCTGAGCTACAAAGCTCTTGAGGGTAGCGTCTCCTTGTTTCGAGGCTTCGCGGAATTGTTGCAGTGAGGGGTCGTTGGGAGGATGGAAAGTTATTAGTGTGGCTTGGTTCGGACCTGAAGGGKCTGGTCCTAAACCCACGGCACGACCATTCACAGCACTGTATGACATCCCCATTTTGCTTCCTTGAAGGATATCTTCTTCCACGGAAAAGTATGCTGCCCACATATTCAGAGGTTCAATTTGAGTCCGGGCATCCTGGCCCAGACCAAGGACTCGTGTCCTTGAGTTTGCGCCATCACAGGCAACGACTAGATCATAGTTTGACGTCGGAAAGCCATTTGCAAATTCGACCGTTATAGGACCATCTTTCTCGTCGTTAGTCCGCATCGACTTGACTTGTTCACCAAAGACGTATTTGACATTTTCATTATCCTTGGTCAAATCAACCAATATCCGTGACAAATGACCGCGGAATATCTCATATTCTGATATAAGTGATTGTTGATCCGGGTTGCCTGTGGGTTTCAAAATTCCAATACTCTGACCGTTGTCGCGGATAAAATTGAAGCCGTCCATTGGCATGTTTTTGGCTCGTACCGCTTCCTCCATTCCTGGGATTTTGCGCATGACCGTCACCCCGACCGTACGTATGTCGACGTTTTGTCCATTGGTACGCAGCTGTGGGAAGCGCTCAATGACAGTGACCGTTGCGCCGGCTCTGGCGAACCAGTATGCAGCCGATGGGCCGGCGATGGATGCGCCTACAATGAGGACTTTGAGATTAGACATTCTGTTCAGATCTGCTTTTAATTTGGAAATTTTACGCAATGATGAGAATGCGAGCCTCTTATATAATGCTAGTTAGGATCATATCGACAATGATATCAGGATGCTGAGACCGAGACGAGCGGCCGTCTGATTGGTTTGATCGATGACCAGCTCGGTCGATGCGGACCCGAGAGACTGACCAATCATGGGCATTATCAAAGATTGTATAAAGAGTTGTTATGAACACAACAGTTTATTCTGACTTCTTTGTGTTATGAGATTTGTAATAAATGATCCCAAAATGCCCAATCTGGCTCTTCAAGGTTGAACTCAAGGCTGAAATCAAAGTCCGCATTTTCAAAATAGCCGTTCAAAGACGGATTCGCATCATTTGCAGATGATGGATCGAATATCGGTGTTGAATTTGCGTCTATGTCTTCGGTGTCAACGCTACGAGCCTTCTCTTTGATCCGGTTCCGAGGAATTCTTTTCTGTAAATAGCGCAAGGTGGTGATAAAGCTCGGCTCCGGAACGCTGATGCTCGGTGGATGAGTATCCCACGCCTTCAACGTAAGTCGTCCAAATGCCAAGTACAAGGCTCGCTTGAGCTCAAGTAGTTCGTCATGATTATAGAAGACCGACTCCAGAATTTTCCAAGCCGCGTCAACTTCTAACGCTGAGAGAATATCGCAATTTCGCCAGAGGATCGTTAGCACAACTACCAATGAATCCCAAGTGCCCCATAAGAACAACGGTCTCGTGTGCCAGCGGTACTTCGTTAAGCTTGCATTAGCACATACTGCAGAGTCGGTGTCTAGTATCCTCCGTGCAAATTGAAACGTGTTTCTCTTCTCTTCATCAGTAGCGGTCTGATTCCGAATTCTGGGAAGGTGGATCCGGAGACGCATTGCTATAATTCCCGATCTGATCGAGCATACTGTGAGAAAATGCAATGGATTGATAACGTCGCAGTACCGAATGAAAGTTTCCTCTACTTCACTCTCCGCCTTACTAATGACCAGCTCAGCCTCTTGATAGTCTTTGAAATGTGCGGAGCCCGAGCCATTGTTCGGTCTTCCTGCCTTAGCAAAATATTTCCCAACACTGGCACGAGCCAAGCAGAAGATCATCTCACTGGCACCTTTCTTCTCTTGCGGTGCCTTGGTCATTCCTGGCCAAATCTGGTTGTCATCAACGTTCAATGGCTCTTTGGTATCCCAAGTAAGGGACAGAATTGACAGACCAACGCCTGACATTTGGCTTGCATTTGCGTCAAGAGGTAAAAGTCGATAAAACAGCCGTCTTCTCATTTGTACTTCAAATGGCGGTAATGCGAGAGTCTCCCCATCTCTATGAAGCCCCATTCGTTGTGCTATGCGAGTTGCAACACCAGTCAAAATCCAGTACGTGTTGGGGTCGTAAAAGAATGCGCAAGGTATAAGAAATATGACGAGAGCCTGTAGGATCGGTAACTCAGTAGTCTTAAGAAAGGACGCATTAACAAGAGCTTGCCGCGTTGCAAAATGATATCGTTCCATTACTGTTGCACGCGACTTGCCGAACTGTGCTATACATTCATCTTCAGTGATGCTGAAGACTGCAAAGTGGTATATGGCAAACAGCAGGCATTCGTCGGTTTTGGACGCCTTTTCAGGCTCTTTAGAAGCTCTCACTAGCATTTCGGCGGTGGATGGAACATGCAGGATCTTGCATAGAGGCTCTATACGATTTGTGTACGTCTCCCACATAGACATAGCTTTCATGTGAGTCGGGTGATACTGTAGAAGATCTTGTTGAGAACCCAGAAATGCCCCTGTCAATGGGTCGATCATCGATCCGCTGGCCATTTGATCATCGTCTTCATGTTCACCATCGAGCATACCCTGTATCTCATTGTCTCCAAAGTTGTGCCAGAAACGGCTATCAATATATCGTGACTTGCCTTGATTGGCTAGGAGCTTGCCAGAACCAGATTCTCCGGGTTCGTTCCATTGCAGAGATATTGGTTCCTCTGGCGTCTCTCCGACTGCAGGCGATGACGGCTCGGCATCCAACAAACCGTGTTCATACAGAATTCGCTCGTACCGGGCGAGTTTCTCGAGCTCATCATCACTCGGCTTTCTTTTCCGCGATCGGGACAAAGGAGCCTGATACAAGCAATCGAGTTTGGCCTTGCGACAGCTAGAGCATATTGGTGTCACCTTGTCACATTTCACCTTGCGTTTTGCACAGGTTCGGCAACTAAATGCCATGACAGCTTGAGCCGACTTTTGATTTGCACCATTCTCATTGACAGGCGCAGGCGCAATGGGTACCAGTCCGCTACGTGTATGATGGTCGGCTGCAGCCATGTCGGGCCAGGGCTGATTTGCCTCGTACTTCAAGCATGCATTGTATCCTTGCACCAGTCTACTTTCCTATTCTGGTAGCTCACGCGCCGCATCCACGCTCTCGATGTAACTGGTTGCAAGTACCATCGTCTCAAGCTCGTCGTCGAGTCATTGGAAACGCTAGTCCTAGTGCAGCAGGCGGTAGCTAGCAGACGTAGATATAACTGGCAGAATAAATGTAAATGGGATTTTCCCCATGGAAACAAAAAGGATTTTGAAGACTTCGACTGTCTTGGGAGGTTGTACCGACCACTCTTTCCTCTTTCTCGCAATACGGGGGCGTGTTACACGGGGCTATTTATCACAAACTGCTTGATCCACGCGACCAGTTCATGCCGGCAGCCGTCTCGCATCGAAGAGCATCGTATGATATCAGCAAGCTGCCAATGATGCCTGTAGTCTGAATCTTCAGAATAAAGCAGAGCGAAGTCAGAAGCGAGGAGAGACCGGACTCCGGAATCCGTATTTCCGCTCCGGTTTCATGGGGAAGGAGCTGGACATGTGGGGGTGGGGCCCCCATCTCGAGCGTCGTGCCTTCCTCCTCAAGCCGCAGGATTGCCATAATTAGTTTATTGTATCTGTAGATACCGGATGAAATGTAAAGGTTTCCTCTTCTTCAACTTCAGACGCAAACGCACTCCGGCCAGTGGGCATTATAGCTTATCTCGGAATACAACATCGCGACCCCGACTTCTTCGGTCGTTGATCTAGGACAGGCTTACTTGTCATTTGTTATTGTCTCCCTCGGGATAAGCCTCGGACCGATGGAACTCGATGCTGCTAAAGAAAGCTATCTCATCCCATCATATCTTATCTGAACGACAATTTTGACAAAGCCATTATTTGTGGGGATTTGGACATATAAACTATCTACTGTGACACTGCTCTAATCAGCACAAACACACTAGTGTATTGCTATATATATGGGAGAAGAGCCATCTTATGATGAAGCACCCCCAAGATTCAGTGCAGGAGCACTCTGTCCAGGATCCGGACTCCTTTTGGACTCATCACGCCAAATCCCTTCACTGGCACAAAGAGCCATCGAGTGCAATCAAACATACTACCAAGCAAATCACCCTCAAAGGAAACCAAGACACTGTCAGTCATGACCATTGGAGCTGGTTCCCTGATGGCATGATCTCAACAACCTACAACTGTGTCGATCGACATGTTGAAAATGGTAATGGGGATAATGTGGCTATTGTCTGGGAGTCAGCCGTGACCGGCGAAAACGCAAAGTATACATATCGACAATTGCAGGATGAAGTCGAGATTCTGGCAGGTGTTTTGAGAGAGGAAGGGGTTCGAAAAGGCGATGTTGTCATCATTTATAGTTTGTTCAGCCATAAAAACACTGAAATTTAGGGGATGACAGACTGACAGTTTCATGCAGTGCCCATGATTCCGGCAGCTCTGATTGCAGCACTCGCCATCACCCGTCTTGGAGCCATCCATGCCGCTGTCTTTGGTGGCTTTGCACCAGCTTCTCTCGCCCAGAGGATTGACGATGCAAAACCASGAGCCATAATGACTGCGTCTTGTGGCATCGAAGGATCCAAGGGCCCCATTCCTTACAGGCCACTTGTCGAAGGAGCCATCGCACAGTCCAAATTCAAACCAGAGAAAGTGATCATATGGCAGCGAGATCAACTACGTTGGAATCAGCCGGACAAGGTTGGTGGACAGCGCAATTGGCAACGCATCGTGAGAAGTGGGCAGTTAAGGAATATTCGGGCTACCCCGGTGCCAATTAGGAGTGATGAGGCATTATATATCATCTACACCAGCGGTAAGCTCTAGCTACTCTCCAGGGAATGTCGTGAGAGACTGATTGAATGTATCAGGAACGACCGGTCTGCCTAAAGGTGTCGTACGCGAAGCCGGCGGACACGCAGTCGGTCTAAGCTTATCAATCAAGTATCTATTTGGCATTCAAGGACCTGGAGACGTCATGTTCTGCGCCTCTGACATCGGCTGGGTTGTGGGTCACTCATATATCCTATACGCACCACTACTCGTTGGAGCAACAACCGTCATGTTCGAAGGCAAACCCGTGGGTACCCCAGATGCAGGCACTTTCTGGCGTGTCGTTGAGCGAAACAAAGTCAATGTACTTTTTACAGCACCCACAGCTCTACGCGCAATTCGCAAGGACGACCCAGACAACAAATATTTCAAAGAGATTGGGGATCGTGGAGGACTCAAGACCTTGAGGGCGCTATTTCTGGCGGGTGAACGCAGTGAGCCTACCATTGTACAGAATTTCCAGGATCTTCTCACAGCGCAAGCTGCGCCTGGTGCTGTAGTTATTGATAACTGGTGGTCGTCAGAATCAGGCTCTCCAATCACTGGACTGGCATTGCGAAGTGACCTAGGCTATACGCCGACGACAAAACAGGAACGGCAACAGCCTCCTTTTTCAATCAAGCCTGGTTCGGCAGGAAAGCCCATGCCGGGTTTTGATGTTCGCGTCGTCGACGATAACGGACAAGAAGTCAAGCGGGGCACAATGGGCAATATCGTTCTAGCTATTCCCCTGGCGCCAACAGCGTTCAGGACTCTCTTCAATGATGAAGAAAGATTTTACAAGAGCTACCTATTGCGATTCAACGGTCGATGGATTGATACAGGTGATGCCGGCATGATTGATCAAGACGGATACGTGCATGTCATGTCTCGATCTGATGATATCATCAATGTTGCAGCACATCGCTTCAGCACAGGTTCGTCCCTCTCCCCGCTTCTACTGTTGTGCGACAAATCAATCTTATATGTACTAACGAGATACATAGGCGCAATCGAACAAGCCATCCTCTCCCATCCCCTCATCGGCGAAGCAAGCGTAATCGGCATCCCAGACCCTATCAAAGGCCACCTTCCCTTCGCGTTCGTGCAACCTCGCCAGCAATCCACCAACAAAAAGGGTACTGTAAATCTACCAGCGACACCTCCAACACAACTCTTCAACGAGATTAACGCTCTCGTTCGCGACCAAATCGGCGCCATCGCCTCATTGGGCGGAATAATCCAAGGTGTCGGCATGATCCCCAAGACGCGGAGTGGGAAGACATTGCGGCGAGTGTTGAGAGAATTAGTCGAGAATGCGGTTGAGCATGGTGACTATGAGAGGAAAGTCAATGTGCCACCTACAATCGAGGATGTGGATGTTATTCAAATTGCGAGGGGTCGGGTAAAGGAGTATTTTGAGGAGAGGGCGAGAGTAAAGAGTTTGGAAGGGAAGACGAAGCTGTGATTTTGTTTACCCGCCTACCTATCTTCTGGAAAGTGTTTCACATCGAATTTGCTATATACAACCCATTTAGCTAGATATCTAGGTACATTCAGATCTGGTGTTGACGAATAACGATTTTGGACGTTTTGATCTCCCCTTCTCCACCCCCTCAGACAATCTACTACTCACTATAAGTATTCTCAGTATAAATTGTACAATTCCAACAGCGCTCTACACTCTGGCCAGAACCGCAGAAAAGCGTCATGATGAAAAGGTATTAATATTCATCTGCAGTAGAAAAATACACGCCATGTCACCTAACCGATACGAATAAGACGTACAATCGTCACATCATAGAAGAGAAACAGATATGCTAGAAACGAAGGTAATTATCTACCGTCCCAGACGAATAACGCCAGCAGCGACTAATTTCTGAATCTGGGTTCGGACTTGAGCGTTCTTCATGTGTTCCTGCAAAGCGGCGGGATCACTCTTTGCTTGTTGCAGAATGCTTTGCATGACGGGGTCTTGGAGGATGGACATAATCTATAGAAATGTTAGTTTAGGTTTATTCCATTTAAACTTTTTATACAAGGAAAGAGAGAGAGGGATAGCATACCTCTGGATCTTTTTGGATACGCTCGGCAGTCTGTTCTTCAGTTTCGCCGGCGCGAGCACTGTACTGCGATTCCAAAATCTTGTTCTGTTGCTGCTCGATTTCGCGTGCGTTCTTGCCCGCGGTATCATGTGCAGATGCTTCGGTCAAGGTATCAAGAGCCTTGTTGTACTCCTTCATGGCCTGGAGAGCCTGCGCTTTACGGATGTAAGCACGAATGAATCCTGGGTCACGCTTGATAGCTTCGTCGCAGTCCGTGACGGCCTGAGGGAATGCCATGAGCTTGATCAAAGCGGCGGCACGATTCGAAAAACCACGAGGATCTTCAGGGGCACGCTTGGTCATCTCGGTGAATGCATCGACGGCGGCTGGCCAATCTGCCTCCTGGAACTTTTTCTGACCGAGTTCACGTGCTTTTTCGGCTTCTTCGGGGTTAATGTAAGCATCCTTTTCGGCCTTGATCTTGGCCTTCTCGGCGGCACGGAGTTTAGTGAGGACGTCGGCAGTGCGGTGCTCGGTAAGAGATCTGTTGTAGTACTCAATTGCTTGAGCCATGTCGCCGAGTTTTTCATATGCGCTACCAATACGGGCAAACGACCTGCTACTGTCAGTACTGCATTGGAACGCTATTTAAAATTGGAACTCACTTGGCAATGATCTTGAAATCAGCTCGGAGTTCACGGCCCTCCTGAACGGCTTCTTGGCAAACCTCAATGGCTCCCTGGTAATCACCACTCTCAAATTTGGCGGCACCGATGTTGTTCAAATAGGTAACATCCTTGTTGAGTTCCCAAGCTTTTTGATAATGTTCAATAGCTTCGGCGAATTGCTTCTTCTTGTAATAGTCGTTTCCGATCTTCTTCTCTGCGTCACCAGCTTCTTGAGCCTTCTTCTTGGCCAGAGAGTCTTCATCCTCTGGCTCAGGCTCGGGCTCAGGTGCTTTTTTAGGCTCTGCTGGTGTCGGTCGAACGTCTGGCATGGGAACATCTTCCTCGGCCTCGGTAGCTCCGGACGGTCCGCCAGCGGCTTCAGGTGGAGCACCGAATTGCATGTCGATACCGAGCAAGACACTCATGACTTGAAGGAATCGGGGATCACCCAGCTCTGTGCCGATACTGTTGGGATTGTCCTTAAGTTTCTGTAACTTGGTCATGAACTCGTGATCGGCGAGCAAAGATGCCGTCTTAGGGTTGTTGGCCAATTTCTGAATGAGGTTAGGGTCGCTGAACATGCCACCAAGACCGCCAGTGTCTCCTTGGAAGCCATCTGCTTGTGCTTCAGCATCAATGGCCCGCTTCACTGAATTGAAGCTAGCCTTGAATTGATCGTTGGAAGGTTCCAATTTCGTCGCCTCCTCGTATGCATCGTGGGCCAAAACTGTACATATATTAGCATTCAAAGTCCACCCTGAATTATGCAAATCAGAACATACGAAGATCGCCTAGACCACGTGCAGCAGCTCCCTTTCGGCTCCATCCTTTCGCCCAGTCGGGCTTGATTTCAGTCGCTTTATTGGCATCTTCGAGAGCTTTCTGGTACTCTGAAGTCGCGGCATAGACAGCCGATCGGTTGGAATAGAGGACGTGGTTCTGAGGTTCGATGGCAATAGCTTGGGTAAATTTATCACTGTCAAAAAGAAATCGTCATGTCAGCGCACGATTTCATCCATCAGATGTCGGTCGATTGCAGAGCGGGGAACGTACATAGCAGTAGCGTAGTCTTTGGTAGAGAAGGCCTTGTTGCCCTCTGATTTTAATGCGTCAGCCATGATGATATGTCGGAAAGGGATCCAACAGGAGTGAACAAGATGAGAAAGACGTGAATTTCGGAGAGTATGTTGATGGCTGAGGTTGGGAGTAGCGGTCTTTAAAGAGAGACAGTTGACTGAGCTTCTGGAAATTTCGAGCTTGAACGCGATCTAATTGGCCAACGGGGGTGGGGAAGGTATTGACCCGCGCTAGTCCTAATTAGGCCTGATAGAGGAAAGCAGCCCACGCTTTTTCTTTTATCGCGGCCTCAGATTATTATTTCTTTTGCTTCATCTAAGCTTCACACTCGTGACACGTCGACAAAGTGCTCTTCTACCCCTCGGTCATAGCGAGCTACTCACTCAAAAATGATATCTTGCAGAAAGCTTCGGTGACTGAGAGGTGCTTCAACTGAATTACACGAAAAATAACAACAGCCGTTGACTCAGTCAACCACGACCATGGCGGCCACTGGAACAGCAGACGATATCGCACACCGTATCTACGCGCGATGCAGAGAACAATTCTCTGGCAGTCAGCTACTGTATCAACGCGATATTTTAAGTCTTGGAATCATTCCGGCCAAGAATCTTGAGATTCTGCTTGAGTGTACCCAGAAACTTGTTGACCAGAATCTTTTCCGAGTCTACCAAGACAGCGACAATCGATTAGCTTGGAAAGTCATAGCGGAGGAAGATGCAGAAAAGTGAGCACCCTATTTCTATTTTATGGCACGTTATCATGAGGGGGTCTAATCTGTGGCTCCGCAGAATACAGAGCCTCAACGATACCGAAAAACTAGTTTACAATGTAATCCATTCCACCGGCCGAACAGGTATCTGGATACGACAATTAGGCAAACGAACCGATCTCCACAAGACAAGTTTAGACAAGGCTCTGAAATCTCTCGAAGGGAAGAATTTCATCAAGTCAATCTTCAATGTCAAACATCCCGGTAAAAAGGTGTACATGCTCGCGGAGCTCACACCGGCCGAGGACGTCACAGGCGGAGCATGGTTCACCGACGGTGTTCTTGACGCGGAATTTATTGGTGTCCTCTCCGATTATATTGAAATGCAAGTCAGCAAGAGATCCTGGTACGAAGTCGTGTCCAAACACAGCGCTGGCGGCAGCAACAATAAGAGGCAAAAGCTCAACACAGGCGAAATCGTGAAACATACCGAAACAACAGCCTCCGAAAAGGAGAAGAAATACTATCCATATCCAGCAGACTACAAATTCTACCCAACGGTAGGCGAAATCACAGTCGAGGTGAACAAGACCGGCATCACGCCTGTTAAGCTTGACGAAGGCAGTATTAGCCAACTCCTTCGTATGATGTGCTTTGACGGCCGACTGATTGCTTTGAATGACCACACGAACTACAAAGCTGTACGACGGCCGAACGAGATCATCAAGGCTCGTGCAGACTCAGATCGGCCGCCGGAAGTACAGCAAAAGACAATCTTCAACGGAAAAAATGGGATGACCGAAGCGCCCTGTGGGCAATGTCCGGTGTTCAAGATCTGCCAACCAGGTGGCACCGTGAGTCCAGAGAATTGCGAGTATTTTGATGAGTGGTTTGGGAAAGCTCTTGGTTTCTGAACAACGGTGCAGATCGAAATTTCTTTCAAACATATTGCATAGCGAGTGGAGTTTTGTGGTGAGATCGGATTATCTTGGATCCTTGATGCATAGCAGTTCACAGTGTACTTTATTGTGGAGGAGTTACCTAGATAGGACTCAATGATGTGTTGGTTCGTATAATTTGAACATCAATTTGAACTAATGGGTATATAAACTAAAGAACAGAACCAGAGAAGACGGCAAGGGCTATTTACCCAAAGTTTGTCTACACTCATCACAGTACCAAGTCCCCAATGGTTCCCTCGTCAATCCAACGCACTTCCAATGAAACCACTCATACGGACAATTGTCGTTATCACAAGCCACCATATCACCATGACTGACACTGCGACAAGTGCAATAGACCTTTGTATCTTCACCACCCTCATCCTCATCATCATCCAGTTCTTCGTCAGAATCTGCCATGGTATTTGGACCGTGTCCGGCCATACGTCGAGTAGTCGTGACGCTCGCGCCCTCCGACTCAGACACCTCGGCACTACTAAGCATAGAATCATCGTCGTCCTCGTCATCGTCCATGCCTCCAGTCGAAGGCGTCTTCTTGTGTCCCTTCATTTTCAAGCCGACGCTAGATGAGCGCTTGATGACTTTTGCAGTGCTGCTGGCAGCCTTGATTTTCTTAACTTGTTGATGCGGAGCCACTTTCTTGGTAGCGGCTTTCTTAATGATGCCCGTTGCACGAGGACCTGCACTCCCCGCACGGCTTGCAGCTGGAGTCCCAGCCTTGGGAGTGCCGGGTCCCAGCGATGATTGACGCAGATTCGAAGGCGCGGTGGGGAGTGTGCCGAGTGACCCATTCAAGCGTCTTCGTTTACTGTCAGCTGCACCCGCGGATGATTCTCGTTGTCGTTGTTGGAGATGCAAGGTCGCTGCAGATGGGGTGGATGGAGCAGAGCCACGGTTTGTCGGAGTCTGATGACCAGCTAAAGGATTGATGCTAGCTGCACGGGAAGCGGCTTGACCCATTCGTTGAGCAGCCGATACGGGTGTCGCGGCGTTTCCAGACGTAGGGTTTAAGGGTGTATATGCGGTTGAAGTATCAGACGTTGTTGCCGCTGCGGCTGCCAAATCTTGCATAAACGCCGCAGGGAGTTCTGCATATTGATTCTTATTGTCCAACAACGACGGTAACGGCGGGKCATTCGACAGTATTCCATCCTTGACCAACTCTCGAATCTTGATATCCAGTTTCTTGATCTGCCGATCGAGCAACACACACGCCTTTTCACTTAGATGAATCTTTTCATCCTGCAGGCTCTGGCATCGGTCAAGGTTCTGTAGAATCGTTTTGCTGTATTGTTCCTCCTTGGGATTCGGCGCGAGACTGCCGTTGAGCTTAATGAATTTCTGTATGCTGTTATCGCGCGAGTTGATCGTTGTGCGACATTCTTGGATGGTTTTGTCTTTGGCTTGGATTTCTTCCATCAAGTGCGTGATTTCGGCGGGKAAATTTGCGACTGTCGGTCGTTCTTGTCAGTTACCTCTTCCTTCACGCTGATCCGGCTTACTTACCATCGTGGATAAATTGCTCAAGGACAGTAGCGCAGTCTTCCGATGTCATTTTGATGATATGTACGTTTTGGTAAGGTGTTGCGATGATCAATGATGAGATATTTCCGTCTTGAAGGCCTCGATTGGCGTTAAGGTCATGTGATCTAAGCCTAATAGGGGAAAGCGCGATCTGATAATCTTCTGCCCGCGTCATCGGCTGCTCTATTGTCAACACTTGATGTGCTCTATTGACAATCCTATATTATTTTGTACTCACGAGGCGATGATGTGGTAGTATAGTATGTGCTCATGTTAAACGCCTGCTCATCTTTACTCTGGTTGAAAGGGTTAGTCACTACAATGTCTAATTTTAACTTTCTGATCCTTCAATCTTCAACGGTAGACCACATGTAGAGTTTCTAGGTAGCAACACTGCCTCGCTATGAATACAAAAAAGCCTCGTAGCTGCCTGCTGCCTCCCGTGACAGGTAGTTAGAAGGAAATCTCTCTTTTTTGTGCTGTTAACCTCACTATAGCAATAGATCTAACTGATATTGCGGGGTCTTCATCTTATCAACTTACAAATCTGTCGCAAGTCCCCGCAGTGACTAACCTTTGACGCGCAAGCAGTTTCGACCCTTACAAGCCAACGTCACCAAGACTCTCCTCGCTCTCTTCATAATTTCTTTAATTACATTGAGAAAAGTGAAGAGCATCATGGGAGACTCTCCAATCCCAGAAGGGATCTCCTCCCTTCTCGATACGGATCTGTACAAATTGACGATGCAATGCGCCGTCTTGAAGTACTTTCCCGACGTTGGTTAGTTCCTTCTTATTCGTCCATAAGGATTGACTATATTGATACGCAGATAGAGGTTACTTATGGCTTCACAAATCGCACTCCGGACATGAAGCTGTCGCGCCAGGCGTATAAATGGTTGCTGGAGCAGATGGAGCGTGAGTCTCAAATTTCATCTCCAAGTCTCACCAGCTAAAGGATAAACAAGGCCTTGAAAACATCACCATCACTCCCGACGAAATTGACTTTCTCCAAAAATCTTGCCCCTACTTCAATGACGCTTACCTCTCATACTTGCGCAATTTCCGCCTCAAACCCTCACAACAACTCCAAATTAAATTCACACCGGACGACAGCACCAACGACGACGATACCGCAGTAGGCGTCCTCGAGTACGCTGTCTCCGGCCTCTGGGTTGAAACCATTCTCTACGAAATCCCTTTACTCGCACTGACGAGCGAAGCATACTTCAAATTCTGCGACACAGACTGGAACCACAACGGGCAGGAAGAAAAAGCATATGCCAAGGGCATGACATTACTCGAGCACGGCTGCATATTCTCTGAGTTCGGCTCGCGACGCAGACGCGATTATCATACCCACGACCTTGTGATGAAGGGACTTTGCCGAGCTGCCGAAGATGCGCAACAGAAGGGGTTTCCGGGGAAGTTTTCAGGGACAAGTAATGTGCATTTTGCGATGAAGTATAGCGTTGCGCCGGTGGGGACGGTGGCTCATGAATGGTATATGGGGATTGCGGCTTATACGAATGATTATGAGAATGCAAATGAAATGGGGTTGAGGTATTGGTTGGGATGTTTCGGGGAGGGCGTTCGTCTCCCTTTGTGCTCAAATCGGAAATCCTCCATTACTAATTCTTTGGTAGGTGCTGGGCGTCGCGCTGACAGATACATTCGGTACACCAGCGTTCCTGGAAGCATTCAGCAAACCCATCCCAGACTACACCACACCCAGCCGAGGCTTAGAGGCAACATTCCCTTCCAGCGCCGCAACAACAGAAATCAACACACCCGAAAGCCTCGCAGACATCAAACCGCCTATTTCAGCACCATCGCATCACACCCCCAAACAAGCGCCACAAAAGACATACGCGCAGGTCTTTACGGGTATCCGTCAAGACTCAGGCGATCCCAAAAACTTTGTCAAACTCGTTCGCGAGTTTTACGACAAGCAAGGCATAACCGAGAAGAAAGTGATTGTCTTCTCAGACTCGCTCAAAGTGGACAATTGTCTAGAATACAAGGCTATATCCGAACAAGCTGGGTTTCAGCCTACATTTGGCGTGGGAACGTTTTTCACTAGTTCGTCACCCTTCCCATTTCCTTTTTTCTATCCGCTTTAGGTTCTTGTATAGCTGATATGTGGTGTAGATGACTTTACCAAACTCTCAACAAACGCAAAGTCCATCCCACTCAATATCGTCATCAAAATCGCTTCTGCGGGTGGTCGTCCCGCCGTGAAACTGAGCGACAATCTAGGTAAAAACACCGGCGATAAGCAATTGGTGCAGGAGGTGAAGAGACGCTTGGGGTATGTGGAGAGCGTTTGGGAGGACGGGAATGAGGCTACGCGGTGGGGGAAGAAGGGTGATTGACCTCTCTCATCTCTTAGAAATAGCTTAGATTTATGAGATTGTTAGATACGCCTTGCTAGAGATAGACATACATCGTTGCTCATTATGAAGGCTGCATGGATGACATGACCTATATAAAGCCTAGGTCTCTCTCCAGATCTCCTGTAATCATCGTCTGGCCTTCGCTTGATATCATTGGCGATATACCCGTTTTTTGGAGTTCAATCATATCGTTATCGTCGTGAATCATTAGTATATGCGGTGGGATTCCATTGTCAGCGTGATCAACAGCGGGGCCATGCCTTGACAGGAAAGGCTGAGAATCCATATCATTATCAAGGTCAATAGTCCAAAGGTCATTGTCCCTATTATGTCGATCACGGTGAGGCATATCTGGGTCCTGCTCCCAATTCATATCCCAGGTCGGGCTTTCACTAATCCGAGAGGCTTGATGTTTCTGTCTGAGTATCGACAGATCTAGCTCCGTTGCATTGACAAACGTAGGAGCCGCCTGAGGGCTATCCACAGTGTTCTGCATAACATACACCGATGTCAACATTGGCTGCTGTCCATGTTGTAGCTGGAACGCCTTTTCAAGACATGCAGTCTCATAGTCAGCTGCTGGGTAGATGTCTCGCAGGTCGCTTATAATCTCGATACACAAACGAAAATTCCATTTGCTTTCGTCTCTGACTGCTGGATTGGATGATTTCAGGTCGGTCAAGTGCGCGACTGCAGCCGGTATCATAACCGTCAATCCGTATGTAGGCAAATATGGCGTCAGTCCAAAATTTCGTAAGCGTTGAACGGTCTCTGCAATTTCAGATGCTGCATCTCGGATCTTCTTCTGAGCTGCGCTGGTCGATGTCTTTGAGCTGGTCAACGTATTTGCGATATTTAAAGACGCTCGTGGTCTGTATAGTGCAGTGCATGTAGCGTGGTAGATCATCTGCAGCATTGATGCGTGAAGTAGCAAGACGTCATCTCCAAGTTTGAGATCCTTCCTTTCTCGTGTCGTGATACATACTGCCTCCTCCGGAAGGTTGCCTAGCCAAGCATCTAATTTCTGACCACACCGTTGCAGCTCCGCATCGGACGCTTGTCGCGGCACCAAAGTGATTGTAGTTTCTTTCGTGACTCCAGAAACGCAGTTTGACGGCGTATATTGCGCGAAAAGCACTCGGCCCAGACATTGGCACAATTTGACTGTTTCAATAAATATAATGGCTAACCGCCGCTGAAGATATGTTTCCCCTGTGTAGCTGCAATCCAATAAGATATCGTCGACTGTATCATCATATGGTCGAATATCAAAATCGGTCAGTGCGACCAAAGGGACGTTGCAAATACCTTCATTGATTTGCGTTGGCCGCCGCAAAGCAAGAGCAATGAGTCGATCCCGAGAATATAGACACCACCAAAGCCGGATCCGCAGCCGCTTTGTCTGAGCAGTCATGTTGGACTTGGAAGGGTCACGATGTAATCCGATTGACTGTGCTTGAGTGTAGCACACACCAACCCAATGCCAGATATCTTTTTGTAGTGTTTCCTCTTTTTCGTAGTAGTATGTCATTAGTAATATAGATTGTATGATTGCGATGCGGTCATCCTCGTAGTCAAAGACATACAGTAACTGGACAAAGATAATCATGTTAGGAGATGCATTCCACATCATGTTAGGGTGAAGTACCGACCCGTGTATTATTAAAAAAAGCCTTTCGAGCTTCTCTTCTAGTCTTAAAGCCAGCATCTTGGAGATGTCTTAGATCGACAAAGGCAGTGCCGGCGAACATAACTGCTTGGAAAAGCAGCAGACTTATATTGGCATCTGGATCATTCTGAGCAACAGCCTCTAGGAAACTGTGCAAATCCAATACCGGCAACGAGCTATACACCCATTGCACATATGCTTTGAGTAGTTCTTTCCGCAGCGACGGTTCTGGTATAGTCAGAGCACCCTTCGATCGTAGATATTCCACATCTTCAGAAGCAATACGAGACGACAGCGGCTTGAGAAACCGGGGCGACTCGTCACCAAACAGGAATTGCTCGAGTTCCGGATGAAAGTCCGGATCGATCAATTCTCGCACGGCGTCGGTCATATTTGCTAGTGGAAGCGATGAGGGCACAGCGCTGTCACCCATGACTCTCCAGGTAGAATTCCGCCTGTGTGCATTGCGACCGAGATTCCGGGATTTGAGAGGAAGGGCGTTGTCTGTGGAGATCATCTCCGTCGAGTAGTTTGCGGGGGAGTCGACATCGGAGAACTTGCGTTTGGGCGACATGTTGATTGTCGATTTAGTCGATGCTAAAATTGGCTTCCATGATGGATAAGCAGGAGTGAGGTTACTGAAATGAGGAGTAAATTAGTCCGACTACATTCTGCTTAGTGTCAATTCTGTCAAGCGCATGGCCAACGGAGACTAATCTGGGGTAACTCCGACCTCGTCCCCGCGTGACTGCCAGAATGGTCTTGGCATGATCTCTGATTACTAAGCACTGCTTAGTAACAAGGTCACATGTCGGCACGTGTTCTGGTCTCGTTCTCGTCTCGAGAAACGCAGGAAACGTGATGGTTACACCGTCACACCCAATAGTGGGCGCCGGATTTGGAAGTAGTATGATCTGAAGAAGAGAACGTTTGCGATCATTTCTCAACTCTGCAGATTGCTATTTTTACATACATAGGTTCATGCTTGACAGCCTGTCAGTCTTAGCCACCACCACCACCACCACCACCTGCAGTCAAATTCATTGGCAGGAAAATATTCTGCAGCCTGGTGTCCCACTATGACATGGCGATCAACAAAACACCTGTCTATCGCCACGAGAAGTTCTTCGCAAACCCCTACGCAGTTCGGAGTGTTGATATGTAGCTGCTAGCTGGCAATCCTAAGTAATATAGTATGGATCCTCCGAAGATCCCTAGCAGGGCTGAAGTGTTGGTCGTTTGTGTAAAGCTTGTGCTCAGCTTGGGTGGTGGCCCGGTAACGCCAGGAATGCTGTTGCAAGTAGTCTTCTAAGTACGTATTGATCTCTGGAAGAAATAAATACATACTGGCGAAAGCCTGATCTGAGCAATTGACACTATTGTCAAACATAATTGCATTCACCAACCTTCATGGAAAGGGGCTGATCATCGGTGGATCTCAATCTGGACGCTTATTATTATGTAGTATAACTAGTGATTAGCTGTAGCTCATACCAGCGAGTCCTGATGCAAATAGATACAGCCACGCCGTGAGACCTATACAACTGCTCAATTGAGCAACTACAGTGCTCTAGAATATTAAAAGCTGCTGCCTTTATCGAAAAATTGCAAGGTACACACTTGTACAGACTATGTAAAGTACTGCAAGAATAGAGAGCATGGTGGGTACAAGGGCTGTGCTTTACGTCCCGGCCAATGGCAGCGGCGGCTCGCTTTAGCCGCTGGCGCCACAGCTTGCTTAGCTGAATGGCTGGTCTGTCACTGCGGTGTCTCTGCTGTGTTTCAGTCTCTTAATTATTTTCCCTGCCCCGTGTTACTTACCTACCGATTTCATCTTACTCCGACTACCTTTTCTATCTCTCTTCCTCCTTCACTCTTCATCTCGGTGGATTCTGGATCTATTTTAAATAGATTAATCCGTATACCTTATTTGCAAGCAATTTCTACGCAATTGCAGAGGCCATATTTTACTCGCAACCGTCATCAGCAGCCAGCTTGCGATTGCCGTTGCCTCCACGCAAATCTCGTCGACGACCCTCGGGATACAACACCACCTCGACATTTTCGGGCTTCTAGAATTTACTATACACAATCAGAATGAGTGTGAGTCATTCCATCACCAAAAATGAGTTCGACCCGGTCATCAACGGTTGCGCGCCTCGTTGTGAGCTTCAAATCCACTGACCATGAATCACCAAGTATCAGAACTACGGCAACCAACAGAGTGGTGGCTACGGCCAATATGATCCCTACAGCCAGCAGACCAATCCCTATGACCCTCCTCAGCCATCGCGAGACTTCCCCGCTCAATCCCAGCGTTACAACGATGTCGAGTCCGGAAACGGCGGCTATGGTGAGTTCTACCAGCTAATAGTCGTTGATATTCATAACTAACGGCGTGACGACAGAATTGGGCCAGGCAAATAACACTACCAGCATTCTGAACAAGTGCACTGAAATCAACGATGGTCTCCGGGAACTCCGAACAAAGAGAGAAACCCGACTTGCGCAGGCGCAGCACGAGCTCCTCGATTCCAGCACGGGCAAGGAAGACCAGGCTGCTCGCCAGAACCTCGACTACGTGGAGGACGACATCAACAACACATTCCGCTACCTCCGCGACCTTTTGAAGAAGATCAAGCAGACCCCAGGATCCGGCGACTCGCGCGTTCAGACTCAGATCGATGTCACCAGCCGTAACTTGCGAAAGGAGATCGAGCAATACCAGAAGGCTCAGTCCGAGTTCCAGAAGCGTCTTCAGGAGCAGGTCCGCCGACGATATGAGATTGCCAACCCAGATGCTACCCCGGATCAGGTTGATCAGGGTGTGCAGGCCGTTCTGCTCGGACAGGAGCAGAGCTTCCAGGTATTTTTATCGTCTTGTTGTTGAAGACATAATACTAATTAGTTTAGTCTACTGGCTTKCGCACACGACAGGCCAACGATGCCAGACAGGCAGCCTTGGAGCGATCGACCGCCATTCGCAAGATCGAGCAGGACATGATTGAATTGGCCCGTTTGTACCAGGAAGTTGCCGAACTGGTTCAACAGCAGGAACCCGCCGTGGAACAAATCAACCAAGGCGCAAATGATGTCGTTGAGAACGTCGACAACGCCAACAAGCAGATTGACAGCGCTATTGTCAGTGCTCGCAACGCAAGACGGTGGAAGTGGTACATTTTGATTGTCGTTAGTAAGTATTGTCTATTTGATTATAATCTCCTCAGCTAGAAGCTAACATTTTCAGTCCTCATTATTGCGATTGTCGTCGGTGTCGCCGTGGGTGTCACCGAAGCCAACAAGTCTCATTAAGGACACTATCAGCCGATACCAACTGGCTTAACGAAGCGTGTGATGACCAATATCCAGGCTTTTGCTTTTTATTCTACTATAATTCCTGTCCTGCAGTCTGTACAGCTGAAAATTCGTGTTTCCTTTCCTGTTTTTGCTCTTGTATCCACCTACCATCACTATCGCTTCCGCCGATTCCCCAATTGTAGTCTACTTTTCTAGTCGTTTTCCAATTTTGTTATGTTGCAAAAGCTATTCTTCCTGCATGACGCTCTCTAGCTCGTCAATGAAACGAATCGATCAATGGCAAGTCTGATGCTGCTTGCCGTTGTACATATTAGATTTGCTTCTTTGTGTGTTTCCTGTCTGTCTTTCCTTTCCTGCCATTCATTTCTCCTGTTCTTTTCTTTTTGGCGCTAGATTGTTCTAATAATAAATGATTTGCTCTCTTTGTATGCTCGTTTTATATACCTAGTATAAACAATCGCTATTTTTGTCCTCTATCGTACCTAGGCACGGATATAGCCGATCAGTTCTGGGCCTCCCTTTCAGCCTGCTTCCTCTCCTCCTCTGGCGTCCTCGTGCGTAGTTGTAGCGCATGTATCCCTCCTTCGCGGGCCATCTCCTCCTTGAAAAGTGAATAGACCATTCGGTGACGCGCCGGTTGCGGTTTGGATTGGAATGCGTCTGAGACTATTGTTACACTAGATGGACAAGCGTGAGCAGCTGCGCGTGTGCGTGCGACACGCAAATAGAGGGAGAGGGACGGACTGGAAATGGGTTTCCTTGGATGTACTACCTTGCATCGGCGCATGGTGGGCGTGGAGATGTGAGTCGTTGCGGATCTGGAGGGTTGTGGGGGTGAATTCTGCGACAAGCTGTGATCATAAAGTGTCAGTTTCAGTTAATAGTAAAGAGTTGCATGGGGTTGAGAGACCTTGTCCCGCATCGCATCCTCGACCGGAGTCGTGGATGAAGCTGTTGAGGACATTCGGGTTATGGCTGATCGGTATGGCGACGTTGATGTGGGAATGGTCGCAAAGATGCGCCTGTTGAGTAATTGTGTACTTAGGGTTCGCATTGATATTATAGTGTATGTGTCGTTGTTGATGATATGAAGAAGGAGAGAGAGAACAGGTGACATCAGTTAAATTTCCATAGGGAAGGTCCAGACTCCACTCGCATTGCCGCGGAAGTCGAGTCGTCAGATCCAATCAACGTCTCTAGCTTCAGATTTTATCTACGACAACAACTCTACAGGGCATGACATAAGCCAACGTTGGAAGGCTATGTAGGTATCAGCAATCAACATGCTCATTCGTGTATCGCTAAGGGCTTGTGCGCAAGTCCGTCGCGATGCATCACGAGGCAGCACCTTCCTGGTCAAGCAGCTCATTGCAAACAACCACCGCCAACATCGCAGGCTATCGTCTTTAGTCAATGCAAGTCCATCGAACAGATCAAACCTCTTCCAAGCTCTTGCCACCCACGACCCGCTCAGTGTAGCCGTGGAACACTTCAATACGAGACGCAAATTCACCTATGCAGACCTAACTAGGGATATTCTTGAATCACAAAAGCGACTCATAAAGAAATGTTCCACCAGAGGAGTATCGTCTCTCAGGGGCGAGAGGGTTGCTTTTGCGGCGACGAATGATTATTATTCCGTGGGTACTGTGTCCTAGCTTCTTGGCCTCAAAGAATTAGACTGACTATAAAAGTGAACCTGTTCTCTATCCTGGCCAGTGATGCGATTGCAGTCCCAGTGTTGCCTGGTCTCCCTTACCCTGAAGTCAAGTACATCCTAGATAATGCGGACGCAAAGATGTTACTTTTGACGGAAATTGGAGGGGAGAAAGTTCGGAAAATGATAAATTGGTTCATTAGCGCAGATGATTTGATTGTCGATGTGATAGATGGTGTCCCAATGCGTGGTCACTTTGAGATATCACAGAAAGTCGACTTTCCCGATGTACAAGACGCAAGAGGAGGTCTTATGCTGTATACTTCTGGGACTACGAATCGACCGGTACGTTATTTGCAGATCAGCACAGCGGTGCATACTAATCATCATACAGAAAGGTGTCTTTTTACCGTTATCCGCGTTACAAGCCCAAGCGCAGTCTTTGATCGAGGCTTGGAAGTATACTCCCAAAGACCGACTGCTACATCTTCTTCCACTACACCATATACACGGCCTTGTGAATGCGCTCCTCGTCCCGATTCTTGCGGGCTCGACAATTGAATTCATGCCAGTCCCAGCGGCTCCGTCTGCTATTTGGAATCGATTAGCTGCGCGATTCTTAGAGCAGCGACGAGGCCAGAATCCAAAGGCCTACAAGAACATCACCTTCTTAACAGGTGTGCCAACTTTGTACACGCGGCTCATGGCAGATTTTCCTTCATTGCCCGACGACGTTCAAGCTGCAGCCAGAAAGGCAATTTCGCGGAAAAATCTACGATTGAATATCTCGGGATCAGCGGCATTACCGACGCCGACAAAAAGCGCCTGGACAGAATTGAGTGATGGGAATGTCCTCTTGGAGCGTTACGGTATGACTGAAGTAGGGATGGCTATAAGCTGTGGACTAGACCGCAGAGGTCGCGTTGACGGTAGCGTGGGCTGGCCATTACCATCGGTTGAGGTCAGATTATGGGATACGGACAAAGAGGAAGTAATTTTGCCCGGCGAAGAGATCGATAAAGAGACAGGCCGTGAACGAATAGGAGAAATCCAGTTACGCGGACCCACGATTTTTCGTGAGTACTGGGGTAATCCCAAAGCCACCAAAGAGGCTTTTGTTGCAGACGACGATGGTAAGGGGAAATGGTTCCGCACAGGCGACGTCGCGGTGCGAAGGATAGTCGAGGGCAGTGACGGGGGAAGCCGCAATGAATGGGCTAGTGGGCCAATGTATTTTATCCAGGGCCGTCTTAGTGTGGACATCATCAAAACAGGAGGCGAGAAAGTGAGCGCACTTGAAGTTGAGCGGGAGCTGTTATCATTGTGCGTACACCTTACCTTCATCTACCTTGCCTTACGTTCTCCTTACCTTTCATTCACCTTTCATCTATTTTGACAGAGCAAGTCTAATATTTACAGGCCTGAAGTTGCGGAAGCAGCTGTCGTCGGTCTCCCGTCTGAGACATGGGGACAGAGAGTGGCCGCGGTAATCGTTCTGAAAGAACAACACACAGCATCGCAAGGGCTGACTGACAGTAATGGCGACGAGACAAGCAGCCGCGGCATTTACAAACCATGGGGTCCACTCCATCTGCGTCGACTGTTAGGCGATCGTCTCGCAGCGTATAAACTTCCGCACGAAGTCAAGGTTCTTGATGGGCCTATTCCGAGAAATGCAATGGGCAAGGGTATGTTCCTACTGTTTCTCTTTGGAGATGAAGACGCTAACAAAGCGTAGTGAACAAAAAGGCACTTGTCAAGGAGATTTTTGGAGTAGAGGGATAACCAGTACGTCGTGTACGATAGTGAGTGTAAAATAAGTAGTCCTTCTGTCCTTGCATCTACTCTTCTACTAGTACTGGAAAGTAGATTTGATGGTATCACGTCCTTACTGTATATTACCGATACAGCTCCATACCGGCCCAATGTGGATATGGTTTAATTAAATCCTCTGTGATGGAGATGATTGGCTTGTTCCTGGCAGTAGCACTAACCGCCGTGGAGTTAGCGTGGGTTCAATACGGTCTAGATGTATTATATACGACCAATACAGGAGATCAGAGCAATCCCCTGACGATCTGCAAGTAATCAAGTAACCTGAATGAAGAAGATACTTAGCATGCTACAGTACACAGCAAGACTTGAGTTGAGTGAGTCAAGTAAGGATACCGATGATCCAGTAGCGATCCTTACTTTTCGCTGCTTGACTGTACGTAGTCAGCCAGGAATCAACGACTGCAAGGATTTAAAAACATTATTGTTGAGTTCAAAGTCAGCGAGAGTAGGCTCCCCACCAGCCAACTCAGTCGGTGCTAGCTGTATCTTTAGTATATTTAGCGTGCCGTCCCCTTTGCCGCTTCCCCCATCTATTTCTGCGCCGCCTCGCTCGCTCTTTCTTCTCTCTCCAACAACCTCAAGAACCACTCCGTTCAATTCACTCTTTTGAATCAACCCAACTGTCCCGGTCGTTTCACGCCGATTACATTCGTTCTACACTCACGCTCTGCTAAATCAACTCGATTTACGTACCACGTCTTGCAGTTTTACTTCTTGTTAATCTTTGATCTATATAATCATTTCTCAACACCAACAACATCAGTCAACATGCGTTTCACTGCTGCTTCCATCGTCGCTTTCGCTGCGGGCGCTCTCGCCTCTGCTAGCTCCAGCGTTCCTGTTGTCACCGAGGTCATCACTTCCTACGAGACATACTGCCCTGAGGCCACCACCTTCGTCGCTGGAAGCTCCACTGTGTCCGTTACTGCTGTATGATCCCATACTTGGTCACATGTCGCAATGAACATGATTGCTAATGTTAGCAGCCCGGTACCGTCACTCTCACCGGCTCGTACACCGTGACCCGTCCTCTGTTGAGCTCCACCGTCACCATCTGCAACTCCTGGTACGTCCTGCACTTTCACTTCTAGCAGCGAAATACTAACATCCAACAGCAGCAGCTCTACCGCCGTCCCCGCCCCTCTCGGCACCGGCTCCCCCAAGCCCTACAGCTCCGTTCCTTCTCCTGCCCCTGCTGCCGGAAAGACCACTACCGCCGTTTCCCCCGCCTTCACTGGTGGCGCTTCCCACGTCGCTGCCGGTGCCGGTGCCGGTCTCGCCGCTGTTTTCGGTGCTGCTGCTTTCTTGCTTTAAATCATTTCGCCATGTTTTTGATCTTCAATTCTATCTAAGCAAGGAAGGGGATCAGATAAGATACTACAAGCACGATGAATGAACAAACAAAGGACTGCTGGCTGCTTCGCTTCGATTCGCATTATACCTAACCTGACTTGACTTGTTGAATTCCTATACCTATACCTAGTGGCTCAATTTTCTTCTTTTAATTGTAATATAGCGTTTATATTAAGTTTGGACTGTTGATGAAGTACTCTTATATTGTAGCGGTTATTGGCTGTAGATGTTTGTATAGTGGAACCCACCGCTCAGCAACGAAGTTCAGATAAATTTTACATCGTGGAGAGAGTGTTCTACTTATTTGCTTTTTAGGATGGCCTTGGAATGCTGCATTCCTGGAGATGTCACGCTATCAAATCCAGATACCGTCTAGTGGAGTTGTGGGGTGAGCATCTCGTTATCAATGACATCTAATGAGTCACATCACCGTTGCATTCGAATCGACACGTATAAACTCGCAGTACATACCGCGTGATCTCGAACATATCAACGGAAACCATCCTTGAATATTGTAAACACATATCTCAATGACAGTTGAAGGATACACCCACAACCCTCCCTTTGACACGGGCTTTCTGTCTGTCGGCTCAATCCACAAACTACACTACGAGCAATACGGCAACCCAAACGGAAAGCCAGGTACGTCTTTCTCAAACCAACATTAGGAATCACCTACTCACTGAGAGAAAGTGATATTCCTCCACGGCGGCCCAGGAGGAAACACCTCCCCTTCCAACACCTCCTACTTCAACCCACTCATCTACCGTGTCGTACTCTATGACCAGCGCGGCGCCGGTCAATCCCTGCCAAACTCGTGCGTAGAAGAAAACACAACGCACCATTTGCTGGATGACATTGAGTCGATACGCAAACATCTGAATGTGAAGAAATGGTTCATGCTCTTCGGCGGCTCCTGGGGCTCGACGCTTGCATTGCTTTATGCGCAACGATTTCCGGAGATGGTGGGTTCATTGGTGCTAAGAGGGATATTTACGGCGACCCAGGAAGAGATCGAGTGGACGCGGTTGCCCGGTGGTGGTGCAGCCAGAATTTGGCCTGCAGAATACGAGAGGTTTTTGCAGTTTTTGGATGATGAGGAAAGAAAAACGCCGGTGGAGAGTTATTATAGGTATATCTTGAATGAGTCGGGTGACGAAGTGGCAAGAAAGAAGAAGGTTGAGGCGGCGCGGGAGTGGAATAGATGGGAATTAACGATTGGGGCGTTGACGCATACACCTTCGACGTATGAGAAGTTGATGGATGAGGATTGGGTGATGGCGCATGCGACGTTGGAGGCGCATTATGAGGCGAATGGAGCGTGGTTGGAGGAAGGGCAGATATTGAAGGAAGAGAATATGAGGAGGATTAGGGGTATTCCTGGTATGTGGTTCACCTTTTCTAGTCCCGTGGGTAGAGAAGGGGGTGGATTTTTGTACTGATGAGGAAAAAGGGACGATAATTCAGGGACGATATGATGTCGTTTGTCCGCCGCAGACGGCGTGGGAACTGCACAAAGCGTGGCCGGGGTCGAGGTTGTTTATGATTCCGGATGCGGGTCATGGTGGTACTGTGAGTGTCTAGCAAGTTGAATTGTGTGGTTGACTGGCTAAAGCTGGATTAGGAACCTGGTACGAGGAAGAAGCTCATGGAAGTTTGTGATGAATATGCAGTGATGGATTTTTGATGTTCAGACGTACGTTGAGTGTTCATTTAGTTACGGTAACATGAAGAATGATTTGAATGAGATATTTTTTATATCGGTATTGGCCATTCTAGTAATGTCGCTACTAAAGGCTAGGTGATATGCAAACCCGTTCGAATTTTGTAACTCTATATACACATAGTAGTAAAGTTGATTATAGTGAGCTATAGAGTATAGGTCAACTTTATCTAGGTCATATTGCTTGCCATATTTACATAGCCCCAAAGAGCAACATGAAATCAAGGGAGAGGGAGTCTAGAGCCATACCATAGAAGTTTCCCCGTTATAGAAGCCACCCAACAGAGCAAGTTTAGCATATCATCCAACCCAAGTCCTAATTTGGTTGATAGCGGAAGTATATCTAGCACGAGTATACAAATTCACTTCGTGGCCGAGTAATGCAATCGACATTGCTGATATAATTTTGATTGCGTGTGGCCAGAGCGGACCGGTGAAAAAGAGCAAGGCAATGCATATGTTATCTTGAGCAGTGTTCAGACGAGTTCAATTGATGTCGTGATCAATAGTGACAGCTGGTTTAGATGGGTCGAATGATTCTGTCGGGTTAACGAAATCGGCATTGTGAGTGAAGTCATGCATATCAGTAAACACAGTCATATACTACGCATAGTGATACATCCAGTCATATTATCGTGTCAAGCTCAATGTAGCTCAAGTGTAAAATCGCCCTATATATTTTTATCATCGAAGATATATTATACTATTCATTTTTAGCCATTAGTCTCAAAGAGGCCTTTCACAAAGAGTTGTTCAATCCTGTATGTGGGACAGTTCTATATCAATCCAAGATACGTCCTGACTGGTGGAAGTCTAGAATACCATGTGCCTCTTCAAGTTCAAGACTTCATGATGGATGAAGTCTGATACAACAAAAGTGAGCACGGACGGCTACAGTTTCCACTGGTTCCATTGATAACCTAGGACTCTCATGAATCTCATCCTAAGCATATGTCCGTCAAGATGAAACCGTATCACTGAAGGCGGAGATCACGGCCAAAATCCACAACGACGTAAAGCCTGACTTCACTGGAATACGATTGAAAATATACAAAACAGTCTTTAAGGAGCGTATGCACGCAATGGATTGGCTTCAACACAGACTCTATGAGAGCCAACCCTATTTCTTAGGGGAACTACAGTAGACAGTCAAGAGACTACTACTACTCACAGATCCCAAATTGCCTCATACCATCTGGATGCTGTCTTTACTACATTTCTTGCACTGTGCGAACATGATTATGGACATTGTTGGGAAAGCAATTATGCAGCTCTAGGTTTTCCTAGAAATTCGTTAAACACCTAGGCTACTATCAGTAAAGGTGATGGCTACGCCGAGGCTGTTGTGACGTCGCGTATGGTCTGGTCTCCGTTTGAGTCAGCTACTATTCGTAAGACTCACCCATTCCGGTTGCGTTGACTGGACACCGGGTTTCTTAGTTTTCCTCAATTCTTATTTGTAGTCTTCTTTGATCTTGTGGCGACTCGTTCCAGATTGATGATTACACCATGCACCTATCAGCCTGTCAATATGCAATTTCAAGTGCTGTGTTCGCTGTGACTATTGTAGTCAATGGCGGAAAAGCGGAACCATGGTTTGATAAATTACCTATCCAGGTAATCGTTGTTAAATTCGTTTCGTATCGAGCGAGCCCTAATCATGCCGATGTTGAATCTCGTCTTTCAGACATAGATCGACTATTATCGATACATGATCTGCAAAACTTCATTGTCCTAGTTCGAGAGTTGTAATGATTTCTGTAAAACATCAATGGAAAGACCTTTCTCTTTTATGTTCGCGTGTACTAGCACTCGAAGCATAAACAGCCAGACAGCCCCTCAAAGTCATCTCTCGTTCCAAGAAGCATCTGATTCTTCAATAATTGCTTCATATTCCCATAATATTGATTGATTCGGAAAGTTTTCCTCTTACGTATTGACTCGTCCGATATACTCGAGTCATTACTGAGCTGTGTCCCCTGGAATCCTGTCAAATTTGACGATGCGATCACAAAGCGCTCTTCGATATCTAAAGCAAGGAAGTTACAATCGAGGCATTGAGATAATTTAAAAGAGACTGAGCGGTCTATAATATGGCAAATATCATGTAGTCCGAGTCTGTGAGAGAAGGAAGCTGGATGAAGAATGTGATACGTATACAATAATGAGTCGAAAACATACTACGTATAGGTTGTATGAGGAGCAACCTTACATCTTTCTTTCATACCAGTAGCCAGACCGTGAAACTAATTTAATGTCCAATCTAAGAGTGGTGCGGACCCCGGAGTGCAGTTTCCGTGACTCAGGCTATCCGAATCTGAAATTGTGAAACAAAGGAGGAGTGATACTCGATCGCTGATTGAGTCAAGATTGTAACTGATCGATCTGTCAAATGTCAAAATGCTCGTGGTGGCCTAATAATATGTCGCACACGTACAACTCCAAGTGGCCCTTGCATACAAATCTCGACCCAAAGAGGGCATTATCCGGTCTGGATTAGCGGTAACGACTGCATCTTGCCAATTCGCCGTATCCAGAATCTCGATTGATCGTTGTGTATGGAGTAGTACATACTGGGTAGTTATACTCCGTGCTACACAAAAGGTAAATGCAAGACGCCGAGAGACACGGCTGAGCATGACGCAGAGCCTAACCCCTTTTCTTATCGTTCACGTAAGCTTTGAACCTTCCGGATTAGCCGCGGCGGTCGAGACTTTTGAGAGCATAACATTAACTGAAATGTGGCCTGGCTATTGGATACGTAAACCAGTTAATATCAGAGATAAAGCCCCCTGACAGCAAGCGTGCTGTCAATGCTTCGTGCCGTTAGAATGCATGTGGTTCAGCATTGAATAGTCGGGGATGTCGAGGCGAAGGGCATTGAATATGACGATTGCGGGCTATGAGGCAGCTGCAATAAGAAGCTGTGATATAGGCCACGAACTGCAATAACGGGCATAATATGGATGATAATCTACGGAGTATGTAGTACATACACAGTACCGTAGTAGTTGAATAGGAGACTGGGAGAGAGTCCACGGAAGGAGAGGTCCACTGGTCCCTTCCTCAGTTCCTCGTTCCGGGTCTGCGCTTTCCCAAAGAAGGAGCGGGTCGCTCCTGCCTCGCCGATCATTCTTCCTCTTCCTGCAGCCCTTTCTATCTCTGTCCAACTTTCCGTTCATCTCGGTCTTCTTTCATACCTCGTTATCGTTCGATGTTTCAATGTTTCATCTACATTGTCCTCAAAACCCTGCTCTGCCACGAATCTAGTGACGGTCGAATCAACCTTTGCTGCTCAATGTGATTGCAACGGTGGCCGTTCCGTCTCTCGCATGGCCGCAGCCCCATCACAAAAATCATGCCGTCTCGCCGGGATTGCGGATGCTACTGTCCTAGTGCGCTCTTTGACTCTTGAATTGACAAGTCGTCCATGCTATTTGATTTCTATCGAATTCATCGCATCTACTCCGTGCTCCGTACCGCGACGTGTTCGTACTCCGCGCCGCGACTACCGCTCGAGCGAGACCTGGACAAAACCATTGTTAATTACCACGTACAGGATGCATCATGTAGAGCACTTTGAACTAGACGCGCTAGCGACAGAAAAAGAAAAGCAGCACCGAACAGCGATCGACTCCATGTTTCCAGCTGGTGACACGAACAGACGCAAGGGTGTCAATTCTTAAACTAGCTTAGCCCAGCGTCGCCACCAGCGAGAGCAGACCGTGCTAATTTGCAAGCCTAAATTGAAGCCTAACGGGCTTGGTGCCAAAATTGTGCATGATCAATATCCAATCAAGCCCCTGACTCAGTATTGCTGCGGATCTCCAATATCGCAGTCGTTCATCTGATTCGTCTTCTGCGCTTTTTTGCGCGAGGAGAGATATCGACCAGTCCTGTTATGTCATCAGCGCTCAAAGGAAAAAAAAAAAAAAAAAAACAAATCAGAAAAATAGGAGAACCTTGCCTGGCACTTAAGTGGGTATGTTTTTCTATGCTAATTCGTACTAAAACGCATCGCGTATTCTTGACCATGCTAACTACGGAGTAGCATCCCGTACTACCATCTTTTTCAGTATGGCTCGAACCCGTACTCCGTAAGTCTCCCACTTCGCAGCCAGGCATCTCCACCAGAGCTCGAGGAATAATGAACGCTCTGAGCAGAGAATCCGAGAAGCCTCATGCATCCTCTCACTTCATCGCGAGCTTCCAAGCCAAGAGGACCCACTCCCTTAGGGTGAATGACTCTCTTGAGTTAGCTCTCTCGGCTCTGAACGTTTCCAAAAGACTGGTCCGTTCATCCAAGCTTGGAGGAAATGTCTAGTCATCGTAGTCGTACTAGTCGTCTTCTAGTGCTAGACTGCGTGGGGGGAGGGCTGGCCGTCATTTCCACTCCTGTGGCACCTGCTCGTCGTCGTGTTGGTACGTATGTACTATGTAGTCGCAGTCTCGCGAGTCGCGCTCTCTCCTTAAAACCTTAAGCAGCGCAAGACTCTATTTCGTTGGTTAGCGCGATTGGATATTGTTTCATTCAACCGTTTGCTTTCAACTGCCTGTTGTTTTACTCCATCACCGTCCCAAGGTCTTCATTGACAGCAATTGCAAAGTGCAATATGCTTTAAGTTTGTGGCAAGTTGTCGCAGAAGTCAACGATCTGCGAGCTCAACGCCATTCACTCATTATTGGTAAGTTCAGTCCTTCCATATATCACAAAGTCTAATCGCAGAGGGTTCAAGAGAATGTTCATTTGGTAGTGCACAGATACTAAATCAATTTATGTCTCTTACAGTTTCTTGTTACCTTCCAGCCCATCTCTGTTCTAACGGAAGTCGAATATCGCTGGTCGTTCTTTTTGCTCCGTTCTGTCAATCTTGAATATCTCCTTATTTCATTTAAATCGATCATTCGGCTACAGGTTGAGCCTCACTCTTTATACAACCGTCGCAACGATCAGGCTGGACCTGTGACTGGGCCCGCGTGCATCTCAACAGTACCTGACCTCATGCTGGACGACATGTTTCCATAAATACCGGGGAACAATTGGCAATATTCATTTGGAGAAGTGGATTGAAATTACAATGGACTCAGATACGTTCTCCTCACCGCCACCGGTGCCCTTTCGAGCACCGTCGAGGGCGACGTCTCATCATCGAAGGAATTCGTCACTTGGCGCGATACCCTCATCGGCTTTTGAACCATATTCTCCCGTTGTTGATGATCACGACCTAGGTTCCGACAATGCAGAGGAAGAGCCCTTTTCTACATTTGACCCGCGCCGTTTTACACCAACCCTTCACGCAAACCTAGTTTCCGAGATCCTGTCACTGAGGCGGGAACTTGAGAGCAAAAACAAGGAAATAGGCAAATTGGAGACGAGCCTTGACGAGTCACAAAATGAGTATGAGTTACTGAATGAAAACATGACCAAGGTCACCAAAGAAAATCGCTCCCTGAAAAAACAGATGAGCCTGCTCGAAGGAGGTACTCTGTCAGCAATTACCGATATAGCCAAGGAGCGAGACGAGGCCGTGGAAAATATCACGGACGTCCGCAAACGCTTGGAACAAGCTCAGAAGAAACTAAAGTCCAAAGAGGATGAAGTGGATAGATCTCAATCGCTCTGGGAACGAGATAGGGAAAATTGGGACACCGAGAGGAGAAATTGGGAACGAAAAGTGCACGTTGTGGAGAATAGGCTTAAGACCATATTACACGAAGTCGCAGCGGCACAGGCTGCAGGCAATCTTCAGAAAATACATGACGCCGACGAGGACGCCGCGAAGGATAACAGTACGACTTTGGATAGCGCCAGCGTCCGATCCAGCAGTGCCTTTGACCGACGCCGAACGAGTGCAAGTAGCGCTAGCACATATGACGGAGAGCCCTTGAATAGTGGTCGATTCTCCTCGATGAGTTTTGCCAACGCAAATGGTGTAAAGGGAGATGGATTCAACCTGGCGGACGAACTGGCGTTTGACGAGGACGAGGAAGATTATATGGATCTCGTAGACGAGATACCGGAGATGCGGCCTCTTTCTGTGGCTTCACAATCGTCTTTGAATACAGCTCTCAAAGCACGGAAGATACTAGGCTTATCTATGGATGGAAATGTGGCTGTTGGCGCAAGGGACATCAATTTAGACGAGTCTGCGCCTACAGCCAATGTTACAGAAGTCAAACGACAACCGGAATATCGCGATGTTGGCATCCAGTTTACACCGCCCCCATCCCCTCTGCTACCTGCAAGTGACGTTGAAGCTGTCAAAGAGCCAGAACTTGAGCCTGAAATTGCCTCGACTATGGTCCCCGAAATGAAAGATACTGCGGTCGAACCGATTGCTGTAGAAATGTCTTCCACGTCGTGCCAGACCGACAGTGTTGTGATTTCCATCGCAGCTACTGAGCCCGTTACCGTTGACACACAAGCTCCTACAGAACCTGCAGTACCCCTCAAATTACCAACTGTCTCTATTTCCACGCAGACTGATGCGATATCTGAAGTCGACAAATCGACTCAAAGTCTTCCGGAAGAAGTCCAGCCAACAACTCTAAACAGTCCAACCGTGCCAACGATTGCTATTATCCCCCCAGGATCGGAGCCAGCAACACCACGCACCAGCCTTGTCTTGCCTCCGCATACGAAGAGCATAGCAACTCAGACAGAATATGAGCAGTCATACGACATGCGATCCGTTGGTATGCAAACGGAAGCAATTCAAGTCGATCAGCGCCCAGTCAAGCTCCCCGCTAGCCTCCTCCCGTCAGCAATCTTAGACAAGGAAGATAAGGTCGATGCAGAACTGATTTCAATGCCATTCATGTCGCCTCCTCCACGCTCTCCCCATAGGCCTCTGAACAGAACGTTCGACTCGAAAGAAAAGGACAAGAAAGCAAAACCCCAGCCAGATCTTGTTCAAGCTTATCCTGGAAACAATGACAATGGTCCCTTGGCAGAAGACGATAAGTCTGATATCCGCAGACCGCTTCGATCAAGCAGCCTGTTTGCTGGATTTGACACGAATGATGATGAATTGCCAGAAATGTTACCCGAACTTCCCGATGTCTTTAGCGACGACGAGATATTCAATCGTCCCATGGCTTCCTATACTTTGCGGTCTGGTCGACTAGTTAATCGGTCGGGCTTGAGCAATGATACCCTACGCGAAGAGGATGAATTCGATATTGATTTGCCTTCAACTGCGCAAGGTGGAGACAATGCTGGACGGAAAACTCTTCAGTCGAAGGGCTCAGCTGGGTCAAAACAGCCTGACATACGTCGATCGACATTGATTACCAACGGCGCTGCTGCACACCAGAGAAACCGTCCCCGTAGTCCAAGCGACCCTAGCATTGACAGTGCATCTACTGGTGCAGCTCGTCCTCCATTCCCCGTTCCAGTACGACTTAGCTCAAGGAATGTGCCAACCACGAACAGTGACAGTCAAAGTCCCACGCCTTACAGTGATGGAAATAGTTCGACCAGACGACGATCGCGACGTATCACCAGACAACCTACACTGCGCAAAGTCAGATCGGCAACCGCCATGCAGAAGGACCAACAAGAGCGAGCTGGCAGTCGATCGCCTCCTCCAATGTCTGCCTCTGGCATGTCTGGAATGTCCAATTCATCTTATGCTCCGGATAGTCCCCAACTGCCGCCACTTCCACCTATACCTACAGATGAAGCTGTCATCTATCGCCCAAAGAGAGCTGCGCGTAGGATTCCGTCTAGCCGTCCAGGCTCGATTCGGTCCCAGGCTCAGTCGTACAGCATAGAAGAACCTGTTTCTGAGCATCAGTCAACGAATGTCGTTGACGCCATTGCGCAGACTATGGTTGGCGAGTGGATGTTCAAGTACGTTCGTCGACGGAAATCATTCGGCATGTCTGATCATAAAGACACGATCGATCCTGGAAAGAGTACCGAAGAGGTTTCTGCAAGCATTACAAGCACTGGAGTAAGACACAAGCGATGGGTATGGCTGGCTCCTTACGAGCGCGCTGTTATGTGGAGTAGTAAGCAGCCGACCAGCGGACCTGCACTCCTGGGTAAAAATGGTCGAAAACGTGAGTCGTGATGATCGAGTTTTATTCACATTTACTAAAATATTTTAGTTATTATTCAATCCGTGCTTGATGTCAAAGATGACACACCTTTGCCGAAAGGGTCAAATGTTACGGCTCCATTCAACCGATCAATCCTTATTCTTACACCTCAGCGTGCTCTGAAGTTTACGGCATTGTCCATCGAGCGTCATTATGTATGGTTGACAGCACTTTCGTTCTTAAGTCACACTTCCATCGGCATGGGTGAACTGCCTGCAATTCCGCCACCAATTCCACAGGAAGATACTCGACCACCAACAGCCAGTCTACGTCGAAACCCTATTCGAGATTCGATCAGGGTTGCCAAAGGCAAACCTCGACCGCAGCCAAGCAAACGATCCTTTACCGACAATTCAACACTTAACCCTGAATATTCTAGCACCGGCTTTGACCTCGAACCGATCATGGATGCAGCAGATCCGCCCACTATTCCTAGATACGCAGGTCATACGCGGAAACGTAGCAACACAGCGCCCAAGGCTCAAGCTCCACTGGCAGCAGCATTCCGCAGCTTCTCCAGCCATGCGACTTTACCCTCCAACTACAGCGCCATTACAGCAGCTTCCTCTGATATCTACGCCACATCATCTATGGGTATCGCTCCGGGTTTGATGAGCGGAAGAAGCAGCGTCAGTCGTCGTACATCCGAAGCAAGTGGACCATCCAGCATTGGGAACGGAAGCTTCTTTGATCCAATGGGCACAGTGCGCATGGAAGCGTTCATCGATCGCGTCGAACATCCTCGATCCCGTACCACAAATCTCGCGAACCACAGCCAACGCAATCGAGCACCTCGCAAAGTTGACAACGTTCAGTGGACTGCCAGAAATAGCTTTGACCTGGCGAGGTCCGAGGATGGAAGTGAACTCCACTATCGGAATGACGAACTGTTTCGTGGGTTTTGATTCACTTCCTCCGCTTGTATCATATCTTACACTCCTTGAGCCTACCGTACAGGATTGATAGCGATTCTACGACATGACTGTCATTTATCTTCTTTTATCTATTAGCTGTTGATGATACCATTTGAATTGAGCATTGTCGGCTTTGAGGTCGGCTGTTTGAAGCAATCTTCTTGAAGTACTGTAACATCGGGGACCTGAACGGGTTTAGCTTTATTACTGCATATTGCGCTTTAAATTAAATATACGGACAATTCAACGGCACTTAACAGTTAAAGTGTACCTTGAGGATTTAATATCACGATTATAATTCAATAAGTACGTACTGATTGCTGGAGCCACTTGAGTCAAGAAATAAATTGATTTGATACCGTTCCTCGTGTTCGACGTGGGTGGATCCTACGTGACTTTCTCTGAGAATTTTTATCACTGTTCTGAGTCATTTCTCTATTATTTTCGAGTACTATCTCGCAAACGAGAGTTATATACAAAAAGGAGGAATCAATTCAAAGAAATAGATAAAGGATAAAAGACACGAGTTGACAAAATGGCGCAATCCAAACCAGACATCTCAATCGTCCCCGCGGACGAAAATGACACATTGGCCCTCGCACAGATAGAATCCATGGCCTTTGACGGCCCATCTGCCTATGCTCTCAGCAGAACCAACACCGCGGGCCTCACTGAGACAGTATCAGACAAAGAACAACCCTTGTCTCTGAACAGGTTAATGTTTGGTCTCCCCAGCACAGAGGGCTACGCGATCCGCGCTCGGGGCCTAAACGAGCGGCTAAAAACCAGTCCTGACTTTCACATCTACAAAGCCGTCTTGAAAGAAGGTGATGCAATCGAGAAGATAGTTGGATTTGCGGCGTGGAGGTTTTGTGCGGATGTCCCGTTTCCTGTGGAGGATACATGGAAGGATTTACCCTGGGAAGGAGCTGCGAATCCGACGGTGTGTAATGATTTCTTTGGTGGGATGGCGAAGTTGAGGACGAAGAATCTTGGTGGGAAGAAAGTTGCTTGTATGTTTCTTTCTCTCTCTGACTATCGATGAAATAACTTACAAGACTGGTGGAATAGTACTGGAAACATTGACGATTGACCCTTCGGCTCAAGGACTAGGCATAGGCTCCAAGATGCTGGATAAGGGCCTCGAGGATGCTAAGACCTTGGGCGTGACAGAAGCATGGTTGGAGGCTTCAGATGCTGGATATCCGTTGTATCGGAGATATGGCTGGAGGGACGTTGAGGTTCTGACTATTGATTTCGCAAAGTATGGCGCGGAGGGGAGTACTAAGGTTACTATCATGAAGAGGGAGGGATAAGCGAGGAGGTATTCTTTAAGTTCGGTCTATTGATGTCGTCAAAGTACAAGTACACAAGGAAAATTTTTGCTAGGGCACAGCCTGCCCAGCTTGATGTTGAATGTCTGGTAGAAGATAGAGATGAATGCAAGCAATCTGCAAAGCACATCCATACTGGATACGAGACTAAGCCCATTTACCCAAAAGCGCCATGATACCCGCACCCAAAATCGTGGTGATAACCATAAAAGCCAACCGGCGACGATCATTGGTCCTGCAAGGATCAAACAAGAAATCCCTAGCCAGCAACTCCACAAGAGCAGTATAGATCAATATGCCAGCCGAGACAGAGTCAAAGACGCCAGAGACGATATTAGCCGTGTTTGAGCCGGGGTTGTACGTCTTGCGTAGCCCGAGACCGATTGCGATTGCGATGGGTGTTGTCAGACCATACACCGCGCTGAAAATCCAGGGCAACCAGCTACCGCGCTTGAAGGGGATGGCGGACATTCTGGCGCCGATTCCGAGACCTTCGAAGCTCTGATGGAAGACGATGACGGGGTACAAGGTCTTGAATTCATCGCCGGCAACGCCCAGATTTAGCCCGATGATAACAGAATGAAACATGACACCAAACTCGAGGATGAGGAAAGCGGCGATCTGTTGCTGGAAGGACTTTTCGGCGGTGGTGGAGTCCATGTCGCTCCATGTGTCCCAGTCCTTGTTGTTGCTGTCGCTGCCGTTGTAGTTTGTCTCGGCGACTTTTCTGGTGTTAGTGCTGGCATCGATGTTTTCCGGTAGAGCGTGGTCATGCTCTTGAACAATCGATGCTCGTCCAGTCATGTTGTTGGTTTCGTTGTTCACGCCATACTTGGACTCGACGTAGAGCTCGGCAGCAAAGTCCATCAGGAAGATAACCACCACAGACGTCAATACAATAGCCGGAGGCCACGAGTACACGGCCCAGTTGCCCGTCATGCCGACACAGGAAGCGGGACCAATCTCATCATAGGCAGGATCGAGCAAGTGTACAAAAGCAGTAGCTAAGATGACACCGGTACCAAAGTAGCGTGCAAATAGATACACGTACACGGGGATTTTGAGGCTTGGTGTGCGACGAGCCACGATGGGGAAGAGGGTTGCCAGGGTGGAACAGACGAGGATCACGAAGATGGATGAGATCCGTGCTCCCATGTGGCCATTGTATTCATTGCTGCTAGCGTTTATGTAGCAGATGATCTGTGCTGGGTCGGCTGTGTCGAGATTGACAGAGGTAGGGTCAAAGTCTGCCATTTTGGGAAGTTAGCAGAGGTCTGTCTTGAACTGGGCGTCTGGTAAAGATGACTTGAAGAGTAAGTGGCTTGACGACAATTTCGCTTACACGGCATAGTTCCCTCTTTAAATATCAAGCCAGCAGGAAATGCCCTGCAGATTTTTCGCGTGGTTGACAGGCGATGAGGACCTTGGGAAACTCTAGCCAGCGGTTTGCTGCTACAGTGCCAGCATGCCCACACCCAACAAAGGCTCAACGAACACTAGTCATGAGTCTAGGTCGGGATAATTTCTTCTTACGTTTCGCTCCGTGGTAGTTGCAGTATGAGGGTCAGCAAATTTATGATATCGAAGAGCTGATTCGTGAAGACAGGGAGGGTCTATTAGGGACCCTAGAGACACACTGCATCCCGAGTCCTCGTATCGTGGAATTTTCTGCATTAGCGTCAGCTAAAGTCGAGTATATACAGCAAACCCTGTTCGGACTGCCAATAAGGTGTGATATAGTTTATATGATTGGGTGTGTGGTTGCCACTGGTTGGTGTGGATTATGAGTTGCTCACAAGGTACTTGGGCTGTATACGACTCTGCATCTGCGCGGCACGATGCGCCATTACTCTAGTGGGAATAAGTCGCTTTCTAACAATTAGTACCAATGGGCGGTTCCAGAGTTTTCTTTGTTAAAATGAAATGGAAACTTTGAACGTTTCTCTGGGTTGATGGTGGATGATACCGCTGAGGACCCTCGAGACAGATACCAGCCTCCTATTTGATACCAAGAAAGAAAATCCCGGTCCCTGCATCGGTCATCGCCTGCACTTTGCATCTTGCAAGCGCTGAACCGATAGAATTGCCGCTAGAAAAGATAGTAATACAGCTGTACCGCACTAGGCGCCGACCCTGCTCATCGGAGAGAAGAGTACCGAATCCGGAAAAGGTATATATTTTCGTAATATGTACTAGTAACAGGATATAACGTCCACTTTGGGTGCTATATATAAATGAAATTCAACCTGTTATGTAAAGATAAAGACCTGGTAGTGTTACCTATGAATTGGTAACCAAATCGCTATCCACACCATGACGAAAAACACTAGATCGACCTTCTATCGCCCTTGCACCTCACATATTCACAATCGCAGTCGCAGCAAAAACCGAGACACGTTTATAGCTTGGCAGCATCCTTGACTTCGCCAACCTTCAACTTGGGCGTGTACTTCTTCAACACGCCCTCATTATGATACTATGAAACATGCAGGTTAGCACAACGTCCACCTCACCATCCCCTCGACAGCCAATTATGCTTTGCAGGGAAGAGAAATGCATACCTTCCAAAACTGCTTCGTCGCATCCTTTCCAGCAACCCGCTTCAGAATCTTCGCACCACCGGGATGCTCATCGACAAAGTTTGTAACGTCATACACGCCATTGTCGATAATAATATACAGACCGCTCTCGGCGGTGTTGTGGCTAGCCACGTCGGCGGGAGTGAATTGCTTGTCGGACATTTTGATCTGGTCTTGTGAGGTGTTGTTATTTGTTGGGGAGTGGTGATTCGTGATTCCTATGGAATACTATTCGCGCATGTGATACGAATTAGTAGGGTTTCTTGCTAGATCACAGACGTAAAGGGTGTGGACGTACGTATATCTGCCTTTATCTGAGTCTTCTGCGCAGTGCAAAAGGGTGTAGAAAAACAAGGAATGTAAGTTGTAGTGACTCAAAGGATTCAAGAAAAGAAGTTGGCTAAGCCGAGGTTCGGCTCAGACACAGCGATGCGTGACCGCGGGAAGCTGGGGAAGCTGATGCTAATACAAGGATGCTGATTGGCTAGCTCCCCACACTCTCTGATTGGCTCGTGGATTATTCGAGATATGACGCCATACATCTACATCTCCGTCTACGTTCCTGGTGGATAGTGTGAATTTGAATTGTATTCATTTTTCGCAACACTCCGGTGGCGGATAATATTCCAAGGGCGATAGCTAAAACTTCCATATGGTATATATTACATTTTGCTTCTCTCCCCAGCCGCACCCTCCCCCTTAGGCACCTTCTTATCCAGTCCCAGCGTCTCCAGATCCTTCTTCTTGTGATAATGCGGAGCAACCTCTGTCAGCCATTCCGGCTGTAAAGGCATATTACCCCTCATATACTCTTTACTTGTAAGCACAAGCTCGTAGTAAATGACCCATTTCGGGTTTTCCTCAAACAGCGTGCTGGACGGATGCAAGTAGACCGTTTGCCCGTTCTTGACGGTGCGGTAACTGTCACCACCGCGTTGCAGGCGTGCGGCATTGGGGAAAAATCCGGCTGTAATGGCCTTTTGGATGGGCACTATATTGTTTGCTCCCGCTGAGGTGACGGATACCTCAACCCGGTCACACAGTTTGGCCAGTTGATCGCGTACATCGCGGGCGCGGGTCAGACTGCGTTGTTGCAGGAAGTTCTCGCGGGCCCAGACGTAGCTGAAATCAGAATCAACCCATTGGTTCCACACGTTTAGCAAGGAGAGATGATCGCCCCCAGATTTTATGGTAAACCGCGCGCGGGCGCTATCCGCGTGAATTTTCTTGTCTTTGGGTCGGTAGAATAGAGCGCTGGCTTCGCCGAGCATAGCGATAATCGACAGCACTTCTTCAACACAACCGTACTTATCAGCAGCCAATATAGACTTGGCCAGCATTGGATCTGTGGGAAACTCGGCCATTTGCCTTCCAATCTTTGTGAGTTCTCCCCGGTCGTTGAGCGCTCCTAATGCATAGAGCTGTTCTAACGCGCGAATGATTGTTTCGGCAGGTGGTGCGTCCATGAAATCAAAGTCCAGCAGTTGATCAATACCCAAAGACTTGAGCATGAGAATGACACCGCTCAAGTTCACACGTTGAATCTCTGGTGTTGTGCTCTCCTCCAACTCATTGTGATATGCCCATTTGGTATATAGTCGAAAACATTTGCCCGGACCAACGCGACCGGCTCGACCAGCTCGTTGACCAGCAGATGCTCGCGAACATGGTGTCACAACTAGACTTTCCATTCCCGTTCGTGGGTTGAATACATTCTCTTTCACGAACCCTGGATCAATGACATATACAATGCCGTCAATCGTCAGACTGGTCTCGGCGATGTTCGTAGCCAACACAACTTTTCTGGCTCCCGGTGGCGCTGGCTCGAAGATCTTCGTCTGTAGCTCTGTCGGAAGATTGGCATAGATAGGAGCTATGATCATCTCAGGTACCTTGCCGCCTAATTTGCGCGCGGTTTCTTGAAGACTCTGTTCCGCTGCCTCGATTTCTTCCTGTCCAGTCAAGAAAACCAAAATGTCTCCCGGGCCTTGGGTGATATGGATCTGAAAGACGGTCGTAATAGCAGCTGCAAGATAATTAGCTTCCGGTTGAGAAGTGTAATGAATATCGACTGGATATCGGCGACCGGGAATATTGAAGATGGGCGCGTCGTCAAAGTACTTCTGAAACTTCTGCGCATCCATCGTGGCAGACGAGATAAGTAACTTCAGATCTGGCCTTGCTTTGGCAATATCCTTCAGCAATGCAATCGCCAAGTCTGTACTAACACCACGTTCGTGCGCTTCATCAATAATACTAAATTTCCTATCAGCAACACGTTTCTCGAAGAAGTAGACAGAAGAGTTGGGGAAACGTACAGACACGAATAACCACCCAAGTCGGGCTCTGTCAGCAGCTCTCGTAACAACATACCATCCGTCATGTATTTAAGAATAGTCTTGTCGCTGGTCTTGTCTTCAAATCGAATTGCATAGCCAACTTCATTGCCTAACTTCACCCCCATTTCCTCAGCCACGCGAGCAGCGACGCTCATAGCAGCCACTCGTCGGGGTTGCGTACATCCAATTTTCATGCCATTCTTCGTATATCCAGCCTCGTGGACAAATTGTGGGATTTGTGTCGTTTTACCACTCTTTTCATGTGATTTGTGGTTAGTAACGTAACTGAAAATATATACGAAGATTTGTAGAAGGGGATTAGGGTTGGGGTTGTAGTGGTTAGGGTTAGACTTACTCCCGTCTCTCCAACGATAATCAAAACTTGATGATCATGGATTGCTTGAATGATCTCGTCGCGGAACTGGTATACAGGCAGACTTTTTCGAGTTTCTTCAATAGACGCCGCTTTCTTTTCTGCCGCATCCAGTTGTTGCTGTAACATCCGCTGTTCCTTGGTCAAAGGTTTCTGGTCGCCCTCAAGCCTAGAATCCATGATAAAGTTGATTTTCTGCGCATCATCAAATACATATTCATAATCTCCCTCATCAACAAACTCTGCCCGTGAGATCTGTGCTTTCGCTTTAGCTGTCTGCTCACGTTCCCATTCTTCTTGCTCCGTGATAAATCGTTCGTGGCCTTGCTCGTCGCGGTCAACGTATCGTTTGTAAAGAGCTTCCTCTTTCTTCTTCCGGTCTATCTTTCCTTTCTCTGTAATATAATCCTCGGGCATCATATACCCATCGCGATGATCATCAATACGAAGTCGTTCCTCGGCAATCCGAAGCACCTCGCGATTTCTAGCAAACTCTTCCTTTTCTCGCCGACTAAGATCGGGATTTTCGCGCAGCTCAATCGCTTCTTCCGCAACCTGCCTCCTGAGCAGAGCTATCCGCTCCATTTCTCGCTTCTTCAAGTACTCCTGTCGAGATCGTAATCGAAGATCAGGCATTGCCGCACCTCTGGCGTCAGCATCATCAGCCAGAGCACGCCGACTACTATCACCAGCTCGCCGAGTACGATCCTCAACAACTTTTTTCTTCGACTTAGAATCTTCCTTTTCGGCAAGTCGTTTGGCGAATTCGTCTCGTTCCTTTATATCGCGAAGCCGATCTCGTTCTGCCTTGGCTTCTTCATCCAAACCAGCAGATGACGATGCGACTGACCGAGGAGACGCAGGCTCTCCGTCCGCCTGTTCATCGATATGTTCCTCTTCCTCAGATAAAACTTCCTCGTCACCCCAGCGATCCTCGAAATCGTCATCATCTCGTCTGCGTAGTTTGCGCGACCTTCGATTCCGATCTCGGCTGTCGGCCTCTCCTTGACTCCGTTCTCTTTTCCTACTCTTGCTGTCGCTACTGAGATCATTATCACGTCGATTGCGTTCATGCGCATGATCGTCTTCATCACTTTCCCAGCGATTGCGCGCGGAACGTTTCGACCTCGACTCGTCCTTCCGTTTGTCTCGCCTTCGTTTCTCTGACGACTCCACGCTCGGCGGACCCATGGACGACACATTCTCATCCTCCATCTCCACTAATCTGTATTTCTGCTTCTTCGATGATGATTCGGTTATAGCATGCGATTTCGATTTTGCACTTCCACCACCAGGACCAACACGCCCGTAGAGATCGGCGCAAAAATTGTCGATTCCATGATCGTCGCCGCCTTCCAGGAAAGGTATCAATTTATCTCGTAGTTCGCCTGTGGATTTGGCGTCGTTTGCGGTGGCGATCACGAAGTCGACGATTGTAGGATCTGATGCGCCTGTAAACTGCAGGAGGGAGTCGGAGACGAACGTGCGAGTATCCATGGTGCCGTAACGTTTTCGGATTTCCTGCTTACACAAATGTCTCCTTTGCGACTTGGTGTGAAGTCGAGACTTTTCTTCTCCGTGCTAGCAAAGCTATCGTGCGGAGCTAGTCCGTCAGCGAACGAAGACTTGAAGCCGGCATCCAAGGTTTAGAATATGCGATGCGGAACCCCATAGATAAGTGAAAAGCAGGATTTTAGGACCAGAATCTCGGTTGTAAGCAGAGTAACCCACTTATAATTGGAGTGCCAGAAAGAAGAAGTCTCTTTTGCTTCGGCGGCGGCGGCAGCTATCACCACAATCTTGATCCACGGAAGTCTGAACACGCCAAGACTTTTGTCCAAGTACGGATGTGGCAAATAACCCTAACTTCAAAACTCCAAGATCATCAAGTGAGTTACGGTGATATACCTATGTCCTGTATACCATAGACGAGATGCTACGCTGAAAAGTATGATTACGCTAAGAAGCATGGTAGCTTTAAGAGACAGATTGTATACGACCAGACATAACATACTATACATGATGCAAAAACATCGAGAACAAGCTGAGATCTTAGGTTGAAAATTAAAAACAGAGTATTCATCATTTACATCATTAAGTTTCGTTTCTTTCAAGCAGAATTGAAGAGGAAGCTGGGCCAAGCTATCCAATGCAAGGATTTGAGCAAACAGGTCACAGATGTAGGGCAAAAAAAAAGAACAGGATATGAGAAAATAGACCGCTGATAAAACCATATCGTACGGGTGTAGTAGTTGGAAAAGACAGATTCGACAAAAGAAAAAGGCGACCACTCAAACGCTTGAATGATAAAGAAAGACCTGGAAACTTTCAACGAAAATGTACTCTGACAAAAGTAGCGCCGTCTCTGCAATCCACTTCTTCAGTGGTGGGTATATCCATGGCAAAGTCAAACGCTCCACGGAGGATAAAAAAGTATGAGTTAGATCAGGGAAATGACCGGATCTTTGAAAACACCGATTTATGCCCATGGTATCACTTCGAATGTGACAGCCATGAAGATGCTAAGAAGGTTGTGTACTCGATTCATGTATCAATATTCAAAATCAGTGTGCATAACGCCGGTAAACGCCACGTTGTAAATATGGGTATCATCTTGGATTCAAACATCAATCATCTCCGCGTCCTCTTGAAGGATATCATCTGCCGGTCCCCAGTTGCCTTCGAATACAGTAGCTCCAGCGCGGCGGCGAGACATAGCCCACTGCGTTCCATATGCTTCCAGAAGTTGATCAGCCGTCGGCCGGCTAGCTGGGTCAGGGGTGATCATCCATCGGACAAGTCTATCCAAGGAGTCTTGGTGGTTTGAGTCCATCATGAAAGTGGGAGGTTCGATCAACTCTCCGCTGCGGGAAAGATACTGTGGCTTGGGATTGCGAGACCTGGAAAAATCTACACCTGAATCCTCGAACGCGGGATCAGAGCGGCAGAGTTCGTCAAAAGAGGAACTCTCAGACAACGGATTGCCCGATGCATCACGTAATATACTTGTTTCCGAGCTCCATGTCAGGCTTGGGACGTCACTGATGTCGCCATTCCTAAGTTTCTGCCATGATACTCCATTGTCGGGAAGCTCAACGTTTCCAGCAATCTCAAACATGATGAGACCAAGAGCGAAAATATCGGCAGGKTTGTCGTACATTCCGAGTAAAACTTCTGGACCCATATACTCTCGGTCGCCTTCACCTTCAATGTGCTTCTCTGCAGGCCATGTCGTAGCCATGCCGAAATCACCTATCTTGAGCACACCTTCAAAGGTGATCAAAACGTTAGCAGGCTTGATATCCAGATGGATGAAGCCGGAATCATGAATGTGTTTCAATCCCTACAGTAGAAAGGTTAGAAATGTATAACAAAAATGGAAATGCTTGGATGAAAATACCTGTGATAATTCTAAAAGAATTTTCCAGATTCTAAAATCATCAAGTCTGGCTTTGAGTCCAACTTGAGCAAGGAAGATATCCAGACTGCCTTCCTCGCAATATTCAGTCTGAATATAGAGATGACCTCGATCTTCCCAGTTATCGATGAAAGAAATCACGTGGTCCGAATTGGCAAGAGCCCGCAAAATTTCAACTTCTCGCATCCGCCGACTACGGTCCTTAGGACCACCAAATGCTTGTTTGGACTTCTTCACAGCCCAGACACGATCAGGCAAGGCTAATGGAGAAGTAGAACCAGCGGACGGTAGGGAAAATATGGATTTGTATTGGGAGTTCTCGGGAGAGTTGGACACGCGATAAACCTGCGAGAACTCTCCAGTACCAATGAGCTCAACTTTATCGAAACGGGTCGTCAAGCTGCTGTCAACATCCATAGCACTGAAACCACCCAGAGACATACTTTTCCGTTGTCCAGTTGGCGCAAAGTAGTCACGTGGTGCAGTGGGAGTAGCCGGAAAAGTTATAGTAGATGCATTCAGATCATCAAGGCTCAATGCTGATTCGTTGGGTGCCGAGATCGATAGTCCACTTGGGTCCGGGGGAAAGATGTTGTTGTCTTTCGGGGTGCAAGGTGTGGTACTTTCTAGAGCATCGATCTGCAACTGGACAGATGGGTCGCCGAGGGGTGTACCATTCAGGTGACTTGTGGAGAAAATTTGCTTGGTTGGAGTTGGGGGAAGATCTAGATCGATCGCTCCCTGGTTGTTGTGACGTGCCGAAGGGGAATTAGAGATTGATCGATCGTCGCCATCGACACTCACAAAACTATCCCTCCGTGACGAGTAAGGTCGGTTGAAGACATTGCTTAAGCCACCATTACCCCGAGAAAACGGGCCCGAAGCTGGTACCGCGTTGTGTGATGGGGTGGAAGGCGCAACGAATGTTTGGCGAGCTAGTCTTGGTCGCGAAATTGGTCGAACAGGCAGCGCCTTCTGGGCAGACGGCAAAAAAGTTGACGATCGCTTGCAAGGGGTGTCTGGCATATTCTTGCTGGAGCCAAATGAACCCTGAAGGTCCTCTACATTTCGATTCTTCTTTGATATCAGCCCAGTCGACATGAATGCAGCAGCATATGGCTTCGCCTGTCGATAATTCTCTGGTGTTGCAAAAGAGTCTGTGGAAGCGTTGGAATCTTCTCGCGTGAACTGGCGGGGAGCTTCTGGTCTGGCGGCGCCCACGGGCAGCGATTTGGAGAAGTTAAATATCGGCCTTGGACGATCAATCTTGTGAATAGGTTCATGTGTCGGTGAGTCATCGGCCACACTGGAGCTTGAAGAAGACTGTGTGATGGTGCGAGAAAGAGGATGTGCCGCGTGCGGTGTGGTACTGGGAATATCGTGCTGAATATTCGCAAATAGTGGGTTGCTTGATGCAGGTCGTGTTTGTGGAGTGAATAGATTTTCGTGACTAGGGGTCGATGAAAGGCCACTGCCTAGAGGGTAGCGTTGTTGCATGGCGGAAATTGGACTCTTTGGAGGGGACGGAGAGTCTGGGAAATCCACATTCATTAGCCGCGAACGACTAAAGAGCGATTTTTCACCCTGGCGTTGCTGAAGTGTCGAACGTCGTAGTGATGATGAGCGTTTTGGGATAGTCGCAAAGTTGCCTCCTGGTAGACTGGAAAAAGTAAAGGGTTGTGGTTCAGTTTCGSGAGCCATGGCGTCTGAGGCTTCGTTGGACGACAATGAAAAGCTGTCGGCCGCGTCAAATATGCTGAAATCGGGCGTTCCACTGACGCTATGAAGGCTGCGACGTTTTGCTGAGGGACTTGCAAATTCAGCGTGGTCGAGGCTCATTGCCCCGTCACTTCTTTTCAGAGGGCTAACTGCTGCGGTCAGAGACCCAAAATTACCACTGCGTCGCTTTTCAATGCGATTAGCGCTTGGTTTGAATGTGAAATTACTGTTGTTGTCTGTGGAAATATTGCTCGAAAAGAGCTGAAAGTTCTCAGACGATATGATACTAGGCTCTTGGAGAAGATTTTCGTTCTCAATTAATGACACAACAGGTGGTGTAACAGTCGCATTCCCTTGATCACTCGAAAGATGCAAAACCCTCTTTGAGGGACTCTTTGGAGAGGTACGTTGACGCGTGTTTGGCAGAGACCCAGTCCTGCGCATTAGTGGGCGAGTTATTTTTGAGCTTGGGGGGTATGGTATCGCGACAGGCGTGGCTGGAAGAGCTGCGGTATCTGTAGTTAATGAGAATGTCGGTTTCGAAGGTGCTGGAGTAGCCGCCGACAAATTTGATGTAGTCGCGGGGACAAAAAAGAGATTCCCACGACGTGACGGCGAGAGCGGGGAGGAAATAAAGGGTGTGTTTGGAGTCGTTTGAGAGTGCGGGCGCGACAAAAACCGAAAGTCAGAACTCTTAGAAGGCGAGCGCGACAAAGAGCGGCGCAGTTGCCTTATTGCCGAGCTGGCATCCACATGATGGATTCCAGTAGGTGAAGGTAGGTGCAGCGTGCCGCCAGCATCACGGTGAGGTGAAAATGTAGCGACCATGTTTCTGAGGAATGCTGTGCGGAAAATGCTTCCGACACAGAACACAAGTGATTATACTCTGGATCCTTGGTTGCTATGCTTTATATGTAAGAACTGGAACCAGAGTGTCAGTTAAATTGGCTTTCACAATGACCTTTGTCTCTTGGTTTTCAAGTACCTGCTTGGTATAACCGGTGACCACGACCAAAACGAGTCTATCCAGAGTTGCCCTACAACAGCAGTGTATCGCTCAATTAAGAAACCAAGAGTGGCAATGCCGCCCAAGTCAAGGCTAAGCAGAGAGGACGTCGATTGGAATGTGGTTCGAGTGAGATGGTACGAATCGGGGAGTTCAGGTTGCTGTGCCACGATCCAGTCGCGCTGAAACATCAGGTCATTAGGAGGAATTCCAAGGGCTCCCTGATACCTCCATGAGCTAGCGACTGGTATTGACTCACACCTTCTGACGTCGTCCGTCCGATGTGTAGCGCCGTAATCACCAGGTATCTTCCACCCCCCACCGATAACAGGCACGCGCCTGGGGTGAAACACGAGATTGGACTCTGAGGCAGTTCTGGCTCGGCCGGGATGTTGGTGATTCGTTTGTGTTCGAGCTGTGGAATGTTCCAAAGAAGGTATGACCTCAGACGGCGAGTAACCAAGGGAATGCGATGTCTGACAATTCCGGGTGGAGAGTTTGGGTCTGGAATGTGGACGCAGCACTCCGATGGTGACAGGAATGTGGTTCGAGGGAAGCCGAAGGGGAATTCTCGAAGCGATGGCGATCGTGAATAAGACGAGGTAGTATTAAATAGCCGAGCGACCTCCGTGCCAGACCTCTGGAAAGTTCTTTGTCCCGACAATAGTGATCAGGCTACTTGTCAACTGCTACCCCGTGCTTTGTAGCCGATGGGGGAGACGCAATGAGCTGAGCACAATGAGTGACTGTACTTCTTCCAGAGTATGCACTAATCGAGATCGAGGGCGTCGAGAGGGGATGCGTTGATGCAGAGATGCGATGTTGTATACTATGGAGAGTGTATAGAGTGATGTCGTAGAAGTCGATCCGCTGTCAGAGATATTTTAGCAGAGACACGGAGCCAAAGATGGACGGTTATTGGACATGGGGCAGAAAGTCTAAGAGGAAGGTGACAGGTTGGTGTGGTTGGTGTGGTTGGGCTGGAAGGAGCGATGGGGGAGTTGGGTGAGGTAGCACCTTCCGCGCGAACGAACGCGACAGTCGCGCGTTGTTGTTGACATTTCGGGAAGCCCCACCGACTTTTTGTTAGTTTGTTTGGCTTGGCGTGTTCTATCTCTTCTATCTCTTCTTTATCTTCACTCTCCACCGAGACGATCGACTATCGATTACTTATCGATTGCCATCTCGACCTACGGATTACCTACTACGTCGTCAGTGGGGGTGATGACGATGTGGATGTGCGTCCTACATAGTATGTAGTGCGTAGCAGTGCTCGCTGTTTATCACCACATACTACGAAGTACACCGTAAACATACTGTTTACTACTACTATTCGCCACAAACAACAACACCAACAACAACAACAATAAACTGTGGCAAATCCCAATCTGGCAGCGACAATCCTCTTCCGGCAAGCGACCGTGTCCATCTCAAGTCGCTGACCATCACGTAGGTGATTGCTTTTGATTTGATCTATCTCCTGGTCGTGCCGAATTGCAATTTCTTGCACGTACCCCTGAATATGTACGTAGTGTAGTACCACTACCGTGGTTTCGTCGCCTATGAATCGTCGGACCATCCATCGTCAATAAAGAGCCAATAGTAGGCCGGGAGTCACCTGAGCGACACGCGCCAAGCTGTTGTTCGCTTTAGCTCGGAAGGAAGCCTCTGGCTCCTCCCGGCCCTATCCAGCTATCAGTACGCATCGCCTGCCCGTCTCACGGTGTTTTCCTCACCCTTGCATTCCTTCACCACCCCTTGATTACCACCACGCTGTTTGAAGCTCTGTTCATTTGCAAACTCGGCGCTCCATCCTTCAGAGCAAGAAAGGACGACAGCGACGAAGGAAGGGACCGTCAATAGTCCATCAAACTGCCAGCATCTATCACATGGCTTCCACCTGACTGACATCTACAATATCAGGATGCACTTGGAATATCGTGTCCTGAATATAGAATTTCAATAGAGCTTGCTTACGACATGCTGATCTGTCAATTTTCTCGCTTTTTCTGGTACCCTCTTACCTGGCCAGCAATATCGGTATCGGCTGTACTATCTAGTTAACATTGACCTGTTTCGGCCTACACCCCATTAAATCCAGTGCCTATCTTGGAATATACCTTCAATATTCAGCATTTATCACTGGCTGCATCTCAGGGCATACAAAGTACCATAAAAAAATGCGTGAAATCCTCCCCCCCCTTTTTTCCGCTCTTTCCACACTTCCCAACTAGACTGCTTAAATGCACTGTGAAACTAATTATTATTTTGTAACTGCTTATCTGATTTTTGAATATATTCATTCAATGGATATTTCAAATAGGGGAAAGGGGGGGGTTATTAACACCTTTTCCATCATTGATACCACTGTAGTGGAGATCAAAGATAAAGCCTCACAGGAGGGCACGCAGAGACAAACCCTCCACGAACCCGGATAACAAGCAATATGCTGCAGTCAAATCTGAAACGAGGCCTTGTCGACGCCACGAAACCCACTCGTCTTAGTTACGGATACGTAGTATGCACTCCGTACTACGCAGTACATAAGCACGTATTTGGTATATTTCGCTCAAGGGATGAAAAAATGCGCCACCTTTTGTCGTCTTTGTTCTCAATTACTACACAGCATCACACATGTTACATCCATTTAATTATTTGACGCTTGACCCTTATCCACCTCTTGAGATCCATTAAGTGGCCCATGCGAAATTGTACGTACATAGTGGGTGCATTGTCCGAAATCTAGTTGCCCTAATGTGGCCCCTTCATTCCGAAGCTCATCTTCAAGGATCTAGCTAAGTAACGTCTGAAACAGCCACATAGTTCTTATTGGCATCAATATCAGGGCACCTCCTAAAATCGACAGAAGTTTGTGCTTGGATTTCAGTCGGCCGTCTACCAGTAAACACGAATGCATTATATATATTGTGATCCAAAAGAGGAAATATACAAGAATATCGTTAAATCATATTTATAAGGAGAACGCATAAATTAATGACAAACATTGAATGAAACAAAAAAGACTATCAACCAGAACGCCGCTTTACGGCTCACAACTATAACGACAACTCTTCCAACTCTCTTCGTACACTACCCAAAATCTCCTCGGCCTTCAGCTGACTGACAAGTGTCTCGGGGCCAAAAACGCCAACATCAAGTTTTCCACCCCGAACGGCGGCTTCGATATCTATGCAATCCTGTTTGGAATAATATTGACGTTAAAATTGAGCAATCATATACTTCTAGAGCGGCCGAGACTGAGAGAGGGCAAATGGAGGGTTTATTTGGGCTTCAAGAATTGTGAAGCAAGGGATAAATATGTGTTGATGGAAAAAACGTACCATGTAAATTGCCTCCTTTTCGTCTTTGGCCTTGACCTGACCAGATCCGTCTGGCTCATGATCTCCACGTGTATTTTCAAATGGTGCTGGATGGTCGCCATGTGCGATATCACGAAGTTGTAAGGGGGTGAACCGGATATTGCTAGATGTTGCGGTAATTGCATTTGTGTTGTCCTCATTATTTACCGAATCTGGGAGTCGCAAGAAGTTGACGAATGTGTCGACACGGACACCGGTCCAGTCGCTGATCTCGAGTAGTGATGCTCCCGAGTGTTCCACACCGCTAATCTCATGGAGGTCTCTTTGGATTTGGTGAGCGCTTTCGATCAAACGTGAAGAGGACGGTGATGACCTGGAATTAGCAATGCGTAGTGGTACCATGTTTAGAGTGGGCGAGATCATTTCTTGTAGTCCCTCAAGAGGGAATCCTCTATTTGCCAAGTAGACCCCAATGACGGAATCGTTTGCCTTTGTATCCTCATCGCCTTCTGCGTCGTCTTTTCTTAATGCTTCTAACAGCAATTCAGAATGTACCTTTGCATATACTGCCATGAACAAAGACTGAAGGCTAAGGCCATGTTGCCGTGCAGCGCTTTCTATGGCCTCAACGTTCTCAATCAGGCCTGGCCGGTAGGCTTCAACTCTATTGACTCTAAACGAACCTTGATCAACCCTCGGCAAGAGCCGTTGTCGAGTCGAAGCAAGGTATCCCTTCCAGAAGTCCTCCCGCACTTCCAAAGGCGAAGATATATTTTGGTATGCTATGAACTTGGCAAAGTCCGCACCACTATTCACTTGTGTTTCCACCTCGCTGCATAATCTTTCAAGATAGTCAAGCAACAAGGGCAAACTGGCTGCATCATAAAGCGCATGGTGGATATGCAGGTTGATTACCACTCCTTGCCCACTTTCTGCCGCGTGCAAAGAGACAGGGCCTGTAGTGATAGACCGGGAAGGTGGATTCCGGAAATTAGGGTCTTGTTTTGTTTCGTGCCACTGAACTGGGTTCCCTATGTGCTTCCAAACAATCTGCGCCCAAGGCCTTTCTCTGATACCAGTGTCAATGAATGTAGTGCGCAAAAGAGGGAGCCGTTTGATCAGAAGCTCCCATGCTCGGCTTAATTGAGGTTTCGAGACTCTTTTAATCTCGTAATAAAAGCTGGCGTAGAATTGTCGCGAGTTCTGTGCGTTTCTTGCAAGACAATACATTTGTCCCGCAGTAACCGGTAGCGTACGCTCAATGTCATCTGCAGAGATTTTGTTCAATGATAAAAGCTTCTCGATCTCAAAATCACCCAATAATTGTTCCAAAGTAGCCTTTGTATCTCCGCTGGATATATCTTGCTGGGAGCTTTGGTTTTCCGACACTGCGACTACCGCCATGCCTGCAATGGATCCGGCTTTGAGCATTGCGCTGACTGGCAAGTTGACGGACTGCTTTCTCAACAATGAGCACACTTTAATTGCACTGATGCTGTCAAGACCTAAATGGAATAGTGTGCTGTCCTTGCTGATATTATCTTGAGGTACGCCTGACACAGTCGAAAGAACTTGTCTGATTTTCAACTCGTTTTCAGACCATGGTTGTGATTCATCCTGGTTTGCAAAGGTCTCTCTATGTTCTGAAGCTATCCCAGGTTCATTTCGATTGTCCGTGAAGAAAGCCCCTCCGCAAATACTCATTCCAGCATCGGCAAACTCAACTGTCGCATGCTGTGGCTCAGCTATTATCCACTGAAAAACTTGAGCTACACGATCAAGAATATTAGCTGCATCCTTCGTGCCGAATAGGTCGTCCCGAGCTGCAAGACGGCAAACCATGGACTCGCTCATGAGCTCCATTTCTACTGATAGTGGGTATCCCGTGTCGGCTGTTCCACTGATAGACTGATACAGGGGCCTCCTCAACGACGGCGATGAGGGCCGTTTCTGATAGATGAAAAGAGTGTCAAACAAACTACCAGCTGTAATTTCACCACTAGCTCTGCGAAGTGGGTAATGCTGATGCTCGATTAGCGCATTTAGAGAGCTCTGTATATACTTCAGCATTTCCAATCGAGTACCATGAAGTATAGACCGGAAGACGACGGTGTTCATTGTAGGAAACATGACCTCATCGGCATCTGTATGGCTTCGACCGGAAAGAACAAGTCCAAAGCCTACATCAAGGGCCTCGACAAAGCTTGCGAGAGCGACAGTCCAAGTCGTGACGCTTAATGCTTGCACTGTGACGCCATGGTCCCGGCAGAATTTCTTTATATCCTCGCTAGGTACATCAAAAGATGCTTCAGTTCGATGCAGTGTGGATTGGTTGCCGCCAGGGTATTTACCACCTGGGAATTTTCGTGGTTTGAATTCTTTTAGTGTTGCATACCAGAATTGTTTACTTTTATTTCCTGCTTCGTTGAGTATTGATTCCAAGACTGGTTCGTATGATGGACGAACCACATCCTCTCCGTAGTATGATCGCTCAACATCAGAATGCAAAAGGTCAAGCGACCAGCCATCGTAAAGCGCATGCGCCATAGCGAGAACAATGTAGCACTTGTCGCTTTTTCGGACTCCATAAATTTCAAGCTCGGAACGAGTACTATTGTAGATTGTCGACTGGACGAAATGATCTATCGAACGCTCTTCCAAATCAACGAAAGGAATTGCTTTCTGCTCATTCAGTGCGTGCACGACTTGGGCATATGAGCTGGAGACCTGGGGATCCTCGATCTCAATGAATGTTGTGCGTAGTAAATCATGAGCATTTATCACGGCTTTCCAAGAAGCAAGAAGTTTCGAAAAGTCTGTTCCTTCCATAACCTCGAAAACCTCAACGCCGTAATAACGCTGATACTCCGACGCGATCATCTCGGCAACCATTGATTCTTGAAGTGCTGTCAAAGGCAAGACCTTGACTGCATCTGCTGGTAATCTTCCGGCCTTTTCCAGACTGATCGTAATCTCTTCTTGGATTCGAGAAAGAGAAACCTGCGGTTTAACTCTCGAAGATATTGATAGTGTGGAAAGGGTCTCCAGCATCTTAGAAATAGTTTGCAATTTCATTATTGAGCTGACGGAGATATCAAATCCGCGGCTTTTTAGCCGCGAGGACAGCTTTATAGCATCAATGCTATCCAGACCTAATTCGAAGATAGACGTCGCTGAATTGATTGTGGCGACACCTACTCCTGCAAGATCTGCAACAACGTTACGAACCTCAATGGATGCTGGGTTCCAGTCAAACTCTGCAATGGTGGCATTGGAATCTTTACCTTTGTCTTGCAGAGAGATTCCTTGGGCTGAATTGATTTGGCTCGAAGGGATATCTGTCTCAGGAACAGCAGACAAGTAATTATTCCGGATATCCTTGCATATAAGCTGGAAAGTAGCCACGAGTGCTTTTACCGTATCTTCCGATACTGCGTGGCTTTGCGATGCCAAGGTCGCAGTTACAGAACCATTATTCTGCCTGACTTCCAAAGATAGAGGGAAATCAGCATTTGCAACCCCTGAATCGACTTCCGTCCAAATATCTTCTGATAAAGCCAGAGACGAATTACCATACTCCTTTTGGAACACAAACAATATCTCAAACAAAGGATTAACTGTTCCTCGTCTTGCCCATCTGTTGATATCCCGAAGAGGGGTGTGCTGAAAAGGAAGTACTGAGACATGATAGTGGTGGCATGATTTTATCAAGTCGGCTTTTGTCTTCAGATGATGGAAAGGTATGTAACTGGGTATAGTGTTGAAAAGTGGACCAACGACGGACTCTATACCAGGAAAATCGAGTGCCCTGCCGGAAACCACGATTCCTAAAGACGGAGTTCTCGAAAAGTGTTCGTGTAGCGTAAGAAGCCAGCACGCATGGAAAATAGCATTCTCGGTGACTTGTAGAGCACCTTTTATCTCTTCGAGACCAGAAACATGGAAATCATGAGTCAATGAAATCGTTTCAGATGCAGTATCTGCGACCACTGGGAACACTCGATCTTCTGGAACATTGACCAACTGTCCCTTCCAAAATTCTCTTGCCTTCAAGGACACTCGTAATGGACCGTAGGGCAGAATTTCTATGAAAGACGGTCCTTGTTTTGGGACTGTTTGTCCATGATATCTTAAAGAAACCTGTTCCAATAATAGCGGGAGACTGTTTCCATCGTACAAGGCGTGGAATATGTTTATATTCAGCAAGCTGCGGCTGGACGACCTGACAATGACCAAGCGCCATAGAGAATTGGTAAGATGGTTCAGGCTATTGCACCATGCTTGCCACTCATGATCAGCAATAGCTTCAAGTTCTTGCTCATTTGCGGCAGTCGCCTCGATCCATGGTAGCTGGTCATGCTTCAACACGATTTGAGTATATCCATCTGCTAGCGCAGCCAGGCGAAGTCGAAGCAATTGAACGCTCGCCTGAGTTTCAAACCATGCTTGCCGCATCTTGTCAATATCAGTTTCTGGCTTCAGTTCGAATCGGAACGAAGAACAGTAGAGATTTCGCGAGCTCTCCAGGAACCGCGCTATCATTCCCTCTTGCAGTGGCGTGCAGGGTGCAATGGCCTCGACGTCTTCAGGGCGCTTGCCAATTCTTTCTGCTGCAGTGACAGTATTTTCATAAACGAAAGCTTTGAGTTTTTGTTTACAGTCTTCGATTTCGCCATTCACTGCCGACGTCTTGGACACGTCCTTTTGCAAGGAAGTTGCAATTCCTGCAACCGTGGGGCCTTCATTTTAGGTCCATCAGTCAAGAGGTTCCTTAAAAAGAGAATGGATATACTTACTCCTCATGATTAGCGAAACTTGCGCATTCTGATACCCAGCATCTCTGAAATATTGAGCAAGTCCAATGACTGAAATTGAATCAAGGCCAACATCATATATGCTTGTATTGGGCGAAAATTCAGCTGGCTCAGTTCTAGCATACTCAGCAAGAACCCGTATCACATCTTGAATCTCCTTTTCAGCCATCGATTTCTTTTCGCTGGTCAGTGAACTCAAGCTCTGTAGCTGTTCCGAAGACAGTTCCGCGAACAAAGTCTTTAGGGCCTTTGCATCGACTTTGTTGTTCGGGGTTAAAGGCAAGAATAGAACAGGAATGATATGAGTTGGTACCATATATCCAGGAAGCCTATTTTGAGCTGCCTTCTTGATACACGTGAGAAACTCCCTGACGTATTCGTCTCGGATAATCTCTAGTAAATTGGCTGAACTATTCCGAACCCCTTTCCTCGAGACAAATGCTACAAGTTGCTCCTTCTGCTGGCTTGGATGTTTTGTGACAAGAGTTGTCACCTCTGATACGTCATCAGAAGCTTCCTGAATCACGGAGTTGATTTCTCCAAGCTCAAGCCGTTGTCCTCGAAGTTTAACTTGATCATCAATTCGGCCATTGAATTGAAAACTGCCATCATGCAATATCCTGACGAGATCTCCTGTACGATAGAACCGTTCTCGTTGGGAGGCATCCAGATATTGGAATCTTTCCTGGGTCAGCTCTGGGCGGTTGAGGTAGCCTCGACCTACCAAAGCTCCAGATACACACAATTCACCCATACATCCCCGCAAGACGGGAATAGTTGTGCCTGGCTGAAAGACGTATGAGCCCACATTATCAAATTGAGGTCCAATATTAGATGATTTGCTACTTTCGTCCATCCTTGGAAGCATGGTACAGCCAATGGTGACCTCGGTCGGCCCATAGCCGTTGTAAATAACCCTATGTTTTCCCCATGCATCGAGGATCTCCTGTTTGAGGGCTTCTCCACCTGTAATAAAAACTCCTTTGCAGAGTGATGGAACTTCTTCGGGTGTGACCAGCTTAGCAAGGCTTGGTGTCAGGTCTATATGGGTGATTTGAAGACGGTTGATAGTATCGGGCAAATCCTGGAACAAGACATCACGAGGGCAAGATACGACGCATATTCCCACACTCCAGCTCCAGTATTGCTCAAGGACACTAACGTCAAAATGAAAAGATGCAAATTGTAGCCATTTCGAATCATCATTCCAGTTCGGACTGAATAATCTTGTAAAGGCTTGCATCGCTTGTATCGCGTTCTCGTGTGTTATTTCACAGCCTTTAGGCGTTCCGGTTGTTCCTGATGTATACAAGCAATAACATGTATCCTGAGGGTCGATTGCTCTGGATAGAATTGGAGACTCTGATGAGATGCTGTCTAATAGACCGGAAGTGTCCATCGCAATCACTTCAGCTCCGGTTAATCGTCGTAATTCATCGTACCTGTCTGAAGCACATAATACGGTTTTGGCACCGGAGTCGTCAATAATGAATTGCTTCCTGGCAAGCGGCGCGGTGGGATCGAGGGCTACATATGCATGACCACTTTTCAGAATCCCAAGGATAGAGAAGTAAGCCTCGGGGCATTTATCGAAACATATCCCAATGAGACTGCCTTCCCTAGAGTGACCCGATCGCAAGAGTCTTGCAACCTTGTTACCCATTTGGTTGAGTTCGAGATATGTCCATGACTGCTTTGTGATCTCATGTGAAGTAACACCCGAAGCAAACTCAAGGGCGAGCTTGCGTGGTGTCTCTAACGCGGTTTTCTCGACAAATTCGTGCAATAGGGAAACTGGAGAGGGGATAAACGGCTCTTTAGCAGGCGTAACTGAGAGTAATTCAGATTGTACCTCAGGTATCATTGTACAGTCCGAGTCTTCGGAGAAAAGACTATCCAAAAGGAGACGGTCCAATTGTCTGAGGATAAGACTAGCCTGTGGTGGTGGGATAACATCGTTTCTGCAGGTCAGCCGTAGCAATAATTGTTCTCCCTGAGGAATCATTTCTACAGATATAGGATACTGCCAAGGTGTTAGAGGAGTCACTGACAAAAGAGGAAAATATGTATAGTAACTTACATCAACTCTAGCATCATCATCCACGATGTCCCACAATTGCCCCTTAGTTTCTTTATGGGACATTTTCTGATAGACAAACAGCGTATCAAAGAGAAAACCTTCTCGTTGAAAAGATTTCCGAATTCTCGACAGTGGCGTCAATTGATATTTCACTAATAAAGCGTTCGTTTTCATAATTGATGAAATGAGCTCTCTGTTGCTCTTTTGAACACGACATTGGAAAGGCACTGTAACCAAGCACGGGAATACTGCCCCTTCAGCATTGTTTTGTATATCACGACCAGAAAGAACAACTCCAAACGAGACGTTGGTCTCGCCAGTATAATTCGCCAACAGTCTGGAATATGCCGCTTGCCCTGCTGCCTGTAAAGACACACCGAGGGCTTTGCATTTTTCGCTGATTGCCGTAAGTGACTTTGATGCCACTTGACTGCTCACGGTCAGGTCACGATTTCGAACATTGAAAGGAGTCAAGTTTGGAAATCTGGTGACTTGATACTCCGAGCCGACTGTGCTCCAGAATGATTCTGCTTCGGAGCTGATTGACGATGCCGCTGTGAGTATATGTCCCAAAATTGGATTGATAGATAACGGCGGCGAGAGTTGGGACCCCTTGTATAGATGGGCAACATCAGTGAGTATTAAATCTAGGGATTGGGCATCATAGATAGCATGCATAGCCGTGAACTCAAAATCGATATTCGCTGGTGAATGACGCAGAGTGACCTGCCATTGTGGCAGATGCAGCTTCTCAAAAAGTGACCTTCGTAGTTTATGCTTATCCTCTTTCGATGGCGTAGTACTGCCTTCAACCCACGGAAGGTTTGCATATTTCGCGGTATATGTTACCATCGCAAATGGAGATTTCGGGTCGTTAAGACGGACAAATCCAGTTCGCAGCATTTCATGACGAGCCATGGCCTTTGACCACGCATCTTGCAATAGATGAATTTCTACATCCTCCTTGACTCTAAGTACCAGGCGGTTGCAGTAAAGGTCACCGTTCGATTTGATAAAGTCAGCCAGCATACCCAACTGTGCAGGGCTACACGGTCGTATTGATTCAACGTCCGTGTCTTCGAGATCCAAACTGTTCAAAACATAATCTTTGTGCTCTGATTGGAAAGAATCAAATTCGAAAGTTTTAAGTAATGCTTCGCTCGTAGGTTCCGTGAGTAGCTTTGCAATCTGACTCATACCCGGATTCTGTATGGTTATTGTTTAGTATCGGCCTCGAAAGTATTATCACAGTAGCTTACCTCGAGAATATCTGCAGCTGATACTGCATAACCCTTGTCTTTCAACATCCTCGAAATCTGTACGGCATTTATACTGTCAAGTCCCAGCTGAAATATGGTTGTATCATGTCTAATAGTCTGTGGCTCGTATCTTGATAATTCAGACATGACCTCTCTGACTAGATTCTCCTTATCAGTGAGTTCCACGTAACCCTTCGTTAGAGTTGATGAAGCTTGCGTGTGAATCGAATCGTTGACCAAATTCTCCCTAGCCATCAGCGCAATTGACGGCAGTCCATGGTTTCCTGTACCCTCAGAAGTTCTGGCAAGCGGGTAATCAATCGTATGGATCACCGTATCAATGAAGTCTTTCATGATTACTTGAGCATCTTCATGTGATACCTGGGCAGTATCAGTGTGAAGGAGAATGGAAATGGTGTCAAGCGATGTAGATGGCACAATCTCAAGGATGACCGGAAAATCCATTTCACCTTCTTCTGACACCACTTCCCATAGCCGAGAGTCTAGTTCAGCAGCAGGACGCTGAAACAAGACAATAGAGTCAAAAAGAGATCGCCCATATTTAGAAAACTTCTTCTGTATTTGTCTTAAAGATGTATGCTGGTGCGCCAGTATATCCGCATTGGCTTCCTGTGCGGCCTTGATGACATCGGTGTTTAGTGCTTTCGGGGGCACTTTGACACGTATAGGAAGCACGTTGAAGCATGGTCCGATGATGGTTTCCACACCATCTAAGAGTGCTGTTCTGCCACTAAAAACAGTACCAAAACATACGTTGGGAGATTGTAGGTAAGCTGATAAAAGTTGTGCCCACGAGGCTTGAAACACACTCAACGGTGTTGCAGATAAACTATTGCATCCTGTCTCGAAATCTGTGAGAGAAATTTCAAGTACTTGTCTAGTTGTCCGTATCTGGGACACCTCATCGCTGTTGGGTAGTGCTCCCTGGCCGCATAGATGTGAAGAAGCCATGCCGCTTAAGTAGCTGGACCAAAATGACTCGTCGAGACCTCGGTATACTGTGATGTAATCGACAAACTCGTGGAATTGGATGGTAGGTGATAACGGTTTTCCCTCATAAGCATTCTCCATTTCCTTGAAGAGCAGAGACATTGCTTCACCATCATGTATTGCATGGTGAAGAGAAAAGAGTAGCATTTTTTGTCCCGTTTCAACGTCAGTTATAAGCGTCAGAGCATATGGAACCTTGTGCTTCTCGTCATTTTGTTGTGCAAGATTCGACTTCTGCTTGCTTATTTCGAGATTCACACTTGTTGTCTTCAGTTCTGAGAAGGGTAGCGAGATGTCCTCGATTATGACTTGCGCGAATGAGAACCTTGCATCCTTAGTAGCAACAAAACATGTGCGTAGTATATCATGCCTTGTTACCATTTGTTGCCAGACCTCACGAAGCTTCTCGACTTCTCCATAGAAATCAAACAATATATGATTCCAATAAGCATTCTTGCCATGAGAAACTGTTCGGGATAGCATTGCTTCCTGTAGAGCAGTACATGGGATGACCAATTGAACTCTATGGCCGGCACCTTCAAAGTCATCTTTGATCTCTTGAATCGCCTTGACGTCCAACCCATCTATGCCATTACTTTCTGCAATGGAGTTCGATGATTTTGAGAGGCTCTGATAATCTGTTGTTTTTGCAACCATTCTCGAAAGCTGTCCAACTGAACTATGGCGTAATATTAGCGAGACATCAACCTGACCATATCCTGAATTTCTAAGCTTCTTTGCCACGTATATGGCGGATATTGAGTCAAGGCCAATACTAAACAAGGAGGTGTTGACTCTGATCTGTTCCAAGGGTGTATGAGTTGCTTCAGAGATGATTTGGGCAATTTCCTGCTCAGTAGGACTTAGAACGTTCGTAGCGGATAACCCTTGCTCACGCGAGTAGCTTTGAAGATTGTTCGGAGTCAATGTACTAAACATTTCCGTGAGTTTTCTGACATTGATCTTTTTCACGGTTGTCATTGGGATCACGTCCAAAGGAATCAGGGCCGAAGGAATCATGTAAGGTGGTAAATTAGCGGACAAGTCTTTAAAAATAGCATCTATCAAACCGGCTTGCTGATCATCACCCTCACCTTCACCTGAACTAAGGCGCCGTGCAACGAAAAAGGATATAAGCTGTTGCTGTTGACCTCGATCCTTGTCGCCAACTATCATTGAGGTACAGTCTTGAACCAGGGTGTTACGCAAGATCGTGCTATTGATCTCGCCCAACTCAATCCGCTGGCCACGCAGTTTGACTTGGTCATCTCGACGGCCCGTAAACATCAATGACCCGTCCGCCAATAGTCGTCCAAAGTCTCCGGATCGATACAAACGGCCGAACTTTGGATGCTCGATGAACCTTTCTTTTGTCAAACTAGCTTGCTTGATATATTCCCGACCCTGGAACTGTGGTTAACTACCATGATTTCACTCAATTGAAAGATACAAGCATGATCTTACGACTTGGTCGCCACCAAAACAAAATTCACCAACACTTCCTTTGGGTAGAAGGGTAAAGACAGGACTATCAGAGATGACGAAAGCAGAGGTATTTTTGAATGGCTTGCCTATGTTTCTCAAGTCATCAAGCTGGGTGACTTTGGGTTTGACAGTACAGATATTGGTAGTCTCGCATGGACCGTAGCCTGAGAAGTGATTAGACCTAAAGCACTTCGACGATTTGGTTTCTCATATTGAAATTACCTTGGTACAACCCTTTGTCTGCCCATTCGCGGTGAACTTTTGCCGTCAACCCTTCACCAGCTGTGACTAGAAATCTAACTTCTGGTACATTTTCTTGGCGGATCAAGGCGGCTACAGTCGGGGTGAGACTCAGATGTGTAATGTGCATATTTCTGATGACGGCTTCAATGTCACGGAACATTATATCATTTATTGCTGAGCAGAGGGTCATCCCAGTATTCCATGCGAAGAAAATTTCGAAAACCGATACTTAACTTTGTCAGTGAGCTTCCTAATCAGGATTTCAAAATTCAACTTACCGTCAAAAGCTTGTGAGCACGCTTGAAGAACCTTCGAGTTTGGACCGGTAGGATATATCTCGGCAAGTGTCGCAATATTGCTCTGGAGGTTGTGGTGAGTGATGACAACTCCTTTAGGCTTTCCGGTACTTCCAGACGTATAGACTACATATGAAATATCAGAGGCGTGGTGAGTTGTGATAACATTCTCTCCGGAATACTGCTTCATGTCAACACTGCTCAAGTCCAAAGTAGAAAGCCAATTCATAGATTGTAGCTCCGCGAGAAGACTTGTATCAATAATACTTGTCTTGGGATTCGTCTCATCCAGAATAGCACGGATTCTTTCGATAGGAGTCACTGGCGTTAAGGGCACGTAACCTGCACCAATCTTTATGACCGCTAATATTGCAATATACAGCTCAATGGATTTGTCCAATATTATAGCAACAAGGTCCCCATTTGAAATGCCACGGCTGAGGAGATAGCGGGCAAGACGATTGCTTTGAGAATTAAGTTCACTATAAGATAGAGCGTTCGAAATTATAGAGCCAGTATCTGGGTCGAATGTAGAAACAAACTCAATGGCAATTCGGGTAGGATAGTTGATCGCAGTCTGCTCAAGATGATATGCCAAATGTGGAAGGTTCTCTAGATGTGCAAAGTTGCTGTTCTCAATGGATAAAACAGTAGAAGGTAGCTGAATATTGATCGAACTGAGCAATGCTTTAGGGGAGCGAACAAATATATCAGTAATTGCTTCGATCTGCTCTAGTAGAAGATGTACTTGAGCTTCAGGGAAGATCGACTTGTCAAAAATGGCAGCAGCTTTTATCTGCCCGTTCGTTGGCTGTAGTTCAACGGTCAGTGGGAATTCCAGATAGTCTGCAGCTGCGACTTGTTCGAAAAAGGTCCATGAGCTGGAAGATGCTCCAAGGGTTTCCTGCCAAACAACTATACAGTCAAACAGCCTGCTGCTACTTTCGATCGCGGCAGCTTTCTTGATTTCACGTAGTGACAAATTTCCGTACTCTAGGGCTTTTCGATTGTCCCTATGAATGACAGATAGCAGATCAGCGACTGTCCTGACCCATGAGAGATTGACCCGATTCGGTAAGACGTGGAGACATGGTCCGACTATTGATTCAATCCCTTCAATTGGTATCGTTCTACCTGAGAAGACAGTACCGAAGATCACGTCCTGTGTATCGAGATAGCATGAAAGAATATATGCAAGCGATGATTGAAAGAACGTTTGTCGACTGATTGACAATGCCTGGGCCTGAGTTTCGAGATCCGTTGAGGAGATTTTCATGATCCGGGTAACCTTCTTGCTTCCTCTTGAGACGCCGTGTCGGCCGTGAAAGTTTGGAAAGTTTGCTGGAGTTACATTCTGCAGGTAAGACACCCAGTATGATCTTGATCTTGAAGCCGCATCTGACGAAGCCGTTGTCATGGAATGCTTCACTATTGCGGAGTACGGTGTTCGGCTGATCAAGGGCTTCTGAGAAATGAGTGCCTGAAGGTCGTCAAGCAGGAGTTCCCATGACCAGCCATCATAGATTGCATGATGGAGGTGTAGCAAAGCTCGAACCGATGACTTATTCTGGATCAATTGGACCTTAAATGGGATCATAAGGTTGGAGTCATTACTCATACCCCATTCATAGTCAAAACATGTCGTGTCTTGAAAGTAGTCTGTCAAAGTATCCCTATTCCATACAACTTGACAGAAAGGATGATCAGGTACATCAAGTAACAAGAACGCCGATCTCAACATGCCATTGTGTTCTATAAGCTTACTGAATGCGGCTTTTATTTCGTACAGCTCAACGCCACATGAAAACTTCAGCTCAACCCAGTTGCAATAGGCTTTACTGTCTCGAAGTGATTCCGAAAGCATAGCCACTTGAACATCGCTACATAATTCCACGCTCTCGGCTCGAGACGCCAGCCCCTCTGATCTGAGTACAGAAAGTCCTGCCTCCACGACAGGTTGCAATATGTTGTCAATAGCGCGAAAATTCGGCTCTGGTAATTGTCGAACGTTTTGAGCAAGATCCCATATATCACTCACGGAGTCGGCAGAAACAAGTGTACCGACGTCCAAATTGATTCCAACCTCTCGTAGCTTGGCAGCCAGTTTGATGCCTTTCAAGGAGTCTAGCCCTGCAGCCGAAAGGCTATCATCTGACGTACCGACTACGCTCTTGACGATCCCGGCAATTTTCTCCTCCAACGGATCTCGAAAAGACCTGCTTATCTCCGCAAATGTATCTTTTTGCCGGGTGAGATACTCGGCTTCCAGAGCCTTCCTATTTACCTTTCCAGATTCAAGACGTGGGAATTCATCAACAGCCAGAAAGTCTCTGGGGACCATATAAACAGGAAGTTTGCTTCGGCAAAATTGTTTGACATCATTGATTTGGAGAGCGCCATCATCGGTAATGATCCATGCAAGCAATATTCCACTGACAACCCCTACAACAGCACTTCGTATTCCTGAAGCCATAGAAACAACACTTTCAATTTCTCCAAGCTCCACGCGCTGGCCTCGTAATTTAATCTGCCCTGTAGACACACGACCGAAACATTCAATTTCCCCATTGGGCAGCAACCGTGCTTTGTCCCCCGTTCGATATAGCCGACCATATCTCTTGCTGCGTATGAAAGCCTTGGAGTTCTCTGTAGGACGATTGATATAACCAATGGCTAGTTGTGGCCCGCCCACGACCAATTCTCCAATCTGACCTATAGGCAATATCACAGGCTCCAATGAACCTTGTAGCGAGCCCTCCAACGAAACCACAAAGGCTGAGACAGTCCTTAAAGGGCGGCCAATGAGGCTGACTCTCGATTCTGAGTGAAAGTTCGGTGCAGCTGTACAGTGGATCGTCGCCTCAGTCGGGCCATACATTCCATGGAGTATGCCCTCCTGCATTGTCGAGGTGCCAAATTCTTCCACCACCCGTTTCGTTAGCATTTCACCTATCGTAAGCAGAACCTTGAGAGATGGCACGCTCTGACGACTGCGCAAAAGCTCTCCAGCGACAGTCGGTGTTAGTTCAGCGGCATCAACTTGCATCTCTGTAATAATCTGAGGTAGGTCTAAAAGCATGTTGCTTCGCTCTGATCCAATGAGTGTGGCCCCTTTAAACCAAGGAAAGAAAACCTCGAAAACCGATACATCAAACGTTGGTGAAGCGAATTGAAGAAACCTCCTGAAAGGCGGAATAATGGTATCATGCGCTAGTAGTGACTGTGTAGCCGCTCGATGCGATAGAGCCACGCCTTTCGGTCTGCCCGTTGAACCAGAAGTGTACATGACATAGGCGACATCCTCAGGTGAGAGACTAGGCTCTTGCCAGAAGAGAGGAGGTTGCAGAACATCTTTATTTACCAAGAGAAGTGGAGTATCTGCTGCTCTGCCGACTCTGTCTTCATATGTGCTGTGGGTGATTATCACATCTGCTGAGACATCTTTTAAGATAAAGCGAATGCGGTCTTCGGGTGCATCAGTGCTCAGCGGACAAAATGCTGCACCAGCTTTCAAAACAGCCAACCATGCAATATACAGTTCGACTGACTGGGGAAGGAGCACCGGAACCACTCGACCTATGGGAGATGGGCGTGAAGAGTCAAATTTTTGGGTTAGGCTTTGCGCTAACTGGGTTGAGAGGCTGTCCAATTCATGGAACGATAGTTTCTGAACGGAATGATCAACGTTGAGAAACTCCAAGGCTGGAGAGTTTAGTTGTCCGTGATGAAAAGCCAGTTGATGGAGGAATGAAGGACCTGGCAACTCATATGGTTCTGGGTTGGCGATAGATAGCCTCAATTCCTCATTAGAGCTCGTATCCGAGACCACAAGCCCAGTATAATTTTTCAGGCAGTCTGCGAATTGCAGTCCGATCTCTTGCAGATGACCAGGTAAGATGCCAACCTGTGATCGCAAAGCACCAATGCCTGTCGTGAGGTTGACATCAATAGATAGTGAACACTTGCCTAGCGTACGGCCTGTGGCTGCTTTCAAGAGATCATCTACACCTTGCCCGGTGATAGTTATGGCTGTATATGAAGTGCCTTCGGCTTGCCCTGTTTGGTCCAACGGGATCGGAGCAAAATTCCTTTGACCGAGGTTCGCCCTGACTGTGCGCTGGTTCAGCACGAAAACAGGTTCCTCCTCACCCGTATAAGCATGGAGAAGCGCCGCCCATGATATTCCCAAGGCCTCGAATGAGATACTTTGTTCTTTGATAGTGCAGCACCATGCGACCTCTGTCGCTGTGGAATCGTCCCCCGTTGTTGGATAAATATTTGGAAACTGGGTTGGTGTGTTATCCATGATGGCGAGAGCTCTGATGCGAGCTGGATCATGACAGCTCCGGTGTTGGTGTCTATGACTTTTACCGTCGACTGTTGTATGTCATGATTGAAGCGTGATGGTGTATGTATATCACTTTATTCCACCGAGGGCGCCAGGGAAGAAGCTATCCCCACTGAGGGGCAGTGAGCAGTGAACAGTCAGATGTTTGACAGGAGTGAGTAATGATTATGGGAAGTAGTTTGTTGAGGTAGACGACTGGATCATTAAAACATACACAATACACGATACGCGATAATTACATACTTATTTACCAAGGAAATACCAAGTTGTTACGACATCATCGAGAACGGTTGTCGGAAAAGGAAGGAAGCACCCGGACCGTGTCATCATCAACTTTTCTCCCACACGGAAGGCGCGACTACCCAAGGTAACCAAATTACCTGAGGAAAGTACGTAATTACGAAAAACCCATCAACACAACTAAAACAAGCTCAGAACTCTCGACCTTGGTCTGTCAAGTTTCGACTACAACTTCCTCCTTGGCCTTGGTTCCGTGGTGTGGATATCAAGTCGAAAGTGGAGTCAACAACGGTACAGCTTCAATACGTACGTCTATACCTGATTGCTACGTAGCTTGCGCAATCCCTGTCCCCGTTGTCAGAGGCCGAGGGGCTAAATTAACGCCGTGAGTAGGATTGATGATGGTGGGCGTGTACTAGCAGAAAGTCATCAACGCCGTCGATGAACGCAGAGTTTCCTTCCAATGATACATCCCACTTAGTGTGAATCACATTGATATTCGAGTTGACCAGCCTCCAGTTAAACCCGAGACGCTCGGTCTCGGATATACATACTTTTTCGATCGGCAAGTCGGGCGAATGACCTCGATGGATACCATAGAAGTGGTGTGGTAGGAGGGGTACTGCATTTGCCTTCAGATCGATGAACAAAATCGAGGGATGGATCGCACATTAGCACTGACCCTCTGGTCCCTCATTTAGGCCGCCCTACCAGATAGTCAGGCTACCTAAAGGGAATTAAGCTCGGGGACGATCCGAATTTCGTCATTACTCAATTCGATCTCCGTCAAAAAGTTACTTACCGATACTTTGCCTCAGTAGTCAATTTGAATACCCTACCTTGCAGTTTGACATTAGGGCATGATATATCACGAGGCCAGTCAGTGAATATTCAAAGTATTTTTCAACATAGTATACACAGGGTTGACTTTCTAGAATATGTAAGTTTCCCTACCAGTCGACCCTCGGTACTTGATACTAAGACTAGCGGGGTGCAGGTACACAGAACGATAGCTACTAGAATTTTCAGCCAGATTTAAGCTACTCACTCTCAACAACGAGACGATACAAGATCAATATGCCATCTTCGTCCTCAAAATCCGGTCATAGTGAATCTTATGACCTGGTCTGCGTGGGATTCGGGCCAGCTTCTCTAGCAATTGCCATCGCATTACACGATGCTTTAGAAGGTGCAATTCAGAGAAAACACTACAAGAAACTCAAAATTTGCTTTCTAGAAAAACAGCAGCAATTTGCATGGCATGCCGGTATGATGGTCCCCGGATCCAAGATGCAAATATCATTCATCAAAGATCTAGCCACGGTCCGTGATCCACGGAGTGAGTTTACATTCTTGAACTACTTGAAAAGCCAGGGAAGGCTTGTGGACTTCACGAATCTAGGAACCTTTTTGCCGTCACGGTTGGAGTTTGGGGACTATATGCGCTGGTGTGCCAGTCGTTTTGTGGATATTGTGGCGTACGGTCAGGAGGTGTTGGAAGTTACAGAAGCTGCCTCTGGAACTGGTTCATCTGGAAAGATCGAATCCTTTATCGTCAAGTCAAGAGACGTCAAATCTGGTCAGGTAATTTCGCGGCAGGCCAAAAATGTGATAATTGCGGTTGGAGGGAAGCCTAGGATCCCGCCAGGTATTCCTCATCATCCACGAGTTCTGCACTCGTCCAATTACTGTACGAGAATCCTCGACGTGCTGAGAGATACTTCAAAACCGTATCACGTTGCAGTTTTGGGAAGCGGGCAGAGCGCAGCGGAGATCTTCCATGATCTATATCAACGGTATCCGAATGCGAAGACGACACTGATAATGAGGGATTCCGCTCTGCGACCAAGTGACGATTCACCTTTGTAAGCTAGCCTCTACTCCTCCAACTGATCTGTTCTATCTACTGATCATGTACTTGCAGTGTAAATGAGATTTTCAATCCGGAAAGAATTGACGCGTTTTACGCTACCACCGACGAGGAGCGCCAAAAGTCAATCAGCTCTGACCGTGCGACAAACTATGGTGTGGTTCGAATGGAGCTCATCGAGCAGATATACCACGATATGTATATGCAAAAGGTCAAGAGCAAAGACCAGAACGATTGGCAGCGAGTCGTTCTTCCACGAAGAGAAATTGTACATATCGACCAGTCGGCTCCGGATGGCCGGCTCGTAGTTCATATCCGCTCGATTCAAAATCGGGCCAACACCACAGAAGAGGAAGTCCTGTATCTAGACGCTTTGATCGTTGCAACAGGTTACACACGAAGTACGCACGAGGAACTGTGCGCTTCGATTGAGCACCTCAAGCCGTCATATGCAGGTACGGATCCGGAAGTGAGCAGCTGGAAAGTGAATCGCGATTATAGCCTGGCCCTAGACCGCGACAAAGTCGGCTCGGGCACTAATATTTGGCTCCAAGGTTGCAACGAAAGCACTCATGGAATCAGTGACAGTTTGCTTTCCGTGCTGGCTACACGAAGTGGGGAGATGGTGGAATCGATATTTGGTGATTACCTCAATGGGTTAAGGACTGCTGGCAGTGGAAAGAGCGGTGTTCGTTCCATGTTATAGCCTTTGCATCGTGTCATATAGCGTAGACCTTTTCCTTTCGCGAAGCATGAAGCATGAGTATGGATCTCGGGGCGTTAGGACAACGAAATGAGACATGATCCCGGTTCTACCGGCTCAATCCTGAGCAACCTGAAGTAGGTGGGAAATCACAACAATCAGCTAGCTATATATGGCAGTGACTACGTACGTAGCACGCACTACTGTTAGACGCCTCCACATGAACCGGCAATCCTCGTGTTATCTGATCAAATCCACAAATCATTTGTCCTCTTCGTTTCATTCTGAGTGCTTGAAAATTTTTATCAGATGATCAGATAACAATCCAAGTGGATTTGCTCCACCTCAATTTTCATGCCGTACACGATGATGTTGACGCCGATAAACGGCCTCGTCTACGGAGTATGTAGGAAATGCATGACAGCCACGTTTGAAATTCTCCGATTACGCTTCTTCCTTTTCCACTTTCCTATAATTCAGTGCATCAATCCGTATTTCACTAGATAAGGTTGATCCGATGACTCGCAAATTATGCGAGTACGAATATTCAGTACGCACTAGTACGAAGTTACAAACTGTATACACCATTTGTACACAAATCAGATGGCTTGAAAGAGAAAAATCTTTCCATTTGATTAAACATTAGGCACATGCCCAATTTGGCACATAACGCGATTGCCGCTGGAATTTAACGACGTGCCTGTTCTAGCCGATCGACTATACCCGGCGAGACAGACGAATCGGAGGTAGAAAGACCGTAAGGAATGTGCACTCGCACGTGGTTAACAGTCAAAATACGGCATATATTCAAGGCTGCGCAGGATGCATCCTTGCGCTAAGAACACGCAAGCAAGTGCCTGTCCACAAAAACATTGAATTCAGCGAAGAGTACAAAAAAGAATGATCCCCCGACGCAAAATATCCGCGGGCCTCTCGGTGGCATTACTATCACAGTCGAGCGTGATTAACCAACTACCCCTTCAGGGATTTGGCTGTGAAAATCGCAAAAATTTAATACCACAAGCCAGACTCTTTGAGCCACATACTTTACATCTAGCGTACCAATTGACGTACAAATTAGTACACAGATTCGCATGCGATTTGGCATAGATACTAGCGAATTGATGTAAAAATTGGCAAATAGAACGGCATACAAAATTGCATGCCATGTATAGCGATTGACAAGGTCTCTAACTAGCACCTGTCACAGACATTTAAGGCTTCACAACACCAAACAAGTCTCATGTCTTGGTACTAGCTTCCCAAGAGCTCTTGTCTTCTTCAGCTTACGTCTCGCTAGTCTTCGATGACATACGCTTTAACCCGAAATACTTGCTCCATCATGTGTTGGAGCTTTAGAGGGCCTGCTTGATGAACACGTTGGGACTTCATATTTGGGTGCCTGAGTATCGAGTCTCGTTCAGCGGGGATATGTGTATGTAATGTCACGTCTTTTCGTAAGAGTCCATGTATTAAATCGTATTGTGTCCTTCTATACATACGTACAAGAAAGAAAGAAAAATTACAGATGCTGGAAAACTAAGCTAGAGACCGGGTTGGAGTCACCCGTGACGGAAACGCTCAGAGATTAAAATCGATTAAATAGAGAAGATGGTGAGGGGGAGCATTTAATCGTATCATGCATGCAGGTGCCACGTGCACGGATACATGATTGGCTCTCAAACAGCGCTTTCAGGCTCATCGCCAGCAACACTGACATAATTCCCACCATTTCGAGAGCTGCCCCCATGTGACATTCGCAATGGTGGCTCGTACATTTTATAGTAATCCACTACCTCGCCGTCAAGCATGCCAGACCCGGGTTTCCGAGTACGGAATACAGGTGCAGAATCAAGCCAAAAATCGCGGCAATTAGTCACTAAGCCACGGGAGAAGGGGTTCTTTTGACGGGTTGAGCGGCCTTGCGCTGTTGCGAAGAATGTGTCGAGTCCGAGTAGGCCCATCCATTGTCCTAGGAAACCGCCTTTACGTCCGTGGTGATGGCCGTGGCCGTGGCCATGACCACCAGCAGGGGGGGCTCCTGGTGTTGGGCCGTGACCGGCACCGGTGAGACCTGCGGCAGCTGGGTTAGGGGTTCCGGCTACAAGAGCGGATGTGATGGCTTGTGAGGCTCCGCCGGCTGTACTGATTGAGCCTCGCATGTTTTCGAACGTGGTTTGGTTTCTGGAGATTTGCACTAACTGGACGCAGCAGAGCATCGTGACCCATACTAATTGCAGAGCGGCCCAGAAGGTGAGGAAGAGGGTGAAGGTATCCTTAGATATGATTGTGCAAAGGTTATCGTTGATAACATTACATGAGAGCGTTTCTGGGGCGGGAAGAACTTCGATATCTAATATCAATGTTAGGCATGGTCTGCATACTTTCTGCGGAGGACTTACAGCGAATTACTAGCTGAATAAAGAACAATATAGCAACTTCCAAAGACAATATGTAGATAACGAAGTGTCGTAAATTGTTGGCGCCTACACAGTTGTAGATCCATGGACAATGACTGGACAATGTTAGTCACACGCTTGACAGCCTGAATCTAGAATACTGACTGATCATGTTTGGCGACACATCGCGAGCATCGTCGACAGTGCTTGCTTCGCACAGGCTTGCGAACCATGCAGTGAATGCAGAAATGTTCTTCGTTGAACTTCCAGTTATCGACAAGCTCGCGCATGGTTTCCCTTTGCTGGTTTCGGCTGCTGAGCTTCGGGATATAGCCAGGATCTTCAGCCATGGAGAATATATAGAAATAGGTCGTAGTGACTGCAAATACGGCAAAGAGAACATTGAGAATGGGGTGTGTAGACCATGTCACTGCTTATATGAGTCTCCGATCCTATGTCTCGCATTCTCAAGGGAAAAAACTTACCGGGAAGTACACGGAAGAGATATGTAACATTAACCCAGAAAAGGCTCGCCGCAAAGACACCAGCTAGATACGGCTATAAAGCTTGGTTAGCCATAGAAGCAGAGCAGAACCAAAGAAGCTTACTGTTTTCTGCAAGACTCGAAATTCTCCAGGGCCATTGTTGGCAACTTGTTGAGCGGCGTAATGCATACCAAAAATAAAAACCGCAGCCACTGGAAGCCCAATGTAGATCGCCAAATTGCTCAGTAACCAAATGGCAATAAACATCGTCAGGAATGGCCACAGAAAAAAGTATTTCGTGAGGACACTCTTATTGTGCACAAACATGGTCATGCCCATGGGGAGGGTTTTCAAGTTGCCACTCTTATCGTAGCCGTAATCATTCAAGGCTCGCTGCCAGACTCGAAGTGACCTCATTTCACTGGCCACGGTAGACGGAGATTTCCCATCTCTGGTATTTGCGAATCGATCCGCGCCATACTCGAGCACCTTTTGAACACACATATATGACCCTTTTACCAACGCCCAATGTAATGGCGTCAGACCTCCTTCATCCGCCGCATTCACATTTGCGCCCCATTGAAGGAACAGATCCACGCAGACCGGAAGTCCTTTGTATGCCGCCCACATCAAGCCAGTATGTCCCTGGGGGTCCGGGATATCAACGGGTATACCTTGGTGTAGTAGCAAGAACACCAAATAAGCATTTCCGTCAATAGTGGCCAAGTGCAAGATATTGTAACCCTGAACGTCGGTGAGAAGAGGATCGGCGCCTCGTTGCAAGAGTAAATCGACTATATAGTAGTGACATCTCTGTGCAGCCCACATGGCCGGTGTTGCAACGGACTCGCCTCCTTTTGCGTTAACATCTGCGCCGCAGTCGAGCAGGAACCGACACATTGCATACTGATTATTGATGGCTGCCCACTAAGAAATCGGACAATTAGGACAAATATTCAAGCCCGGGGGGTCATTGACTCACGTGTAATGGCGTAATACCCTCTTCATCTTTATATTTGGCATTGAATCTCTTCGAATCAAACAATTTTTGCATGGCGCCAATTTCGCCTAAACGCGCCAACTGCATGATATCTGATTCAATGGGCAGCGGAGGTCTGCCGGTTTCTCCTGCGCCATTTCCATTGCCATTACCATTACTGGCAGTCATGCTCTTGAGCTCGACGCCGTCTGTCGTAGGTTGTGGCGGCGCCACGGAAGCTTTCCCGTTCATCGATATTGTTTGCATGCCTGGATTCGGCGCCGGGGTGCCATTTGACTGACCAACCGAGGTGGATGAGGACATTTTCCGGTATGTTTTCTTTTTCTAGATAAGGGCGGAGTCGATCGTCAAGGAGGAGGAGTTCGATTTTGCGCTTGCAATGGAAGGGCACACGGTATCAAGATCGGATAAGTGGCTTGCCGCGCAGGAGGAAATTTACATCAATGGATCGCCAAAGTAACGGACATAACATTCATAAAAAAAAGACGAAGAGAAAGAGGCGAGCATCAAGCTTGCGAAAATGGTCAGTGGCAGAGAAAGAACGATGGCTGTTGAATGATTTATCACCGCGGGCTGAACGGCGAGCGCTAACTCTTTACTATTTGGTCGGAATTGCGGTAGCCTGCCTGTGGCTGAGCCGTCGCGCTGAGGCTTAGCGGATTCATTATCCTGAGTGAGTATATATTAATACTATTTCTGCTGTCGAAAATGATGATTCCATGTATAAGTATCAAAAATCGCTATAGATGATCGTAACTAATATACACTGATGAAGCAGACAAGATATAGTACATGCAATGCGTATATTCACGAGATTGCTTCAATATATGTTCATTTATGGCTATCTGGACAAATTCTTGACAAAATTCAAGAATAATGAATCGTCTGGTGTCGAAACCAGTTGCAGAAGAATGTGCGACAGAGGAGGCCGAAATATGCAAGATGTAAAGTGCGGGTATAGAAACGAACCAAATCCAAAATTATGCCTGAACCTCGGCGGCTTCCGTTGTAGGAATATTTGAAGCGCCAATGCTTGTATTCTTGTTACTCTCCGTCGGTGCGGGCGTCCCATTGAGTAGATTGTTTTGACATAGTAGTGCATGTGCATCGACACGTAGATCAAAATCTGTAAGAAAACAAAACGTGATTTCAAGCCGGGTAAGTTCGCGCTCTGCTACACCACCGACTCGGGCGAAGCGAGCATGAGGATAACTCAGATCTTCCAATGCCTTCATAGCCACTCGGAGAGCGGCAAGCACCAAACGATGGACATTGCGGGGAGTGACGAACAGGGCCTTTTCCGTAAACACCATTCTCGTAATGTAAAGGCTCGCTGCAAGATAAACAGCAGTCGACATGGGGCAGTATTTGTGGAGGCGAAGAAGATAATCCTCCAGTGAGATGGGTGGAGCTTTCTTCGAGTAGAATCTTTTCACCAAAACATTATGCTGGATCACTCCGGCGGAAGGAGAGCCCGCAGAGGCGTCGCTTGCACAGTGTAACTCGGTAATACTGACAGTCGGCATCTGTTTCTCGGCGATTATATCCTGATTTGGGTCCTCCGAGCTCTGAGGCTGCTGCTGTGCATAAGGCGTCGTAGGGACATCTCCGGTAACACGCGCCAATTCCGTCAAATGAGCCGTCATTGCTTTCAATGCGTCGATCGCAGGCAATTGGAATACCGGCGCATCTCGTTCGTCAATCGGAGACGCTCCGGATTGCGCGTTTTCATGCTGGAGGAGCTCCTTTGCACCATCATGCTCTGTCTGGACGGTCATTGTGGAGGGAGTTGGAGGTGCTCAGCGGTCAAAAATTGAGGATATCCAAGACGAGAGTATCCTGAGTACACCTGAGACTACAGGCGCACAGTGATATTCTGAATAAACCTCTCATTGTCCTCTGGCTTGAAATCTGAACACCAGTACCGTCCGCTGAACGATCTAAGGTAGAAAGCAGTAGACAGAAAGTCGATTTGAAATCGTTATAGCCGTGGTCGTGGTAGCATCGAGGGTCGCGGCGGTAGATATGGGTATGTTCTAGATTGGCGATTATCTCGTCGTTAGCATGAGGGGGTGGAAAGACTCCGACTCCGATTAGAACAGAGAAGGCGACAGCGGTGCAGTAGTCAACTCACAGAAATGTGGCAACAATTGAACAGGACGTCCACAATCGGTGAAAAACATGATCAGTGATCCACACGCGATAAGGAGGTTGTCCGTCAGATTGTGTTCTGTTCTCTTCTCCAATTCTGGCTGTTCCCCTCTGCTGAAGGGTCCAACCCGATTCGGGTGATCCACCTTATCTTTCAGACCAATCACAACACGTGATCCTCGAATCGAGTCAATTGCATTTACCCGCTCCCTCTCTCCTTAACAACTTCTAGTCCAACAACACTCTCGATGCTGCGACGAGCAATTATCATTGTCATTTATCTATCTACCTATTTTGAGTAAAACACACTCTCTTACAAAGGAAAAGCAACCATGGTCAGCAATGTCGTACAAACCAAAATCCATCTCACAGACGCCATCACTCGTAACATGACAACCGAGCGCCTAACGATTGACACCAAATTCACAAATCATACAAGCCGTGTGCCATCATGACCTCGATATCATCGAACAATCTAGGAACAATTGGAAGGATGCATGATTATCGGTAGTAGGATTGCCTCCAGTTACTTCCACCATGTCTCTCGCGAAGAAAGGGAGCAGGATCCAGGGGGTCCTGCGTGTTGCGCCTAGCGCGCGCATTCTCAATAACTCTCTCGCTCTCCTCTCTCACACGACGATTCTCTTCTTGTATCACGTATGATGGAGGAGTAAAGTTCCGTCGTGCAATAACGGTCGAGTGGCGGCGGAAGCCTCCCATGTCTTCCGCTGTGTCTCCTGCTCTTTCTGGCGGTGCTGTTATCATCGGTCTACTTTCCCTGACTGTGTTTGTAGGACGCCGTGTCAAGGTACCAGCGCCAGCACCACCAGCGCGGCCGCTTATCAACACATGACGCACGTCATTGGCCAGATTTTCAATTTCCCTCCGCTCTCGAATTGCATCTTCCATACGGCGTTGTGCCTGAAGAGCTTCTAGTCGAGCATTGAGGTACTCACGATCTCGTCGGCGGCGTAATGTGCCTTCCACCTCTGGAGTTCGAGGTCGAGGTCGATAGGGCTCGTCGATTGTATCGTTTTCATATGACTCATCTTCTTCAAACTCCGTTACTACTTCAGACGAAGAAGAGGAAGAGGAAGAAGGAAAAGTAGCAAAGGTGGAGAAATGATCATCAAGGTCACTTTCTGGTCGCCGGCCACCAGTCATCTCGATTCTCACTGGGTCCGATTCAGTTTGATGTATAGAAACTGGGTGCCGCCTGGCTGGTTCGGGCTCAAGTTGGTGTATAGAGATTGGATGTCTTTCTGCCCCCGGCTCATTTTGGTGAACATAGACCGGATGCTGCCTCACCCGAGGACGCTCTTCCACTGGAGTTCTCGGTCTTGGAGGCCTGGCCGGCCTAGGAGCGGGTGCTGTCGCAGGTCGAACCCACTCAACTGTTTCTCTAGGTGATCTATCAATGACCAACGGAGTACTGACGATCCTTCTGTGATCGGCTTGCTCTGGAGGTCGAAAAGGATCGCGCATGGGGTCAGGTTGAGTCGACAGTGGCGGTTGCGCTTGAGGATGACTGGTAGCCTGTTGGTCTCTATGGCTACGGGCCTGATCGTCGTGCGCCTTTCCGGTTCTCTCTTTGGAGAATGGACCACTCAAGACTTTCCAGATACTGTCTTTTGATGTTTTGGTTGTTGACTGACGACGACGTGGGGTTTCGGGGGATACGACTTTGGACGACTCCTGATACCGTTTCTCGACGTCTTCGTAGCGCGTGAGGCTACATGTGCGACCGTTGCGGCTTCGAGAACAGTAGTATGTGGTTGTTTGAGATCGTTCAGCGTCACCAACAATACGTTTTGTTCGCTTGACTAAACACATTTCAACTTGATTTCAAACTTTGGCTTGCTCGAATAGCAGGTGATCCTATTAGATGACATGATCAGACACGGTCATTTAACTTGTTAGAAGTTTAGGGGGAGAGGCCACCACCAAGAACTTACCTGAGGTTGTAAGCCTTGTCAGTTATTGATGTGAATCTTCATGACTTCTTATTGTGTTGAGGCGCACCGCCGCTTATATAGTGTGGCTTGATGAGGCTTGAGCATGCGATTTTTAGGTAGCTCTCTCACATGCTTCACGTACAACCCAAAATTATCAAGCATTGCTTGCTAACCCATCAGGCTAATTTCAGCCACACTAGCTTCGGGTATAACGGTCTGTTGGTATCGTAGATGGTACGAGCCGTTGCATGCAAAATTCTCAAGATAGGTAAGTAAAGGTGAGCATAAATGTTTCCTGCTCTCAGTTCCTCTCCACTTTTCGACCTGAGTCTAGCAGGGTTGTATATTTTCTCGGAGGATTTTAGTGTAGCATGAGAGAATCCAACGGATGATTCGATTCGCATGTCACGGGAAAGCCGCTACTAATCTCATGGAAGTCGTCAGCCGGCCCCAACAGTATGATGAAGCACGTCTTTACTACCATGCCCTTAGTTAAAAGCATAAGAGAAATTTCAGAGCTATAAAAAAAAATAAGAATAGAAAAAAGTATATGCAATTATGTCACACGATCTTAGTGCTACAGACTAAGTAGTGAATACGTACTGATTTCAGCTGCCTACTGCCTGCCAAGCTACCATAGTCACGTCCAGCTTTGCGCCTAGACAGGGGGCCCAAGCAACGATTAAAGTTGCATAAAGGAATTTAGAGGCTCTATCCTGCATATGCGTCTGTACGACGGTATGCAGTCGTGCTATGCAAGTACGGAGTAATAAGTATGAATGTATGCCTAGCGGCCCTAGGCAAGGGTCCAAAAGATCACAGACTTAGCTCGGATGGGTTTAGAGGGAAGCGAATTAATAACAATTCTATAGGTGACCTCCACCAAGGCTGACAAGCTGAGTGCCTTAGTCGCTTTAGTCAAGACGAAAAAAGTCAGTGCAGTGGCGAGTATCCTCAAGGCACACACTGACTAGGGACTACATAGTAAGTGTGGCACATGCCCCCAACTTCAGTTGGTCAAGTCATGTGGCTTGACTTCCACTTGAGTACGATATGTGCAAGGAATAGGATTCAGCTGCAAGCCACAGTTTGCCAATTCGTAAACCGTCGAATGAGTCTAGTCGTGAGATACTATGTAGGAGTAGGAAGAAAAAATAAGCTCGGACTCATGCAGGTCCGCTGCGGACTTTGACTTGGGCGACGGGCCGTTGCATACGAACTGGTGGCTGGGTCTGGTCTATCAGACTACAATACGAACTGAAGAGCTTGGGCGCTCGGATATTACTTCTAAGCAGGTCAGTGACGTTATAGTAAGTACTAAGAAAAGTTTTTCTGCGCCTTTTGGCCATACAGAGTGAGCGCAGATGGTGAAGGTGTGGCGCAGTTGGGTATACGCAACACAGCCACAGCCCATCGACTCAAGCTGCTTACTGAAGTATTCTCTTCGGACTTTCGGTGTTTACTGATTAGAAAATAAAGAGCGAGTCCAATTTTGAAAATGGTAGTCTAGGCTTTTCGCCAAGTATCTTCGGATATTAATAGTATCACCATGTACCGTCTTGCAGACTGGACTATGACTTGAAGCTCTTTACTCGCGAGAACCTGGCTTCATGGTTGTATTGCCACGCTAAAGACGTCACTGAGCGTTCGATTATTTGACGAAAACTTCCGTGCAGCCCTATACATTGTTGAATAATGGTCATAGTTGCATTCACGATATGAAGACCTCCTTGCGAAGGCATTGAAGTCACTCAGCCGCAGGTATCTAGTCTAAACATCATGTCTCGATCACTCCCTTAGATAGTTCCCCGGAAGAGCTTTCAGTATCTCGGCATGGCGAGAGACCAGAGTTCTGGAGAGTAATGTTTCTCTCAACTAAGCCAGTCTAGACCTCAGGTTTTGAGAAATAACGAATTCATACAACATGCATGAATGGCCAAGCTAGAATCACGACAGTCCCCACTTCTCCATAAACTTATCATGAGACCTATCTGGCTCCACAAGGACATTCAGATTGACGTGCTCAATATCTTTCTGGATAGCTGCAAGTTCTCTCTCGAGATCACTAAGATGTTCTTTTTGGGTGACATCAACTAATGATGGCTCTGCATGCGAGTCAGCATGTAAAACAGACGTTAGAAGCTCCTTCGCCTCGTCACTAGGGCCGAGAGACTCATAAAGTGGCATTATAGCCGCCACACTCAGATTGTGGTGGAGGATATCAGCCAATTCTGCCCGCTTCTCTAGAGCTAGCTCATTTGCGGATAGGGAAGCTGAGGGCGAGATGCCGAGGCGTCGTAAAAAGCTTTCCAAAGACTGCAAGGATTGAGTGACGTTTGAGCTTCGCGGTTGTGAAGCTTTGATAGGTGAAGATAGGGAAGATTGCCTGCGGTGTGCCTTTTTGGTTTGAATCTGTTCTGCTTCTCTGCTAGCCACTTCTTCCTTGAAAAGAATAGACAATTGATCCAGAGTGTCGCGATGCGATTGACGGTATTGCATACTAGCAATTTCTTGTTCGGTTGAGCGTGTCATCTGCGAAAGGACCTGCAGGATCTAAATAGCATAAACAACAGGCTATCAATGGGGTCACATGCGGATACATACCGAATCCAGGTTCTCTTCCAATGAGTGAGCGAAAAACTGCTTGTTCCTTCGCAATTCGCCAAGCATAGGCTGTCCAAACTCTTGTCTGGCAGACATCTCAGACAGGACTTCAATCTCCGAATATAGCGATTCCAAGTCTTCCTCTAATGCAATCTTCACATCCTTGCTTCCAGATACATCCGCCATGACTTCAGTATCCGACAAAATTACCTCGAGATATAATCGGTCTAATCGACAACGAATTTCTTCAGAGGTCAATCTCGAAAGAACGGATATCAAATCCAATGCCCGTTTCTCCATTTTTCCGTCTGCCTCTGTCGACTCCGAATCCGCCATGATTCTTTCCGCTGTGACAAGGACCTCGTCATCATCCACTAGTTTTGAGCTTATGCTTTGTAGCAGCTGCTTTCTTTCTGCCTGCTTTTGTTGTTGATATTCCTGCATTCTGATTTCAAAATCATTCTTTATGTCTTCAGACTAAGCGATATGAGTCAACTCAATATGATCAATGCGAATATGCTTTGAAGATTGGTCGAGCGTACCATAGCTTTTAATTTTTGCTTTTCTAACAAATGTTGCCTGCTCAGCGCATTTATGTATCGGTCCTGATTTCGATCGGCCGCTCGACTGCCAGTTTGTAGCCGCTCGGTGATTTCCAATTGAGACTTTAATGTCGAAACCTGTTTCGCACAAGTTGCAGTTGATAATTTTAACGTTGCGGTAGCTTCGCGAATCTCTTCTTCGGTGAGGGCTCGCGTGGATGTCAAATCGGATTGTCGGAGAAGGGTCTCTAGTACCCCAGATCGTTCTAAGCTCTTCACTCTATTGCTGTTAGTGTGTATTATTCGTACCTCGTAGTGCCAGGGCATATTCACAAAGCAACTTCATCCTTGGAGAGCAATGTGCTAGAACTGATATGCTCCATGACCCACTGAGCATTGGTTCTGCCTTGTGGTGATCCATCGTCCAGCTCGACGGCGATAGCCTCTTTTTTGAATTTAATGTCATGATCCTGAAGAGCTGCGGCAAGTAGAGCGCTCGCTCTAGAGAGGTCTTGCATTGTTCATGAATTGTAAAAGCGTAAAGTAGTAAGAAGGTGAAGTTGTTTATGTTGATGCAGCTGCAAACTCCACTTGCCCCAGCTCCACCAATTTAGGCTGATGAGGAAGGCGCTGATCATCTCCCGCCATTCATTTCTATTCTTTTTTTATTCTCAATCTTTTATTTCCCCATCTTTGATATTATTTGTGACTAATTTACCGACCTGAAGAAGAAAACATTCAATCAGATGATGTACGGAGATCCACATCGACAGCAAAGTATGATTGAGGCGGCTAGAAGCGGCGAGGGGCAACAATCATGGAACTCGCCGAACCCATTGCGCAATTTTTAATCCCATAGTACTACCTACTTCTTTTCACATTTCTTGAATCAGCCAGACAGACCAATTATAACAAATATCAATTTCATTCTCTTTGCGCTCATCTCCTTGATATCCTTACGAATATCACTATTGAATCAAGATGGCTTCGCAATCGGTCGTCCCTCCTGGGGTGCTGAACAGCATCACAGAACACATCGGAAACACGCCACTTGTCCGATTGAATCGCCTACCACAGAGCTTCGGCATTGAAGCCACTGTTTATGCAAAACTCGAATACTTCAATGCCGGCGGCAGTGTCAAAGATCGTATTGCTCTCCGCATGATCGAGGAGGCCGAGAAGTCGGGCAGGATAAAACCCGGAGATACATTGATTGAACCTACAAGTGGCAACACGTAAGACTTACCATTGTGCTGCCTATGACAGATTTTAAGAAGGATAACTGACGATTTGTTCAGTGGTATTGGTCTGGCGCTTGTGGCAGCAGTCAAAGGTGAGCTCTTGAAAACGAACTGTCTGCACAGGTGCTAATTAAATAGGATACAAAACCATCATCACCCTCCCCGAGAAAATGTCCGCCGAGAAAGTCTCCGTACTCAAAGCTCTCAATGCCAACATCATCCGTACTCCCACACAAGCCGCATACGACTCTCCCGAATCCCACATCGGAGTTGCGAAGCGCCTCGAGAAAGAACTCCCCAACGCGCATATTCTCGACCAATACAGCAACGTGAATAATCCACTAGCGCATGAACTCGGTACCGCGCAAGAAATCTGGGCTCAAACAGAGGGCAAGATCACGGCGGTTGTCGGCGGTGCCGGTACTGGAGGTACCATCACCGGTATATCAAAGGGCTTGAAGAAACAGAATTCCGCAGTCAAGGTCATTGCTGCGGATCCACAAGGCTCGATTCTCGCGCTTCCTGCATCGCTGAATGTTGAGCATGAGAATGAGCCGTACAAAGTCGAGGGTATTGGTTATGACTTTATTCCTCAAGTCCTCGATCAGTCTGCGGTTGACAAATGGTATAAGACGGATGATAAAGAGTCTTTCCAGTACGCTCGACGATTGATCGCCGAGGAGGGTCTTTTGGTCGGAGGAAGCAGTGGAAGCGCCATCGCTGCGCTTGTCAAAGCACACCAGGATAATCAAATCTCCAAGGATGATGTCGTAGTGGTTATCTGCCCGGACAGTATTCGTAGCTATCTCACCAAGGTATGTCAATTTAAACTTTTACAGTTAATGGCAACGACTGACAAGGATATAGTTTGCCGATGACGACTGGCTAGCTGCCAATGATCTACTTCCTACTGTGCCATCCGAACTCTCAACTACCACATCCGAAACACCTATAACTCGCGAACAAAAGGACGTCTTCGCCAACGGCAAGGTCAGCTCTTTGAGACTCAAACCCGTGACTACAGTCCGAGCGAATGACACCTGCCAAGCTGCAATCGAACTCATGCGCGAGAAAGGTTTCGACCAACTCCCTGTTCTCACCGCTGATGGCAAGAAACTCGCGGGCCTCGTCACATTGGGTAATGTCTTGAGCTGGATTTCCCGCGGCCGCGCTGCAGGCAAGAGCCCCGTTTCAGAGGTCATGTTTGACTTCTCAAAAATACCGGAAGTCGTCACCGATTCTAGATCGTTGCAGGCTGCCTCCAACAAGACAGACGGTCAGGCTGCCCAAACTAAGAATCGCAATAAATTCTTTGAGATTACCTGGGATACATCTCTCAGCGTACTCAACCGATTTTTTGAATGGAATAGTGCGGCGATTGTGACTGAGCGTGACGAGCAGGGAACGATCAAGCCTGTTGCAGTCGCGACCAAGGTTGATTTGCTTACCTGGTTGTTGCATCAGAGCAATACCAAAGCCTAGATATGTTTGTACTTCGTTTGCTGATGATTACTATGGGGTGATGTTTCTTTTATTAATAGCCGGGGTTTGTTTTGCTTGTTCGTCATTGGTACTTATTTGATAGACTATAGAATATGTACAAAGAAATGGATTAGGACGATAATGGACGTTTAAACGAGATCTCCAGGCTAATTGTGCCTTTGGTATACCGACCGATTTTCGGCAGATCTCGCTTGCGATACGCCGCGCACGAAGCCCAGTCTTTTCTCAGCTATGATATAATCCCTGGACGAGCTTCATGACAGGTACGACGCCTTGGTTCCGTCTTCATAGCAATGGCTGGAATTTGACGCTCGATGCTATAGAAAAACGGTTCACAGTACCAGTCCAAAGAGCTGGAGCCGAGTGCCTCGACCCAGGACCGTTCTTGGATTCCGAAATTTCACGTATTATGGCCGAACATCGAACCCTTCACAGACACGACCCAATCCATTCTTCCCACTTCCGGATTCCATTCGTACTTGTATCCTTTTCATTCTCGGCCGTGGCAAATCCACCAACAACATCAACCTTGACACCAATATCATCCTCCAACCCCCGAAACGTAAACACACCACCATTTCCACCCAAAACCTCATCCTCATCCTCATCATGCTCAGGACCAGCACTGGCATCCAGCAATCCCTTCTGACGCGTCTGTCGAATCCGATCGATCTCCGACTCGAGTTTCTGCTTAACGGATCCCGGTGGCAGGGCCGTGAATAGATCTTGCTTATTGGCAGCCACTAATATCGGAGTCCTCGCCCCGGCTTTCACGGACGATTTCCCTTTACTCAAGATCACTTTCTGTAGCACGAGGAGGACGTCGTATAAGTAACCCGCATAATCGCGCAAATTCTCCGCTCCCTCCGCTAGAGATGCAGCATCCACGAAGAAGATAATTCCTCGCACGGATGATTCTTTCTTATTCTTTGAGCTGAGCTCTGCTTGTAGTTGAGTCAATTGCGCGGATCGCAATTTACCGTGGCCCGGTGTGTCGCGCAGGATGTATTTGACAGCATTTCGTTTAGCGTCGGGGAGACTGGGGTCGTTCACGGAGCGGTAGCGATTGGAGAATACGGGGATGGAGGGGGAAAGAGTCACGGTCGTAGATGTGGATGTTTGAGAGGTGTGGGTTGCAGTTGATGGTGTTTTGGTTTTGAGGAGAGAAGCCGACTCGACCTGTAGAAACACATGTTAGAGGTTAAACGAGCTGTTACTTGAATTGAGAACATACCAACGACAGAAAAGCAGTCTTTCCAGATCCGCTCGGTCCAAGTAACACAAAGGTAGACAGAGACTGACTCGCTACTTTGCGATAGAAGGATAGGTGCAAGAGAATAGGAAGACTGAGCGTAGCGACGAGGGCCAGCAGGATGGCAATTGGGTTGCCATCGAGGAGAGTAGTGGCGATGGACTCGAGCGAAGCCTTCCAGTCTGCGGGGAAGTGATCCATGATATAGTCGAAAAGTGGCCGGCGGGCGGACCACGCGTCTGTTGCACTATCGTTACTAAATCTTCAGTTGGAAATACGTAGTCGAGGTATGTAGAGGACTGACATGCGTAGCGGATGGGAGACTCTCCGGTGGCCTCAGCAGCCCTAATTCTGGTATGTAAGGCGGGCCCGGAGCCCCCTGAGAGCCAATCACCTTCTACCCTGTCTCTTGTTTGGCATTCAAGGGCATACACAACTACGTACAATCGCCCGGTAATTCAGCCAGGAGCTTTATCAGGATGCTCTTCTACCTTGTACCGTTTGTGAACGCGTTCGTGTAGTCGTTTTCAATCTAAACTCGCCGACCAAGTATACACTACCGCGATCTAGAAGGCAGGATGAAATTGGCCAAAGCAACCTTATTTCTCGCATTCATAGCTCTCCCTCTAGCAGTCTTTGCTGACGTGGAATTTGTAGAGCCCGGCGCGGGTTCAACTGTCAACAGTGATGACATATTGACTGCCTACTGGAAAGATTCTGGAGATGCGCCCAGTCTCCTCGACCTTCATGACTATGATCTCTTCCTATGTGCTGGGGGTCCTGATATTGAGTACTCGGTTTGTGAAATTAGATTCTGACATATGAGCTGGCACGGACTGACGTATGAATGTATAGGAGGACCTAGCGCTACTTGTACTAAATGGTGTTTTCGACAGAGGTTATTCTGTCTCTTTTCAAATCCGACCTGACCTTGGCCCTGAATACCCAGATGCCTAGTATGAATCCCCATCAGCCCTTCCAGTTCCCCACTGACATGATGTCTAGTTTCCTCAAGATGATATCTAGAGGACCAAACAACATAACAGTCGTCAACTATTCCGAGCGATTCTCCGTAACCGGGATGACGGGCGCATTCTCAGAGTTGGTCCAATATGGACTATCGCTCACCGCAAACGACACCTCCGAATCCCACCAGGACCTGAAACTGCGAAAGAGACAGGTGGTCCCCGCGGCCATCGTCCCGGCCAAAGAAGTCTATGACGTTCCGTACCCCGAACAATCCAAGGGCTTAACCAAGTATGCCCCTATGGGCAAACGTCCGGCCACCACGATCACAGCAAAGAGCGGCCCCCCCCAGTTTCCGACGAGTACTTTCAGTGTAGCTCGCGCGTTCTTGCCAATTCCTACATGGCAAACTACCTTGACTGCTTCGAGGACCTGGGCCGATTCTCTCATTGAAAATCCTGTAAGTTTCGTTGCTGCTCGAGATGGCTCCCTGAAACGGTGCTTATTTTTGATCCGCGTAGGCAACCCCGGCGCCGCACCCCAAGAATGATATGCAAAAGTTTCTCAAAAGATGGGCTGACGAGGAATGAGATGCTAGCATGAGGCTCTGAGGTAAATCTGTCGTTGGACTGCTGGAATATTTGAGCAATAATTCTGAGAAAACTTTTTTGTCCACCTTGTATCTGTATGTAAATGAAATGAATATTGTGCAAAACTCTGTCCTGGCGACCTCAGACAGGAACCTTTTAGATACATCTAGTATCTCGTCCGCGTACTCATCTTCATCAAATTTGCTTCATATAGGCTATAACCATGTGTGTTCACCAGCGGTAATCACTATGCAAGGCTAGGAGTAGCAGTACCACTCGAAAGCTCCTTCGGGAAGAAAGAAATATTCTCGCGTAGAGCCACATATTCGCTGTCCGCATATCCGAGAACAGCCTGTATATGAGTGCTACGCACACCCTTGATCCGACTGATCTCAAGACTGCCATAATTCACAATAGCCCTGCCAACCTCTCGGGGCTCCTCGGCATGAGCCATGAAATCGCCATCGATGGCGGTCGGTGAACGCTTCTCCACGACGAATAGGCGCACTGCTTCCTGTTGGCCGAAATGGCCTTCGACGGCAAGGACACCTGCCGGGAGAAGACTGGCTTTCTTTTGTAAGGCGCTGAATGCGCCTTGGTCGATATATAGACTTCCATGAGGAGCGAGACCGTGCAGAACCCAGAATGAACGGGATTGAATCGGTGTAGCTGAGGGGATAAAGCGGGTATGCAGCGGAGGTAAAGAAAGACCAGAGATCGGCTTGTCTGTCAATTGCTGTGCCGAATCTGGCTGGGTACTTGTTTCGAACACAGGTAGTCCAGTCTGAGATTCCTGCAGATAATTCACAATATCATGCACATTGCCCGGCTTCGAACTTTTTGTAATAATAGTCGTCACGCCGGCACTAGTAGCAAGACGAGCAGCAACAATTTTTGTGCTCATGCCTCCGGTGCCTAGCGAAGATCCGGATGTCGAGACATCAGCTTCTAGTAATGAGATGTCGGAAACCACCTCGATGGGCTGTGCATTCGGATCGTGTCTCGGGTTGGCAGTGTATAGACAGTCCACATCAGTCATTAAAAAGAGATAATCTGCCCTGACCATGGCGGCGGTTATAGCTGATAGCGTGTCATTGTCTCCAAATTTGATTTCCTAATACGTGGATCAGCAAGATTTACAAACATGACATATTGTCGAATACATACTGCAACGGCAAGAGTGTCGTTCTCGTTGACAACGGGTAGTACACCCATGTCTAGCAGCTCTGAAAAGGTGTTTTGAGCATTTATATATTGTGTGCGCTGAAACATATGTTAGTTCGTGTCTCATATCCTGGAAACTCGGTGCATGTGCTCCTACATCTGCAATATCGCTTCTAGTAAGAAGAATCTGTGCGACAGGAATTCGGAGGTGCCCAAAGAGGCTATCCCACAAACTCATGAGCCGGCATTGACCGACAGCAGCAAGCGCCTGTATCATGCCAGTTAGCAAATAAAATTCATTCATTCAATTAGGTTAGTGACCTGTATCCGCGGCAGGTGCTTCGGCCTCTCATCGATATCCATTCTGCGCAGTCCAACTCCAATGGCACCTGAAGATACCAAAATGACTCTGTGACCATTCTTGCGAAGTTTTGCGACTGTCTCAACAATCAAGGATAATATAGATAGAATTGGTTCGTGTGTGCGTTCATCCACAATTGAACTCGTTCCTGTGACGCATTAGTATATAATTTCACGCAGTGCCGAGCAGCATACCTAATTTTATGACGATTGTCAAGCTCTGCGATCCATTGAATGTCTCCATTTTTGTCCAAAACAAACAAGAAAAGCAAATCTATGAATTCCGAGGAAGTGTACCAAGCATAGAGAAAATTAAGAAGAACACCAACAAAACAAAGTTTCGTCGTTTGCGGAGTAATATCGGACCAAATATTATTCTGCCAGAAGTCACCGCTCAATTTGTGTCCCGATTTCAGATTGTTTTTCTCCGCTGCTTGATTGCTTTTTTTCTGATTGTCACAGATCATATAAATACAGAAAAATGTCGGACTCAAACTCGCCAACGCCCGCCAAAGATACAGGTTATACACCAGGCGACGACTTCTCGACGCAATGGAGGAACATATTCTCCATTTTGACTGGCCGAATGACCCCCGAAGGACAAGAGCAATTCCGTCTTGCCAAAGACATTCGAAATGAGGCCGCAGATTGCAAGCGTTGTGAAGACCAGCGTGACTATCTTTTGCAATTCAGTGAGTCTACACATATATACACCCGGGAAATTGGGTAGGCTTTGTAGTTGCCGTGAATCTGTCAGCTTACAAATTGTCTAGGTCCTACTGTCAAATATCTAAGCGACAACATTCGCCAATTAGGCGGCGATCTCGGAAGTCATAATATCCATTGCCGGCGATGTACACAACGGAAAGCAGGCGGTTTCGACCCCGAGTTCGGTATTCAGATTTGCGCAAACGAGATGCGTGATCAAGGTCATCTGGAGGATACGATGGCACACGAGATGGTACATGCGTATGACCATCTACGATTTAAGTTGGACTGGGATAGTGATTTGAGACATGCGGCATGCACCGAGGTATTTCTTTCCTAATCTACTATCTCTCGGTCATGCAGCGAAAGGTCAATGTACTGACGGTGCTTTCCAGATCCGCGCTAGTTCTCTCAGCGGCGAGTGTCGATGGGCTCGAGAATTCTTCCGACGAGGTCAATGGAAACTCACGCAACAACACCAGGAATGCGTTCGAAGAAGGGCAATTCTCTCCGTACGCGCAAGACCGTTCTGCAAAGATGAAGCACATGCTGAAAAGGTCGTGAATGAGGTGTGGGAAAGTTGTTTCCGCGATACGCGACCCTTTGACGAGATCTATCGATGATTCGATCGATTCCATAAACCATTTACCTCGAATATACCCTGTACATTACTGCTTATGACGGCGTTTGATGACTCTCCCAATTGAAGCATATATAAATAGAAGACATAACTCAATTCCTGTCAGCTGAAATTGTGTACCCGAGACGCTTATCCTGCATAACTCCAATATCCCCGTACCCACTGAAAACCCTAAACTCCAACATAAAATGCAAAAATAAGTAACACAAAAAATATGCCTATCGGCCTTCTTTCTGGCTCGAGCTACGCTGCGTAGTCTTTTCTGTTTTGGCACAATGCTTCAAGATCCATGGATGCTGTTGGGCTTCGTCAATAGACATGCGCTTCTCAGGGTCTAGAACAAGGAGCTGTGAAGAAGTTAGCTAACTGTCAATAATCACAAACGAAGATTGAGAACCTACCCTCTTGATGAAGTCCCTGGCCTCCGGGCTGACAAATGAAGGGATTGTCATGTCGGCTCTGGTAATTCTTCGCTGAGTCATGACCGGAGTATCCTCAAACGGTGCTTCTCCGACCAGGAATTCATAAGTCAACACTCCGAGACTCCAAAGGTCGACTTTGTCGCTGTAAAAGTTCTCCTGCGATCCTCGCACCAACATCTCGGGAGGGAGGTAGTCGAGTGTTCCACACATTGTCTGTCTTCGGTTATTTGGCGCATGCACACTCCAGCCAAAGTCACTGATTTTGATCTCTCCATGAATACCAACCAAGATATTTTCCGGCTTGATATCTCGGTGAATAACGTGTTTCTTGTGTAGGTACTTCAGAGCAGCCGCCATCTGTGCAATATACTGAGCAGACTTCCACTCGGGAAAACGGTGCTCCTTGCGAAGATGTTTGTACAGTTCACCTTTGCCAGCAAACTCAAGGATGAGAAAGATTCGCTTGCTGTCGTGGAAATGACCATATAGTCGTAGCACGTTGGGATGTCTCAAGTTACTTTGAATTTCAATTTCTCTTCTGACCTGCTTCTGGACTCCTCCTTGCTGGAGCTCGGATTTGTGAAGCACCTTCAAGGCACAAATGAATCCAGTAGAGCGCTCTTTAGCGAGGTAGACGCGACCAAACTTTCCTTTTCCAAGGGCTTTGCCAATCTCAAACATGCCGAGGTGTAGTTGCTTAGGGGCTGGTTGGTCGTAGAGCACCGTGGCGCTGTGTTCAGATCGGCCCTGTTGCTCTTTGTTGGCAGGCGATCCAGCGTTTGCTTTTGATTCGGTTGTGTTTTGTAAAGCCATCTTGAGAAGCTGATTGCGGGCTGAGTTTGTTGCTGAAGGGTTTCCGGCACCCAAGCCAGTCAAAGACACAGCGGTTGACAAGGATCCCTTTGGTAAGTTAGCATATGATGACGAAGCACAGACCGCTGAATAGCTCCTAGTCAAGTCTTTACCTTGGCTTTGATGTGGCCTTTTGTTGTTCCATGGTGTTCATTCTCATCGTTGACCGACAGATGCTCGAACCGAGCTTCCAAAGTCTTCGTTGCCATCGTGGTGAGTAGAGAAGAGAAGATCTGCGGTGGACAAGGAACAAGAAGAGACAAATACAACAAGTGTTATGAGTGATAATCACTCATAGAGAGGTGGTCGACTGATGTGGGATTCCAGCTGGAGCTATGAGGAAGAGAGAGGTAGTTATAGAAAGAAGTGATATTAGAGGAAGGAACTGGGAAGGTATGTTTATTAGCGACGGGAAGCCAGCCATCGCCTGGGCAACGGCTCCCGCTGAGCTCGGAGGGTTAGCGCGGATCATCCATTGCGGGGCAGACATGAACTTATCGATGACTGCGACAATCACTGTAGGCTTCTTGTTCTTCTGTCTACATTTCGGATTATCAACTCTCGCGAACGACACAACAGACGCTACATATCCCATTGTTCAGCATGGCCACAGCCAACACCAGCAACTCAACGTCAACTCCACCAACCCCGTCAACCCAATGGTCATCGCCAAATGTTGAAACAAAGATGGATACGCGACCACAAACCTTTTTTCGAAAAGGTTTCACTATCACGACTCAAAAATTACCCATCCTCAAGGCGGGTCCCATCGAAAGCATGACGAACAGACTTGGAATCACCCCTCCGGAAATGATCTTCGGCGACAACTTCATAGCGATCGAGCACAACGCCAGTGGATGGGGCATAGCATTCAATACATTCGATGCTTTGGACAAAGTTGACAAGACTGGAGCCGCAATGCTCAAAGTTGCATACTCGAAGGAATGGCAAAAGAGCCGGTAGATATACTATTCTTTACAAACACTCTGAGTAGTAGGACTGACCGTTTCAAGGGAACACACCCACGACGGAATCAAAGAGGTTGTGAAGCCTTTCGACTGGTCGTATAGCACCGACTACAAAGGGACCGAGAAACCTGACGTCGCAGCACTCGGCCCATCCGACGTTGAAATCCCAATCGAGCTTCTCAAACGACCAGACCCAATCTTATTCTTCGATGATGTGATGCTCTACGAGGACGAACTGGCCGACAATGGTATTTCTATGTTGTCTTGCAAAATACGTGTTATGCCTGATTGCCTTCTTTTGCTTGCTCGATTTTTTATGCGCTTGGACAACGTTGTTTTCAGGCTCAGGGATACGAGGATATACGTAGATTTCAACAAAGCCGAAGTGATTAGAGATTACCAAGCTCGAGAAATGGGCTATGAAGATGTACGAAAGGTATGTAAATTCGATCTATGGACCCGAGTTGTTTTCCGCGCTAACAGTTGCTAGGCCCTGGCCAGCGGTCGCGAGGATGTTGCGGCAGTCATGAGGGATCCCAACAGACTCGCTCAAATTCTACCAATTGTTGATCATTCTCTGGAACGAACTGTTCTTCCCACTCAATAATCATTCGAGACTTGCAGTGATTCTCGTTCAGTGATTCAATATCAGTTGAATCCGCGATCGTGATTGGTGGGCTCCCGCGGGGTCAAACACTGCAAACATTTCCCAAGACCGCCGAGCAAATCATTTGACGCGCTGAATAATCTCTTTTTCTATGACTTCACCAGCCAACGCTGCGATCTTCACAGCTCTATTCATACAATCCTAAAACCAGCAGAGTCAAGATGTCAAGCAAATTATTTTGTCCTAGTTGCTCTTTGAGCTTACGATTGGGCGTGTTTGTGAAAGAACAGGTATTTGCATCAATTGATAATTTTCGCATGCCATCGTTCTAACTCGATTATCCCAAACAGTCCAAATCCGTACATACAATAAGCCATTCGTTGCCGACTCGCCCAGGATACATAATTACAGCAAAAAACAACACGATTTCTTCTAGACGATCCGAGGCGCGATCGGCGTTGATCCCTTCATGTCGAAACTTTTCGTCAACACCTGCCGCCAGTGCCAGCTCTGGCATACTAAAGAGCCTGACATCAGGAGGTGCAGCCGAGACATATGTATCCTATGGTTTTACGCAAAAATTGTACGAGGCTTGCTCGTCTCAAGCGGATTATGAGATCCCACAATTAGCCCTAAAAGGAGTCGAAGTACCGAAGACCGCCAATGGTGAGGAACTTGGAGTCGGAGAGGGATGGTGGTATAAAGGTAAGCTTAAGCAATCTTTTCTATATCTGCAGGTTTACTTATTTGAAACTCCTACAGAGCTCAAATTGCTTCCTACATTTTCCACATGGTCGCAGGTGACCTTTCTGCACATGTACCTGCTGACGGTCCGTATCCGCGCCCTACCATCGCCCGAAAGCGTACGAACCCACTCCCGCCATCTCTTCGACCACTTCTCGCACAACGCCGAACAACGCATGGCCACCCTCCACAACATCTCCAGCCGTAGCATCCGCAACAAATACCTCAAAGATCTCTTCATCCAATGGCGCGGCGTTCTTGCCGCCTACGACGAGGGACTCGTCAAAGGCGACGCAGTCTTGGGCGCAGCCGTATGGAGAAATATATGGAAAGCAAGCGGCACATCACATGACGGCCGCGACCTTGACTGGTCTCAAGTCGCTACTGTGGTGGCTTATATGCGTCGTGTGCTTTCGGAATTGGCCAAGACGAATGAAGCGGATTTGGTCTTTGATCTCGTGGGTACGGACTTTGTTGCTGCTGCTGTTGGAGGAAAGGAGAAGAAGGCTATATTCGGACCTAGGGGGGTTGATATGAAGCTCGGTGGGATGAAGTAGGGTGCCTCGTTATCTGTACTATAATACTTTCATTATGATGCATTGATGCAAATGACAATCTCATCACTATTACACCTAACTCCACATATTTGGTACTTTCCTGTATACAGTAGTTCTTTTAGCTATTTATTTTGCGAGATCTTTCTCTACCATTCCACGGCAAATAGGGTGGTAGAAATCTCTGTACTTTTCAAATGTCTCAACAGCAACCTGACGATCAACATTCTTGAGAGCACGGAACCTGTTATGCAATTAGTACAACCACCTGGGATCTCAAGGTCAAAGACTTACAAAGGTCGAACAAACTTCATCCTGCCAATCTCTCCCAAGAGCCTCACGGTAGGCTCAATGGCCGACCTATCGCCAATTTTCAACCCCAATCTGAAATAAAGATTTGTAACTTCGATATTCGAGCTGTCTGCAAAGCCGTACACTTGACCCATCAAACGGAACGAGTCTGAGCTGAGTGCTGGGTCTTCGAAAAGGGTGACTCGCTCAAGGAAAACAATGAATTGGTTGGCGCTCAAACCCTTGATGTCTTCCTTTGATGGGGTGAAGGTTGACGAGGAAGACGAGAGAGATTTCCATTTGTCGGCTAATTCGTAGACGATATCGACGAGGGAGGTGTCAAAGTCTGGTTTGGGGGGAAGACCGGGCGAGTAGAACCATGAGTCCCAGTCGACTTCGTTGAGACGTTTGGTGGCTACGGGGTCATTGGCGAAGAAGTCAAGGATGGTGGACTTGAATTCATAAGAGTCGAGGGATTTTTCTTTGAAAACAGTAAAGTACTGCGATCATTCGTTAGTCTTTCACAGAGTCTTGTATGAGAGGATACAAGAGAGAGTCTACGTACGTGAGGGATAAACTTATCAAAGGAGTCCTTGGTCAATAGATTCTCAAGGTAGAACAAGAAGGTGAATCCCTTTTCGTAGGGAACCTTGGAGAAAGCGTCATCGGGATCCTTTCCTTTCAGGTCAACCACCAATTTGGTGAACTCGTTGTCCTCTCCGAACTCTTTGACGGAGTCCGTGAGCCCGTCCCAGCCGATGATGGCTGAGAAATGACGGTGTGCTTCACCGTGTCTACCAGGGTTAGTGATGTAAGTCGATGATCCTGGCTGAGAAACTCACACTGCACCCATTATCTATGACACGATTGTTAGTCGATTTGCAAATTCTTTAAGAGGTAGATACTCACTCTACGTTCCAAATAAGTAGTCCAGCCCTCGTTCAACCAAAAGTGCTCCCAAGATGCATTGGTCACTAGATTACCGCTCCAACTGTGAGCCAATTCATGAGCAATGACATCTACATTTTCTCGGTCCTGATAAATCGTGGTTAGCATGGCTCGGCCATAGTTTTAAGGCTAGTACCTTTGATATCAAACTCGGAGTCGCGAATGTATAGATAGGGTTCTCCATACCGCCGTATGGGAAACTGGGAGGAAGAATGAGGATATTGTACTCGCCCCATGCATAGGGGTATACTATTCTCTGCGAAAAATCAGTTCTGCTCTCCTCTCAATTATAAACTGCATTCAGCCCACCTCGATAGCTTCGATAAACTTCTCGGTATGCGCTTCGAGTTCCCACTTGCAATCATCAATCTTGTCCGGGCTGGACACAACCACGCTTCGTGGGCCGACAGGGGCTTCGGTCAAATCTCTAGAAGAAAACATCAGCCATTGTATCGAAGCTCGCAAAAAGTGAAGTACGCACCCACTAGCCACGGCGAAAAGGTAGCTAGGAATTGGAACATTCTGCTTGAACTTGTAGAGATTGTTAGACTTCGCATTGGCATCGCGCACAGGCAATCCACTAGCAACGACAGGAAATGGAGAGGTGATGTTGAAGTCAAATGTGGTTTTCACATCGGGCGTATCCTGGCAGGGGAAGATGGAGCGGGCGTGGATAGCCTGGCATTGGGAGACTGCACGCTGGATGATTAGAAATATGTTTAAAGTTATCATACTGGATAAGAGACATACACATGTATGGGTGTTTCTTGTTCGATGTTTGCGCTTCTGTCAACCATTGCAGCGCAGTGCATTTTTCGGTGGTTTTGAGAGAGATCTACGCCCTCTTTTCATCAGCCTGTATCCAACGATAAGTAGAAAGAAGTCTTACGTCAACTTCCACAATATTACCCTCCTCAACACCCGTCTCGAGTACAATCTTCAAAGCACTCCCATACGGCTCAAAGCGCGGCAGCAACTCCCACTGCGCCTTTTGGCCATCCACCTTCACCTGCGAGATATCCAAAAAGCTCGTATCAAGGACGATTTCCCGCGTCGCGGCTTGCGTCTTGGAGAGCAATTGATGAATCACATTGCCGGCGAGCCTCTTGTTGCTGAAGTCAATCTCGAAGTTCGCGGTGATATGGCGAGAGCGCCAAGCTGTGTAGTTGCTCAACGTGTTTGGGTCACGAGGGCGGAGGATGGGCGTCGTGGTTGCTGCGGCCATGTTCAACGCGCGAATCTGGATATTGCAGCCAAATCTTCTGGGAGTTTGATAAAAGGTAATTGATGGTAGTTGTATCCTCCAGCTGCGAAGTGCTTGCATCTGTGAATGTATGGAGTCGATTTGTGGAGGTGAAGAAAAGCATTTAATTGTGCTATCGCGAGCTATCAGTCAGGCGGGGCTGTCCGCGAATAGCCGTGCTTCACTCATGATGTTACATTCAGTCATCTAATTAGATTAATTCCTTTTATTCTTTGAAGTTTCTGTATGTGTCTCTAAGCTACATCATTTTACTAGCCTATGACCCATTGATCATTAATTCGACCTGATCAGCAGTCTTCGGTGCAGTCGTAAGGTTCTCATATCCTTCCTTGGTGATGTGAATGTTGTCCTCGATACGCACACCACCAACTTCCCAGTATTTCTCCAAGATGTCAGCGTCAATATACTTTGAGAGCTCAGAGTCCTTGAGATAAGGTTCTATTATGAATCGGCAGAAGTAGACCTGCAAGAGTATTAGCATCATGTAAAGCTCCAGAGAAAGTAAAGGCATACGCCGGGTTCGACAGTAATCACACTTCCCGCAGGAAGTTTACCTCTCACTCGCAAATACCGGAACATCTTGTCCTTATCCGCGTAGTTTGCGTGACCACCAGTATCATGGGTGTCCATTCCAAGATAGTGACCTAGTCCATGCGGGAAAAATGCGACACTGATCCGCTTCTCGAGAAGCTCCTCTTCCGAGCCACGCAGTATACCGAGCTTTAGCAATCCCTTGATGGCGACCCGGTGAGCTGTAATATGAACATCTTCCCATAGGACGCCTTCCTTGAGCATGGCAAGTGACTCGGTTTGCATTTCAAGTACGATGTCATAGATCTCTCGAGACTCGGGTGAGAACTTGCCTGACAGAGGGAATGTGCGCGTGACATCCGCACAGTAAGCTTTGTACTCCCCCGCAGCATCAAGTAGAAGATTCAGTTTCTTCTTGTTTGTCGATGCGTCGATCAGAGACTCATCATTATTCACGTAGTGCAAGGTCGCACTGCTCGTTCCACTAGCAACGATAGGATGATACGCCATCTCGCGACATCCTTGAGCAATACAAGTTCCGATAAAAGCCGCTTCGAGCTCTCGCTCATTAGTAGCCGACTTGGCTGCTTTGAGAACAGCCACATGCGCCTGAGCAGTAACGTCGTTCGCTTTGCGAAGCATGGCCACTTCGTATGCATCCTTGATAGCTCGGCATTCTTCAATTGCCGTCTTTAGGGCTACTTTATCGGTGTCTGGGAAGTCCTTGAAGGAGACATCACCGGATATCTGCCCGTCAATGGCAAACACGAATCCGCTTGTGCCGACTTTAGATGCTAAGTGGGCCAAAGTAGGGTTGATATCGGTCGTGAACAAGACCTCGTCGACATCGTAAAGCTCCTTGGCCTCAGCAGGCGAAACGGGGAGACCAGACCAGATGACAGACTCTGGATCTAGAGGCGGGATGAAGAGGGKGAGCTTATCGGTGCTGATGTGGTAGGTGAGATGTGCATCTGGGAGCAAGCATCCGGAGAGATAGAAGAAGAACCGACGCTGTCTTGTCGAAATCAGCTATGTTTTAACCCAATCATGTTACGTTCGACGTCTCAGGGTAATCTACCTAAATGGCTGCTCAGAGTCATTGTCTTCAATCATCTTTGTCTTCTGGGCTTCCAGATAGAGCACGCCGTCGCCCTGGAAACCATTCTGTCGCAGATACTCGACGACTCTACGAGCGTGTGCTTTCGCAGGGTATTTACCGGTGAGGATGCCCTCGGTAGAAGTCATGTTTGCTCAAATTTCAAGACAATTATCGATGAGTAAAAGATGAAAAGCTCTGATTGTGTTGATGTTGAACAAAAGGGTAGCATCGGCTGTCATTGGACCCCGCGCGATTTTCCATTAGATAAGGCCCCGCATTCGATATTAAACAATCAGTCAGAACAAAACGCTTCAAAAAAAGCTAGAATTCGTAATTGGACATACATAGCAAAACAAAGCGGAAACAGGGATATCATATATACTACTCCGTGCCTATCCAGAATCATCGCATAGGACTGCTCTCGAAATTGGAAACATCTTCAAACTCCATCTCCCATTGATCCACCTCTGCAAACTTGAGCGCTGCGTTTTGCAGCTCGCGACTGCCTATCCGCTTCTTCGAGGCATGCAATGGCAGATCAGTATCTGATTCTAGATCCTCCGATGGCGGTGGTGAGGAGAGAAGCGAAGAGTTGTCAGAGAGATAGTCGTTTTCTTTGTCGTTTTCTTTGTCGTTCTCTTTGTCTGCGGTTTGACGAGAGTATGTCCGTTGCGACTTGCTGCCTTGGGTATCAACAGCCTTACCTGTACCCTTGGTATTGTCGCGTTTGTCCTTTTTGCCTCCTCGATTGGACTCGCCCAGTTTCGCATTCGTCTTTCTAGATGTCGCGGTAGACAAGGCCTTCTTTCGTGATCGGTGTGGTCTCCTCATGACTTCACGAGTCAATTCGTCCTCGTCCGGATCTTCATTGGCTGAATCAATGTCTTCGTCATCGCTGCCATCTGTGTGCTGACGACGGCGGATACGGCGTTGTGGAAGAAATCTGGTTTGTAGGCTGAGTGTGGTCACTTTCGGCAAAGACTTCGTTTCCTCTGATGTTGCAGCAGTCCGCCTTTCGACGGTCATCAATCGTACAGGACTTGCCGTAGAATTACTCATAGGTGTAGCCATAGTAAAACTGGGAAGTTCGTCACTCGATCCGGCCACTGGAGATTCTGGAACTGGAGTAAGTGTCGACACTGAACTACTTCTCGACGAGGGCAAGACTGGTTCGACGTGCTTATCGTTTACTGCTCCCGACTGGCGCTTCCTCTTCCTGGATTCCGTAGATGACGGCGACACAATAATTGGCGGAGGACGGGAAGGAGAAACGGCCAATTGCCTCTCCGCAGCATTCGAAACTCTAGCAACATTCAATGGCGTCGATTCGTCCTGGGGACTAAAGCCACCCAGAAAATCCTCATCGTCAAAATCTGATGAGTCTTCATCATCTGCCTGCATCATTTGTAACAGACTCGGCTGTCTCGATCGCTTCTTGAAATTGCTCAGAATAGAGCTCTCAAATCCAGGGGTACTGCCGATTCGTGAATTGAAATCCCCCTTTCGTCCAACTAGAGATAATGTAGAGGAGTAGCCGCGTGCTCGAGTCGGGGGTCGAATACTGGTCGTAGTTGTGTTTTCTGCTGGTGAGGAAGCAATGACATTTTCGTTGGGGTCTCTCGTCGGAGTCAAGTCAGCGCCGTGCTGGGTATCGGTTTGGCCTTTTTTCCCTTGATTCTGGACGGCTCGTCGAGGCGTTGCGATGTTGGCTTGCGATTCATCTGCTGTTGTGTTATACTTCTTCTCGACTGGCTTGATAGAGCCTTTTTCCGGCGCCTGGCGCACGGTGCGAGCCCGTCGTACTGGTGGGCGTGGCATGAGTGGTTACGCGACGGATATTTAATTTGTGGACTGTAAGTGAGGAGTCAACTGACAGAAGTATGAAATATGACGGTCTCGTAACGGAGCAAGGTGGTGGTTAAGAATAGTTAGAGAAGACGCGTGGTGTTTGTTTACCGTGCTCCCGCATTGGTCCCCACACCGACGGGCCAATGCCATCACAATTTGCCGCATACAGTAAAGCTACCTACGTACTATTCTTTATCAATCATTGACTGTCTAATACTCCATTTATTGTTTAGATTCCTCGTGATAGGTCAAAATGTAAATACATCCAATATCAACGGCTGTCTTGGTATCTCAAAGAAGAAAAGCTCATCAATATCGTTCATCATCATCAATAGATCAAAGATAGATACACAAGAAGTATTCGCCAAAAATCAATCGGCTTCATTATACGAGCACCCATTCAGTGCCTCGTTTGATATATTTATCGAGTAGCAAGCCCACATCATTCAGGGCGAAGCGGCAGACATAGAATCCGAAGAATTCTGCGGCGTGACGAGTGCTCAACTCCAGTCCGACATGCGTGGGCGATGAATGCTTCAGTCCGGGGTCTTCAACTTGGCGCGCGATTTGATCTGATTGATGATTAGTTTTATCTTTACAGAGGTGTCTGACCAAAAGGGACTTACCCAGAACTTGGGCGGCATCGAATAATCGCGCCAATGCTCCCATAAAATTCGCATTCGGGCCAGTCAATTGAAGCTGCATGACATCCCGCTTCGTGAAGCGACCACTAGGAGGAGAAGCTGTCATGGGTAACGTACTCATACTCAAACCGCTTTTACCACTATCCCTATATGTCGATGGAGCCGTGCTAGTGCTCGCTGCTGCCGAGCTCTTCGATCGAAGTTTTCGCCAAGAAGTGAGAACAGACCTGCTAGATTGGCTCGAACTCCTGGACGCCATATTCTCGGTATTTATCGGCGACTCCTCAGCAATGTTTGCGTTTTTGAACAATGGAAGCGCTCCTTGAACCCCAACCTCATTGCCAAGTTTCTTTGCAAATGTTGTTTGGACTTGATCTAGAATATTCTCAAAAGTCTGCATTTCTTCCAAAACAGCATCTGCGTCATATGTATCGACTTGAGCGACTTTCAGAAGAGCTGCCGTCAACAAGTCACAGAGTGAGATTTTATCCTCAATAGCTTTGATCCTGACGTTCTTCACATGCCATACCTCCCTAGGTATGAACAGCTTGGTAGACAGATATCCACCACGTGGATGTGCAATAGTCTGATAAAGACATCGCATAAGCCAGAAAGGGCGCAACAAGAAGGATTCTGGACAAGGTTCCAGAGGTATAGGAGCGTTGGTGATCGTCGAGCTAGGCGATCCGGGAGTAGTCGGCGAATGTATATCGTTGTCAAAGAGGTGGAGACTTTTAGAAGTCAGCAAGGGAAATGACGCTCCGCTCGGCGTTGGCATTGCAGGTACGAGGCCATTTGCTAATTGCCGTTGGAAATCAAAAGCAGGAAAATAGCTGCTTGATGGTGTATTAGGAGATTCATTAATGTCGGGGGTCGAAATTGACATATTCCTTGCTCTCATGCCTGCTAGACTAGACGATGACGTGTTCTTGCGAAGCATGCCGGGAGCAGAAATTATCTTGTTGATTGTTCTAGGAGGCGAGGATTGTACAGATCGCGCAACAGAATCTCCCTCAAGAGTAGGTATCCTTGTCAGACTTGCACTACGCTGGCCTACCGCTGAAACGTCGAATGAACCCTTCTTTTGAGAAGGTCCAGTCGGCAATGGTTTGGACATTGAGCTAGTCAATATCGGTAAGCTTGTCTTGGGTTCAACCTGTAGTACTGGCGATGGAGGACCGGCCGGTTGTGCTGAAAACGGCTCTTTCTTGGTTGGCTCATAGCCCGCAGTCACACGCTTAGTGTCGATTTTCAATTGCTTCGTATTAGATCCGGAGAAGCGACGAGCTCGTACGCCCGCAGATGGTGACATGTTAGGTGCAATAGGTTGCTGTGTGGTTCCCGATGGTATTTTTGGGACCGGGGGAAGTCGCTTGGTCGGCATTGTCGCACCGGGGAAAATACCTTCCTCTGCCAGCGTCGAAAGAGAGGTACCGGCCGTGGCTGAATTTGCCGAAGTTGATGTGATCGAGCTGCCCCATGTTCTGCCGGAGACTGTACTTGAATCTGACTGTCTAGGAAGTGCAGTTTTGGTATGAAGATTGAATTCAAAATCATCCATCACATAGCCTTTCGTCATCTCCTCTAACATGCGCTCTTCCTCCTCGGCCTCCTCATCGATATAATCGGCATCAGCATTGTAGGTGGACACGAGCGCAGATTCGTCCTGCATCATAAGCCGCTGCTGCAAGCCTCGTGCCATAACAGCTTGGGCCTCCATCTCGGCTTCCCGCACTCGCTGCTTGGCAATTTCAATGTTTCGTCTAGCGTTTGATACTACATCATCGTGATCGTAATCGTCATCTCGGTGATCATCATAATCATCGTCATCATCATAAAAGCCCTCCTGTTCGTTCAGCGCGGGTTCCAAACCCTCATCATAGGCTGCTTCAACGGCTGCGTCTAGCGCAGCATCAAATTCAGCCTCTGTACCATTACTTGCATGATGTGAATGCGTACCACCTATGTACAAGGATAGTTTTGTGGACACAGGTGAAGAAGCCCCGGACTCGTCGATAGTGTCCAGCCATGAAGTAGATTGGCTATCATTGACTGGAGCCTGCCCTTCAGAGGTATGCGATGCGTGCGCTGTCGAACTTCGTGTTTCTGGATCATCATGATAATCAGCCGGGTCCGAAATGAATCTTTGACGGGTAGGAGAAGGCGATGATCCCCGTGCTTCAGTTTCCCGTGAGTTGACACCGCTCATATCTGTACTCGATTCTTCAAACGAGAAATTGAGATCTGGGCCAGATATAGATGGCAATCGCACGGTATTGAGACTAGGTACCGCGGGCACATCATTATCAGTGTTTTGTCCCGCAAGATATTCTACGCCCTCCTCATCGGTGTAGTGCCGCTCAACTGGCAGTTCTTCCTCTTGAGGTGTAGAACTTTGGCCGCTTGGCGGTCTTTCAGGCAGTGCCTTGTCTTTATTAAAATTGGAAGGAAGTTGTATCCGAAGAAGTTCTTGAATGCGATTTAGGTAAGTTTTGCGCTATGAGTTCTGTCAGCGAACTCTCACTCTGAGATAGACCAGGAGACGATAATTCCACGTGGATCACTCACTATTTCCAATAATTTGTACTTCTCCACGTCACCTCCATTGCTCCGGAGCATAACAAATTGCAGTAACTCGCACGCATCTTGGTAGGCTTCAATGGCACCTTCGAAGTTTTCTGCATTGTCTAGTAATACTGCAGTATTCGCTTTAGCCAAAGCTTTGGAAAGCATTGCCTTTTGCGATGACCCACGCGGTCGGCGACGCTGTGGCGACGTGGAGCTGGACTCGGTTCTCTCATGATCATGTCTTGCGCTGTGCTCTCCACTATAAGAGCTCGATATATTTACGGGGTCTTCCATATTAGCATTCGGCGTCCGTTGGAGTAGAAATGGCTGTATGTTCGAAATGTCTGGTAACGTTGTGTCGATCTGAAAAGAGATTATGCCAGTCGACTGGATTTCATCACCAAAATATTGATAAATGAATATAGACTTCGGAATGCGACTAGATGTAGTATCATATATAATCCTGCTGTTATTGTTCAGGGTCCGAGAGGAGCGGTCGAAGCATGTCAATGTGCAACGAGGTGTCTCTGCTGTGCAACCAGACTCAGACCGGCGTTTTCATGATTCAACAATCATGGCGCCGAGGTTCACGTATTGTATTCTCCAATATATATCCAATCGGCGGATTCTTCACTCTAAACCATTACCGATCGATGGGGAGTATCGTGTAAGTAATCGTCGTCCGTATCTTGAGCGATATTGCAGTGTAACGGCGTCCTCAATGTAACCGTGCAGTTTCTACAGTCCGGTCACTTATTATCGACGTATATCCGGCGGTCCAAAATGTCATTCGACGAGTGGTGTATGCAAATGGCAAAATCGGTCAAGCCGCGATGTGGTGGTGCTCGCTAATCGGAAATGCAACGGAAGAGATGCAACGAAGCGAAATGCAAATGTATATACCAGTATACTCGAAGAGTGCTCGCACGTTCAGGAATATAAGATGATAGATCACAGCAAAGCGTCCATCCAGGACGAAGCACAMAAGCCACAACAGGAAGAATACGGTTGACGAAGAAGAGCAGAAGAAGAAGATGAAGCAGCTCTAGAACAGGAAGGGACGTGGGCTGTTTCATTGGCTGGGCTGAAGAGAAAGGGGGAAACTGTGAGGACTACGCACGGCAGGAGCGACCCACCAGGCACCTGCCCAATAACACTGTCGCTGGTGCATGTTTTGCAATTTCACCCTTTGGGGCTCTTTCGTTTTCTTTCTTGCTTTCTTTCCTCCATCTTCTTTCCTCTCTCTCTCTACTTGCATCTCAATGTGTATCTGTTCTATTGACACTTTAGGTTCTGTGTCAGTACCCAGTCTATTGAATTGCTGCTGGGAAGGAGTGACAAATCTGGCCCCGCATCAACGGTGATTCAGACGCGCATCGAATCGAATCCCGCCGACAAAGGAGACGCCCTAACTGCATCGGCCTTGATAACATCCCATTATCGAATTTGATATGGGCACAATGAGGAATTCTCAACCCATATTTACAGATTGACAATTTCCCGAGTCATGTCTATTGAAGGACCTGTGGTGGATGAGTTACACGCGGTTCCAACGTACGAAATGTTGAAGGACACGGAACAGGAACAGGAACAGGGACAAGATCAATGGTTCCGTTGCTTGTGGAACGGTGGATGAGAAGCAGGAACCTTGGGTCAGAGGAAGGAGAAAGGCAGCAGCTCCGTTCGGCTTCTATATGTATGTGCCAGCTCTCAGCACTAGACGGCGGGCTGCCTATTTGCATCAACGGAGATAAACGATCAGTAGTCGCTCGGAACATACACCAGAAACCCTATCATAGTTCTATTATTGAAGTCGCTGTGCCATTGGACATGAATATGTAGTATGTACATTGTACAGTATATAAGCCTAAAGTATAGAGGCGGTGGCAGAACCACTGGTCAGCTCTGCTATTTCGTCATCATTTAGTCTGGCATATCATCAACCTTCCCACGTACGTATACCGTCCTCAGCTGGTCTTTGCAGTTGATACAGCTTTGTATGATATTCGCACAAACAAGGACGTGAGATTTCGCGACTTCGTTTCTGAGCAGCTCCTTGCCTGCACGGGTCGAGTGTCGAACTGCGGGGAACGAATACATATAGATACCGAGGGGATATAAAATCGTCGACCAAACAAATTTGGAAATGGCGACGTCTGATAGAGGGATACGGATTGCAATCGATGTACAGTTTCCGAATTTATTCTTATATCGGCGATTCTGCCTACTTGCATACTAATCATCAACCATAGCGCGGTGGCACTTTCACCGATTGTGTCGGAAACCCGGGCACTGGAAAATTAGAAGACGATATCATAATCAAGCTACTTTCAGTCGACCCGGAGAACTACGGTGATGCACCCTTGGAGGGCATTCGCCGTTTGCTTTCGAAGTTCACAGGTCGCGAGATCCCCCGAGGCGAACCTCTCGATACCTCCCAAATCGAAAGTATTCGTATGGGCACGACGGTGGCAACGAACGCGCTGCTCGAACGAAAGGGCGAAAGAATTGCACTGATTGTTACAAAGGGGTTCAAGGATTGTTTGCAGATTGGAAACCAGTCTCGTCCGAAAATCTTCGATTTGGCAATTAGACGTCCGGAAGTTCTTTATGAGAAAGTCGTTGAGATTGAGGAACGGGTGACTCTAGAAGACTACGCAGAGGACCCGAAACGAACAAGAACAGAAACTCAGACCCGTGAACAGACGTCGTCAGATGCAGAAGTCGTCCGCGGTCTTTCATCGGAAGCAGTGAGGATCCTGCGGAGGCCAGAAAATGACACCGTCAAGGATCAATTGCAGCAACTGTACAACGATGGTTTCCGCAGCGTGGCTGTTTGTCTCATGCACGGATATACTTTCCCAGACCATGAGGCATTAATTGGTGAATTGGCTCGAGAAATCGGATTTGAGCACATCAGTCTAAGCCACGAATTGATGCCAATGATTAAGCTAGTCCCACGAACAACGTCTGCTTGTGCAGATGCATATCTGACACCTACTATCAAGAAATATATTGCTGGGTTTCAGGCTGGCTTTGAAGGTGGACTAGGCGCAGAGTCTGTGCAGAATAGCAGTGGTCACAAAGGCGCACGCTGCGAATTCATGCAATCGGATGGTGGCCTTGTCGACGTCAGCCAGTTTTCAGGACTCAAAGCTATACTTTCAGGGCCAGCGGGAGGAGTTGTTGGCTACGCTCTGACTTCTTATGACCCTAAGACCAAGACTCCGGTCATTGGTTTTGACATGGGTGGTACAAGTACCGATGTTAGCCGTTACGGAGAAGGGAGATACGAGCATGTCTTTGAAACAACCACTGCAGGGGTGACTATCCAATCTCCACAATTGGATATCAACACCGTCGCTGCTGGCGGCGGCTCCCAATTGTTCTTTCGCAACGGTCTCTTCGTAGTGGGCCCTGAATCTGCTGGTGCTCATCCTGGACCTGCTTGTTATCGAAAAGGAGGTCCTTTGACTGTGACGGATGCCAACCTGTTCTTAGGCAGGCTCTTGCCCGACTTTTTCCCCAAAATATTTGGCAAGAATGAAAATGAAGGTCTGGACGAAGAGGCTAGCCGTAAGAAATTTGAGAACCTCACAAAACAGATCAACGAGGAGTTGTGCAAATCGGATGAAGATAAGATGACTCCGGACGAAGTTGCCTACGGTTTCATCAAGATCAGTAACGAAACCATGACCAGACCTATCCGTTCACTTACTGAAGCCCGAGGCCATGACACATCAAAACACCGTCTCGCCACGTTCGGTGGTGCCGGTGGTCAGCATGCCGTAGCGATCGCCGAGGGTCTAGGCATACGGCAAATCCTTGTGCACCGATACTCCTCTGTGCTCTCGGCATATGGCATGGCTTTGGCGGATGTTGTGGACGAAAGACAGGAACCTGAATCTCAGATTTGGTCTACAGGCGATGTGCAGAAGAAATTGAAGTCTAAAATGGCCGAGCTCAAGAGCAAATCCGAGGAGAAACTTCGTGCCCAAGGCTTCGACGAGGAGTCAATTATGTTTGAAGAGTACCTCAACATGAGGTATCGAGGTACTGAATCGTCGCTCATGATCATCAAACCAACTCCCAAAGAAGCTCGTGCTCTCTACGAAGGGGATGAATGGGCGTTTGGGGAAGCCTTCGTCAAGCAACATGAGCGAGAATTCGGTTTTGTTTTGCCGGACAGAGACATTATTGTCGACGATGTCCGAGCTCGTGGTATTGGCAGAAGCTTCCAAGGATTGGACAAGACCGTTGATCAGCAATTAAAGGAAGCAAAGCCTCGTGACGTCGATAGCAAGAAAGTATACCAGATCAAGAAAGTGTTTTTCGAGGGTGGACGTCTTGATACACCCATCTATAAACTCGATGATCTTGAAGTCAATGACCGCGTGAAAGGACCCGCAATCGTCGCTGACAATACACAAACAGTAGTTGTGACTCCTGGCGCTACTGCGCTTGTCACAGAGACACACGTAGTCATCAACATTGGCGAGAATGATGTTCTTGGTGTCAAGGCTGATACCAGTGGAGTCGATCCCATCATGCTGAGTATTTTTGGTCACCGATTTATGGCTATTGCAGAACAGATGGGTCGTGCTCTCCAGAAGACGAGCGTGAGCACAAACGTTAAAGAAAGACTCGATTACTCATGTGCCTTGTTTGACTCTGAGGGAGGGCTGGTTGCCAACGCACCGCATCTTCCAGTGCATCTAGGAAGTATGTCTACATGCGTGCGAACTCAAGCAAATATCTGGAGGGGGAGGCTCAAACCGGGGGACGTGATTGTTTCCAATCATCCAGAATTTGGGGGTACCCATCTTCCAGATATTACTGTAATCACACCTGCCTTTGCCGGTGAGGAGATTATCTTTTACGTAGCGTCTCGAGCACATCATGGTAAGTTGTGCGCAGTCGCTCTCCTGAGGAGTCTCATGCTTACATATGGTAGCCGATATTGGAGGCATTCTGCCTGGGAGTATGCCACCTCATTCCAAAGAGCTTTATCAAGAAGGTGCAGCAATCAAATCCGAAAAATTGGTTTCAGAAGGCCGTTTCAATGAAGAACGTATCACGGAGCTGCTTTACCACGAACCGGCTCAGTACCCAGACTGTAGTGGCACGAGGTGTCTTGCAGACAACTTGAACGATTTGAAAGCGCAGATTGCAGCAAACCAGAAGGGCATAAATCTAATTACTAATTTGATTGATGAATATGGTCAAGATGTGGTGCAGCATTATATGATCAAGATCCAGGAAAATGCCGAACTCAGTGTCAGGAATCTGCTCAAGGGGATGAGTCAGAGGTTTGAGGGCCAGGATCTCACGGCTGTCGACTACATGGATGATGGAAGTCCTATTAAATTGAGAATCTCAATTGATGCAGAAGAGGGAGCGGCTGTTTTTGACTTTTCGGGCACAGGTCCTGAGGTTTATGGTATGTATACATACATTGGCATATAAGACCAAGATTAACGATTATTTTCCCAATAGGCAACATTAATGCACCAGAGGCTGTTACATATTCAGCAATCATATATTGTCTGAGATGTCTTATCTCCGAGGATATTCCACTCAACCAAGGATGTTTGAAGCCTATCAAAGTTCACATCCCCAAGAACTCCTTTCTGTCACCATCAGAAAGTGCAGCCGTTGTTGGTGGAAATGTTTTAACCGTAAGTTTGCTGAAGCTGGATTATCTGCCGGATTTGAAGACTAAAGTTCAGATGCAGAGTCAACGAGTCACAGATGTAATCCTCAGATGTTTCAATGCCTGCGCAGCCTCCCAAGGAGACACCAACAATCTCACCTTCGGCTTTGGCGGCAACGTCTCCGGCTCAAAAGCAACCCAGGGCTTCGGATACTACGAAACCATAGCCGGAGGCAGCGGTGCCGGACCAGACTGGGAAGGCACATCCGGAGTTCACACACACATGACCAATACACGAATCACAGACGCCGAAGTCTTTGAGCGACGATATCCAGTCATATTGCGTGAATTTAGTCTACGGCCTGGGTCTGGTGGACTGGGACAGCACTGCGGTGGCGACGGTGTTATACGAGATATCGAATTCCGCATCCCAGTCCAAGTATCCATCCTCTCTGAGCGACGGGTCTACAAACCCTATGGCCTAGAGGGAGGCGAAGACGCACAAACAGGCCACAATCTGTGGGTTCGCAAGATCCCCAAAAAGGATAAAGACGGCAATAAGGTCATGGAAGATAGGATCATCAACCTTGGAGGTAAGAATAGTATCAAGATGCAGCCCGGAGAAAGAATTGTGATTATGACGCCTGGTGGTGGTGGGTGGGGTGTTCCTGGTGAGGAAAGTATAGCGCAGAAGAAGCTTGACGCGCGACATGCGTGGAAGGGGGGTTCGATTGCGAATATTTTGGCAACTCAGGAGGCGAGTATTTAGCCATAGAATGTAAATAGATTAGGCTGGTTAATGTGCATAGATTTACGACCAATTGAACATGACTAAGACATTGAGTGTAGACTTCTGAAGGTGTGAATTGATCTAGCTGTGACCAAGCCAAGAAAGGGCCTGCCCATCTTGATCCCGAGAAAAAATCATCGACTGTAAGAAGCGCAGACTACTCAAATGCGATGTCACTTTCATCTCGGTTGTTGAAACATAACCACATTCTGAGTGACGAAGGGATAGGAAATAAGGTAGAGTGTCCGAAGTTACACCTGCGTATCATTCTTCCGCCAGTTCACTGAAGATCGTCGAGTATTAGAGTTCGTTGGAAGACAGTCAGCCAACCATTCACGCATCGTCTTCGTCCTCGTCTTCATCGCTTGTGGTATCAATGTTCTTCTTCCCGCTTGCCTCTCCTTCATCCTCCTTAACCCCTGAGGCCCCATTATACGCAGGTCGGGGCACCGAAATCCCCTTTGCAGAAAGCACTTGCTCAATCTCGGGTAGGCAACCGATGAGCGCATTGAATTGTTCAATTGGAAGCGAAATACCCTGTATCAACCCAACAGAGAGTCAGCTCATTTTTCACGCCAGGAGGAAAACAGTCAGGGTGAATTAGGGTACCTTTTTCCCAGGAAGTTCCTGCCCATCCTTCTCATAATACTCTCTGATATTGACCATACTCTTCCCTCTGAATTCGGAGATTGTGATTCTGCGGTGGCTTGAAATATCCCAGTAAATGTCGCCGTTGGAGTCTATCTTTTGTGTTGCTGATGATGCGCCCGACGATGCTGTCTTTGCTTTCTTTGCGCCGCGATCGTTCTTGTTGGTGTCATCCACGACGAAGTCGTCGGATTGGTAATCGTTGGAGCGCTTCTTGGATTTGTAGGACATTTTCTGCTGGATCGTATGTAACTGGAGGGTGTAAGTTTTTGGGAATCGACGGCTTAGAGAAGCGGTTTGTGATGTGAATTGAGGTTGTTGATAAATAGAAGCGCGATCACCGTAGCTATTAATCGGGTGGGTCCATGTGATTTACTTATCTTATCGCCCTGTTTGTGGAGAGCCCCATACATTACCGACTAACTTACAGAGTACAATGAGGCTGTAAAAACGGCATAATCTATTAAACGGGAAAGATTAGAGGATCACGGCTCTTAATGCCTGCAAAATGAGAGCAAACATGAATCCTCGTCCAACCTCCTCAATCTGAAGACAATCAAAGACCTTCCCTAGCGCTTCTCCAGATGCTGCTGCACCCATCACGCTCATCAGGGCTTGAGGCATACCCCTCTCAATCAGCAGCTTTCTCGCTTCGTCCTTGAGTTTATCGCTTTCTTCCTTGCTTAATGGAGGTGGCCAGGCTTTCATCTCTTCCTCCGTGGGTAGAGAGTTTTGTCGGATTTTAAGAAGATTGGCGGCGATCGCTTCGTCCGTCGTGTTGGAGTCAATCATCGAGTCTTGAACCAGGACACGAATTTGTTCCAAATGTGGATTGCGTGGGCGTAGAATATAAGATTTTGCCGCATTTAGTAGTGTCTTTCGGAAATTCCAGGCAGAAGACAATGTATATAGTTCATTAATGACCGCAAATATAAGCTCGACGGCTACGCGAGTTTCGTCTTCAGTGATGGGATTTCCTGAAGGCTTTAAGGTCGTGCGGGGCTGGTTAACGCTCGTTCTTCGATACTTTGCCGTGTTTACTTCTCCCTCTTGCACTTGGGCAGAATCACTGGGGATCTCAAGACCTGCAGTGTCCTTTTCAAGGTTTGTCATCGATATCGGGGAGGCCGCAGATGATCTAGGGCTGATTGACCCACTCTGTGCGTTCGACGAAGGGATCTGCTCTGATGATTGATCTGTAGCCAGTCCCTGGTCTCCTGCATCTGTTCTGGGTGTTTCGATGGGATCGCTAGATGATTCACTGGCAGGTTGATCGGTGTCTGTCGGGCTACCCGGGCCTTGAGATAGATCTTGCGAGATAGCCTCGGGTGAATGTTCTTGGATCGCACCAAGATAGTCGTTTAAGTCAATAGCCGAGGGGTTCTTTGATTCTCTCGATGTGATATCCAAACTCTTTCTGCTCCTGTTTGCACCAGCGAGAACTCCAGTCACTCCTTCTAACATGGCTTTACCGCCTCCTGCAACTCCCTTGGGCGCATTCGACAAGACGCCTAACACGTTCTTTCCCATATTCTCAAACGTGCTTGACGCACGCAGATTGAATGCCGCTTTTCCAGAAGTCGGTGTTTGACTGAGTTCAGTATCCTTATCGAGAAATCGTCTAAGGCGCTCAGACTTAGCAAATTCTCTATGTTCCAATGCATCCCGGAGATATCGTTCCAGTGCCTTCGCCAGCGACGACTTTGTTTGGTCACGATAACTAGGTAGCACAGGATGGACGTCTAGAAAGGGAACATGATGGTATCTGGATAATGTCGAGAGCCCTTCATGCAGATACTCAAAATCTTGATACCTTCGGAAGATCATCCAGCCCGGGTACCGTGTGGAAGCCGGTTCTATCTGAAGCATATATTCAGTCGTCGGCTTGGCTTTCATTGCTGTCCTATCACCAGGCATAGAAACATCGTCAACTATTACAGAAGCTCCGTATAGAACATGCACAGCATCTTCCACTTCCTCTCGAGCACCGATGTTCGTTGTTCCGGCCAAACTATGCTCCTGGCTTACAGTTTCAAGCAGCCGTTGCGAGGCTTCCTCTCGGTTCTCCTTTGACTTTTTTCCTTCGGTGGAGCTTGGCACAGTTCCTGGAAAACTTTTTGTGGACGGCTCCCCGTTCTTCTTTTCCTCAGAAAGGTCCTTTGATAGGACGGTCCCATCACTGTCGTACTTAGGCATCATGGAAATGTCCTGTTTGTGATGCGCCGTCTTCTTTGCTTTCACACCACGCACGGCCATTCCTAGATCCTGTGATGCGTTTCCTGCGATTCCTGATAGAGCAGCTATATCACCTTGAGAGGCGCTTTCGAGCCCGGCATCAATCGCATTCATAATCTGCGGCTCGCCTTCCCTCAAAAGATGAACTATCCAGCTATTAATAAAGTCTGGTTTTGAGCAGCTCGTAACGATTGATTCAAGGACGACGCCGGCAAAGATCCCGCGAAGGAATTGTTTCAGCGTGTCGCAGTTATAAACAGAGGAGTCTAAGAAGTTGAAAAGCACATCATCCGCGACCATTTTCAATTTCTTCTGCTGTTGATCTATTGACAGTACATTGGCTAGGTTACTGTCAGGGTAATTTTTCAGGTATTGCCTGACATGTTCTTCGGTTGACGATGAATCGGGGGCTGCCTCTGGCAAGGCAAGAGATAATTCGTTGAGGAACACGATAATCATGGAACTCGAATTGGTAACGAACTGAAGAAATGTGTCCGCCGAGCGTTTACGGGTCATATGCGTCGAAAGCGAGTTAACAAATCTGACAATGATTTTTCTGCAGGAAAGAGGGAACGAATCGTCGGTGGGCAATATAGGCTTGTACCAGTGGCTGTACTCAGAAAGTTAGCTGGAAGGCCGCAAGCCGGACAGACATGAACACTCACAGCACGTAGTCATTCATCATAGAATCTATTAACTCCGTAAGAGCAGCAGCAGTCGCGGGAGGAAACTTGGATAGATCTAATACAGCCGTATCCCCATCGGCTGATGCAGCTTCGGCTCTTTCTTGATCCCCTCTAAGAACATCATTCTGAGGTTTCCAGTCGAGAAGTCGAGAGGCGACTTCAATCCCAAGCTCTCTTCGCCTGCGTGAGAAATATAACGCAATGACACTTCCTTCATCTCCTGAACTCTTTTCCGTGATGAGTCCTAACCAATAATCATGAAAGAAGAATCCTGAAACCAGACCGATGAGAAGTAGTCCTAGTCTCCCGAGGATGAGATATATGAGAATCGCCGAAGCGCCGAGTAGTCCAAGGAGCACAGTATTGTCGGCCGTCTCGAGAAAGCTCAAAAGCCAGTGTCCGGACAACGATGGAAAGGTTTCTGCATTTGGGGGTGCCGTTAAGTCGGTCTTTGTTTTCGTGCCGGCGTCATCGGCTGTGGAGGTCTGGACAGGTTGTCCGTTTTCCGGGGGCGAGGAAGGTGAAGAAGCAACCGCTTCATCCATAGTAGCTATCTACATTGGCGGATATGTTGATGCTGGAAAAGGAGATCGCACCGATCGGAGTTATGTGGTTTACAAGGTGTTGTTGAGGTATCGAGATAGGCAGACGAAGAGGAAACGGAGGGAAGTTGGGAAGTCGCAAACCGCTGTCAGAGACGGCAAGTGACGGCGGATCGCCTCAGGTGAAGCTTATACGCGGACAACGAACCCAACCTCTAGAACATATACAACAGCCCCGATGGTTAAATTACAATTATCCACGAAATTCATGGTAAGTATATTCTTGCGATCCTGTTTTTAACTATGTATCGTCTTCTCATTTCCTTGCCTCACATAGAAAGCGAAAACACAAGGTATCTAAAGCATATTGGACGAAATTCCTCTCCGCGATCCGAGTGAATCCAGCAATCAAAGAGAATGCGATCATGCCAGATGCAAAGAAGAAAGCGGGTTTGCAGATAAAATGATTTTATCCAGTGTTATTGTCTTATGTATTTGGTATGAGAACCTTGCGCAACTACGCCGAGCTGGCCGTCCTCACCACATTTCGAAATCGTCACACTGGTGAACCCGAGTGTTTTACCAACTCTGTCAGTGCGACTTTCAATCTCAAGCCAGTCTCCAAGACTTGCCTTCGATATGTACGACACATGGATATCCGTGCTTACGCCAGTGGATTCGAAACCGTGTGAGGCGATGGCCAACCCACCAGCCCAATCAACAACGCAGGCTGAGAAAGCGCCGTGCAAGCCGCTTTTGGAGTTCAATTGGCGTGTAGTAACTTGTAGTCTCGCGCGAACTAGGCCTTTGCTGGCTTCGTAAATTTCCACATCTTCCAAAAGAAAATTGTATATGGGGCTATTCTGTCGAGTCCTGTTCCAGACATTAAGAACATTCTCTAGTGTGGTAGCCATGTCGTTGACTTGTCGGAGATCATTGAGGTGAGGTTGGGAAGAAGAAAGAAAAGGAAAATAATCAACGCGCGGAAAGAAAACAGAAAAGAGATTTGGTGGCTCCACACTGCCAAGCTTAGGGCTACAAGATTGTTTAGGGTTGTTTTTGACCTTAGTCTGTTAAACTATAAGAGTGAAGAAGTCATTTTTATTACCTCAGCCATTGCTTCTATCTCGAATATATTGTAGCAAGAAGGTTGGGAATGCCTTTCGAATGGTCACTGGTATATTTTTCTATACATCTTCCGTGGGGTATTTTCAAGATTAAATTGGTCCAACAGCTCATCGTTGGCGTTTCCTTCGCATCCTTGATAGCATCTGTGACAACATAAAGTGATTCACATCCTCGTCCGCCCAGTAACTCAAATGGCTAGCAATACTCGCGATCAGTGATATGTCAAAGACACCCCTGAATCCAAGTTGATGTCATCAGCAATTTGTTCGATCAATGCTTGATATATGAAAAAGATAGACTCACTCTTGAATGCTGTAGTCTACCCTGCCATTAGAATTCAGAGCGCGCACTTTGGCCTCCTCAGTTCTAAGTTTTCGAGAGCGATCTTCTACGTCGTCGTTATTACTGCCCCCGGAGGTAGCCGTATTTTCACTCCGCCTTGCTTTCTGAAACCCTTCATAGAGTGTTTCCAATCCTGAATCTATAAGGGTTGGAAATTCTAATTCATGGTCGTGTACCTTCAAGCCAGACGCATTTATGTCCGACGTCGTCGACTGTTGGGAAGCACTGCGCGAATGCGTCGAGCCGGATGTTCCATCGGACTGGATACCTAAGCTTCGATTCAGCAAGCTGCTCGCGACACCGGTTGTGAAATTCGTCCAGAGTGACCCCACGCGAGAACTAATATTTGACAGGCTCTGGCCAGATGCTGTCCAAATACTCTTCTTCACAAACGGCAAGGGCTGAGGCTTCAGCGCTGACATCGCCGGAGTAATCAGTGGTTCAAGGCGGTAGCTGACTGGGTCGGAAGGGTGGAAAATGTTATATAATTCATCGCATCGAGGAGAGGAGACACTTGGATTCAATTCGAAGACCGCCTGTTCCATTGGGTTACCTATAGGTGGAGCTGCTGCACCAGGGCTGTGAGACAAGGTCGATTTCCTCTCAGTTGAGCCCTTTGCGAGCGACCTCCCCGCAATCGTTTTCGCCTGCAACATCTGGAAGAGTGCAAGCGGAGAGCCAAGGCAGAAGAATTCCTTGCAGTCAAAGTCCAGAGGGTAGTCAGTCGTTGCGTCGCGTGTACTGCTCTTCGAAATCTGTCTGTTCCAATTTTCTTCGAAACCTGTCTGATAGCCTTCTTTTTGGCGACAGAGGATATCAAACATGATAGCACTTCCTAAGGAATGCCCACATAGACTGACCGAGCCTTTGAAGGATGGATTACGGGACTTGAATAACTGGAATATCCTATTACATTCCCGCTGTACAATGCCCATAATATGCTCCCGGTAACCACTTTGATACAAGAGGACATCCATAGCCAGATCTGAAATCAAATTGCGGACAGCGGGTACGCCTTCTAAAGTGATATCGGCCAAGCTAGGATACTGTTCTTCTTCAGAAGACAAGCTGTCGGGGTCAGCAAGGTCGAACTCTTTGCGATTCTGGCGCAAACCCTGACGAGGAAAGTCTAGGAGATATCTCCAGCACCTAATACACCTGTCAGTAAGTATCCCACAATTTAAGCACAAGAGACTAACACAGGGAGAACTTGTACGCGACAGTTGTTCTTTGCGTCCGGAAATTGCGAATTGAGCGCCTGTAAGTCAGGTGATGCGCCATAAACAGATTTCATAGTCTTTCTTAAAGTGGTGACGTCGGAAATGAAATTGATACTATCCAGTCTAAGTCCCAGGCGCTGACCTATTCCATGCGTAACTAGAATGAGGTGATCGATCTCTCTGTCCCTCTCTTCGCCCTCTGTCTCTCTGGCTTCTTCCATTTCCTGTTCCTCTTGTTTTCTCGCCTCTTCTTCGAGCTCGGCAGTGTCTCCAGTTTCTCCATTTAAAGAAGACATCTGACGTTGTAGCGTTGCCCGGACGCCGGTTGACATTTTGGACTTCAGTCCCACCGACTCAGTGCCGTGAGAGTCGGTTGATGTGATAGATTTTTCCTGGTCTGACTGGGAAATCTCTTTTCCTTTAGCATCCGCAACCGTAGCTGGAGTCACTGCGGCTGAGTTCTTGGGTAGCGCGCTTTTAGTATCTGCTACATCCTTTTGAGCCCCTTGCTCAACGTATCCTCTCACTACCTTTGTACCTCCCACAGCACCAAATCTCTGGTAGACAGTACTACTAACGCGAGACATGAAGTCATCATAATTCAGCCAGGCCACAGTTGAATCCTGGTAAGTGACGGTGCTATTCATGTACGAGCCAAACAGACGATAAACAAGTAGCGCCTGACTGCCAGACCGTCCCTGACTATCCGAGCGCTCCCTTGGTGGCTCATCGCTAATTTTCTTGACTGGCGTGCCATGTACCGATTTTGGCTCTTTAAGAGGCAGATCTGCTGGAGATTTTGCGTCTGGCAGGGCAGTGGCTCCTGATGCGAGTTTGCTCTGTGTATTCTGCAGTTGCCATGGTCTCATTTTCAGGTAACCCTCTTCGAGTTGAGTAGCGAGATTTTCTTCGCATGGCCTCAGGATCGAGCCTTCCTGAAAGAACCACGTTCCACGTCTAACTTCATAAATAGGCCCCAACCAGTAGGCCGGTCCAAGTTCTCGCTTTTCCACGTCGACATCATACAGGTAGTCCTCATTTACGGGAACTTTGGTTGGAATCTGTGTCGTTTCGTTCTCTCTCGCATCCTGTGAGGGCGTTTCTGCTTCTTGCTGAAGGAGTTGCTGAAAGACCTTCTCGATCGACTGGGAGTCTTTGATATAAAAGGGAATGAACTTTTTCGCTGGAGGAAAGGGCTTAGGCGGCGGTTTCTTCTCCAACCCCGTGAACGCCGGCTTCGATTTCGGGGTATCTACAGCGTAGAACCATCTTGTTTGTAGGGGTGGGCAATCGGGTGGATATCGCAGAGAACTGAGCCGTTTCTTGTAGGATGTGATATGATCTTCTCCAGCGCCTTGTTTCAAAGTATCTGTTTCCGACGCGTTACCGGCCCCATTCTGCGGCGTCGAACTTCGAGTTATTGACCACGGGGAAATCGATTCGAGAAAGGATGGCTTCGGATCCGTGGCGGGCATGGTCMCCCTTTGCAGCCTCGGAAAACGTGGTAGACGAGCCAATGTGTCTGATAGTATATTAGAAGGTTGACGGGCTGGCCGAGGATGGGTGGGCGGCGATGCTCAATAATTTCATTGTACGTACTTTCTAGCTCGAATTGATGATGAGGAAGAAACTGGAAAGTTGGCAAACTGACAGCCACGTGAGGTGAGGACATACATACGGCAGGAACAACAGCTGGCCAGCCCCACAGCGTCTGGAACCCCGTCTACGTCATCACCTGGAAAGAGCGCGCTTGTTTCATTACTGGGCAACACGCAGCACCTCAATGCGATTCCTCGGCAATACAAATGAGCGAAGAAAATAACCTCGTCGCCTTAAGGAGGCGCGTGAGGTAATTGGGGGGAAGAAGGAAGGAGGTTGCTGCAATTGGCAGGTGCGACCTGCCCCGCCAGTCAGTCGTTGCTCCCTAACGGCCCGCTTTGGCACATGCGCCTTCCGCTTTCACAATAGTGACATGTACAGCATCTCCTGGGATGACACCTTCCACAATCATCGAGGAAGTCAAAGGCTACCGAAAGAACAGCTACCAGGAGTTCCAACAACAAACACACCCGGCATGCTTCTTCTAAGCGGATAGCATAGTCCTCAGGTGAACAGAAAGATCACCGGTTCCCCCATCGATGACACCCCTTTTCTATACCAAAAAGGAGGATAGACTGAAAACCGGCCTATCGACATGGTGACAATACTAAGCCACCTTAGAAGCATTGTGTGTGCGTGTATGTTATGAGACGCTTCGGTGCTGGGCTGTATGGCCAAGTGACGAATCGGTAGAATCGCAACCGTATGTTATAAGAGACAATTGCCATACCAGATGACTTTGACTTCCCGCTGTCCCCAGACCTTGAGAACACATTTAATGGTAAAAGACTGGCATAGACCAGGCGAATCTTTCGAATCTCTGCTGAGTTCAGCTGGGGGAGCGAACGGACAGCCCGGTTACGTCATCGGTTGGACTGGTTCGCAACACAAGAAAAGCAGCAGGGTCTATGTGAATATGCCAAATCAAATTGGTCGTATCGTATAGTCTCCTATGGTTGCTCTATAAGGAGGTTTGTATGTAGTTTCATGGAAATATGCTCTGTTTCATAATGCGCGGAACTATCGTACATACAATCACAGGGATAATCCAATTGGAGACGGAAGGTMCCCCGCCAGTCGTTCGTTCCTTCCTTCCCCTTCCACCTCAATCCTTGGCGCCTTCCACGGTCTAAGCCTTCGCAGCCAGCGTCATTGGCGGTACCTACTAGGCGACCACATACCTTCTTTTCCCTACACTCTCCTCTTACGACCACGCCTAGGCAACATTGATATCTTGTCTTTGTTTCTTTAAATGACCTCCTGTCATCTCTTTTCTCAGCTCTTTGACGAACTTTTTCTCCTTTCTTCCATTGTGTTGACCTGAGCTTACCCCGCCTTGTTTGGCTCGTTGTCCGACGCGCTCCTGGTGATTCAGCCACGGCAAAATTTCCACGATGAACTTCCTCAAACTCCAAAGGTATGTCCTGAAATTTTATCGCGATGTGTTCCCTGGTATCATCCTATTTGCGCTGGCGCTCGCGTGCTTACAATGATATAGGAAATACCCGGAGTTCCCGCAAAGCGAGCTGTTCGGCTTACAGGATGCTTTTCGTAAGCTAGATATTGACGACAAAGGCTACCTCGATGAGTCGACAGCGATTAAGGCCACCCAGCAGTCGGAGCGTCAGCCGTACGATGTGGTGAGAGCAGCGCTCAAGGAGGTGGAGCTCGACAGCTCCCGCCGCGTGGAGTTTGAGGACTATGTCGATGTATGCTTGGCAATATTTTGAATGCAAGCTTCGATTTCGATTTTGCTAACAACATCCAAAGCTCATTTCTAAGGTCCGAGGCGCCGGTGCAGCACCAGCCAAAGTTCCCAATCCAGTCCAAGCAGCTAGTCCCGCTGCCGGCCCTGTCAGCGGCGGTTCTCGCCATGTATCCAAAGGAAGCATCGGCGGTAAGATCCACGTTCAAGGCTCATCTGCAAATGTGACGCATACAATCAACGAGGATGAGAGAACCGAATTCACGAGGCATATCAATGCGGTTCTCGCCGGCGATCCAGACATTGGCAATCTTTTACCTTTCCCGACCGACACCTTCGAGATGTTTGATAAATGCAAAGATGGCTTGGTTTTAGCAAAACTTATCAATGACAGCGTGCCTGATACCATTGACGAACGTGTCCTGAACAAACAGGGCACCAAGATCAAACAATTGAACGCCTTCCACATGACAGAGAATAACAACATCGTTATCAACTCCGCAAAAGGCATCGGTTGCTCGGTTGTCAACATCGGTAGCGGCGACATTATTGAGGTCCGAGAACATTTGATTTTAGGTTTGATTTGGCAGATCATTCGTCGTGGTCTCTTGGGAAAGATTGATATTAAGCTACACCCTGAATTGTACCGACTGCTTGAGGAGGATGAGACTCTGGAACAATTTTTGCGACTACCCCCTGAGCAGATTTTGCTTCGGTGGTTCAACTATCACTTGAAGAATGCTAAGTGGGAACGAAGGTAAGTAGGAGAATTTCGTGCTTGTCTGCAAGTCTGTACAGCGGCTGACTTTTGTAATATAGGGTCAACAACTTCTCCACTGATGTCAAAGATGGCGAGAATTACACTGTGCTACTTAACCAGCTTGCTCCAGATCTATGTTCTCGATCACCTTTGCAGACAAGAGACCTTCTTCAACGCGCGGAGCAGGTATTGACCAACGCCGAGAGGTTAGATTGTCGCAAGTTTTTGACTCCGACGTCCCTTGTCGCTGGAAACCCCAAACTAAATTTGGCCTTCGTTGCCAATCTTTTCAACACTCACCCCGGTCTCGACCCTATTACGGAAGAAGAGAAGCTCGAGGTCGAAGATTTCGATGCAGAAGGCGAAAGAGAGGCTCGCGTATTCACTTTGTGGTTGAATTCCTTGGACGTACAGCCCGCTGTCAACTCCCTCTTCGACGACCTCCGCGATGGCACGATTCTTCTACAGGCTTACGACAAGGTTATTCCTGGCAGCGTCAACTGGAGGCATGTTAATAAACCTCCAGCTTCTGGTGGAGAAATCCTCCGCTTTAAGGCTGTGGAGAATACAAACTATGCCATCGAACTCGGAAAGCAGAACCGCTTTTCCCTTGTCGGTATCCAGGGTGCTGATATTACTGATGGTCAACGAACATTGACATTAGGCTTGGTGTGGCAGCTTATGCGCAAAGATATCACAAACACTCTATCCTCCCTAGCACAACGGTTGGGCAAGCGTGAAATCACGGATGCCGAAATGATTCGGTGGGCTAATGACATGTCACAAAAGGGAAGCGGTAAATCGACGATACGCAGCTTCAAGGATGGGTCTATCGGCACTGGTATCTTCCTTTTGGATGTTTTGAGCGGCATGAAGAGCAGCTATGTGGATTACGACTTGGTTACCCCCGGACGCACTCCTGAGGACGCATACGCCAATTCCAAGCTCAGTATCAGTATTGCTAGAAAGATGGGCGCGACCATATGGCTGGTGCCTGAAGATATCTGTCAAGTCAGATCTCGTCTTGTGACAACCTTCATCGGTAAGTATATGATATGTATCCGAACCCTTGGTGGAATCAACTTGCTAATTATGTATCTAGGTTCATTGATGGCCACTTTCGAGAAGATGTGAAATGTGTTTACTTTGCCTTACTTTCGCATTTTAACAGCCCTTTTTTCTTTGGAAAAGTATAGTTACCTCTCTGATCTTCTGGACAATTCAGCTTTTCAGGTAGTATTCGATGAATAGTAGTACATTGTGACTGTGACCCAATGAGTTGTGCAAGATAGACATTCTGTGTTGATACAATTGTAGTTGTATTTTGTAAAGACTAGTAATACGTTTTATTTCACATAGGACACGAAGACGAGAAAGTTGTAAAGGACAAACGAGAAGAAAAGAGAACCTGTAAATTTACGAAAGGTATACAGACCCTCAAAAGATGAAAGATAGAATTTTCATGGCATAGCGACGAGGGAGAATCTTACGCTGATCATTTGCCGTCCTGCTCGAGTTGGATCTGTTTTAATTAATGCCTCGCACAAGTTGGACCGACAGATGAAGCGCAACTTGGTCGCTACAACAAGGGAAGACTTGAAGTAGAGGTATTTAGAACGCCTACCGAGCAACCATGGCAAAAAGACATTTTGTCGCGCATCAGATTTACTCGGCTGTGTCGAGTTCATCATGGGCTGATGGGAGCGGGTCGAGGGCTGTTTTGCGAAGAGTTAGCACTTCAACTCAAAGCATAATTCGACAACCTCATATATTGGTGGCAAGCCTACCTTTTCTGTCTTCACCGTTCGTAGCAGTGTCGCGCTCATCATCACGACGCTCGCGGTCCTCGTGTCTGTCACGTTCTTCTTTGATGTCTCGGTCACGGTCTCGTTCATCAGGGCTGCGAGATCGGTCACGTTCGCGCTCGCGCTCGCGATCACGATCGCGGTCTCGGTCGCGTCGGTCATAATCTCTGTCGCGTCTCTCATCTCTGCGAGGCGAGTAGTCACCACGTCCGCGGCGAGGAGAGGGAGAACGACCTCGACGAGGAGGAGTTCTGTCTCGACGACGGTCACGGCCAGAGTCAAAGCGCCAGGATGCAGATGGCGGAGTGCGGGCCCACTATGAAACGATTAAAATGGGAAAAGATCATAATCATCAAGCTGCGCAACTCACCTCAATCTTCAGCAGGTCATCACGGCCAATGCGTTTGTTGTGCATTTCATGGTAAGCATCATCTGCATCACGGCGGCTTTCGTACTCTACGAAAGCGAACCTGACCGGCAACGTGTTAGTAAATATTATCATGGCGTGGAACATGGAATACTCACAAGCGACTGGAAGCTGTTCGTGGGGCAGGGATATCACACCGAACAAGTCGGCCATATCTGCGAAATTCCCGTCAGTAAGTTTCAACTTTGAACCTTTAGAGAGTCACGTTTATAAGACATATAGACGTAGTCAACGATGAAATTGAGTAAGTAAAGCGATGAGCGGGAGGAGAGTAGGGTGTTTCGACGTCGTCAGAATCACTATCGCACTAGAGCAGGGGAAGAAGGTAAAGGACGACGTTGAGGAGCGTAATAGGAACGCGTCACGATTTCTGAAGCCGATAGATCTGGCCGAAAGGTACGGAGGAGGGGGATAATAGAAGTCAATCGGGCAGGGGTCGAGGAGGTCGTGGTCGTGGACCATCGGCGGTTGGGACGTACCGTTCGAATTCGTAGGCGAGATCGCGCGCTCGAGTGCCGTGGCCGAAGCCAGTGACGTAAAGAGTTGTGCCACCGGAGCGAGACATGATACCCTACTCAGTAGAGCTAAATGATGATGGGTGGATGGACGAACGTCGATAGGAAGTCGACTTTGTGTGTGGAAGACAGAAGCCGACCGAAAGCAGCCAGTCGAACGAAGCTTTTGGCAGGACCGGGCGGCTGGGCGGCTAAATGCCAAGCCTGGCGTCACAGGTCTTGACACTCGTAAGAAAAAGGAGAGAAAAAATTACGACTGGTACGGGCCTGGTAAATCATTACGTAGTAGTACAGCTGTGGGTGTATTCCTGCGCAAGAACTCGGAAGTCGTCCCGTAATTCCAGTACCGTACCACCGACTATCGGGCAAAGGTTCGCCTCTATCCGTGTCTCATCTCTGAAGTCACAACTGGGGATCTTTGATTGTCAGTCACCCTTGTCAGCTTACATCGCAGTCACTTGTCGAATCATATATTTACGAAGCAGTTGCGGCTTACTTTCCAACATTGCAAGCAAGGCATACGGCGGATCAATCGACTCTCAAATCCCACGTCACGAGCAAACTTCCGCTCACAAGGCCGGCGTTATCGTAAGCTTCCGAAGAAACACTCTGCATCCTTGGTTAGGCACATTTTGAGTATATTTTCTTGAGCCACTTGGCGATTATTTTATGCTACGTTGGGCTTTCTATCTTCCTTCATGGCCGGCATCAGTAGCGACAAGGTCAAATTACCCGATTCAACGACTGTTCGCATTTGGATCTGAGTTTTAGCGCCCTTAAAAGCCGAGTTGATCAAGCTTGTCGAGCTCCATTTTCAATACACGGCGTCCTGTTCATAACTCCGGCGTACGATACGGGTTTAGAAAGCAGAGTGACACTCCGTCGAGGAAGTAGGTCCTCATCCCACACAATGAGCCTCAATCGACAGGATTCGGCACAGGACGACAACCTGCGAAGGGATGGCGAAAAGCTCCACGAGTCTTCACATCTACCGACTTTAGCTAGCGAATATGCAACAGTAAGTCGATATACATCCAGCTCGGTTTGTTGCTTTCATTTTCGCAAGCATTCGTCTTGTATGGCAAAAAGCGCTACGTTCGCCTTTTCTGACGTAACCCGCAGAAGCCTGTCACATCACCTTTTTTGCAGAGGACGAAAACCTATCTTTCCGAACCTGTCGTTGCAGCTTTCATTGCTGGCGGTGTCGCTGGTGCCGTCTCGAGAACAATCGTTTCACCTCTCGAGAGGTTGAAAATTCTACTCCAAATTCAGAGCGTTGGTAGAGAAGAATACAGACTGTCGATATGGAAGGCATTGGTCAAGATGCGAAAGGAAGAAGGATGGAGAGGTTTCATGCGCGGCAATGGAACCAATTGTATTCGAATCATTCCATACTCGGCAGTGCAATTTGGGAGCTATAATTTCTACAAAAAGGTAATGCGCCCACTCGCCATCACACATGATGATATGTAGGCGGTACTAATGTCCCACTCAGTTCATAGAAGCAACGCCTGGAGCTGATCTAAATCCCATACAACGACTGTATTGCGGAGCCCTTGCTGGAATCACCTCCGTCACATGCACCTACCCTCTTGATATTGTTCGCACCAGACTTTCGATACAGTCTGCCTCCTTCGCGGACTTGGGCCAACGAAAAGCCGGCGAAAAGCTGCCCGGCATGTTCGAAACTATGGTCAGTATGTACAAAAATGAAGGCGGCATGCTTGCGCTTTACCGCGGTATCGTCCCGACCGTCGCCGGTGTGGCTCCATATGTGAGTTAGACGTGAATTACGTTTCAGCAACTTACAGCTATCTAACGTGCTTAGGTTGGATTAAACTTCATGGTGTACGAGTCCGTTCGTGTTTACCTCACGCCCGAAGGAGAAAAGAATCCCAGCCCTGCGCGGAAACTCCTTGCCGGAGCTATTTCTGGAGCAGTTGCTCAGACATGCACATATCCTTTGTAAGTCTTACGCTACGACACAGAGACATGCCACTAATTATTCTGACAGTGACGTCCTCCGTCGTAGATTCCAAATCAATACCATGACTGGCATGGGCTACCAATACAAATCCATCTGGGATGCGATCAGAGTAATCGTAACTCAAGAGGGTATCCAGGGTCTTTATAAAGGCATCGTTCCTAACTTATTGAAAGTTGCGCCGAGCATGGCCAGCAGTTGGCTCAGCTTTGAGATCACACGCGATCTACTTGTCGGCATGAGGGAAGAGTAAAAATAGAGATACGCTAATATTGCCTGAAAATACTGCGAATCTGCACACACATATCAAAAGACTCATATGTCTATACCTTGTGAATAAGCATCAACAATCATGATCTACAAGTTGGCCCTCCGCTCGCTACCTACAGAGTACATTCTAAAAATTACTATTCTATATCATAGCTCCGTAATTACAAGGACTAGCTGTATTAGATGAAACACAATACCCATACTAAAGATCAGATACGAACGTAGTAAATACAGACTTTGTATAGTGGCCAATCATTGACAGCTATATATCTTTCGGCCATACTCATTATAGTTAGTGCCTTTTGCTTCGGCTCTGGCTTTGCTGTAGGACCCACAACACGAAAGCGTACTAGCGTAGGGCTCAGCCCACACAAACCCGTTCCATCTCGAATTTTAGAGAATCAATCTCATCAAGTTTTGACGTGCGATACGAACTCGAACGCCAACACCGCACATCAGGAGCCATGGGTATGTATATCGCAATGGCGTATTCTCTCTACAGGATAATTGAGCCATCATGTCATTGATATTGAACGAATACTAAGATTGCGGCAGGTATCGATTTGGACCGTCACCATGTGCGCAGCACACACCGCAAGGCGCCCAAGAGCGAGAACGTCTACCTTCAGCTCTTGGTGAAGCTCTATCGCTTCCTGGCCCGTATGTTTCCCCTTGGATTCGAATGAAATCACGAAAGAAAAAACGGGCGTCAGCCGAGGACAAGACCAGGAGGTTAACAAATTTTCTCTCTTATAGGTCGTACCGATGCCAACTTCAACAAGGTCATTCTCCGACGCCTTTTCATGTCTCGCACAAACCGACCTCCCGTCAGCTTGTCTCGCATCGTCTCCAACGTGACTGAGGAACAAAAGGGAAAGACCGTTGTCGTTGTTGGAACTGTCACCGACGACAACCGCATGTTGACTGTCCCCAAGCTCTCTATTGCTGCCCTTCGTTTCACCGCTACCGCCCGCGCCCGTATTGAGAAGGCCGGTGGTGAGATCCTTACTCTCGACCAGCTCGCTCTCCGTGCCCCCACTGGATCCAACACTCTCTTGCTCCGTGGACCTAAGAACGCCCGCGAAGCCGTCAAGCACTTCGGCATGGGCCCTCACAGCCACAAGGTACGTGAAAATTGGGGAAGCGATCTGTTTTGTATCGGGCTACTAATGAAAAACTTAGAAACCATATGTCCGAAGCAAGGGTCGCAAATTCGAGCGTGCTCGTGGTCGCAGACGTTCTCGCGGTTTCAAGGTCTGAGGAACGAGAGTTTACTAGAGGAATGGCTCAGACAATTAAGGACGCGGGGTTCCACCAAGTATGCCTACAAATATGTGCGATTATTGCATTACCATACTTTCTCGGGCTATTTGTCGGTGGATATCCGTGCTCTAAAAAACTACAAAAATCTGCACACTTGGTGGAACGGGACTGCAATTATGGTTCACGAGTTCAAAATGATCATTTTGTGCACTGTCTATTTTCTCGAGTGTTCTTGTTTCCTTTTTAATGAAATTCATTCAAAAATCATGACGATGCTCAAGGCTTTCTAGATCTCCAACTTTTGATGTTTCCACTGCTTATTTCCTGMCCCGCCATAGTCCGCTGCAATGTGACCTTCCCCTCTGATAAGATATTTGTAGATGGTCAACCCTTCCAATCCTACGGGTCCTCTGGTGTGGATCTTGTTTGTACTGATGCCCACCTCCGTGCCAAAGCCATACCGCATGCCGTCCGCAAAGCGTGAGGATGCATTCCAGTAGACACCTGCACTATCAATGCCGGCCATAAAAGTGTCAGCAACTTGCCTAGAGGTAGTAAGGACAATGTCGGTATGCTTGGACCCATGTGCATTGATGTGGGCAATAGCTGCTTGGACGGCGGACGATTCCGAGGACAGCGTAGGGACCGTTTTGACGGCGAGTATCAGATCTAAGAATTCCGTATTATAGTCTTGCTCGACAGAGTCTTGTATAAGAGCCGCTTGTGATGGTGTAAGAGACTTGGTCAAAGCTGCTTTGGAAGCTTGGTCGCAGCGAAGGGAAACGCCCTTTGCGAGCAGGGCCTCAGCAACGGCTGGCAATATGCTTTCGAGAACATCTTCGTGGACGAGGAGAGTCTCCAAGGCATTGCAGGCCGCCGGGTAATCAGTCTTGGAATCAATGATGACTTTCACAGCGGTCGAAACGTCAGCATCGGAGTGGATATATGCAGAACAGAGACCATCAGCATGGCCAAGCACGGGTATTTTCGTATTGTCTTTCACGTATCGCACCAACTCATTTGACCCGCGGGGGATGACCAAATCAATGAGTGTGTCTTGTGAGAGCAATGAGGAGACAATATCCCGAGTTTTGACGAGTTGGATGGCGGGAATAGGAATCTCAGTCTTTGAGAGAGCTGCTGAGATGACTTCTGCTATAGCAATAAAGGACTCGGTGGACTCCTTTCCACCCTTGAGAATAGCTGCATTTCCAGACTTGATCGCTAGAGCAGCGATATTGGCAATGACTTCAGGGCGAGCTTCGAAAATTATGAGAAGTGTTCCGAGAGGGCAAGTAATCCGTTCCAGAACCAGTCCGTCGTCCAAAAGCGTTCGCATCGTAACCCTACCAACTGCATGAAATCTCAGCATATGTCTTCCATGTCTGAATGCTGAAGAATCTATATACCTGGGTCTTCAAGGTCTCTCACATTCAAGATACCGCTCAACATATCATCGTATTTGCCGGGTCTGGTCAAATCGAGCCGCTTCAAGACACTTTGACTGAGTTCGCCATTTGCCGCTGCCTGAGTCGCCAGGGCGACATCCTTCGTGTTGGCCTGAAGGATATAATCACGCTTTTCGGACAGGGCAGCGTGGAGCGTAGTCAATGCGAAATTGCGTCCATCGTTCGAGATGGTAGCTAGTCGGCGAGAGGCAATAGACGCGCTTTGTGCGATCTCCGAGGCGGATGACTCTGTCAGAGACATCGTTGTTGCCTTTTTGGCAAAATGTGTATCAAGGATCGTGAGTTCGGATTGTGTGAACTATCCTCTCTCGGATGTAAGGGTTTCTAGGTAGTGCGTTCAGAGTCAATCGGATATTGAAGTAGAGTGCTTGATGCGCAGAGTACAATCTTCAGAAACTATATTGTGGATCTTCCGATTGCGGTATGACTCAACATTTTGAAATTGATAGACTACGACAGCAGCAACACTGAACTTGGCAAACATCATGCAACTCCTCGTTATGAAATATATTGTTTTTTTCGGAATTTTAGATATATTGGCAGTGCATTTATACAGCATAGGATGTGAAAGGTAAATAATAATGAAAAAAAAAAAAAAAAAAAAAAAAAATAAATTCCGCGGGGTAAGCGTGGCCAATGAGGCAGGCGGTGAGTTCGGCTTATCAATGACGCATCTCAAACCAGCAGAACAATCAACAAACCCCTTCAACACAACTCAACAGCTTGCTGGAGAAAACTGGTCAAGAGCGCTGACTGGAGACTTGCACTGTGACCATTCAAGGCTTATTCCTCTCCAGCTAGCCAGTCACTTATTTCGTCCTTCAACTTCATCTTACAAGTCCCTCATCCGTACAGTCAACATGGAAGATGTTCTTGATCGACTCCGCTCTTTCCCCCCAGCGGACACGGACACAACATCTTACGAACTCTACGATACGCACGCTTACGAATTCCTGATCTCTACGCGAGAGAATCTCCGTAGTATCCTTGACTCCCCAGAGAAAGTACAAAGTCTACTAGACGTGCGTTTTTAGACGTTCATAACGTAGAGTGTCCCAGTTACTGATGGTTACAGGCTCTTGATCCTTCGGCCCACTCTCTCGCCTATCTGCTCGTCTTACATTCCTACGTCAACCGAATCAGAAGAAAAGGCCTGAATGTGTCACCAGAGGACCTGAAACCTGGAAACTTGCTTTGGTCGAGGACGGTGACGTTTTTGAAAACGTTCGACCCGAATCAGGTCCGATGTGCAGCAAGCGAATGGCGCGTCGTAATAGAGTTTATTTCGAGAGTTGCTGAAGTTGACAACAAGGTGATTTTCTCAGCAATGCTAGAAAGGAGTAAGGAAGCTGATGATTGTCCAAATAGCCGTTCCTTGCGATTCGCCCTATTCGAGACTCAATCATCCGAATGGATCCAACATGCGCCAGCTTTACCGTGTCCCACCTGTACCTGACTCGTTTGTGTCTGTTGGCTAAGGCATACAAGATTGCACGCCCAATTATTGATCGAACGATATTTGCAATTCCAAGCTCAGCAGATCGACTCTTTATACAGCACTCACAGGGTGAATCAGACACCAACGCCGCCAAACCTCCATATATATTTGAACCACCCATGAAAATCACATACACGGATCATCTTCAGTACTTTCTCTACGGTGGAATGATTTACATGGCACTGAAAGAGTGGAGCAAAGCTCGTCATTTCTTAAGCATTGTGATATCTTGTCCTGTGGTGAATGCTGTTAGCTTGATCATGGTCGAAGCTTACAAGAAATGGGTATTAGTAAATCTTCTCGAAAATGGCACGGTAAGATTTTCCCATTATCCCATGCCGAGGGAGTTTTAACTAAATATTTCAAGACCGCGTCAGTGCCCAAGATTACCTCGCCTGTTGCACTAAAGACGTACAGAGCACTTGCACGTCCTTACGACGCATTAGCGACTACTTTCATATCAGGAAAATGGGAAAGATTGAGAGATGAAGCACAAATTGGGGACACAGTATGGCGTAACGTAAGTCTTAAAACGTATTTATCGCATTTCAGTTCTGAAGAATTGACATCATTCAAGGACAATAACAACGGTCTAGTACAACAAGTGCTTCTGACTTTTCGCAAGAAGGCAGTGCGCAATCTCGGCAACACTTTTGCTGCAGTCACAACAGCAGATGTCTCTCAGCGAGCATTGTCAAACAGCATGAATGTACAAGAAACTGAACGATACATCGTGGCCCTCACAGCCCAGGAAGGATTCTCGACTTCCTTGATACACCCATCCAAAGACTCAAATACCTCGATGCTCCGTTTCTTGACAGGTCAATCCTCCGAACCCAGTATCGAACTCGAAGTCTCCCTGGAGGAACAATTGCGATCACAGCATAAAAAGCTGGAGCTTCTCATTCAAAACATAAAAAATAGTGATAGGAAATTGGAGTTTACTAAGGAGTATATCAGCCATTTGCGTAAAGCGCAGAAACGAAATGATGGCGCCTCGAGGGATGCTGCTGGTGGATTCGGTGGTGGTGGTAGGAAGAGGGAGCAGAATGTTGATATTGATGAGGACATGATGGATGAATTGCAATGAATGCATTCTAGATAGACATTCAGGTCTAGATAGAGGTGCAAGAAATCGAATGCGACAGACCAAGCATATGCTTGACTCCACGATAATCTACATTTCGACGTATTGTATCATCATATTTGGCGAGCTACAAATGTTCTGCATCTAACAATATATATCAAAACTCTCATAATCTTTTCACGTCTCTATCATTATCGTCTGATGGGCAAGGGGTATCAAGCAACCCGAATAATCAAGGAAAAACCAACCCGAGAACACGCCTTACAATACCGCCGACAAATTGCAGAACGACCACGCAATGCTTTCAAATCCGCTTTTCCAAGTTGTATGTAAAAGAAACAAGAAATGGAATAAGTAAGAGAAATAAAATAAAAACTGAGACATGAAAAACCAATCCCGAGGCTTCGAGAGGAAAAGCCATGCCTCCCTGAAACTATACTGACTGACGGCGACATGTTGCGAGATATATCGAACCTCAATCGCCAAAATGGCGCGATTGGACGTGAGATGCAAGACCGTGCTATTTGAAATTTGCAGGCCTCATCGCGCTGGTCGCTGGTCTACCCCGTAGTTGACATTGTTAATAGTTGTAGAATCACTGGCGTGCTTCTACAAGGATCGTCTTGCTGCTGTATAGTCTCAAGCTTTTTTCACGCTTTTAAAGGCTGCTTCGGTTTTGGTCGATTGTTACCCATCATCCACATCGCAAATGAGCCAGCTTCAGCTCTAGATGCCTTTGGCTTCTTCGCTGCCGCAGCTATTATCAAAGTTAGATCTCGATTCTAGGTGGATGAGTGTGACTCGGTCAACTTACCTGCAGCGTCCGCTTTCTTTTTGGGCTCCTCTGGCGGTGGCGCAGCGGCCTCCTCTGCTGGAGGTTGATCGGGTTCTTTTGGCTTCTCGGGTATCGGCCACATATGCATGGTTATGGTCCAGTCAGGTTCTACAACGGTCTCCCAGACTTGTGGTAAGATAATATCACCACTCGGTCCAACGAGGTCGTAGTGCCCTTCTGCAACGTGAGGTCCGATGACTTCGACATGCAAAAATGCTTGACGAATCAGCTCCTCCATTCCCTAAATGACCAGTAAGTATTTCAGCCTTATAGTCGATTATCGATGAGGTACATACCTGCCAAGTGGCACATAGGTGAAAAGGGAAGTTGAACTTTCTTCCAACGGCGTCTTTGAATTTGATAGGTTTCTTCTTCTCGGGTGGGGGCTTCGCCGCAGCTTTTGCTGCGGCCTCCTCAGCGGCCTTTGTTGCTTCAGCAGCAGCAGCCGCAGCGGCGGCCGCAGCAGCTTCATCTGCAGCCTTCTTTGCCTCTTCAGCAGCCGCAGCCGCAGCTTCCTCGGCACTCTTTCTAGCTTCTGCCGCCGCCGCTGCGGCTAATTCCTCAGCGGCCTTCTGAGCTGCGACAGCTGCCTCTGCAGCCTTCTGCTCTGCCTCTGCCAATGCTGCGGCTCTCGCATTTGCTGCCGCTTCATCTGCAATCTTCTTTTCTGCAGCCGCCCTTTCTTCCGCCGCCAATTTGTCTGCCGCAGCTTTCGCAATAGCAGCTTCACGAGCTGCATCCCTCGCCTCTCTCTCTGCGCGTTCGTCCAATATCAGTTTCTCTAGTCTAGCAATCGCCTCATCCTTGGCATCATTCACCTCCTTTGCCTCTTTTGCAGTTTCTGAATGGGAAGTCGACGATGGGGACTCGGGTTGACGAGGAATTGGCGCGAATAACGGGTGACTGAGCATCCCAGGAGGCATCGGCGGGAAATTTGGATTGAAGGGCATATATCCATTTGCGCCATACGGAATCAAGTCAGGGCTGCTAAAGGGGGGGCCGCCAAAATGTGCATTGCTGTGATGTGGGACCATATGGGATAGTGGTGGGGGTTCTGGTGGACTTTGTCCCCGACTTCGATCGCGCGGCTGGTGTGGTGGAAGATGCGCGGGATGAGGGCCAGGGTGACCAGGTAATTGATCGTGACCAAAAAAAGGTGGCATGCCTCCAGCGTGGGGTGGAGGAAAATGAGAGCCACCACCGTAGCCATAAGGCGGTGATGTATTTCCATATTGGCCTGAGCGCCCCATGTGAGCCAGAGGACCAAAGCGAACTAATTGATCTGATGGCGGAAGTGCGGCACCGAGATGAGGATAATGCGGTGGTTGATGTGCAGCTGTTCCGTTCGGAAACACATTATAGGAAGGTCCCGATGATGAACTCTGAGCGTATCCGCCGACGGCAGCGGCAGCGGCAGGKGGCCACGCCCTTCTATCCGGTCGATGATGACCGTAATCCTCTACAAGATCTTCCGCCGAATCTGCGCTATCAGGAGATTCAGGCGACCGATGACGGCGCTGTGTCCTTTGGTGAAACGCTTCTCTCTGTGGACGAACGTCCCTGCGCGAGTATCGTCGGCCAGATCTAGAGCGAGAAGCCGGCAAGACACCACGATCACGACTATGACGGGAAGCGCGAGAATGAGATGTTACATCCGAGGATCCTAGCTCATCAGGGTATGACAATTCCGCCCATTCACCAAACTCTTGGTGGCTGCCTGAGACGGATGGCGGAGAAACATCAACACCAGAGGAGCCTTCGTCGTCAGTGTACGACTGATCCGAATCGGACGTTTCCCCTGAATCGCTTATTTGGATATTGAGCCTTTGTTTTGGAACCGAAGACGATTTAGCAAGGTATCTTGAACGCGGGTTGATCATGGCAACAACTCACGGCATCGATAAGAGTCTTGGGCGGAACGTTGATTTGTTGTTGTTGTTGATGTTGTTGTTATAGTTGTAGAGTCGGGATCGATTGCTCTTCAGGCCGGGTCCATACAGTGGTAAACAGGTATAGGTCAATAACCGGAGGCCAGAAATTTAGTGAACAGAGATTGAAGTAGTTGTAGTATTTGTTATTAATATGCTCTTCATGGTATGAGTAGTAAGTGGTGTGCTCGGCTCGGATGAGGGGATGATGGTGAGAGATCTAGGACGAAATTTGTAGATGAAGGAAAAGATGAATGCAAGGTACACGATAATTATAGTAGGCTGGGTATTGTGTGTACCTAAATTTGCCTCTTCGCACGGGGATGACTGTGGGAAGAAGAAGACATTTTTGACTGGATTCTTCTGATGTTGGGATTCGAAGATGGGGATTAAGTGCCTGAAGCCATGAGGAAAGAGCGAAGTTGGGCACAGGGCAGCAGCGAGGGAGGGGCCGCGGGCGATCTGGAACCTAAACAGACTGTTTAGGACTAGACTGTAATGCCGATACAGACATTATTGGGCGCCAGTGGTAATGTGTCAGTAATATAACATTTGTATTACAGTGACAGTACGGTTAGCTCCCCATTCTTCGGTTACACTCCGCAGTTACTTACGAACGAACATTCCACAGGTCTACGAGATAGTTGCTGTATCACATTGCTCAGTCATACAGGCCAAACACCGAACAGAGAGCGAACCTGAGAGAACAATATGGAAAGCGAAACAGATGCAACAAAACACAAGGCTGGGATGACGTTGTCCAGTGTTACCATTGACTTGTTTTCCCAACCATGCGTTGTTTGGCTGCCCGAAGCAGCCCACTTCATGCCAACGTTACCCAACGAGGACGTCAATTGAGATGCTGAAATAGATAATCCAGTGCAGCCTTATGAGATTGACTCACCTATGCATGTATTGCCTTGCCGGTCTCTGCCTATGTAGGAGCCATACAGATGACAATGCCCAAAGACAGCAGCAGAATGACTTTGTTGGTGCGTGGTTGGCTAGGGACAATGAGTATCCAGTCTGACTTGCAGTCCAGCACCAGTTAATGAGCCATTGGCCGTATGAGTGTGTCTGGAGAATGGAAGAAGACGATGCGGTGTGATCTGCAGGCTGTGATCTAAGTGTAATTACATTACAGACGAATTATTGGCTCACCCGATGCAACCACTATGCAGCTAACAGACATTCAGGAAATCAACGTATACCCGATAGGCAGGCTCCTAACTAGAGACGGCCCCGGAGAGTTTACAACCTCATGGATCGTGATTAAATGGTATTGCATGCGTTAACATGGAAACACTAATTCTATTTCTGCTGCACTAGCTCTCGAAGCGACACAAGACCATCTAGCGGGTGAGTAGTCGACTGTTGTGATTGGATCAGCTTCTCTGCTTTCTGGATAGCTATAGTCTTTAGTTCCTCCAGCGTCTTGACGGACGGTACTTCGAGGTCAGTGCTTTGCTCAGTTCGACTTTGTATGTGTTTGATCAGTTCCGTCGCAGTCTAAACCCAGTCAGTATACGCTCGAATTGCAGCTAAAGCTCAAGGACTAGACAAATACGGGGTGTCGTACCATGATGAGACCGTATAATCCTCTCACATAATCGTCGCATAGCTCAAGGCTTCGTAGGAAATGCTTGACCGATCTCGATAACGTTTGCGTGATGGAAATACTTCGGTCGGTGGGTGTCGTAGAGATGTATAGAACTTCTCCGAGTCGTGCATGTAGCTGTTCCTCGAAGTCAGACACTGATTCATACCTCTTATGCGGGGGTGAAGGAGAATTTACATTCCATGAGTTGGGCGTGACGAGAAGAGCTTCTTCAAGACTGAAAATCGCCTGGGCGCTCATTGCATTCGATTGATACAAGTCTGCAAGTTCGCACCATGCCTCGGCATCTGTTGGGAAAGCTTCCAGGTAATCCACCAATGCCGACACAGCGTCATCGTATTTGTTCATCGAGCGCAGGAGCGCAATACGACGCTTCAAAATGGGCTGTTGAGTGCTTTCTCTTAGTATAACTTGTCCTTTCTTCAGAAATCACAGTCCGATGGTAGCCAGCTCACCACATTAACGGCATTCCCCGAAAGTATTTTGTGATATTCCTTCAAAATCGCCTCAAGGGCAGAGGCGTCCTTTGCCGTCGCTTCTTGGTAGAGACCCCTTAACCCCATAATCCGTTCATTGGCAGGGCCAAAGCGCTCTGTAAGACGATCCAGGCAAAGATGCGCAGCTTTGTCGTCGCCGGTCCGTAAACATATGAGGAAAAGTTGCTCATACTCAATCCATTGTTCGGGGTTCTCGGAAGTAGCGAAGGGTAATATCGACGACGAATAGGGCTTCTTCAAGAGGGCGGAGGCTTGTTGTGAAAGATGGAGAGCAGCCGCTGGATTCGACAGCTGCAGCCCTCGCTCGATATCTGCTTTGATGGTTGCCATTCTGCAAATCCTCCTATTGCGCAATCATACACATGCGAAAGTAGAAGAAAGATCGAGGAAGCACATGTTTCCTCTTTGATGAGAGGATGGTCGTTAAGCTTAAAAGCCGACAACCAGTCCGTACGCTTCTCGATGGCCGCCGTAGGCGGTGAGGAACTGCTGGCAAAATATGGACTGGATGATGATGTATGATTTAATGAGGAAGGCACCACTTTCCTCCGAATCCCCAGAATACACAAAACACAGCGTGCTCCTCCTTCATTCAAGCCCGCGCCTTCAAGGGCTAAGAGAGGAGAAAAAAGGAGAAAGCCCGAACATAGGTACATACCATACAGACATCACCTTCTCCATGAATGAAGTTCCACCACCTGTCATAGATACAACATCGAAGCGGCGTGGTGGGGTGCTCAAGCTGTCGTCGCTGGTCGCGATACTTTACCACGATACTTATGGGATTTGAGGAATATCCTTACCATGTACGTGCTTATACGCTTCTCTTTCTGTGGTGCTCAAGATTGATAAGGAACATAGGTTCGAAAAATCTCTTTATGACCTCATTAGAGGTCTCCGGAGCCACAAGGGTAGCGAGGCGGAGTATATACAGAATAGCTTGAAGGAATGCAAGTCAGAAATCAAGTCTCCAGATATGGGTTCGTGCTATCCTTTTTGCTGACATGCATAATTGGTTTTACCGACTTTGGTTTCCTTTCTGGGTCTGACAGTCAGTCAAACAGACAAGAAAACAATCGCCCTTTTAAAGCTGATATACCTCGAAATGTTCGGATACGACATGTCCTGGGCATCCTTCCACGTTCTTGAAGTAATGTCTTCGTCGAAACATTTACAGAAGCGCATTGGGTACTTGGCGGCAGCTCAAAGTTTTCGCGCCGAGACAGAAGTACTGATGTTGGCGACGAATCTGCTGAAGAAGGTAAGGAATAATGTGCATTAATCAGTCTTAGGTTGATCTGAATCTCACGAAAAATTTTAGGATGTTGTCTCATCGTCCATCGTGAATCTGTCATTACCACTCGCAACGCTACCGCATATTGTTACTCCGTCGCTCGCCATGTCGCTTTTGAACGATCTCCTCCCCCGGCTTTCGCATTCGAATGCAGTCGTTCGCAAAAAATCGATTGTTGTGCTTTACAGGTTTGCCTTGGTTTATCCCGAGACACTCCGGTTGGCTTGGCCAAAGCTGAAGGATCGCCTTATGGACGATAATGAAGATAGTAGCGTCATTGCTGCCGTTATGAACGTCATTTGTGAGCTCGGTTGGAGGAGACCTCATGACTTTCTGCCTCTAGCTCCAAGATTCTTTGAACTCCTGGTTGACAGCGGAAATAATTGGATGGCAATCAAAATAATCAAGTTGGCAGGTACCCTCAAAGGCCAAAGATCAGTGTTCATGCTCGCTAATTGACCTAGTTCGCAACTCTCACACCACTAGAACCTCGTCTTGTACGAAAATTACTTAGACCTCTGATAGGCATTATTCAAACCACAACCGCAATGTCTCTGCTCTATGAATGTATCAATGGTATAATTCAAGGAGGCATTCTTACAGAGGCTGAAGGGACACAAGAAGGTGATGAAATTGCAAGCTTGTGTGTGACGAAACTTAGGGGCATGGTTGTCATGGATGCCGATCCCAATTGTGAGTAAATCATGGCCTATTTTTCGAATTGATAGTATAAGGATTCAGGACTGACAAATGAATCAATGTAGTGAGATATGTCGCACTTCTTGCGTTCAACCGCATTGTCATCTCTCACCCGTATCTTGTTGCAATGCAACGAAATGTGATCATGGACTGCTTGGACGATCCAGATATTTCTATAAGGCTTCAATCACTTGAGCTCGCCGTGCAAATGGCAACGTCAGATACATTACAGGACATCGTCAACCGCCTGTTGAAGCAGTTGTTGAATAGCAAAAAGCCGGAATCTCAAGAAAACGTTGGGGATGATACTGTTGAAGGCCTGAATGATTGGCGCGATACAGAATTCGTGGATACTCCATCTTCGATAGTTCCAAGTCAAGCAGCATATGACTTGCCAGCTGATTACAAGACCGACGTCGTTAGCCGTATATTGGACATATGTTCACGTGACAACTATACGGATATCATTGATTTTGAGTGGTACGTCGAAATCCTAGAGCAACTGCTCAAGCTTTTGCCTCATCTCAATACGCACAAACGGGCTCAGGGTGACGGCGCTCTGAGCCTCCTTCTAGAGACGGATATTGCAGTAAGAGTAGGTGCGGAACTGCGAAGTGTTGCAGTGCGCGTTAAGGCTGTTCGTGAGAAGGCTACCAAAGCGGGGGAATCATTTCTCTTCTTAGTTGATGTGCAGCAGGCCTATCAAACCGCATTATTCGCCTACGTTGGAGCGCTCGGTCCGATTGCTTGGATAGCTGGTGAATTTTCGCAGCTTCTGTCTTTCCCCGATCGTATTCTGAACATCCTCATCAGCCCGAATAACAAAAACCTTCCTGGAGCAGCCCTTATTCTTTACTTACAAGCGATACCCAAGGTGTTCTTGCGATTGATTTCGTCTGAGCGTTCATGGTCTGCTAGCAGCTACACGGAGTTTTCTCTCATTCTTGTGCGTCTGATCACTTTCCTGGAGGGCTTAGGAGCACACCCGGACTTGGATGTGCAAGAACGAGCGACTGAATTTCTTGAACTTCTCCGTTTGGCAAAGGAGGCGTTGCACCCGGACGTGAAAGATCTTCACGAATTACCGTTCTTACTTGCGGATGTCATTCCTGGTCTCTTCAGGGGTTTAGATCTAAACTCTGTGTCCGTAGACGCTCAAAAGAGGGTCCCACTTCCGGAGAATCTAAATCTGGACGAAACGATAAATGGCATAATACCAAAAGCTGCAGATGAAAAATACGACACGTGGGTTGAGGCAGATGCCTACAATGACATCAAGAGCTTCTATTATATCTCTAGTGGGCCATTGCCCCCCCAGAAAGAGATGGGGCTTGATGCTCAAGTGGACATCACCTTAGAAAATGCAGATATCAGCTATGCCAGCACGAATAGCGGTCAAGAACGGTTCAGTCGTCGGGAACGGAATAGGGATGATCCTTTTTACATTGGTCACAACGACGGGCCCTCTCTCGATGCAGTCACGCCCTTATATCAGGTCCACGATATGTCGAATAGGGACGAGTTGGATATAGATTCTATTCCTATTATCGATCTTACAACCATACCGTCGAACACCCCCTCTCTAGGGCCGGACAAAAACAGTCGAGGTCGTGTCAAGCCAGGGAAATTCCACATAGCAGCTGACGAGACTATTGACTTTGATGGAACTCTATCTACGGGACTAAAGAATAAAAAAAACGATATGAGGACTCAAACAGGACGAAGTCTCCTGCAAGTTGACAGTAGCGGGATCGAACATTTGGCTCTGAGCGAAGCGCACAGATTGCCATCGAATAGTGAATTGCAACTTGATCAGATAGGGGAAGAGCAAGATTTGGAAATGGCGGAGGCCATGCGAAAGATAGAGCGTGTTCGGCTGGAAATGCAACGAGCATCTGAGCGAATAGACGTTCAGGGGTTACCTTCTGATGGCCAACTCATCAAGAAGAAAGCCGTCAAGAAGAAAAAGAAGAAGAAAGTCAAAAGCGAAGAAGCCTGACAAGATACACAGATTGTTTAGGAAACAATATCTGATAGTGAGAGTTTGTACAGTAGTCGTCGGCAAGAGGACGGGTATATAAGAAATTCAGAACTCAAATCAAACGCTCTTCTTGACCCTGAAATGAAGAAATGACGACAAGCCGCAGCAAACATCAGGTAATAGTAATAACTCCAAGGGTGGACGACACTTCCAAAATTTGCTTTTTTTCCCCCTTTTCATTCCCTCTCCGAGATGTAATGTCGATTCCAGTCCGTGATGCGATGAATCACCGTCTAAAAAAGGACATAATTGCAGACCATAGTTCTGGCACGACTCGTAGAAGCTCAAAGATCAATCCTCCGCAAACGACAAACGCAAGTAGCACTAATAGTCACAAAGACAGTTAGCGATCCTATCATCGAAAGTGCATCGATTCATGGCAAATGCTACACTAACCTATCCATCCTATGGATACCGGCGATTTCTGTTTTGTGCTCTTCTTGACAGCCGTCTGCGGCTTTCCCCTCTTCGAGGCCTCGTGTTTTGCGAACTTCTCGTTTGCCTTTTTCTGTCGCGGTGTTTGAGCCTAAGACAATGGAAAACAGCATACGAGTCAGTAAACTGGTTGGTAGTGTGTCGAGCTTGTGAACTCACCATTTTGATGCGATGGTATGTGATACAACAGGCGGCGATAATTACGACTGAATATCAACAACAAGGGGAGGTGTGCTAAAAAGGAAGGGGGAACATAAATAGAGAATCTTAACGAGTGTCTGCCTGATTGAGTCCGGAATTGATCAGGTCACGTTGCAAGTTGGATGAGGTGTATAACTTAAACTGATTGTTGTTGTAGCGATGTAGTATAGCTGTCCAAATGCCATAGCTTGATGTTGCAGCACGCTAGTGCTATCTAATCTGACTGCCACGGCCCGCAAATGCCACGTAGATTGCTGGTATTACCGGTACATACATACTCTAGAAGGTAATAATGCACCGCCACAACGGAATCTATGCCGCGCAGAAGACAGTTCACTGCTTTTCTCCACGCTCGTTAGTTAATTGGTGGTGCATGTTTGGCAAAATTGAAGGCTGTCAATAATAGTCTATGGATAGCATTGAGGAGGTATCGCAGATCTGCTAGCTGGTAAGAAGAAAATGATATATGTACACTTAAGCCACAACTACTTATACACGGTTCTGTCACGACTCGACGGTCGCTTTACTTCTTCCCCTTCAGGCCTGTGAGCCTCATTACCAACCTCGTGGACCGCAACAGAGTCTAGCTCCTGTGCTTGGCCGTCTTCTCCAGCCGGCAATTCGCTTGGTGGATGGCGCCAGGTCTTGGTAGCTGGTAATTCTGGCACCGGTCCTGCCGAAATGGGGGCTGACGATGACTCTAGCTTGCTGTTTGGCCGTCGGCGCCTATATAAAACCCAGAACAAAACACTCAATACCAAAATTACGCCACAGGCAACACCAACGCCTATTCCGGCCTTTGCACCAGTCGAGAGCCCAGAATCCGAGGTAGCGAGGTTGGGGCTGCCAGTGTTGGTGCTGGTACTGGTGATGGTGCTGGTGCCGGCGCCACTACTCGTCGCAGTCGAACTAGCGCTGGCCGGTTTTATGTTCGCAAAATTGAGGCCCGCTATCGTCGGCAATGCAGCACTGGGGTCGACGGGCCAGAAAGATCCAGTCGACGCAGGGCAGGACGGAGTAGGTAACGTCGATGGTGCGTTGTCGGCCATGGTCACTGAAGCCCACTGGCTGCTCAAGGCGCTGTAGTCAGAAAGAAGTGTCGGCGTGCTGGGCGCAGAGGTGGTGTAAGAGACAATTCCGAATTCCGACTCCGAGCCACTTCTTAGAGGGCATGTCAGTTCATTTCAAACTCAACGGAGCGCCAGGGAAGATACTTACTGTTTTCGCCACTCGTATATGATCGCACCACTCCAAACGTCAGACATATTTGATCCAAAAATTGCAGCCTGGTCATCAAAGGTCCGTGGCTGGACTGAAGTACAGCCATCCTCTGAAAAGAATAATGGCACGCCTATGTCTTCTAGATCCGACGTCAACTGCCCATAATCAGAGTTGTTCATTGATGACTGGCCACACCAGGAGTAGTCGTTAAATCCGAGGAAGTCGATTGCTTCGCTCGTATTGCCGCCACAAACCAGGTAATCTGCCATTTGCTGGGCCCAATTATCGTCGTCGCTTGTGAAGTATCCGATGGGTATAGTACGGTATTGCCTAGCTACGGCGTATGCTTTCATATCTCGAACTGCGGCCTTCAAGAAGGGAGCGAGGTCGACTTGAGTGGCTACATCGACGGTTAGATCGTATGTATGGGAAAGACCCGGATCAGTCGCCGAACATCACGTACATTTGTCAACTACCTCGTTGCCTACAATGAGGCCTAATAGATTTTCATATGAGGCCATTGAATCAAGTACAGCCGCATATTGGTTGAAGACGCTCGTCTGCCATGTCGAGTTACCCTTGCACGCAGAGAAGTCAATATTCAAACAAAAGCGATTGGTTTCTCGCACTTACCAGATTCGAGCTGGGGTCTAGTCCTGACATATCCGTGTCGGAATAATCTCTCTGGGTTGCCATGTTTGCAATGACATATATCTCATTGTCCTGGAAAGACTGCATGCATTTATCATGGCCCTGAGTCGGATCTACATAGTGCACGCTGATGGTATTGGCCCCTAGTTCCTTAATAAGTGGTGCATCGATCGCACACTGGTCGGCATTGGAATCGGCCAACGTATCGATTATACTAGAACCCGAGCTGTCCCCGATGTACGCAACGCCTATCTCACGCAGGTCAGCCTGCGAGATTTCATGGTACAAAACGCCCATCAAAAATAGCTACCTTTGATCTGAAACCTAACGCTCGATTTCAGGAAGCCATTTCCCGCGACTGTCACGACTGGAAACGCCATGTTTCGATGTCGCGGCAAAGATGTGAGAGCTCCAGCATGCCTGGGAAAGGAAAAGAGAAACCTGAGGCATGTTCAACATTATGTAGTCACTCTTGGATTTTAGGTTCTCACCCTGCGAACACTCGGTAGTCTCCAAATGGACCAGGCTCTTGCTGCAGTCCTAGTGGACTTTTTAGCCCCTTCCCGTAGCTATTTAAATCTTTGCTATGTCGCAGGTTTGAAGGACCGGACCCATGCAACGCTATCTTAACGACCAATCCGCGACGTTTTCGTTTCCGTGCTTGTTGGGCCTAGTCTAATTAAGATCAGCAGCATGCCGCCTAGCTATGCTGCTTGTGGTGGGATGGGACGAGCTCCCAACTAAGCCCCTGATTCGGAGTCCTGGTTAGGGCTAGGGCTAGGGCTAGTCAAGGTTAACGGCTGGCTACAGTTGGAGCCAGGAACCCAGATAGCCATAACTAGAAACAATGACGTTCTTAGTCACCTTTTCCTAGCATCTAGGAGCTACCTATCATAACCCTGGTTGTGGCCTGAGCCATTAGCGTCAGCCTCATACCGGTGGCGGGGTTTGCGGCCAAGTTAGCGCAGCCTCAAAGGCGTCCACATCAAACCAAATTACGAGGCGAAGGACCACACCGGTTTCATCCTCTGAAGAATCATGGCTCGATACAGACTTTGCTGCCCTGAAGGGTTTGTTCGGTTGTCAAAATGTTCATCAAGTCGCTGAGGAAGCATAGGAAAGGAGGAGTGGCAGCTGCAACACCACCGGAGCCTTCTCCATGAAACTAGGTGAACGATCATAACAACATCCTATCAGATGATCACGCGCAGCAACTCCAATTAGGATCGCAACAGCTTCAGATAACAATCCAAAAATATCAGGAGCGAATATCACATGGCGCACAAGGAGTCTTGTTTGATGCGGCAGAATATGAGTTCACTGCTACTTCGACTCCAGAGCAACTGGCAGCCCTGATACAAACCATTCTTTCTCAAGACAAACAAGAAGATGGGGTGCTCAGGCGATTATCTTAGACGGCTGGTAGAATCTATCCACTCATCCCGTTGGTATTGAGACTGAAAAGTGATGTTGGTAAGGCCTTCCTACCCGTAAAGTCTTTGATGAGCTCATAGATTATTGTCCTCGATCTCTCGGAACAGAAGCGCTCGCGGTCCAAGGACTTTTAGCGCATCCTCCAAAGAATAACTTATCAGTGCTCACACATAGCAGAGGTACAAAAGACTACAGTCGATAGGGATTGGAATCAGCTAGTCATACAAAGGTCTACTCAACTACTTACAGCAAGCATTTAATATTAAAACAGAAGCATCATCTTTTTAACCAAGGCCCAACGCAGGTACTTGGAACGGTCTTCCTGCTAAGGCAGGATAAATATGCTGGTGTCGGAGCAGCTTTTCATCAAGCCATTGTTGAGTACGATCGGGCACTCCTGCTTCAGATTGCAGTTCATACCATATCGAAAGGGAAACAACCGATTGATTCCTAATGCAAATTTCACGAAATAACGAAGAAGCCGGGCAACGCAGAGCTTCTGAGGTGGCTAAAAGCCTCGTGTTGGGAGAGAGGCCCAGTTTATGGCTTCCTGCAAGCGGCTACAGGAAGGCTCTTTCGCTTGGTTACCGAGACTAGAACCCTTCACTAAATGGAGAAGGAAAGAGTCTATAGGTCCGTGGTTAGCAGCGGCCCCAGGATTTGAAAAGTCAGTGCTAGCGGCACATATAGTACAGCTACTTGAATGCCGTGCATCCCATAGCGGCTGTTCCATTTTCCTTTACCGACGCAATAATCCGCACTTGAATACATAGAAGAGCTTAGTTCAGATGTTGACAGCACAGTTTGTGATGATTGTTACGTCTTCTCAGGAATACTTCCAAGACTTACAAGACCAAAAGAAAGAGTGTAAGGATCCTTCGCTTCTTTTTCAGACTTTACCACCCTTGCCCAAAATCAAGTCGCAAGTATTCATCGTAATTGGCGGTATTGATGATTGCCTGCTTAAGGAATAAGATCCGCCTCACCCTCATAACAAAACCAGTGCTACTCTTGACTTATTGTCTACGTGCCAATGTCAATCCCTTCAGACAAGTAGACCGATACCAATATCTAGAAGGGAATTCAAATTAATGGTTACATCATCGACTTACGACCGGAAATTTGGATGATATAAGGTTATCCACGTCAAAGCGGGTGTGTGAATTTACTGTTTTACAGAGAGATTTTGAAAGTCTTGGACAGCACGCAGAGACATTGGTAGTCGAAAAGGGACGGAACAATTTCTATAGGCATCGACCATGCTAAGCCTTCTCGACAAGCCAGGCCTCTCGACCCAAGAATACAACGGTCTATCAAAGCGATGCTCCCAGCAAATTGATTCGGATATATACCGAAGTCCTCAATCGGGTTGATGAAGCCAGCAATTTAGAGCTGGCACGGATAATCGTCGGATGAGTCCTTTTTAGCCAATCTGATTTGACGAGCGAGGCTGTGGAAATCATGATGTCTATGCTTCAGAGAAAGGTATATGCGCTCCGTGAGTTTCTTGAAGTAGATTGCGGGTCGACTATGACAATTATTGCTGCTAAAGATGGCCGACATGGTGTGTGCAGATAGCCCATGAAACCTTCAGAGCCTACATTGGTAGTCGAGAGTCATCACAGTCTCGATCATTATCAGCTCCACATTATCAATTTTACCTTGCAATAGCTTCTTTTCAGTTGTCTAATTGAGTCGAGTGATTAAAAGGCTGTCTGCAAAATGATTATGCGGTGCTTAATTAGGTCATACATTTTACAAAATTACAGGATCAAGAGGAACAGGATATGCATGACCCTATGCTCATTACAAGACTACCGACCAGGGTGCGCGAGTTCTTCACCTCTGAGGAGCTGCTTTGTGCCAGGCTCAAATGGTTCATATTTCTCACCAAAGACAAGACAAGAATATTCCCCTAACGCTACTGCCTTTCCGACATACACCAGAGTATATTACATTGGCTGGCTTTCAGAAAAACTGTGGAATTCGCTCTTAGCATTTCAAAACGCTTCCCAGAAGATGAAACATACAGTTCGGCTCTGAATTGGAGGAATCATACGGCAAATAGCGAAGTGCAAGACTTAGCACACTTTATATGCAAGATTCTGGCACGAGCTTGGCTAGGAACGAATTGAAAAGAATCTGGACTCAATTCAATTGTGTTTCTCCAGACCAAACAGGTTGCGCAAATATTTTTGTGGGACGAGATTGCTGGAGACACTGGTCAATCCGCAACCCAAAGCGACTACGCCTGGACAAAGGTATCGCAAATTCAACGTCTGGGAGAAATCGGAGGGTTCTTACCATTCGTCGGCCTACATTCAGGTAACTCTGGCTTTGGCCACTTAGTGGCCAACGATCCATCATGTCCTCGATTTCTTCTATCGGCGCTAGCCGAATACCCAGACTGGTGGCATCTCCACGATGGCCTTGAAAACTGGTATTGCCGGACAATGACAAGGTGAGAGCCGCTGAGACTCTCGAGAAGGCATTGAAGTGCGACCCTAGATCGGCGTTATCAACCAGAAAATCATACTGGACTACAGAATGTGAACATTCCTGGAAACAAGCAACGTAACAGGGGCCATCGAGACATTCCTCCAGGCGGAGCAGCTCTGTTCAGAACAAAAAGCGTATCATCAGTATTGGAAATGCATGGCTCAGATTCTGAAGGACAGGAAGTGCTGGGATGAAGTGAAAATGACTTATGCAGATGTATTAATAGACAGTGTCTTGGCTGTTACACTGGAGCGGTTTTTCAGAAGCGTATAGTAAGTGGGGGGATTGAAGAGGCGCGCTCAATATTCTATTTGAAGCCTTGTGAGACATAGGTCAACATATCGAACGTTACATACATTATAAGAATATATATTGTTTAGCAGCAGATTTGAGAGACTGCTTTGTATTTGATAATTCCATAAAAGTCCTTCGCTCCGCAATAAAAGACAAGCCGGATAACAGAGCACATTATCACACGATGATAGCTAACACAAATGCCGCTGCCGAAGGGTGGTCTCGTGCTATTGAAGCGTATGAATTGATTTTAAATAGATAAAAACCTGATCGAAATGCGCGAGACATAATATATATATCGATCTTGGAGGCGTATACCTCGCTATTGTTAGATTTGAAGAGGCCGTTGCTACTTATAAGAAAGACGTTTGATTGATTGATTGATTAATTGATTGAGTGATTCATTCATTCATACACACATCTAAGCCTAATAGCCAGCAGCGTCTCCTATTAAGCAGCAGGAATACTAGATTGATTGATCGATTGATTGATTGATTGATTCATACACGCATCTAAGCCTAGTGGCCAGCGGCACCTCTGATTAGGCAGTGGGCATACTATCATATAAAGAAAAGAAGTGCTAAGACTCCTAGCTTAGTGCTAGCTAACTTAGTCTATATTATATAATAATAATAATAATAATAATAATAATAATAATAATAATAATAATAATAATAATAATAATAATAATAATAACAATAATAATAATAATAATAATAATAATAACAATAATAATAATAATAATAATAATAATAACAATAATAATAATAATAATAA